TCTCCTCTGGATCAGAGGCGATCCCGGCAAAGGCAAGACAATGCTCCTATGCGGCATCATCGAAGAGTTGACACATCTATTTGGAACCACTGCGAATGTCTCATTCTTTTTCTGCCAAGCCACCGACGTGCGAATTAATAGCGCTACTTCCGTCTTTCGTGGTTTGATATATTCACTTGTCTAAAATAATCCATCCCTTCTTCTCTATGTGCGGGCTCGGTACGACCAAGCTGGGAAAGCCCTCTTTGAAGACATAAATGCATGGGATGCACTCTCGACCATCTTCAAGGATATCCTGAAGGACTCGTCTTTACAAGGCGCCTATTTCATTGTTGATGCATTGGATGAGTGCATAAGCGGTCTTCGTTCCCTTCTGGACTTGATTGTGCAGGAGTCATCGGTTCACCTTCAGATAAAGTGGATTGTCTCTAGCCGCCATTGGCCTGAAATCATTGAGCGTCTTGATATTGCAACCGAGTTAGCCCAGATCTCGTTATACTTCAACGAGGCGTCTGTGTCGGAAGCTATGAACAATTTCATTCAATATAAGGTCGACTCCTTGGTAAAGGTCAAAAGATATAAAGTCCATACCCGTGATATGATTCTTTAGCACTTATTGTTAAACTCGTAAGGCACCTTTCTTTGGGTAGCTTTAATTTGTCAAAACCGTGATAAAACGCCACTAAGGCACGCTATCAACAAGCTAAGCGAATTCCCTTCTGGACTGGATGCTCTGTACGGCCGAATGATCGATCCGCCGGTCGGAAGATGCCGAACTCTACATGCAGATACTAGCTATCATATCAAATATCTTTCGACTTATCACGCTTAGTGAACTAACTTCACTCGTTAAAGTGCCGGATAACGACTATGATGACCAAGAATCCCTCTCAGAGATTATCGCAGTTTGTGGTTCATTCCCAACGTTAAGAGAAGATACTATTATATTCGTCCATCAGTCTGCAAGGGATTTCCTACTCCGAGAAGCTCTAAATCAGATATTTCCTAGAGGTATAGGAGCTAAGCACCACATGATTTTCTTACGATCTCTCAACGTGATGTTTAAAACACTTCGACGCGATATCTTTGACATTAAGTTATACTCAGATTCGAAATTAGCTTCCATGTGTTACATACAGAAAGGAATTGTTTCTAGAACGCCGAATCGAAACACACTATGCTAGATATAGTTAGCGCAGACGCAGGAGCTTGTTCGGCAAGGTTACAGAGTCATGTTCTTTCAAGACATTATTACGCTAGCCGTAATTCACACGTACAAAACACACAAAGTTAATCGTTGTTGGAACGAAAAAGTACGTCCAATCAGGTCCATGGATAGTTGTCTAAATTGGTATACTGGCAGAATGCAAGGTAAAAGCTAAAGTAGCAGGATGGTTCGCACCGAGCTTTTCTTGCGGGTGTCCTTCACCTGCATTTCGAGCTGCTCGGCCTCCTCCAAGCGGCCTTGATTCCTGTACATTGACGCGAGGCTGACCATGATTTTCAGCGTATCACGGTGGCCAACGCCGAGCTTTTCCTTGCGAGTGTCCATCACCTGCACCTGAAGCTGCTCGGCCTCCACCCAGCGGCCTTGATTCCTGTACGTCACCGCTAGGTTATTCATACTGGATAGCGTATCGTGATGATCCGGGCCGAGCTTTGTCTTGCGAGTGTCTATCACCTGCACCTGAAGCTGCTCGGCCTCCACCCAGCGGCCTTGATTCCTGTACGTCACCGCTAGGTTATTCATACTGGATAGTGTATCCGGATGATCCGTACCGAGCCTTGCCTTGCGAGTGTCCACAACCTGCACCTGAAGCTGCTCGGCCTCCACTAAGCGGCCTTGCTTCCTATATGTCACCGCTAGGTTATTCATACTTGATAGCGTATCGGGATGGTCCGGGCCGAGCTTCGCCTTGCTAGTGTCCATCACCTGCACTTCGATTTCCTCGGCCTCCTCTAACCGGCCCTGTTCCCAGTACGTCGATGCCAGGTTTCCCATGCTTGATAGTGTGTCGGGATGCTCCACTCCAAGCTTCTTTTTGCGAGTTTCCATCACCTGCACTTCGAGCTTCTCGGCCTCCTTGCACCTGCCTTGTTCCCAGTACGTCGATGCCAGGTTTCCCATGCTTGATAGTGTATCGGGATGATCCATACCGAGCTTCGCCTTGCGAGTATCCATCACCTGTACCTCGAGCTTCTCGGCCTCCTGCCACCGGCCCTGGTACCTATACGTCGACGCGAGGTTGCCCATGCTTGTGAGCGTGGATGGATGATCCGCGCCAAACTTCGTCTTGCGAATCTTCACTACCCGCAACTCGAGCTGCTCGGCTTCCTCCCACCTCCCTTCTAGCCGATATATTACTGCTAACATTGCATTGCTATCAAGGGTCTCCTCGCCCTCCTCTCCAAAAAGCTGCAATCTGCAGTCTCTTGACCTAGACGCCATTTCCCTTGATTCTGTGACATGCCCGCTTTCTTGCGCATACCACGCGCCTCGATAAAGCACAGTAGCCCATTGCTGTAAAGATGCTTGGGATTCTGGTTGGTGTAATACCGCAGATTTGACGTGTGGAAAAAGGGACCGATATCTTTCCCAATTCTCATATTGACCGGTGGGAAGCTCGGCGTATAAATTATAGATGAATCGCCCCTTCCACTGTGCAAGTTGGTGATTGACCTTAAGCCATGTCCGTACAGTTAACTGCACTAGTCGATGCATTGTGAAAGTGTGTCCATCCTCTCTGATCGATATCAATGAAAAGTCACTTAAAATGTTAACATCCATGTCAAAAGCGGCATCGGTACTAGAACTAGATCCGTCATTGGAGTCCCGGTCGTTAGAGCTTCCTTCTGATTTCTCCAGACATGAGTCCTTATATATATGCTGATTCAGCGGAACTCGAAGAATTCTTTGTGCGATCCCCTGCCGATCAAAAAAGCTCATGAGAGAGAGCAGATCAGTTGCAGACGGCCTTTTACTTCGAATATAGTCAAAAGATATTTGCCATGTAAGTAGAATGGAATTCTTGGCCTCCCAGTCCCGATTAAGGACGCCAGCCTCTTTGCGAAGCACCTGTACTGCTTGGCGGTCACTTTTCTGAATTTTGAGTAGGTACTCTGATACTGAACATGATCGCTGTAGAATGTAGGCGGTAGCCTGGATGATTGCGAGTGGCATGAACTCAAGCTCCTGAGCTAACCGCGCCATTTTCGTATGCTCTATCGGTGTGCTTAGCTTCTTTTGAATAAGACCTAATGCTTCCGTGGGGTTCATCGGTGGTACTTCGATAATGTTCTGATGGTTGACGATTTCCAATACGACTCCCTTATGACGACTAGTGATAATAATTGTACCATCAGAGTTGCCAAAAAGGTACCTTAGTGGTGGTGGTTGCATTGGAGGATCGCTCTGCGGGCCCGTGTCGCTCTGCGTGTCCGTGTCGCTCTGCGTGTCGCTCTGCGTGTCGCTCTGCGTGTCTATATTGCCCGTGGTACCAATCACAGAAGGGTTGCGAAAAAGCTCATCATCATCAACATTATCTAGAACGAGAATCCACTTTCCGAGATTTTCGTCTTCTAGCCAGTTTCCGACGAGTTGAAAGATATTGACGTTGCGGTCCTGGCGCCCAGGAATTTTGGCTCGATCGGCAAGATTCCGGAGACTTTTCTCGCAGCGGGCCGCGTTACTAGCATGTACCCAGAAGACCCACGTGTTGGCGGATTGCTGTCGAATCTGGTGGCAGTATTCAGCGGCAAGCTGCGTTTTCCTGCTACGTAGTTAGTATCTGAGAACCTTCTCTGTGACCGTGATTCTCATACCCAACGCCACCGAGTCCAAAGAGGGCGACTGTAGATCCCGCTATCGATGCTTTCTCATGAAGTTGGTTCAGGATTTCATTTCGGCCAACAAAGTCTGGGTCTCGTCGGAACGGTACCGTCGATAAAGGTTCAGGGCGGGGTTCCGATCGTTCTGAAGGCGGAGCCATCTTGTCAGCTCACTCGACTCGTCGAGGTTGTTTATGTAGGGGTTTGAAACCCTACCTTGCTGTAAGTAGTTTATCTGTCTATTATAAACTCCAATCTGAAGTCCCGAATTTGTTCCACTGAAATTTATCGAGGCCATGGTTGAGATGCTGGGCATGTGGGAGTGTTAGGTCCTTACTCCGGAAGATTTAAGGAACACCTGTTCCTAGCCCCCACTTTAATATGTCCCCATTAGTAATGGATACCTATTAATATCTAGTCTCTGAACGGGGGATAGCCTCGGGTGACGTTAGTGGTGGATAGTAGGCGCGTAAGTTCTCTGTTCCTATTTATCGCATAGCTACTGTGGGCCATCGAAGGGTCGCTATTTAGAACCATTGATGTTTGAGCAAACTGACTAAACCACCGATTAATCCCTAGTAAGGGATAGGAGATTATGGGAGTTGGACAGCAGCGTTTCTCGTTATTTACGCGTTTCTTCTGAATGCTTTCGGGTATCTTGTAGGTGTCAGCTCTTTTTCACCAGTCTCTAGACCGGTGAACGCCACAGACAGTGCGCACTTGTCCGGATCGAAAAGGGCAACCGGGGATGTCCATATACATTACGTCCTGATTGCATCTGGCAATAGGGTAATAAAAGATGCCCTATCGCGCGATAAGGTGAATGAGTGTCTTGACGGACACGTCTTATGTTTTGAACCGGAGGCAGCTGGATTAATGAATGAATTTCCCTGCATCGTTATTCGGAGGATCTGTGACTATGCAGACGCTGGAAAGAACAAAGATTGGCAAGAATACGCAGCCATGGTGGCGGCAGCATATACAAAAGAATTACTTCATTGTGCACAATCAGGTCATATCGACGCTGAGTCTCCAGTTCGAGATCTTTTACATAATGGTTAGTTACTTTCAAATTTCCATAGATGATGTTGCGAGCATCTATCTGATAGTAGTCCGTAGTTGGAAAAATCCTGGGTACAATCAACACCGACATTCAGAAAATAAATGCCAGAATGGACCGCAAGGATGACCTGAGGGTTCTTAACTGGCTCACAAAGGTTGGTTATGGCCTAGAACATAGTGATTTATCGAGAAAGAGGCAACCTGGAACCGGCCAGTGGCTCTTGAGATCAGTGGAGTACCAAAGATTGGTCGACTCAAAGGGGCGACGACGTTGTTCTGTCCAGGGGACCCTGGCGTTGGTAAAACCATTCTAACGGCAACGATCATTGATGATCTGATCACACGATTTCCGCATGTCCAATCGACAAGGATTGTGTATATATACTGCAACTTCAACCGAGAACATGAACGGAGGCTGGAATACTTGATCGCAGCGCTAATCAAACAGCTGAGTCAGGCACGGCCATCCCTACCAGAGAGCTTGACGGCTCTTTACAACAAGCATCAGATTCGACGAACTAGACCATCAGCAGAAGAACTCTCAAGGGTCCTCCTATCAGTCGCATCATTATACACTCGAATATTTGTCGTTATTGACGCGTTGGATGAGTGCCAAAGGGCTAGCGGGTGTCGATCAAGATTTCTGTCCCAAATCTTCGCTCTTCAGGATGCATTTTCAATAAATGTCTTTGCCACGTCGGGACCAATCTCGGAAATTGAGGAAACTTTTGAGCACTGTCTTTGGAAGCGTATAATAGCTCCCGAAGAGGATATTCGCAGCTTCCTTCATAGCGAGATGCATATGCCTCAGATGCCAAAGCTGATCTAAAGAGACAATGATTTGCAGAAAGAGATCAGCTCTCAAATCGTTAATCTTGTTGATGGAATGTGAGGAAGTACTCTTCAAGCTTGATGTGTTTTCAGTTTTGACTGACTGAATCTGAACTGCATATTTCTACTTGCACCACTCCATATCAATTCCCTAGTCGGGTCAACAACGCGACGGGAAATACGAAATGCACTCAAGGCAATACCAAAAGGAACCGAGGGGTATGACTACGCATACAATGAAGCGGTAATGAGAATAAAATTTCAACACCCTTTATCTCAGCGCCGAGCAAGGAAAGCTTTGTCCTGGTTGACTTATGCCATTAGACAGCTCTCTATCCCCGAGCTGGAGCACGCATTGGCGACGAAAGGGGTGATCCCAAATTTGATAGTGATAACATCACAGCTTATGACGAAATCCTCTCTGTCTGCGCTGGACTTGTTACAGTCGATGAGGAAAGCAACGTCATTCGCCTGGTTCATTGTACAGTGCAGGGATACCTCGAGAGGACACAGGGATATTGGTTCCCGGAAGATGACGACAATAATCCTGTGAGATATGCAAACCCTGAGACATACATCACGCAGGTTTCCCTGACTTACATGTCATTTAATTCTTTTGAAGAACAAGCACTTAGATCCTGGGAGGACATCGAAGACCGATTGGAGTCAAGCAAGCTCTACGGTTATTCTGCCCAGAAATGGGGACATCGTGCTCGAAAGGCCTCAAGTATCCTACCTGAGATCATGAAATTTCTCAAGCGCGGTAACAAGATTGCATCAAGTCACCTGCTATGGTACGACGATCGCCACTTTTAGGGTTTTAGGAGGACGCAAATGACGGGACTTCACATGGCATCATACTTTGGAATAATAGACGCGGTTGAGTCATTGCTTCAAGAAGAGCTTAATGTCACGGAAACTAGCACTGGTCACCAACCACATTTAATCTGTGAACTAGACTCAAGGAACAGAGATGGTCAAACACCGCTTGTCTGGGCCGCAAGGAACGGATACCTTACGGTGGTTCGTCGGTTGTTTGACGAGGGGGCCAATCTGGACTCGAACAGCGAAGACAGTCTCACTCCACTATCATGGTCTTCTGCGTATGGACATGAAATGGTTGTGAATTTCTCCTCGATAAAGGCGCCGATCGGGAGTACTCAAGCGGGGGTCAGACACCACTCCTATGGGCTGAAGACAATGGCCATACTGCGGTAGTCAAGGAACTCCTCGAAAAGGGCGTGATATTGGATGCCGTTGATGAGTTTGGTCAAACACCACTTATAATGGCTGCTATAAAGGGATACTTCGCAATGTCAGAGCTTCTTCTGGTCAACGGGGCCTCCCCAGCACTTACCAATGATGGCATACCTCCAATCATATGGGCTGCAGGAACTGGTCAAAAGGATTTGATCGAACTGTTACTCGCTCACGGTGTAAGCATAGAGTGCAGGGACGGAGACTGGGGCCACACGCCGCTGGCAAGGGCTGCTAATCAAGGAAATAAAGCAATAGTGCAATTCCTGCTTGAGAAAGGTGCAGATATAGAATTAAAGGGTGACAATGGTCTGACACCACTCCTCTGGGCAGCATGGAAAGGACATGAGGCAGTGATCAGATTGTTACTCGACCACAATGCAGATATCAAGGCCAAGGATGAACAGTATGGCCGGGCAGCACTTGCATGGGCTGCAAGAGAGGCGAAAGATTCCATGAGCGAGGCTGTGGTCCAGCTTCTGGTAGATAGAGGAGCTAAATAGAGTCAAAGAGTGATAATGGACAAACAGTGCTAGAGTCAGCGGCGGAAAGAGGAAGGAAGGGAGTGGTAAAGGTGCTCCTTGATAATGGAGCGATTGCCAAATTAGGCGATGGTGACGGGGATGAAGATTTGCCGCTATCGACCACCAATGAGAATACAGAGCAACTGGCCGAGCTGCTCATAAGCATACATCACAAGGACACAAAGAGCGCCATGTATCAATATTTTCTTCACGATGACCATTTATAATAATTGCAACACCTTCATTGAGCCCGTCAGACCTTGACTAGTTGGCATTTTCTTCGGGACGAAACAGAAAATAGAGGCTTTTTCAAAGACGCATATGTAGTGCACGGGTTGAGGAAGAGAAGAGAATAGCAAATGATGGAGAGCTCCATTTGACTGGAACTACGGAAGCAAGGCTCAAGCGCTTTCAGAGATCCGGGGGACTAGGCGTGAATCCATAATGTCAAGGAGGGGAGAAGCAATTTCCATGGCACATCGTCGCCAACCCCACGCCCTCACTTTTTAAACTTCGCAAAATAAAAACCAAAGAGTTTCCACCTCATGGCATGTGTAATGCCACGGAACATCTGGGTCATCTTTCTCTTGTTACCTCTGGGCTGTACCTGGTTTTGCAATCCCGAGGCCATGTCTTCCGTACCGTCATACAATGACGAAAAATTGACCATAATAATCATATCTTAGGAGCTGTTTAGGTATAACGCTACCCATATAGGGCGGCAAAGCCAGTTTTCTCAATGGATAAAAAACACTGAAAATACAACCAAAAACCAAAAAGAAACATACAACAGTTAGGATTCGCATGTGGTCACCCACCATACTACTAACTAACCGGCGTGTGGCTTAAGTACGGCTGAGCGGACGGGAAGCCCTGTTCTCCACACCCTATGGTCGTATGTACCAGACAGTGCATGGCAATGAAATATATGGTGCACATTTAGAGCGTCGTAAGCGGTAAAGAGTGAGAGCAATGATACTATTCCTAGCACATTATCACGATGATTATGAGACGCCGTATATCAGATTATTCAAAAAAAAAAAAAAAAAAAAAAGGAACTTGTTAGCACTGTCTAGCCTATTTAGATAACTAGCTAAGATGACTTGTAAATTAGCGTTTGGCGACGTAATAATAGAAAAGATGAACCCAATTCTTGCATATCCTGTGTAGATGCAAAAAAGAAATGACAAGAGTGGGATTTGAACCCACGCCCCGAAAACGAGATGCGGAAATCTGGATCAGGTGAACCTGAACCGCACGCCTTGGACCAACTCGGCCATCTTGCCTGTTGATGTAATGGGGCTAGAAACTATGCGTCATGATGCAGACAGCCGGCTTGTACCTTATCGCTATCCTTGTAGATCGACACGCACCCACTTACCGTGCTGGGTATACTTCACGGTTCCATATACATCCCCTTTCTCGCTTAATCCTAGATTATACATGCATCTTACACTGGATTGAACCAGAATCTGCCAATCGTTTGAGATATACTGTGAACTCATCCGAGTGCTATGATGTACTTTTAGATTACCTACTTGGGTATGTTATCATTAATTTACTAGTTAGTTATCACACCGCGTGATGGCTTACATACGCAGCATGACATGATCCCCCGCGTTTTATCGGATTCAATCTTAACACTTTACTTTCTTTCATTTTGATCAGAGAGTATATTCTCCTATGTTTCCACAATGCGACCTGTTCCGGACCTGCCGCCTTTCTCTCGAAAGTCCACCTTCGACCCCCCTCTCCGTCCCTTGATCCCCGCAGCACCACCCCCGCAACCTTCTTCCTGTCCCATAGCCCGCATGCCTCCGGTTTAGAACCGGACCCTACTCCAGAGAACCATGGAGACCACAAGGAGAGTATGTATGGGGTGCAGAGCCTAGGTGAAACACTATCCCGGTCGGAGCTACCTGCAAGCGACCAACCGGACCTAGCCCCGAGCAAATCGTTGCAGGAGGATGACTTGGAAGAGTCAAAGAACGCCCCACGACGCTCAACCTTGAAGCCCTTTGACTCTGCGACTCGGGACTCGTCGATGCGACCATCGCTCACTGGTGCAGCATCTCGACCATTAAATTCACTTCACCCTGATGAACCATCTTCACTGCCTAGTAGCCCCATATCAATCTCCAACCAATCACTCCGACCCCTCGACGACATTTCGATCACAGATGAAATCGGTAGCCAAATGATCGAGTCAGACGAAGAGGACCGGCCGGGGTTTTCGCCGCGCCTGGGGCCCCATGCAGCCTCGCAACTTATTATGCCAAGCATAAAAATGCCCAGTCGCCGGCCCTTTACAGAGAAAGGAAAGGCCATGGGCCGGTTCAAGATTCTTCTGGCTGGTGCACCAGGTAAATTATGCAGAAGTTGAAGTCATTTATAACACTCTTGAGTGAACTAATGATGCATCGACAGGCTCCGGTAAAACCTCTTTGATCAAATCCATTGTTCAAACTTGCGAAGATATCGTACACGTTGATTCACTTCCTTCGGTGGATTCCTCTTTAGAGAGGCGCCGGTCCTCACGCCCCCACTCTGGATCAGTCCCCACTCGCGGGGCCGCTATGACGGAGATCTACGCTAGTACGAAGCCCTATCCTTCGTGGTGGTCAGACCTCGAAGACTCGCGCGTGCTGCGGCGTCGGAAGAGCATTGGGGAGATTGTGCTGGAGCGGAATCTTTGCTTTGTTGACCAACCTGCTACGTCGCTGAGCCGGGCGGGTCAAACCGATGCGGTTCTGCAGTACATGCGACAGCAGCTCCAGCGCGCAATAACAGCCCTTGCCGTTCCTGGTATTGATTTTCAGAATCTTCTGGCAGGGAATGGTGGCTCCCAGGTGGACGCTATCCTATATTTGATATCACATGGTATGTCTTTGGTCACTATTATCCCGAAAGGACTCGACGCTAATGAGTTGCATAGACACCTTAACGACAGATGTGCAGTGTATTTGCAAGCTCAGCGAGCTAAGCAATGTCATACCGGTTATAGCCAAGGCGGATACTCTGTCCTCCGAGGAAGTCACGTCCCTGAAGACCAAATTCCATGAGCAGGCTCAGAATGCCGGAATCAAGCCCTTCATGTTTGGGGACTTGCTACTCGGAGGACTCGATGGATTGGAACCCCAGCCCCCATATACCGTATCATCTGAGAAGACCATTGATATGGAAATCATGGATGCCAGTACCCTCATGAGCCCTGATTACGTCCAACCTCTTAGTACATCTGAGCTCGACATCTTGGTGCGAAAGCTGTTTAATCGGGATAACCTCGCTTGGATGCGGCACTCGGCCGCCAAAAAGTTGATGCAGCGACGCAGCGAATTTCCTCCTATCCCGCCAACAACGACACCGCTTCGTAATGCGCTTTCCGGCACTACTGCAGGGTGGCGGGCCATTTCAAGCTCGTCCATGGATACATCAATTTCATTTGGGGAATCTGCACCAAGTTATGCAATGGCACGGATTTCAGACTACACGAAACACGAAGAAAACATGGCCCAGGTTCGGCTGGCACACTGGGCAACAGACCTACAGCGAAGCCTCCAAAATGAACGTGACCGATACGCATCACTGGCCCAAGGTGATCGTGCTATCTGGCTCACTGAGAGACTGAGTGAATGCGTCGTGGATGGTTCACTTGTGCCTATCTCGAAAACCCCCGGTTTTTGCGGACTCCAGATTCCCACCCATGAAAAGGGATCCGGTGCTTTACATGCCTTGAAAACTCACCCGGGCCTCCCTTCAACTTACCGTGTTGCTAGTCTGAGTACCCATGACCCTCTGGGCGTGGTTGGCTGGATCGACGACCTCGGACGACACGGCTGGGCAATAATGCAAGTCGTGGGCGGCGTTGGGGTTGTAGGTGGACTAGCCTTCTGGCTTGCTCGTACATGGGGACTTCCATCACGCACCTTATCTGAACTGCAAGTGGAGTACTGGTTTGGGAGTCTCGATCGATGACTTCAAACCTCAGGATTTTATCATGACCGAAAGTGAGTTATGATGGTTGAGGGTATGAAGCGACAAGGGTATTCACCAGAGTATACTACTCATCCATATCAAGATCCATGAAAAATTTTGCTAGCAGGCTGGCGTTTCATTTTCCCGGCGATCTTTCTTTCCCCTTCCTCCCCCTTGGCGTGGTGTCTCGGCGCTACGCTACATTATTCCCCAATGCGTCTCTGTCCTCTCTCACATGCATCAGCATGAAATGAGATTAGCCAGGACGTACTAGCTAGGCTTAATAACACCAAACATTTATCCCAGTCATCCTTGTATTCACGTATCTCGCATTTATATATTGTCGGCAATCTCAACATGTAAACACTGTAATCCCATCCACAATGAAAACCAATCTAGGAAGAAGGCTCAACCAACTCCTCAAACCGTCTTAGGTCCATATCCTTCTCCAATAGAGGAATAACATAGGGATCGAAAGTCTTCCAGTAGGGGTTGTTAAGGTGGTACTGCTGCGAAGACTCCTGTTCGTAGCGCTCAACGATAGTGAAATCCTGCTCGTCATGCACAGACTGCATCACGAACCAGGAGAGAGTCTCCTTGTCCTTTGAGTAAACAGCCGAGGCCTCGAGGAGCTTAGCGTGCAGCTTGGAGATGGACTCCTTGTCTGCCTTGGCGCGCATGTCTGTGGACAGAGTTAGAAAGGAATTGAATCAATTAGATGAAAGGAATCATCTCCCAAAAAAAAGAGAATTAAAGGTTGAAAGGAGATAGCAGTGGTTTCTAGTTGAAAGAGGTGTGTACGTACGGACAACAATTGTGTAGACCATTTTGACGGTGTGTATGTTCAAGGTTACCCCTCGAGCGGGGCAGAAACGAGGGGCCTTTTTACCTTTATACTCACTGCAGGCCCCCGAAACTGCATCGGTGAACTTTCGGGTGGGTTTGGTGGAGTAAGAATCACCGAGAAAGGTCCCGAGGTGATTCCGACGTGGATCGGTAGCAATGCTCAGGTTGAAACTAGGTTTTGTATGAAGAGTGGAGATAACTGACGTATTTTCTACTTTTGGATCTACCAGTAGCTGCACTACAGATATTTATTGCCAAATTGGTGTAATTGTCAAGTATACATACAAATGGATATTTTATGGGGAAGATGGAAAAGTAAAAGAATTCAGCTTCATTGTAAAAAAGGTTTAAAAAAAAACATCAAGGGTCGTATCCCGTTTCCCATTTCCCATAAGAACTTTGATTTAAGCAAAAAAGAAGTGTAAGGGGAAGACATTTAGTCAACCTCCTCCATGGCGCTCTCGCCAGTGGCCTCAGCCGGGGCAGCGGCCTCGGTGGCAGTCTCGTCAGCGGTCTCAACATCCTCGTCGATGTTCAGGCCGAGGGAGACGAGCTTGTGAATGCGCTCAGCGAAGCTGGCAGGCTCCTCAATGGTGAAGCCAGAGACCAACAGGGAGGTCTCGAAGAGCAGCTGGGTGATGGACTTGACGGTGCGGTCGTTCTCGCCGTTAGCCTCAACCTTGTTCTTAAGCTCCTTGATGATGGAGGACTTGGGGGAGATCTCGAAGGTCTTCTTGGAGGACATGTAAGAGCTCATGGAGGTGTCACGCAGGGCCTGGGCCTTCATGATACGCTCCATGTTGGCGGACCAACCGAACTGGCCGGTACGGATAGCACAGGGAGCACCCATCAGCTTGTGGGAGACAACAACCTTCTCAACCTTCTCGCCGAGGATGTTCTTGAGGGCCTTGGCAAGCTCCTCGTACTCCTTCTCCTCCTTCTCACGCTCGGCCTTCTCCTCCTCGGTCTCCTCAAGCTCGAAGTCCTTGGTGATGTCAACCAGCTTCTTGCCGTCGAACTCCTTCAACTGAGTGAAGGCGTACTCGTCAATGGGGTCAACCAGGAACAGAACCTCGAAGTTCTTCTGCTTGAGGGTGTCCAGGAAGGGAGACTGAGCAACGGCCTTGATGGACTCGCCGGTGATGTAGTACATGTTCTTCTGGTGCTCGGGCATGCGGGTAACGTAGTCGGTGAGGGAGGTGACCTCGTCGCCGGTCTTGGTGGACTGGTAGCGGAGCAGCTTGGCGAGGGTGCCACGGTTCTGGGCATCCTCGTGGACACCGAGCTTGATGTTCTTGCTGAAGGCAGCGTAGAACTTGTCGAACTGCTCACGGTCCTCGGAGATCTCAGTGAAGAGCTCAAGAGCCTTCTTGACGATGTTCTTCTTGATGACCTTCATGATCTTGTTCTGCTGGAGGGTCTCACGGGACAGGTTGAGGGGCAGATCCTCGGAGTCAACAACACCCTTGATGAAGCCCATCCACTCGGGAATGAGGTCGGTGGCATCGTCGGTAATGAAGACACGGCGAACGTACAGCTTGATGTTGTTCTTGGTCTTCTTGGTCTCGAACAGGTCGAAGGGAGCGCGCTTGGGAACGAACAGGATGGCGCGGAACTCAAGCTGACCCTCAACGGAGAAGTGCTTGACACCGAGGTGGTCCTCCCAGTCGTTGGAGAGGGACTTGTAGAAGGAGGCGTACTCCTCAGTGGTGATATCAGTGGGGTTGCGAGTCCAGATGGGCTTGGTCTTGTTGAGCTCCTCCTCCTCGATCTTGGACTCCTTGACGGTCTTGGTCTTCTTCTTCTCATCCTTCTTGTCATCCTCGTCATCGACCTCCTCAACCTTGGGCTTCTTCTCGTCGCCCTCCTCCTCCTCCTTGGACTCCTCGGCCTCCTCATCGGGGACCTCAGTCTCGGTCTCCTTCAGGACGTGAAGGTAGATGGGGTAGGAGATGAACTCGGAGTGCTTGCGGACAACCTCCTTGATGCGGCTCTCGTTCAGGTAGTCGAGCTGCTCATCCTTCAAGTGGAGGACGATCTTGGAACCACGGCCGAGGGGCTCGCCCTCGGTGTCCTGGGTCAGGGTGAAAGTACCACCAGCGGCGGACTCCCAGACGTACTGCTCGTCATCGTTGTGCTTGGAGACGAAGGTAACGCGGTCAGCGACCAGGTAAGCGGAGTAGAAACCAACACCGAACTGGCCAATCATGGAGATATCGGCACCAGCGGACAGGGCCTCCATGAACTGCTTGGTACCAGAGCGGGCGATCGTACCAAGGTTGTTGATAAGGTCCTATGTAGAGGATTAGCAAACTGAAAACTTCTTTTCCCTTGCTTTTGCAATGGCTCATTGGAGGGGTACTTACAGCCTTGGTCATACCAATACCGGTATCACGGATGGTGAGGGTCTTGTTCTCCAAGTCGGGGATGATGTCGATGCGGAGGTCCTTGCACGAGTCGAGCTTGGAGGGGTCCGAGAGGGACTCATAACGGATCTTGTCCAGAGCATCGGAAGCGTTGGAGATCAACTCACGCAGGAAAATCTCCTTGTTAGAGTAGACGGTGTTAATGATCAGCGAGAGCAGCTGAGAAATCTCAGCCTGGAACTCGAAGGTCTCAGGCATTGTGGCGGTGTGGGGAGGGAGAATTCTGATGGAGAACGAGCGTTAGAAGGAAGAAACGAAGAAATTGAAACGACCTCGAGGAAAGTTGAGGATGAAAGATGAGAGTATTGTTTGGGTGGCGATAGGTGGAGAAATTTGGATGACTCCCAAGGTATGATTGAGATTTCTCTCTTTCACTCTGAGATGGCAGGCGGGATGTGATACGGTGAAGAGAAGTCGGTGAAGGGGGGATGTGAACGTACCAATTATAGAGAGGTGAACTGCCACAAACCGAAAGAGGTCCTGTGATGGAAAGAAGGAGGAAAGTGGAATTGGGGAAGCTTTTTGACTTAAGGAAATCTCTGGTGGGTTTCCACGATGATCCAGGAACTTCCACCACCCCCGGTCGGTCAGGCAACTCTTAGTTCTAGATTCTTCTGGCCTAGCTTTGTTTTATTCTGTTATACGTCTCATTAATATTATATTTTTGTTTTTTTCTATCATTTCCCCCTTTCTTTACCCCGAGCATTGATTGACTAGGAGATTCTACGATAATCTACGAGCATCGATGTCCCGCATTTGAGGGGAGCTTGGGGCGCCTCAGGCATCCATCCAGAACCTTCTTATAACGTTTCCGTATAGGACCCTACGTACTACAGCAAAAGTAGAGAGCACCGTAATGGATCTGATCGTCGTAGAATCTACTAGATTCCTATATTGCATACTCCATATCCTGCAATCCCTCTTTTTTTTCTTCATTTACATCTTCCACCATGGTCCCCCCTAGAGCAAAAGATACACGAATGAACCGGGAATAAAAAATATAGGGCAAAACAAAGGAGAATGGGACCATATGGTGCAACACTTCAAAATCCGGGAGCTTGCTATGCGAGATAAAATATGCGAGAATAGGTCTTGTCACAAAACAAGAGGAAATATAGGGCAAGAATTGTCCAGTCAAAATGGCCATGAGACAACCCAGACCGAGAAGGAAAAGATAAAAAAAGAAATAGAAATCCAGTAACCAACATAAGGCAAAACACAAAACCACAATGCCCAGAGGGAAGGAAAGAGACACAACTTTTCCAGCCAACCCGGACCCAACCGCTAATATGCACTGTGACAGGAAAGAAAGGGGAAGGGGAAGGGACGTCACATAACACATGTCATTAGGAAAAGAGGGATACCCAAGAGTCAAAGAAAATCAAAATCGGAGTAATACAGATCCTGAAAAAAAGCATCCAGGGGATGTAGACTTACGCAGCCTGGGTCTGGCTGCGGCCCTTGTTGGCGGCCACGTTGCCACCACGACCACGGGGAGCAAAGCCACCGCGGCCCTCACGCTGGAAACCACCACGACCCTGGCTGCCAGCACGATCACCACGGCCACGAGCGCCACCACGGCCGGTGAAGCCGTTGCCACCAAAGGCGTTGCCACGAGGACGGCGCTCTTCAACGATGATCTGCTCGCCGTTGACTTGGTGGGGGTTGGCAGCCACAGCAGCAGCGTAGGCGGAGGGCTCAGCAAACTCAACGAAAGCGCAGTTCTAGTAAGAAGATATATGTGTTAGTCAAACATTACCCAAATAAGCATGTCAGGCAGATGGACAATGAACGGACCTTGGGACGGTTGATATCGAAGAACTTGAGCTTGCCAAAGCGGGAGAGAGTTTGCTTGAGCAGAGCGAAGTCGACCTTCTCGGTGACATTCTTCATGTAACCCAGGACGATCTGCTCCTCGGCACGAGATTGAGTCTTCTTGTGCTCGGCACCGGCGGTTTGCCAACCAGCGGCATCGGTGGAAGGAGCATCCTGGGAGCGAGCCTCGGCTGTGGCGGCCGTGGGGGTAGCAGCAGCGGCGGGTTGAGGGGCACTGGCAGCAGGAACAGCGGGGGCAGCCTTGGGAGCAGCAGCGGGGATAGCGGGAACAACGGGAGCGGCGCCTAGCTTGGTGGAAGAGGCGATGCTGGCCCAGCTTTTAGGGACTGCAGGAGTAGGAGCAGACTCCTTCTCGGCAGGTGCTTCCTTCTGCACAGGGGCAGGAGAGGGCTCGGGAGTGGCGGGCTTCTCATCATCCACAACCTCAGCCTCAACTGCGGGAATAGGAGTCTCCTTAATTTCCTCCTCAGCAGGGGTGCCATTAGTCTGGGGAGTAACGTCCTCAGGCTGCTCGACCACACCATTGGTCTCATTCTCAAGCTTCTCGTCAACCTTGGAGGCAGCGGCCTCGTCAGTCACCTGGGCCTCAGGGGTAGCAACGGGCTCAGGGACCTCGGTGGCCTCAGCGGGAGCAGCGATTTCTTCCACCAACTCCTCCTCTTCCACCAGGTACCGGAAAATATCATTGAGGACATAGTAGCCGCTGGGCTGCTCCGCAAGAACAAAGGTCTGCGCGAATTTGCGAGACGGCTCGGACTTGTTGGAGATCTCACCAATGACCGCAACCAGGATGTTGTCAAAAGATGCCTGAGAGTCGACGTTCAGGACGCGCACCTTGCAATCCTGGAAGTCGAGCTGCTTAATCTTCTCATTGATAGCCTAATAGAATAAAATGTCAATATGAGACTGTTTTGCGAGAGAATGTGATAAAGTCCAAAGCGCGCACCTTAGTACCGATGGCAACGGGGACCGACTCGGCCTCGGTGCCAAAGACAAGCTGAGACCGCCGGGAGTAGAACAGGGGCAGCTTGTCGGGGTTACGGCTCATAGTGGTGTAGTACTGCTCGACGAAGAACCAGCCCACCTCGTCCTTGGTGATCTCATTCTTCTGTTCGGTGGGAGTGGCGGTAGTAGGAGTAGAAGACTGAGCGGGCTGGAAGTTGGCCGCAGTGTTCATGGTAGGGTGGGCAGGGTTGAATGCCTCCGGGTACGCGTGCTGAGCAGGGTAATTGCCGTTAACAGGGACCTGGTTCATGTCGGCCATGATGCTGGAGGGGCTTGGGTCTTCGGAAATTGAAGTGAAAACAGGATCGAAAATTATAGAAGTGACCGAGTGAGTTCAAGGTGTATCGATAAGCACCCAAGAAAGACGTTGGATGAGCCTCTGCAACAAATCAAGCTGTGTGAGATCTAAATGAACCTTTTTTGCCGCTCGCTTCACTAAGACATGGTCAATTCCGATATCTCCCACATTGCTTTGGCCTCGGCTCCCGGGTGACTCACAAATGCGATAAAGGACGAGGTGCCAATGCAATCAATTGGATGATGATAGTGAATGCAAGCAGAAAGCCGAAAAAAGAAAATGGGGAATCCTCGATTGAGATGCGGAGTGTTCGGGGAAGTATAGCTGTGATGGGAATCCACGGAAAAGATTCTGCGAAGGGTGGGCGCGGGAGAGATGACCGAGAGAAAATGAGGAGAAAAGACGTGGGGATAAGATCGTGTATACACGGAGAATGGAGGAGAGGATATGGGGGAGCAAACAAGGATGAGATGAAGTTCTGAGAGGGGGAAATTCGCCTTCGAAGAAAAAGCGACTTCCTCGATTGCGACTCCGTGCGGGTTTCGGTGGGCTTGGCACACATTTACCGCCCGGCAGAACACAGTCTAATCTATAGAAGTCAAGACTCAGAGAGAATGATCCAGTGACGAGATAATCCCAGAGAAAAAATGACCTCAGTAAGCTTTTTTTTGATCGAAAGCTTTCTTCCAAGTTTTTGCTTTCCTAGACCCGACTCGATGTTCATGCTGTTATCATCTATCATGTCGACTTGCGCATACGCCATATTCCATTAGCATAGAGCGGTAACTCGGTAATTAGTGAAGACGGAATTGTTCGATCCTTTGGTATTTTTCATGTGTTTATATAGGCGAAGAAGTGTTTCCGACGGAATTTGTGGAAAAGAGTCATAAATCAAGTCCAAGGAACATATACTATGAAAGAAGGTTATACAAGTATCATTCATATCAACGCCATGGAAGCCGAGAAAGAAGGAAGGGGGTATGAGAAAAGACATGAGAGCGAAGCAATCCAAGAAAAAAGAAACAAAAGAATCAAAGAAAGAAGGGCAATTGTCACAGATGAAAGCGATCGGAGAGCCTCGGTCAAGAAGCGTATAAACGGGATGCTCAAGAAATAGAAAGACATCAGAAAATGAGCCCGAACCATTCAGAAATTGGTATCATCATTGCAAATGATCCGTAAATCTTGAATCCGGCATGCGGTTTAGGCAATGGTGTCTAGGCGGTGCTGCTCGCCGCAGCCTTCTCACTGAGCACAGGCTTGCGCATCACTGCATCCTGGCTGGTCATTCGTCGTCCGAGGGCGCGCTCCACCTTGGCCCCAAGAGCGAGCTTGTTCAAGTTGTCAGACTTCTCCTCAGTGGGCACAAAGCGTTGCGCCTGCAGGGGCTTGTTCTCCAGGCGCTCCAGGCCATCACCGAGGTGAGTGATGTCAGCGACTCGAGGGTCTCCACTGGGCAGACTTCCAATCGTGCGTTCGGAGGCGGCGAGCGAGGGGCTTCCGCTAATGGTAGAGAATCGCTTTGAGTTCCGGTTCTGGAGCAGACGTGTTAGAGGCATGTTGCGCTTATCAAAAGCTCTCATGGTGGGTGCCGGTGTGGCAAGGAAGGAGGGGTGTGTAAAGGGGGGGCCGGGGTAAAAGTTCCTACCGAGTTCGTCATGATGGGTCGCTCCGAGTCAAGAGACGTCTGGCGAGCCATTTCCGTAGATCAAAAAAGACGCTTTTGAAGGAGTTGTTAGGGTCGGGGATTTTGCGATGGTGAAATGGAGAGAAATACTGAGGAATAAATAGATTAGCATAGGCGATCTTGTTCGGGGTCGGGGCTCTCGCCCCCAAGGTCAACCCTTGCAAGGAATCGTATATTTATCACATACCGACGGGGCCGCAACTCTGGATTTGAAGGGGAATGGGGGGTCTGGAAGAAGAGAAAGTTCCAAGATGAAGGGCGGGACTGAAACCAATGCAGCCACGGAGGAACCCAGTTTCTGCTTGCGACCCAGACGACTCAGGAGGCGCCAAACGGCGTTGAGTGGGTCACAGACCGGCGGTGGGGGTATATGGGAAAATGAGCGGAGGGATCGACTTAGTGCACACTGCCAAAAGGCTACTGACGAACCTTTTTTTAGTCCAGGGAATAATACGACAAAAAGGGAGACGTCAGCAAAGGGGAACTCCGGCAGTAATAGAAATGATCCAACGATAGGGATGAGAAAGCGCAAAGAATCAGGATGAGTTTACCTCTACATGACTTATCCTTTCAGACTAAAATCCCCTAGTGGAACTTTGCCACGTGCGGATCAGCCAGGATGATTTTAGAATCGATTTTTGTGGTTTTGGTGTTTTTTTTCGTTTTTTCTTTTCTTTTTTCTTTGTTCAATACCATTGTACTTGGTCCCGGTAGAGCTCTAGATCCATCACACCGGTGCCAGTACCCCGTTCCATGATGATGGACATGCAAGCCAGTGACATAATACGTATCTCAGAAGTACTATCTTTTGAAATGCGAACTTCCTCATGACCCAAATCGCCCGTACGTCCGAGGTTGTATGTGAAAAGGAGAATAGTTCCCGAAGTCTTGGCACCGCAAAAGCTCGCAGCTCCACTTACTTCATTCGCCCGAAACTTGTCCAAAACCCCTCCATTGATTGTGTAGGTTCACAACGCTACAAGATGGGTAAACCCAAGGCCTTGATCAAGGATTTTAAACCCAAGAAAAAAGCCGCTAAGCAACAGGTATATCAAACATCCCCTACATCTTACTGTAGGCAGGGGAAACAAGACACTAAGCAAATTAAGTATAGGCACCAGTCACAGCTGATGATTTTCTTGCTGGTGAGGATCAACCATGATCGGCCCATTGGCCCGGATTACGCTAATCTATACCCATAGCCGGCGTTGAATTAGAAGAGGCAGGCGAGAAGTGGCGGGCTGGTGATGCCGCCAAATCTATGCGCTTCTTCATGCGCGCCATTTCCAACTACGACGAAGGTCTGCAAAAATACCCAGTGGCATTTGACTTGGCCTACAACAAGTATGTGAACACCAACACAGTCCATCATTTAAGCGAAGCTTTCAAAGTCCATGACATAATGTATTCTCCATTGCTAATTCTAGTATAGAGCTCGTGTGCAATATGAAATCACCCAGCACCCCAAGCTGGCTGCACAGCTTCCCGCACCACAAGCAGAAATCCTGCAAGTTGCCCTGCAGTCTCATCGCGATGCACTAAAGCTAGACCAGGACAATCCAGATGTCCTTTTCAATAGCGGACAGGTGCTAACTAGTCTGGCAGAGATCCTGTCAGACTCTAAGCATCCTGGGGAAGAGCAACTGATGCAGGCCAGCACCTATTTGCAGGAGGCGATCGAGCTATTCCAGCGTTGTCTCGTGTTGCAGGAGATGAAATTCACCGAGATGCAAGAGCAAATCGAAGAAATGCAATCAGTCGACCCGGAGATTCAAGTTCCAGAGCCAGCATCGCAGCCAGGGCAGCCGCAGCTCGGCCAAGCAGAGTCAAACGATGATCCACAAGAGCAGTGGGCCGCGATTGTCGAACCGGTCACCAAGAACACGCTGGTTGACACAGCGGTTGCACAGATCAATACCCTGACCACTCTCTGCAATCTGTTGACATTCAATCCCGATGCCGGTGGCGTGGGTTGGGTGCAAGAATATTCTTCGGGGCTGATCCAAACCCGACTTCCAGCTTATGTGGACGGCTCAGATAGGCAATATGAGGCGGGACTAGCGCGCGGCAAGTTCATCTGTGCGTTACACGAGGTACTGTATCGAGGTGGGCATACCGATGTCCAGACCTACCGACAAGAAGTTGGACAGGCCTTTGGGCCGGATTTGGATGTGTCAGAGGATCCGGAAGGGCTCTGTAGCAAAGCCGAGGCGTTGACATCGATGAATGGAGCCTTTGCCGATGTGCCTCCTTACGAACCCGAAGATCTCAAGAACTCTCTCAGTATTCGCTGGCAATCGCTATCAGTCGCCCTGGATGCGTTGACGGCGGCATCTAAATTGCCCAGTGCCGAAAATCTGCCCAAGATCCATCTCGCTAGAGGAGATGTCGAAATGCACCGCTGGCGCCTCGGAACAGAACCGTGGAACCATGCAATTTCCCAGCAGAATGGGGCCATGCTCGTGCGAAACGCCCAGACCTATTATCGAGGAGCAGCCGCCCTGGCTCGTCGAGATGGAGCAGTGGAAGAAGAGCGTGACGGGTCGTACAAGGAGGCAATCGCAGCTGCACTGGAAGGTGACAAGAGCAAGCTGGACCAGCTTAAAGCGGGAGGTCTGGAGAAATTGATTGGCGTAGCCCAAGACATGGTGGAAGATGGTTTGGTTGAGGGAACCGTGTTGAGTGCCCTGATCTCATGAACCCCAAAAGTATTGAATAAAAAAAAATTCCCATGAGGTTTTTATTCTTAGACGGTTGGTTGGGGGTTGATTTCCTCGTCCATTTGAATCGCATCTTGGCGAATATGGTGCTCCTGACTGAACTGTATGGCTGCCGTCGCAGCACCTTCGACGTCGGTAACAACCGATTCAAGATGAGAAAGAAGTTTTTCAATTTCCAATCTCTGTGCCTGTACAGTTTGCGACAATTCTGCATTTTGAGCGTGTGTAGCCTCAAGTTTATCATTCAGGATAGCTTGCGCTTCCTGAAGATAAGGCGTCAAATGTGCTTTATAGAGATCTTCAGCTCCGAGTGTGTGAGGCCTATATTGGATCGGAATGTCAGTATCGGTGTAGTAGCCTCCACAAGACCGAAGAAAAACATACGCATTGCCTAGTTGTGGTCCATCTCCGCTCTCTCCTTCATTCTCCTTCCTGATCCTGGCCTCTGCGACCAACTGATCCAACTCATTGATATGCTTCACCGCTTCCCTTTCAGCTATAATCTCTTCGAATTCCGCCTTGGCACCCTCCTCGAGCTTTGCGTTCAGTTGCCTCCACACGCTTTCCAGGCTAGCGGGAACATGTCGGGCAGGCGTGGGGAAACAGCTCGCAAAGTTGGAATACGAGTTCGCGCGAAGGGTACGTGCTAGAGCCTGGTCAAATACCTGGACCAGTCGCGAAGCGCGAGGTCCAGGGATTTGCGACTCTGGGGCGGGTGGGGGAGCGGAGGCCGATGCTGCAGGCGGCTGCAGCTGCGTTGAATTGGAGTTTGACTCTGCCATGGTGTCCGTAGCAGGTTCGTAGACTTAAATTGGCTCGAAATGTATGCGTAAATACGAATGTGGCTTTAGGAGACCGTTGTTTGGTGAGGAATTTGGGCTAGATTTGAGGATACTTCCAGCGCGACGCGACAGGTCACGTGTGACCCACCAATTATACCTTATCATGTACTTACTATGTCAATGAACATTTCGACAAAATTAATGCTTCTATTTAAGTGACCTTAATCTTCCTTATTGGAATAGACACCTGAATGCGCGTCAGAAAGTCCATGGAACTAAATTGATTATAACTCCCGTTCCTATCCGGGCAATTATGGAGTCCGTTGAGGCATAAAGATTCCATATCCTAGGACTTGGAGAATCTGTGTATCATCGTCTTATGACGTAAATCTACCCAGAGAGCTTTAAACGCAGGCCAAGAAATCGAGACATAAATGAGACTGTTCCAGAATCCCTGTAGTGGGAGAACAAAGCTAGAGGCGTAATTCAGACCGAAAGAGAAATCGTCCGGACGAGCAAGAGCGTATACTCTGTTGGCAGTGGAGGGAACCTGAAATGTGTGAGCTAGTAATCTCTGCTGGACACGTTAAAAGGTTATAAATATTACCCAAGTCACAAGCAAAGCAATGAAAAATAACATTGCATACTTGGTATACGCCCAAGCTGCAGAATTATTCTCTGAGCTAGTCCGTCTATGAGAATTATAGTCAGCCCCTTCGGAGCGCATTGCCTTGAGAGGGATCTCTGCTCGACGGTTACTGGGTTGAGGCCGTGGGCTAGATTGTTGGGGCTGGGAAAATGCCATAGGCTCGAAAGGGCCACCTTCAATTGTCACCGAGTATGGACTAAATGGTGAAACTGGAAGATCACTGGCTGCCCTGGCATCGCTTGTCGACATATACCGGCACTCCGGTAAAGAGTAGGCAATCTCGTGGGTGACCTGAATACCCGCGCATTTAATGGGGGGTATTGCGGAATTGCCTTCAGAATCAAATGATTCGATGGCCCCGAGGACTCGGAGTTGACGACGCTTCTGGTATATCACTGACCCAGCTCGAAGATAAATGGCGAATGTTAAGGATATGACAAACCAGACAGGTCCGTAGAAGACAGCGATTCGAAGATAATCCCACGGTAAAGCTACCCAGCACCATAACTACAGACAAGATAAGCACGCCTGAAGGAAAATTCATGAAACGGTAGATAAGGTCACTTACAATGGCAGAGCCATATACATGACCTCGGGCTTGCGTCTTGACAAAAAAGTACACGAATGAAGGAATAAAGGGAAGACCATAGCAGCAGAGGACATACTTCCATTCCAATCGACGTAGCTGCTCTGAGTTGTACTTGTGGAAAAATGTCAAGTATACATTGCAAGCCATGGCCAAGGTCCACAAGGCATCTGCTGGCATGAACCTAGAGAATGTCAGAAAACTAGGTCAATTATCTGGCAGACCGAAGCTCACCATTGAATCAGAAAAGCCTGGAACTGGCATAAAGAGCCCTCAACGCCAGCATGAATACCGTCTTGTGAGATCAGTGTCGCAATATTGGCCATGATATTGCCCCAGGAAGCGTAGAATACCAACCGGTTGATTGGTTTTCGGAACGAGCATGATCCAATAAAGGTCGTGACGATGACAAAGGTTCCAATGAGGGAGAAGACAGAGCAGACACGCTCTGTGACCGATATAGCGGACAATTGTTGTTCAGACGGCGACAATGTCATGGTCTATGACATCCACGGATTGAAGAGGGTTCTGGTAACAGGAGAATGGAATCGTTTGGTTTATTCCCCGCAAGAACAGTATGGCCCAAAGGAGTTGATGTGGATGTCCTACCCAAGTGGGGACTTATTGCAGGGATTCTTGGTCTTGACACTTATTGGAGAGACATACCTAAGTAGATTTCTTGGGGGCCTAGCGTCCTTGTAAGGGTCTTCTGCATATCAAATGAGAAAAAATATAAACTCAAACTGTGAGACCAGTCCGATTCACATATTGTCGTCTTGATTCCAGCTTCAGAGGAAAGTTGCCAGTCATTATTGGCATATGGCATTATACTGTTGTGTATCCAGGTAGGGTCAGACGGTTCCTGGTTTTAGAGTAGGGCTTTATCTAAGATCTCCTAGACAATAGTTTCTTCCATGCTGGTAACCTAGTGAACGGATGCTTGAGCTCCCTTTTGTGGGATAAAACGCGGCATTTGTGTGCTATAAATAGGAAAGAAGGTTTCGAGGCTGGTTACTATTCGGGCTTTTGGTTATGTGCTCATTATAGCATGAGTGTTGTGGCAGGGAATGTGCCGTATCAATCTGGTCTTCGTCCAACCTTAAGCCGAGACATCTAGAACCACACAAATCGCAACCTGCTAGGTATACAGACTTAGAAAATATCATCGGTCTGTGGTAACCCGAGGAAATTTTATGATTCGAAGAAGGTTTAAAGTCGTGACAAGTCACCGGGGCTAAGGGCTGTACCAGGGACATCTCGGAAACATCTCTTCTTGGTTATAGCCGTGTGGCTTTGGTATAGAATTGGCCCGTGGAACCTGAGGATAGAAATGTCCGGGTGTAACATTATTCAATTCGGACCAGGATGATATAAAGCGGACTTCCGACGTTGGGTCTGTACACCATTAGCATTTGGTCGTCATTGCAGGGCCAAATCAAAACATCAATTTCCCGGGTTGGCAATGGCAAGAGGATCTTTAAATCGAGCTAGAAACGTTGATCCCATCCCCATTGCCGGATAAAGCACTGATTCGTATTTGGAACAGCTTCTGGCTCGTGGTTTGAGAGGAAAGGAGCGGATTTAACTCGAAGCCCAGGCCATGAAACAAAAGTCGCCCCAAATTAATCCTGTCTACTCCTGATTTATGGGTGAGGTAAGACGAGAAAAGCATGCTATCCTAGGAATTCTCTGTAAGAAGCCGGAGTGGGTGTTTGGTGATCAAAGTTCGTTTTAAGGCAGATATTTCGACGGACTATGCCGAGGGTGCCATTGCAAGAAATAATACACAGGAAAGCCCATGCAATTACAGACCATTCAATCCTTGTCTTTGGTATGATGGACAAGCAAAACGAAAATGGCACAAGAAAGAAAAAGAAAACAGTCAAAAATCCCAACACTGAGTACCTGGGTGCAACGCCGAGTCCCTTCCATTTCTGATCGTCTAAACCGAGCTCATTATCTCGTCATACGCAAATTTCAGCCCTTAGTAGGCAGGCTGAGGCGGGACCATGCCCCCATAACCAGACATCTGTTGTTGTTGCTGCTGTTGCTGCTGTTGCTGCTGTTGCTGGGCCTGAAGTTGAGTCAAATCATGAAACCACGGGTGCTGCAGCGCATCGCTGGCACTGATACGCATCTCTGGGCGCAGCTGAAGCATGCGGTTCAATAGATCCAATCCAAGTTGATCGATTTGCGGGAGGATCAAGCCCAAGTCCTGCGTGGCATAGATGTGGAAAGTGGGCTTGTACTCTGGCAATTGGGAGATGCCAGGCCATGACCGTTCAGATGGCGTTCCCATCAACCGGAAGATCTTCAGCAATTGATCCTCGTTAGTGGTGCCCGGGAAGAGTGGGCGGCCCGTGTACATCTCAGCCATGATGCAGCCGGCTGACCAGATGTCAATGCTGGTGTTGTAGGTGCGGCTGCCGAGCAGGACATCGGGTGCCCGGTACCACAACGTGACGACCTCATTTGAGAAGGTGTTGACAGGAATACCGAATGCGCGAGCCAAACCGAAATCTCCCAGCTTCAGCTGACCCTTCTTGTTAATCAGCAGGTTCTGTGGTTTCAAGTCTCGGTGGAGGACCCGATTCTCATGGCAGAACGCGATACCCTTCAGCAGCTGGTGCATGAAGGACTTGATAGTGACGGGGTCCAGCTGTCCCCGATCGCCCCGGGTGTCCATATATCTCTTGAGATCCCGGTCCATGAACTCAAAGACCAGCATGAGTTTGTTCTCCGTGTGAATGACATCGTAAAGCGACACAATGCTCTCGTGCTTCAGCTCCTTCATCAACGAGATTTCACGAATAGCGGTCGATGGGGTTCCTTCTTCCGAGTCGAGGTGGATTTCCTTCAGCGCAACCATCTCGCCCGTTTGGCGATTGCGCCCTTTGAAAACCTATGATCACCCTACATCAGCGACAAACTCAAGGTAGACGGGCGGAACGGTTTCTAAGCGTAGAGTATAGGGATGCGGATGTCACGGAAGAATCGGAACGTACAGTGGCATAAGTGCCTTCACCGAGCTGCCAGGATAAGTCAGTCAGGTTGGGGATTTCAAATGGAAGGGCGCGAACCTTTTCCAGCTGCTGGAAGGAGCTGGGTTGTTGGGATTTATCCATTCTGTATGGTTGTGATGAGACCGATGGTTTCAGGGGTTTAGAGAAGAGGAAAGAACGGGGGGAGACGAGTGTAGTCTTTAAAGGGTGGCCTGCAGAATCCCTGAGTCGCTCCATGCTGTGATGGGAAGGGACCCCGCGTTGGTGGGCCGCGAGTCAAACCGCCACGGCTTATGTACTCGGTTTCCACCCATGCGCTTTCACTTTGCACTTTGGCACTTTGGACTTTGGACTTGAATTTTGAGGTTGAGGTTTTTCTTGATAGTAATTTGGAATCCGATTAAGATAGAAAGCAAGGTTGCAATGTGTTTGATTCATTTTAGGTCAGCATTACAGTTGCGATGACTAGGGTTCTAGACTCTACGGGTGCCATGGGGCCCGAGAGTACTTTTAGCTACATTGTAATTCGGGGCAGTTCAGACACCACGGCTGGTAGAACCGACTGTGTAGGAAAACTGCACCGCACATGAGCACTTGAAGTGGCATCCAGGCTTTCAAACAGCATGGCCTCATTTCGGACCCCACCGACATTGATAATTCCAATGGGCATGCCTCGTTTGTAGGCCCGTTCTACTAAGCGCCACGCCGAGTAGGTCGCCAAGCTGCTCCCAAGAACCAGTATGCGCCCGGCATCATCGATAGCTTCCTCAGCAGCTGCTTTGACTGCTGGGTTGATATTCTCTCCGAACATAGTCACAGCAGGCTTTAAGATCCCAGCATTGGATGGCAGCATCCATGCACCGTCGTGCTCAACTTGGACATGGGCCCTCGTCCCATCTTTCAGGATCGGAGGGTCCTCTAAGCAGGTCGGACAGGACGGATATCGGAATGTAGAATAAGGCGCTTCCGCAAGATCTACATCGCCGTCTGGGTTCAGTTTCAAACCCTTGCGCCGTTGTTCGTCCGCATTGGTTGTATCAAGCGCACCCTGCTCAACCATGCGGGCCAGGAATTCGGCCCAAGCGGGGTTTAGCCTTTCCAAGGACGACTGAAAATCTGCTCGAGGGAATTGATTACGACAACTGGTACAGACGACCGATCGTAGGTATCCATGTAGTTCGAGCGTCGATAGCTCTGGATGGGCAAGCGAGTGGAAGGAATCGACGTTTTGTGTCACAACCGAGCTGATATATCCTTTGACAGCGAGGTCATGAATGGCCTGATGGGTTGAATTTGGCCGTGCCTTCACCAGACCTGGCCACCCCACGAAGCTTCGCGCCCAATACCGTTTGCGGGACTCATGATGGGACAGGAATTCATGGAAATAGATCGGTCGGTAGGATTGATTTCGTCGATAGGTGCCTTGATCCCCCCGATAGTCTGACAGGCCTGATGCGACCGAAATCCCAGCACCCGTCAGTAAGACCGTTTGGGCATTTCCTCCAACGTCAATGCCTCGCAAGCTCGACGACGGGGGGCGGTGAAGAACTCAGCGACGGCTTTAATAGCCCCGTCCACAGTCCTGGCAGACGGTGGAACTATTATGGCTGGCGGAAGTGGACCCGTAAAGGGAATGCGAATTGCAGGCGTCGTCATTGAGGACGCATCCTGAGGGATATAGTTCTTGGCAGAAAGTCCGGAGAGGAAAGGGACTCTGATTGCGTAACGGGCTTGGCTCCAAGCGGGTCACGGTACATGTAAGTTTGGGTTTTGTATCGGAGTTTCATCAGCTTAAACAAGCTTATGGAAAATATCAAGTCCGTAAGCCAATAATAACGACACAGATGATCAGCCTAAAAATAAGTTGAGGGGAACACTATAGAAAGAAACAAAAGGAAATTTAGGGGGGGGTACAACGCTAAGTAGTTGATCTTTGGCTGAAGAGATCATTGACAATGGCCATGAAGATAGAGGAATGGTAAAGTATGAGCACATCAGCTCATACTGGAACTCGGTATCTGCCGGATTACCTGATCTTCATCTCTTTCTCTTTACAACCACTCAACCATAGATCTAGAAGTTCTCGGTGGGCTATGGACCTTGAGACCCAGAAGAGAACACCCTGTCCCGATTGCCCGTGCTCGCGTGCCTCGAGCTAAAACGATGCCGCTGACACAGCCCCTGCGTTGCAGGCTTCGTCCTTCCCTCCACTCTCGAATCAAGCTCACCCGTGGCTCGGATCAGCGCCGGGTACTTACCTCCCTGCCTTCGCTCTTCAATTCTCTGAAATCTTTCCCCTCCTATGTTCGACGGTCTTCTGTAACACCACTCCCCATGACGCAAACCAGAAGCCACGCCGGTCACGGCCATGGTCACCACCACCACCATCACGACAATGTATATCTGACTTCTACGAACAAACATGACGCCGGTGTGCGCATTACCCGGATTGGCCTGGTCGCCAACCTCGCAATGGCTATTAGCAAATTTATTGGAGGCTACGTCTTTCACTCCCAGGCTCTGATCGCCGACGCCTACCACGCCCTCACCGACTTGGTCTCCGATTTCTTGACCCTGGGGACGGTCGCATGGTCCCTCAAACCCCCGAGCGAACAATTTCCCCACGGTTATGGAAAAGTGGAGAGCATCGGCGCCCTGGGCGTGAGCGGGCTGTTACTATGCGGTGGTGTGTTTATGGGTCTCAATGCAGGACAGGTCCTGCTGGCCCACTGTTACCCCGACATGGCAGAAACTCTCGCTCACATTGGAATTTTTGGACATGGACACGGGCATTCACACAGCCATGGTATTGAGGCAATGGGCCCTAGTATTCATGCAGCCTGGATAGCCGGCGGATCAATTGTCGTCAAGGAATGGCTTTACCGTGCAAGTAAGTACAAGTGCAGCCCGCGGTGTGGGGTATAATAAGCCACATAGATCGACTAACGTCGCACAGCCATGAAAGTAGCCGAGGAGCGCAAGTCGTCCGTGCTTGCGTCCAATGCCATCCACCACCGAATTGATTCTCTCACCAGTATTGTGGCCCTGGCTACGATTGGTGGAAGTTACGTTTTTCAAGACGCTACCTGGCTGGATCCGGTTGGTGGTCTTTTAATCTCCTTGATGGTCATTAAGGCCGGCTGGGGAAATACTATTACCGCCCTGTTGGAGCTGGCTGATACCACGGTGGATGACGAAATCAAAACTTCCGTGCAAACCGCTGCCACAAAGGCGCTGAAGAATATTGAAGACGGTGAGCAGGTGATTATCCGCGATATCCAGGGTATGAAGTCTGGTCAAAACTACTTGATGGATATTGAACTTGCCGTACCCGGGGCCTGGGCCATCACTCGTTCTAGAGTGGTGGAAGAAGCTGTCCGCCAAACGATCGGCTCAGGTGTTCGTGGGGTGAAACGAGTCAAAGTTCGTTTCATCCCAGTGGAGGAGCAGGAGCTGACATTCTCCGAGGAGTTTGTCTCCCAGGATTCCGGTGCAAACCCCGAGTTTGAAAACCATGACCATGCTTCCAGTAGCATCACCTCTGGGTCTCATGCTCATGAGGATCACACCTCCCACAAGAGGCGCTAGGTGAAGGTCGTCATATCAAACAGCATAATAAACGGGACTTTCAAGTCAGGTTCCGTTTAAAGTGGTAGTCAGCGCGGCTTTTATATCCCCGGACATAACAGATTTGTGGTCGAAATCTGTACTGTGTATAGTCCCAACCAATCATTGAAGATGGGAAATCAAATAAGTTAAAATAGCAAATTTTCATTCGTAATAAAAGCTCCTATTTGAGAACCTCGGAGTTTTGCTACACTATCTACCTAGGTAGGTAGTCAAAAGTATTTCCCCAGATCAGTTTCCGGGCCTACCCCATTAGTTCACTAAACAGTTCCACACATCACCATATCTTACGCAAATTCCATATAATTATGCATAGTTATAAATACCAATCTAACGCATAGAAATGTCACCTAAGTTCTATGAAAATCTACTCTAAACTTTCTAACCATTAGAAATTATCTCGTGACCCTTATACAATCACATCAATTTTTACGTCTAGTATTACTCACCATAATTTGGGTATATACCCCTGAAGGTACTATTAATTATATCTTCCTCTATAGATAATCTTTAGATACCATTCAATTAAACTCATTTTAATAATATATAGTTAATTTTAAGGGGGTTTAAAAGCTCAGTGAATGCCTCGTCGGGTCCTCCATATTTACATATAAACTTTCAAACCGCCTTGTTGTCACTCAAGCTACATGGATCTTCAAAGTATCTTCTCAAAATACTTCCCTATGGTCATGGATGAGAATAAGACTGTTTAGAAGCGAGCTCTCTTACTACTGAGTGGTATATGCCTTCCCAAAAGTTGGTTGCTGGGTTGACTCTACCGGACCCGCACTTGGGGAAATATTTACGGTCCCCATTGCAAAGTGTAGCGCGAAGAGCGGGATTTCAAAATAATCATCGCTTTGATGATTGGCATCGATGGGTGACCGGATGGTTTTCCGAAATGAGTCCCCCCAGCCATGTTCGAGGGTGACGTCTAATGGAGAATCTTGGAAACGAGGGATAAAGCAGTTCGATAGGCGATGATGAAACTCCCGGCCTGCTCGAGTGAAGGCTAATATGTCTCGCTTCAGCTGGAGGTGGTCTGGGACAAGTGTGAAGAAGCTTTTAAAGCAAGAGTCTGTTTTTCTGCTCAACTCAGCATTGCACAAATAACAAGTACGCCTACTGCTGTACTTATCTCCAGCGCTGGCAGATAATAAGGTTGCACGATATCTGAAATAGCCAGATACGCATCCAAGATAATCCATAGAATGTTCCTTTATTATGGAATTAGAAGGTATACTATTTAGAGTATAGCTGCACTGTAGTAATGTAGGTCATTTACTTCACTTTGTATATTTCTGACCTTCAATGAAGCTACAGAACGAATGAAAGCCATGTACATACAGGAAATAAAGCTGGATGGTTCGCTTTGGTAATTTCAAATCACTATACATTCACTACCATGATATGTAAACACTCGCTTTCGTAAGTAAGTACTATACTTGACTAGATACATTTATCCACCAATATTGGTACGAAAACGACCGTTGGAAGAGATAAGAAGTCGAGTAACTACTAAATCAGAGCATTTACTTGGTGTATTCATGACTATACCTCCACTTTATCCTCGAAATACGTAAACCCGTGCAATGCTCAATCCTCGTGCTCAAGTGCCCAGATGGGCTCGGGGATGACATAATGCGTCGACAAGGTTTCGCACCAAAAAGTTATGACTAAATTTCCTGTTTAGGCTACAGTGTGGGATTTAGCTGCAGAGATCAGAGTCCAGGAAAACATCAACCCTTTGTTTCATAATCAGATCCCCTTTTCTTTCAGTTTAAGTCGGTCAGTTAGCAGTTAGCGAGGGCGGAGCCAGGCACGGGAATCTGATTACCTTACCATGGAAGTGCTCCTCCACCGAAAACAATTTTGAACTCAACACACATCTACCCCCTCCGTGTCACTCCCCTTTCCACGTCTGAAAGGGAGTTTGGCTGGTCGAAGATGGCTGAACAGGTTAGTCTGCTGCTCCATACTGGGTCCTTCGAGCCCAAGGGGTTCACCCAAAAAAAATACGATAACCCCTCCCCCACTGCCCCAAGTCAGCCCCTCCACGAGGGGTCACCAGATCAACATGAAGCATTGACACATACGCTCTTTCAGGTAGCAAATGCTATTCAGATCGCCTGGGACCCGGCCTCCGACCAAACTCTCAAAGCGCAGGCTTTCGACTACATCAACCAACTGCGCTCCGATCCCTCCGGATGGCAGGTCTGCCTTGGCCTCTTCACCGAAACCCCACAACAGCCTGAAATTGTACGACATGTGAGCTTGGAAGTTGTCAATAGTGCGGCACAGGCTGGATTAATTGATTTTGCATCTCTGGGCATTGTGCGGAATAGCTTGTTGGCCTACCTGCGGCAGGTTTACGGGCCCGAAGGGACCGCCACGCCCGACGCCCCCTACATCCAGAACAAAATTGCGCAGACCGTAACCTATCTCTTTTCCGCTCTATATGGCAATGGCTGGGAATCCTGCATCGAGGACCTTCTGAGCCTTACCTATAAATCTTCGGCTAGCACGACTCGGGACAACCCGCTCGGAATAATTTTCTATCTGCGTGTGGTGAACTCAATTCACGAAGAGATTGGTGATGTGCTGGTCTCTCGGTCTCGTGGAGAGCAGGATAAGGCCAACTCACTGAAGGATCTGATCCGTGAGCGGGATATGCAGAGAATTGCGAATTCCTGGCAGGAGATCCTTTCAGAATGGCGCGATGGGGACGATACCGTCGTGGAGGCTTGCTTGAAGGCGGTTGGAAGCTGGGTCAGCTGGATTGATATTGGTCTGGTGGTAAATCAGCCCATGCTGGATCTACTTTTCCAGCAGCTTGGACGGGCCGAGAAGCAAGAGCTGCGAGAGGGTGAACAGCGAGTTCGTGATGCAGCTGTGGATGTCTTCACGGAGATCATTGGCAAGAAGATGAAGCCCGCCGATAAAATTGAAATGATTGTCTTCCTGAATCTAAACTCGATTGTCACTCAGCTCTCCAACAGCCCGCCCCTACGTGAAAGTCGATTCACCTCCAAATATGACACCGATTTGGCAGAAACAATTGCCAAACTTGTCAACATCACCGTCATGGATATTGTGCGGGTTTTGGAAACTGATACGGGCCCAGTGAAGGATCAGGCGGACGATCTTCTGCAGGTCTTCCTGCCGCACGTCTTGCGTTACTTTTCGGATGAATACGACGAAGTCTGCTCGACCGTGATTCCCTGCGTCAACGACCTACTCACCTACTTCCGCAAGGTGTCCAAAACTAACCCAAGCTTCGAAGAACGCAACAAGGCTATCCTTCTCCCAGTCCTGAAGGCAATCATTGCCAAGATGCGCTACGATGAGACTTCCAACTGGGGGGATGAAGACGAGCAGACAGACGAAGCTGAGTTCCAGGAATTGCGCAAGAGACTCGGCGTTTTACAGCAGATCGTAGCTTCTGCGGACGAACAGCTATTCATCGACGCCATCTCAGAGCTGGTGGGCACGACATTTGAGAACCTGCGAGTATCTGGAGGCCAGATTGATTGGCGTGATCTGGATTTGGCTCTGCATGAGATGTTCTTGTTTGGTGATCTGGCCGTCACTCGCGGTGGTATCTACCAGAAAAACCAACCCGCTGGCCCCGCTGCAGTTCGTCTCATTGAGATGATGCTCCGAATGGTAGAATCTGGTAGGCTCTTCTCTCTGCGGCCCATTACCAAAAAATTCAAGCTCACGTACAATAGATATTCGATCGTTCACCCACCCTGCCACGCAACTTCAGTATATGGAGATTTGCGTGCGTTATAGCGCCATTTTCCAACACCACACACACCTCATTCCCGGGGTTTTGGAAAGTTTCCTCCAGCTCGTCCACCACCCAGTCCGAAGGGTGAAGACTCGATCGTGGTACCTTTTCCAGCGTCTTGTGAAGCAGCTCAGAACCTACATTGGCAATGTGGCCCAGACCATGGTGGAGGCCCTTGGTGATTTGTTGGTCATTCAAGCTGAGCTTCCATCCGAAGGAGATGACGGGGATGAGATGGCTTCTGAGGACCATGAAGGATCCGCAGATGCAGTTTTTACCAGCCAGCTGTATCTCTTCGAGGCCGTTGGTATCATATGCTCTACTCATGGAGTTCCGGCCGATCAACAAGTCGTCTACGCCCAGTCGGTGCTAACCCCGATCTTTGCGGACATGGAGCGGAATCTTGAAGCAGCTAAGTCTAACGATGAGCGAGCTTTGCTGCAGATTCACCACGACATCATGGCTCTAGGAACTCTTGCCCGTGGGTTCTCAGACTGGATGCCCGGCACAAGCACCCCGTCCAACCTGCCGGCACCGGAGGTCTCGGAAGCTTTCTGTCAGGTGGCAGAAGCGACTCTGGTTTCCCTCGAGTCTCTCAAAACCTCTTTCAATATTCGCACTGCTGCTAGATTTGCCTTTTCGCGTCTTATTGGCGTCCTGGGAGCCCGTATTCTCCCTCAACTGCCGCGATGGATTGATGGGCTTTTGACTCAGACCTCATCAAGAGACGAAATGGCTCTGTTCCTGCGTCTTCTCGACCAGGTCATTTTCGGCTTCAAGGGCGAAATCTTTAGCATCCTGGACACCCTCTTGACCCCCTTCTTGCAGCGAGTATTCTCTGGCATCGCGGATCCCACGACAGGAACCGATGACGAAATTCAACTTGCTGAACTCAAGCGTGAATATTTGAACTTCCTGCTCGCCGTTTTCAACAATGATCTTGGGGCTGTCATCATTAGTGAGAGTAAGTTATTCCTACGGGCTTCATTTAGTTCTATACTGACTTGAGAAGGAAACCAACCCATGTTTGAAACTGTCATCACCACCATCGAGCACTTCGCCAAAGATATCGAGGACTTTACCACTGCCAAAATGGCATTTTCCGTCCTCCACAAAATGGGCAGCTCCTGGGGAGGACCCGACGTCGCCCTAGGCGCCACCAATGGAACCACGCCGAACCAGACAACATTGCCTGGATTTGGCGGGTTTATGATCTCGCGATTCTCACCTTTATGCTGGGCGCTCCCAATGACCCCTTCCTTCAACTCCAAAGATGCCCAGGCCAAGCAGGTCCTTGCCGAGGCAGGCGGACTCCAGCGCACGATCTACCTGAAGACAGGTGTGGAGTATCTGGAGTATCTACGGAACCAAGAACTGCCGGGCATGGGCATGGGAGGGGATCTTATTGAAGAGTTTTTGACGGCCTTGAGCCAGCCGGATGCAAAGGGATTCCGGCACTTCTTCCCGGTATTTGAATCTTTTTCCTTTGGTAGTTCTTTCCGATCACGCATACTGACTTTGCATGTAGTCATTCATCCAGCGATTGAGCGCATGAGAATCTCTTCGACGACCCTTTCATTTTGATTCTGCTTTTTAGATTCCCCCATCCCATATTTCCCTTTTGACGGAGACGAGGTGATGTCAGTCCTTGTCCCGACTATTGATGTGATTTCTGTCGCCCAGTCGAACATGTCATCTATATCCATTTCCCTTGCCTCCCAGCCTCCTTCATGGATACCATATTATGCATTACACATCAATCATAAACCAAAAAACCCCCATCGATTGGATAAACCTCAGGAAACGAGTGGAAAAAAGCGTTCATGCTCGAGTACATAGTGATTGTTACCTTTCCATTCTGCATTCGCAGCGCATCGTGGACGTTCTTTCGTCTCACTTGGAACACCTGTTATTCTCCATTTCTTTCAAAGGAAGGTGAGAAAGATTACACATCTTACTGAAGTTGAGTCGGTAGGCTTGGTATACTGGTGAACAGAACTAGGTAGACAACGAATACACTGGTCTTCTTCTATACCCGGCAACATGTTGATCTAGGAAGTATACCCCAACTAGAGTAAGTCCAGAAGGTTCAGAAGAAAATTTGAGTCGAAACGTAGTAGACATTCTTTTAGGCCACCAAACCCCTTCCCATTCATTATTAGGTATCCCATTCGGAGCGTTCAATCATATCACAGAGTGGCCTTCACTGCGTCCCGTCGGTCACTTGAGCAAAGAAATCACCCGAATCAGAAACCGTTTCCACGCTATACTTTGCTTCATAACCCCCATCGATAAAGACTTAAAAAGAAAGAAGGACAAACACACTATGCAAGATACTTCGCCGCATGTTCAACGTGATCATCGGCAAAGGACGCCATCGTGTAGTACGAGTGGTCATAGTCGGGCTGGTAGCGGATGTTCAATCCGCTCACCCCGGCCTCTTTGGCGGCGGCTTCGAAGTTCTCGGGGAGGAGTTGACCCTGCTTGTAGAAGTTGTCGCCAGTGCCCTAGCGTTGTAGTCAATTAGTATGGACCGAGGCATACGTATATCTGCAGCAGATATAAGGGGGGGAAAGAAGAGTTGAACTTACCACGTCAATCAGGATATCGAGAGGACCACCAGCCCACTTCTTAATCAGCTCAGTAGCATCATGCTCCTTCCACTTCGCCTGGTCATCGCCAAAGTAGCCCTTGAAGGCCTTCTGGCCCCAGGGACAGTTGATCGGGTTGGCAATAGGAGCGAAAGCTGAAACGGACTTATACTTGCCGGGGTTGCGGAGGAACTATGCAAGTTAGCGAATGGCCAAAGTAGGAAATAGAGAGACTCACCAAAGTGAGAGCACCGTGTCCACCCATGCTGTGACCAGTAATGCTGACACGGCTAGAGTCTAGCTGCGGGAAAGCAGCAAAGACGGTTTGAGGCAGCTCCTCGGTGACGTAGCTGTACATGTTATAACCCTGGTCGTAGGGGGCCTTTATAGCATCGACGTAGAAGCCAGCACCGGAGCCAAAGTCGTAAGCGTCGTTCTCGCCTTCAATGTTAAGACCGCCTACATATCACCCGAATTAATACATTTCGCTCTCTCTTGAATGCATTTCTTTTGTCTCGCGCAATGACTTGGATAGGTAGGAACGTACGAGGGCTGGTATCAGGGTAAAGCACGGCAATTCCCTTCTTGCTAGCACCATGCTGGAAGAAGCCCTTCTCTGAGCAGTTGTCGGCCGTGCAGGTCAGACCGGATAGATAGATCAATACGGGGACCATCTGGGTCTGAGCTTGTGGGGGCAAGTAAAGATTGAAGTTCATCTCGCAGCGGGTGGTAGTGGCATTGTGGCTAAGCTTGAGCAGCTTGCCGCCGAAGGAGGCGATGGTGGCTTTGGTGGTGACAGACATGGTTTGAGTGACAGGATCGAAAATCTGGAATCGGGAAGTTCGCGGGAAGATAAGTTGACGTTTTGCGCGGGGTCTTTGGGTCCCGCATGAGGGGAAAGCTCCACCTCTCGGTTAGGGAATGAATCGTGCCGCTTTTGTGTTGCTATACTGCTGTACTGCTGCCGGTCTCTATTGCTCTGGAGAGCCCCTTGGCTGATTTCGAAATGGCCGCCTATCAGACACCAAGTCGAAGCTTGGAAAGTTTCTTGTATGCATATTCTAGCTCACGTCACTCGTGATGCAGGTTAAAGCAGCAACAGGCTATGTATGCATTAGGGAAAAAGGTCCAGAGAAGCGCCATCGAAGTAAAAAAGAAACGAATCCGAACGCTGCCCACAGTGGAGAACCCGTATCTATGTACAGACAAAAAAAGAAAAGAAAAAGGTGATATGCACAGCCTAAAAACCCACTAACAAAAGATCTCCTAGTCAATCATCCCAAAAACACCGGAACTCCATACACCACGGGTGCTGCCCCGTTCAGGTATTTCAAGACACATGATCCCCGTGCTCCTGCAATTGCCGTGTCTAGGCCAACATCACTTTGGGCAGGTGACTTTCCCTGCTCAAACAACCCCCATGTATCGAAAGTCGACGATGCGAAACGATCAATGTCCCTATCGGTGACATCCCACAGGGTAGCCACGAGCGCAGGACTGCCCGCATGGAGGTAATTCATCGGTGTACCATAGGGCTCATACTCGCCCGCCTCGGTAAGTGTGCCGCTGCTGCAACCCATGAGGAAGGCAACGGCGCACTTGGATAGTCGCTTGATGGTACGTCCACGGATGTACTGGGCACCACTGCCATGGCCAAAGTACAAGAAGAGATCCTTAGACTCTAGACAGTCACGGAATTCCTCCTCCGATGGTTCACGATTGACCACACCAGTCCAAGACTTCAGTCCCGCCAGATCCCCTTCAAAGGTTGTTTGAGTGGTACGAAGATCGCCTGTCGGGTTAAGAAGGAAAGCGCCCGACGTACGATCCAGGACTGCACCAGATCGATTTTCACGGAATTGAAGCACACGCTCACGAAGACACTCCAAAGATGAAACTCGACAGACAGGGTATCCTTGAAGACATGGTAGAGACTCCCATGGGAACAGGTGCAGAGCCTTGTCTAGCACGAGCACTGTGTGGTTCGGCGGGGTCAACGCAAGCTCTTCTCGCGCGGCTTCATGGTATCCTCGCAGGGCATCGAGGGTGTCAACAACCATCATGTCGAAGTCGATCTCGTCATAAGCATTCCGTTCGCCCTGGAATTGCAAGATATCTACCACAAAGTAGAGAAGATCCATCAACGTATCCTCGGGCTCCTCCGACTGTTCGAGGTCTCGAAGCCCAATGAACAGTTCCAGAACGTTTTGGTGAAGAGTCAGGCGAGGCGAAGAAGCCTTCGTGCCCTTATGGCGAGAGGGAAGATGCTTGTCCAGGATTCCTTGGAATGCACTGGCAAAGCGAGACAACGCGGTGGTATCTCGTGCAAGCGGCGAAAAGACGCCCCGGAAGCCTCCAAACCACAGGTTTTCGATATTTTGAAGAAGGCTTTCTAACCGACGATCCAGTGTTTCTCGAGTCGTCCACCATTCTTTCTTCATCTTCTTGTCAATCTGAGCCTTGGCAGCATGTGCACTCTCGTTGGCCAGCTTGATCACTTTCTGCATCTCTTCCTTCCCATCTTCAAAGGTGAACTGCTCTTCTTCATCATCATCGACGTTGCCTCGCCGGAGAGGTAAACGAAGCAGGAAAGGAGAACAATTCTTCTGCAGCCGGGAGACCACAAACTCAGTCCCGTCAGCACTCAGAGACAGAGACAGAACATTCCAGTTTTCCGGCAGAATATCAACATAAAGCTCAGTGAAGCTTGAGCAGATTTCTTCTTCAATCCCGGCAACTGGAGATGAAGAAGTCGGCCACAGGAGTGGATCAGCAAGGTCTGACAATTGTCGATCAAACTTAATAGCCATCCGCTCACGAGCGAATGCACCGACACGCCCAATTTCTAGGGGAAAATCGTGTTAGACTAAATTAAGGTTCACAAACCGCACACACACGAACTTACCATTCATAGTCGCCGGGGGTTGCGCCCAGGTTGCGGGGCCCCCTGGGGTAGTGGCATGTGTAAGCATAGAAATGCGACTCATTAATCGAGATGCTGCATGGCTCTCCAAGGTGGAGCCGAGTACAGCGACATCAGTAAAGACACCTGCAAGAAGATCACTTGCTTTGGTGAGCATGATAGAGAAATCTTCACTGGCTTTTTGAGCTTTAGCCCGAGTTCCTTTGGTCGGGGCCCTTGCTCGCCTGGTGGTGGGTTTTGCGATTGGAGCATTCGGCTTGTCTGCTGATTTGCTTGGAGTTTTGAGAGAAGGCAGTGAGATGGTAGACTCAGGCAGAACACAGTATACAGCGTGAGTTGCAAACTGACGAATGGCCTCGGCCAACAAGTGTTCACTTTCGCCAATCTCGAGAGAGACTTTACTTTCTCGTGCTGTGGCAAATTGACGGGCTTCTATCAGGGTGCTTGCAGAGCGCTCGTAGTCTCGAAGTGCTCGCAAGCAGTCGGCCTGTTGCCGAAGAATATCGCTCTTCAGCCGTAAGAGAGACTTGGATTGGACATCAACTTGAGGGGTCTTGGGCGTTGAGATCTTCTTAGCAGTGCTTGCCGTAGCGGAACTAGTTGCACGAGTACGTCGGGCAGCGGTACTAGCCGTGGTAGCAGTAGTCGTTGACGGTGCTCGACGACTGCTTCGTACCTTCAATTTCTCCATCTTCTCTTCAAGAAGTGCGATATTCGGGGCCTCTGAGATGCTGGTTGCATCGGACGAATTTATAGCTACGATGGCCTTATCAGCCTCCTGTAGCAGACGGAATGCTTTGTCGTATTGTCCCTGTACTTTGTAAAGAGAAGCAAGAGCCATGTGCAGTGAGACAGTTTCCATACTGGTCTGGATCTGCTTTGACGATTCTGACGCTGCGATGAGAAATTCTTGTCCTTCGTCCACATGACCGCCGAGAGTCCAGTAGCAACCAAGCTGAGTTTGTGCAGCCACAAGTCGGATGTTAGCGTCGAGCGTCTTATCAATCTTCAATGCCTGCTGTCCGTAGTAGATGGCATCCTGGAATAAGCCATGATGGGCCGACAATGTTGCGAGGTTCAACAAGGAGGTATGATGTGCGCCAAGGTGTGGCCAGAATGGCGCGCCTTGAGTATAACCTGATGAAACCTCTGGAGAAGGTCCGTTTTGGGATAGATCAAGTTTGGCCACACTGTCAGCGACCGCGTCAACATCAGAGTTTCCTCCCGCGGCCAAAGACTTGTCCTGTTTTCGTTGGGCTAATTTCTCAACCTTGGCCCAAATCCGACAGTTGAGCCTCACAGATAGCTTGGCAAAGAAAAGAGCATCTGCCATTGAACCCTGAGCAGCCGACAGGCGAGATTGTATGAAAGTAGCATCCGCAATAAGTCTTTCCCATGATATTTTCGACGAAACAGATAGATTGCTCATCTCTTCCGACTGTTGGCTCTTTTCATACAATGACTTCGTAGCAGAAAGAACAGAGGCGGCTTTGTCTGCCTCTCCTGTCTCGAGAAGATATTCAACTCGGGCCAGTTTGCATGATATGGTCGCTAGGGAGGATATCTTGTGTCGGGTAAGATATTGTTCACCGCGGCAGAGAAGGTCACCTGCTTTTTGACAATGTCCAAGTCGACAATGCTGTAGCACCAAGCGCGAGAGAATCGTGATTGCATCCGACAGATCAGCTGATTTCTGAAGTTCAGCCACTCGAAGTATCAGCTCCAAGGCAGAAAGCTGAGATTTCCACAGGCCATGGATCTCCGTGTAATCAACCAAGGCCTTCAGTTGGAGAATCCAGTAATCGATATCATGAATGCAGAGAAGCAAAGAGCTTTCATCTGAGCACTGTCGAATCATGGAGGTCCATGATGCAAGTGTGTTAGTCAAGTCATTCGCATCAATTTGGCCGTAGTGGAAACCAATGATGATTCGTAAAGAGCTCATGATATGCTGAGCAAAGGGCGCCAAGTCAGTGTCTTGTCCAACTTCGAATCCATTTGTGACAGCTTCTGTGCCTTCTTCCATTATCTTCTCAAATATTGTGGTTTCCAAACAGCCCGGGTGCTCTAGCAAGTATCGAAGAGCAGAAAGGACCACTCGACCATGGCGGATAGGATGAAGGTCTGTCGGGTAAATTTCAATGAGATTAGATACTACCGAGGTGAAAGTGGACCGAAACTTCTCATCACTCGAAGAGTATGCATGTAAATCAGCAAGAAGGCTCATTTGCCATTCAAGAAGCATCCCTCGTCGTTCGGGGGCCAGTTCCAGATCGTCATAAATGTCGGAAGACTTGGACCCCTTCTGTCGCAACTTCACCTTCAAGAATGTAGAAAGAACCCGGCCTAGCATAAAAGCTGGACTTTGAGGATTCTGGCTGCCTGACAGAGGGTGAGCCCCCATACCGCTGTCAGCGATTTGCTGTAGAGTACCCGAATCAATATACTCCGCGATTGATTGACGAAATGATTTCTCGGAATCCACGGGCATATTACCATCCAAGTAAAGATGAGCCATTCTTTCGAATTTCAGAGCAGTAAATGCTGCGTTCCGAAGCGATGGCGAGCAGGTGGAGGTTATTTGAGTCGATTGCTTGAGAAGAGGAAGCAACTCGCGGTAGCCTTGGTCAGCCTCTTTCCTCTTGATGTAACGAGACCAAAAAAGATTAGATAGTTTCACAAGTGCTGCACCAATGCTTGAAGCATCTGAGTTGGGGTCATCAGAGCTTTCGACGCAAGTAAGCAGGCGATGGCAATCCGCTAGAATGGGGAGCATGTCATCCCATGGTGGTCTTTGAGACATAATGGACAATTTCCCGACAGCAACAGTCGAGTCAACGGCGGCGAGAACGATACTTTTGGACATAGAGATTCGATTTTGGAACAATTCGTGCTCTTTCTCATCGCTGTCCTCTGCAGGAGGTCGTCCCACGTAACGCCTGAGAAACCTGATGAATGCTTGTAGATATTCCCGAATCTGAAACGCAATTTCGTTTTTCTGCTGGTCACTATTGGATGGCTCCGCGACTGCCTCGCCGAACCAAGAGAGAGCAAGCTTCTTGAGCCGAGCAGCCTCAACAAGTAGCTCGTCCAGATCAGTTGCACTACCCCGGAGTTGTAACCCTAGAGCGTTTGTGGCGTCTGATGTGGATTTCAACGCTTCATCCAAGAACTTTCCAGATGCCTTCAAGCGTTGGAAAGAGACCGACGCAATCTTACACTGAACAGTAGCCAAGGAAAGGCTTTGTGAGTTCGAAAGTGGTGTGATGGCTTTGCCGAAAAGCTTTAGGGATTCTTCAAGACAACCAGCATCCAGTGCAAGCTGGCCAAGTAGAGTCATTATTTTGGCAGTTGCATTCATATCCTTGATTCCTTGCGGTTGCTTCTTGATCTCTGCCGTGGATGATTGAATTCGGGTAATCGCCTTGAATACTGCACCAAACTCAGCCTTCTCAATTCCTTTACTGCGATGAGAAAATCCCCCAAGGTAGCGAAGAAGAGGATCGAAAACCTCTTTGCTCTCGTCACATACGTGGCCGGCTATCTTCCAACCCAGGCATCGGATCTCTAGGGACAGCAGTTGGAGACCCAATGCTGTAATTGGCTTCAGAGTATCTTTACTTTTTGGCGATTCGTCACCAGACGTTGATCTTCCGGAGGACAAAGATAGCACAGTATTTGACAGCAGTTGAAGTTGAAGAGCAGCTTTGTCATTCGATAAGCTTTTGGACTTCACGGCAGCAAGGATCATCTGGGCCGGGCTGCTGGGTTCGGAAAGCTGCAGTAGTGGAAACAGCTTTTGGATCGTCGAGGACTTGCGTTCGGAGGCAAAGAGTCGCATCGCATTGGCCTGGAAGGGAATAAGCAACCCATGGAGAGATTGTGCATTCGAAATGTTCGAAAAAGTCAAAAGGTCAGACATGCGCTCCTTTGCCGTTTCATCATCCGCCACATCATTGGAGCCAGTCGCCTTCTTCCCCGTCTTCTGCAGATCCAGGTGTTGCTGGATTCTGCCTTTCAGAGACCTCATTTCCTTCCACGCCATATCGTTCAGTCCCAGAGATATCAACTTTCCCGCCAATACGCATACTCCTTGCTCAAGCTGCATGTTCGGGAAATCTTTGGCACTCTGGTCATTTTTTAGAGCTCGTAATGTCGACAAGGCAAGTCTAGCGCACTCTGCTGCGGAAATCACCCCCGCATCAACCCCGGCGGGATTAGACCTTGCAGTCGACTTGGCGGCTTTTTCAGTGGAGATTGAACGCTTCGCAGTGGGGGCTTTCAACGCGTCCGTGAGTGTCTTTAGTGTTGTATTGAACACCTCCGTGGCGAGGACGAGCTTCTCTTGGGGAGATAGTAGGGGCGCATCTTGATCAACAATTGCATGCAACGCGTCGCTCGCACAATTTGTCTTGGTGGTCCTAGATGTCTTTGCTCGACTTGTTGGTCTAGCAGGCTCTTTGACTGATTTTGTGCGCCTCGCAGGCTTTTCGAGGGGATTCGACGATGCGCGGAGGAGAGATTGGAGGGACATCACGGTGGTATCGGAGCATGTTGTTGTTGACCGGACGGCCAGCTTGACAGAGTCGGGCATGGAGCTGGTAGGGAGGACGGTAACCGCCATGTCGCATGTATTAGGCGAGCAGCTGGCCTGCGGTCATCGAACGGGGCGAATTGAGGCTTTGAGGGCCGATATCATCAAGCCCAAAAGACTCCCGATCGAGCGTGTGTTGTCGTAGCAACACGGTACGCTATGCCTGATATAGAAGCCTTGTGGCCTCAGGCCGAACACCCACTTCTTCGATGCGGTGCGGGCCAGTTTGATTGTGATCACAGCGATTCAACCACGACAATGGCGCTGGCATTTAGATCGAAGCCCCTAGGGCTGAATCGGTATCTCCTTTCCACGCCGATATCATCCAGACTGCCTAGCCGATATGCGGCATCTACTTCACGGTCATACGCTACTTCCGACCGACTCCCGAAGATCGCAGATGCTTCAGTATGGACGTCGATGATCCCCAGATTTATTCGAGATCGCAAATCGCGCGGAACCAAAAAATCCAAGGAATGGAATCCGGCCACATTCTACATCGTCATGTTTACTTTGATCGGATCACAAGCAATCCGTATGCTCTCCTTGAAGAACAGTTATGCGACATACACCCGCACGACGGATGCGAAGATTGAATTACTTAAGGAGGTCATTGAACGGATCAAGAGTGGGGAGAAGGTCGATGTGGAAAAGTTATTAGGAACAGGAGACAACACGCAGGAGCGAGAGTGGGAAGAAGGTACGTCTTGGTTGTTTGAGCCCTCCGCTGTTCTGGTCTCTGACTTATTTTATTTTTCCGTCATCTAGTCTTGAGAGAAATCGAGCAGGAAGACACACTTTGGCAGCAGAGAAACAATAAGGGATCAAAGCAGGAGCCCAACGAGATCAAGATGGAGGTGACACAACATCCGGAGGCTAAAGAACCGGCATTGCCTGCTACGCCGAGTGCAGATGAGCAGACTGAAAAGACGCAACCTAAACGCAAGCTGAACTTCTTCTAAACATTCATTACCACATGCTTGGGGGACTAGGCAAGAGCATTGAATTGGTTGATCTTGTCTATTGCACCTATGAAAGCTCCAACTACCTACCAACCTCCACATCCGTTCTTCAGCGCCTATTGGTGACGGCTGCTGAGAACAAGTGTACTATAATCTGCTCGCCAAAGTATCTCTGTACAGGAATTATGATATCCAGGTCAATGATACTGGGCCAAAACTTTGTCTCTTTGTTCTCGTGTACAGTACAAATATTCAAGTCAGCGGTAACCAATCTAAAGCAAAATTATTAGAGTGGAAATATTGATCTTCATCTGTAAACAGAAAAATGAGATTTATCTGCTCTAGATCTAGGTACTATACAGAACTGAAAGACAACCAGACAGCAATAAAAGTACCGTACATGATGGGTTGGCGTAGAGCAAAACGCACCTGGCTATGACGAGCCGGGACGATGCATCAACAACCCCCTTCTATATAGTTCCCACATCTTTTCAAAATCTATGTGCTGGTGGTACAATGCACATCAGCCATCCAACAAAATGAAAGAATAAATCGTGCAGAGGCTTTGAAAAAAGCCAAATTAACCCTAGCTCACTTTTTGCCGGATGGAAAAAAAGGGTCAATGGCAGAGGAATCTGAGAGAGGAAAAAAAGAGGTAGTGGTCGAAATCCGATGCTAAATGGAGCACAAAAAAAGAAACCAAGACGGCAAGGGCCAAATGAAAGTCATCGCTATATGAAACCAAAGAGAAATTACTGCTTGGAACTCTGGAAGAACTTGGGCCAGTTCTCAGGACGAGGGACCTGCACTCGGCCAATGTTTGGCTCCAAGTCAAGGATGAGCTTCAGAGCGTTCCTTGACCGAAGGTAGGGGAGAGGTGCCGTCGCACTGGCCATGCCAACGCCCGGCTCCACCTTGCCGGTAGGGGTATCGTCCTCATGGGAGCCTGGTAGAGGGAAGGTTTTCTGCAGAACTTCATAAGCGGCGAGAGTGAAACCGAACTGCGGCGATGAACGCATGATACGGGCGGGACCACCCTTGAAGAAGGCCTTCAGACCCTCCTCCTTCCACACAGTCGTGGCGCAGTGTCGCAGGCTGGTGTACTTGGTCTCGCCCTTGCGGGCCTCCACCTGCAAACGAGTCTTGATCACATCGCAGGGAGTGGTCAGGTAAGCAGCGGGCATACCAGCGATGGCACCGGCAGTCAAGAGCTGAATCACACCCAATTTGTTGGTGGCGGTTTCACCGAACATTTCGGTTTTCAGGTGTGCGTATGTAGGGAAGTAAATGGCCGAGAAAGGGACTAATGACTCATTAGATCCTTATCAAAAATCACCAGGTTTTAATGTTTCTTACCATCACGAAGGAGACAAGCACTGGCTCCCTTGTACAGGCCCATGAGACCCAAGTTCTTCACAATCCACAAAGCCGAACGGCGAGGAGCGCCCTCCACGTTCTTAGCAACTTCACCCTGCACCTGCAGACGAATCTTGACGATCTCCAGGGGGTTTGTGAAAACCTGACAGAGGGAAAATCAGTACACAATACACATTATCGCAGCGCTCCAACTTACCACTTGACAAGCACCAGCCGTACCACCGGCCAAAACCTCATAGGGGGTCCAAATTCTATTAGTATCCTTGTCGGTCAGAGCACCACGGACCAGATCATTGACTGTAAGCTTGATGGCCTTCTCCGGTGCCACACCAATCAGTTGCGGAATGACACCCGAGTACAGACCGGTGAAACCCTCGTTACGAATAACCTTCTTCGCGCAATCAATAGAGTTGTTGTACAGACGCTCACCGGGGCGAGTGGATCGCTGGTTCTGCAGGCGGGTCTTGACCAAATCGATCGGGTACACCATGAAAGCACCAAACGCACCAGCAATGCTGCCAAGAGCAAAGTGGTGTGCCGATTCAAGCATGCTGTGGAGGAACGAAGTGGTCTTCTCAGCTGCAGTTCCCACAGCCTGGCCTGCAACAGCCATGGGAAGGCGCCATGAAGCATCAATGACCTTGGCGAAATCCTTCTGGGCAAGGCGTCCAGACGGAGCATCTAAGCCGGCGAAGTGGAACAGAATATCAGCCTCCATGGGGGTAAACAAGGAGAAGCGGGTGACACGAGCGGCCTCGTTAAGGAAGTCGGCGCGAGTGATTTTGCCGTCGGTGCTCTTCTTGGTGGCCTCCCGGACAACCACATCGATAATATCCATCTCACGCATAATATTCTGGAAGGCACGAACGGTAGCGTAGGAAATCTTCGTGCCGGCCGAGATATTGCAGAGCGAAGGCAGGTGTTCAAGCACATGATCGGACAATTTATGCTTCGAAGTCTCGAGGATAATGCGCTGGAAGTCCTCGGGCTCAATGTAGCCATCCCCGTCCTTGTCGAAAATGTGGAAGGCTTGGCGGATGCGCTCGCCCTGCAGTCCGCGCAACATCTGGGAGAATTGGGGGTAGGTCATGTCATGGCGCGTTTTGGTGCGGCCAGTGTATAGAGAAGCCCACTCGGAGTTCCAGTCGAAGGGAATGCTATCGGCGGTCTTGGTCAAGTTGTAAAGGCCCTGAACAGTGTCGAACTTGACACTGCCGGATCCATCGAGGTCAAACAGGCGGAAGGCGATTTCGTACTCGGCATCGGGCTTGGTCAGGAGGTTCTCGAAGGTAGCCCAGTCGGATAGGGAGAGCTTGCCGTGTCTGCGTCGGTCTGCCACCTGGAACAAGATGCCATACTGTTCGCGCTTGATCTTGTGCTGTCATTGTGGAGGCTGGATTAGTTACATCTTCTCTAGGGCTTCGAAGCGAACGTGACGTACATAGTCCTCTTGTTTGGGGGCAACGGCATTGATGAAATCCTCCTCGTTCATGAATGGTTCCCCATTTTCGTCCTTCTGTGCATGACGAAGGAAATTGGATCGGGCTTGGTGCGACAGCTGAGGTTCCTCTGTGCTGCCCACCAACTTCTCCTTGACAGTTTCCTTAACACTACTCATTGTGGTACAGAGTAGAACAACCAGGTATTGACAGGTACAGAAAGTCCCGAATGCGAAAATCCACCGCACAACACTGGGGTGGAAGGAGGTTGAAGGGGGGGATGAATGAGAGTGGAGAAGGGAGAGATTTGAGTCAAAAGAGGAATGAGCTAGTGACGGGGCGATAATAATTGCAATGTTTCCCCGAGAACAGTTGACTCCCTTTCACTTATCTCTCTACAGATGAGAAAATCAAATGCTAAAATTTTATGTTCCGTTTAAATTGATTGGAGTTCCGGTCAAACAGTACCTGTTCCTATGTGTACCTATTGGCCACGCGATGAGTTTTTCACCGCCAAACCCCAAATCACGGGTATTTATATGTTTTTCAAGGTTAATTTCATTCCTTATGTATGCGCATTACGCGATTTACCCGCAATCGGCCTTGGGGCCGAAATCCCTGTCAACACATCGAACCTGCCGAAATCTTTATTATCAATTTTGATCTTCACATTCTCCGGGGGATCCGTGAGAGGTTTCTGATCGAAATTATATACTTCTAAGGATCCTTCTGATTTTCGTGGGATCTGACGGGAATTTGCCACCTTGAGCCATGGAACCAGAGAAATCTCCAACAGTGCACAAACAATGGTGACATCGGAGGAGCAGATAATGCAGTCAGCGTGATGTGCAGAGAAAGAAAAACTAGAATCCCCAGGTGATCACCGGAGATCAGCCCTCCCGACATCCCGAAAGGCAGGGGTGAAACCGGGGCCCTGGCCCGTAGGTAAAAGCAAATCGGGTGCCGTGTGCGGAGTCAAAACTGGAGAAGAGAAAAAAGGCGCACAGAAGTTGGAGATGGGAAGCGTGATTGGTCACCTTCCCCTCTCCCCCATTTCCAGCCAATCTCGGCTTAACTCCGCGTGATCACAGCTTCTCCGCAGCTCTCCTCACCGGCTTCCAGGAATTGACTTTGAGACTGGATTCATCTTCAAAGTCTTATGCACTCAACAGTAGAAAACAACGAGGTAGAATACAATAATCTTCAGCCGGATTTTTGAAATGCGAACCCATCTGAAAGCCCACACGGAGTATAGGGACGACCGTTCTGGACGCTTAAACCTGCCTATTGAGGTATCTGGTTCTCGGTGCACGGCCATCACTTTAGGCTCTATGGGGATTACATAGAGCTCTAAACAGAAATACTATTCATAGCATGATCCACGTTGACACCTGAAATGCGTCACCGAAATTCATATACTTACCTAATGTACAGACCCGCAGAAGTTAACTACCTACCACCTTGGCACTCTAGTTCCCGAGGTCGTGTGCTCGTCCCGAGGCTTCTCCAATCGGAGTAACCTCAGAAATCCTCTTTCCACTGGCAAGAGAATCAACATTACCTCGTTGAAACGGAATGCTAGGATGATAACTGTGACCCCCACCACCGCATCGAGGATAAAATGATTCGCAGTCGCAACGACGGTCACTCCCATCATCACAGGCCAGAGGGTCGCCACGCAGCGAAGCAAGCAGTGCGGACTATACATTGCCAAACAGAATGCAATGAGGACCGAGTTGCCAAAATGTAAGGAGGGCATCGCCGCAATGGTCAGTTGAAACTTATTCTGTGTCCATGCAGAACCCGAGTTGCCTCGATGAAGCACATCAACAAACCCAAACTCCTCTGGGAGGAGACGTGGTGGCTTGCATCGCCACAGCGACAGAATAGCAAATGCAATGACGTTCTCTAGGGCCAACGTACGTCGGATACCTTGATAGCGTTCCCGAGAGAGGAAAGTATAGCAGTACACAAGAAATGCGACGCCGAGCACAATATGTGAGTAGTAGATGTCGGCCAGAATATCCATCATCCATGGATATCGATTCAGAACAAATCTTTGAACGGAGAGCTCGATGTCGATAGACAGGATATCTTCAAGGGTCAGGATTTGAATCGCATGGGCCTCGGCATTCTCAAAGATGGTTTCGTTTCCCGAGATGAGTCGGGCAGAGATAGCCCTGCAGCCTTGGTATATCTATTTCCAATCTTAGACCCTAGTTCTCAAGGAGGCAGCTCACGACTAGAATCACCGCATACCCAGTAAATCAGCAGCCAGTACCAGATCTCTAGAAGAAACGGAAACCGCTCCAATACTCGAGAATGAATGTATTGCTTGTTTCTGGCATAGCGAGCTTCAACATGGCAACTAGTTCCTCTTTCTGCTGGATTGTCCTCTCGCAGCAATGGACGAGTTTCATCATAGCTACTAAGTGGTTTCTTCTTTCGATTGACCCAGGCTCCGACGGTTAAAATGGCAACAATAGCTGTAAAATAGTTCAGTATATTTAGTAGTACCATTTTTTGCATGGATGGAGCTGACCTCCAGGCTCCAGGATGTTATTGAGAGCACCCATGGTACTGTATTTGTAAAGACCGAGTAATAAACGCCTGCAAATGCAAAGTGGTATAGCAAGTCAAAGCATACTCAATATGTCGACGAATAACTGAGAAAATCTAGCAAGACATGAAATCGAAAGAGCTTCACAATCCGGCTGAGCCGGGAGTGCCGGCGCCCGATGGGTCCATGTCCCTTGACCACGCAAGCATGTACATGTATACCCACCTGTAGCCTGTGATGGTAGTGGCTGACAGTGACTGGCCTGGTAGTGGATACATCTAAAGCTGGGCCCAGTTATAAATGCATGTCTTGTATGCCGTACTTGGGTAGCCGAAGTCCCGGTGCTCAAGTTTTCTCATTCATTGAGATATCTACCAGTTGACTCATCCTTCGAAAGGGCGCACACCTCATAAAAATCTCCCACAAGCGTCACTTTCTTGTCAGAATTATTAAGGAAGCTGTAAGTCTGCTTCAAAACAAAACCAGCGGTTTGTTATCATTGGATTGTTTCTGGGGATATCAGCTTCGATTGAGGGGCAGAGCGGTGTCAGAGCATGAGGTGGATGTGGGATATTGACACCTTCCTGTTGGCTAAAACAATCTCTGCTATAGTTATAATCCTTTCAGAACAATCATCTTCGTTTCACTTCAAAGGTAGAAGAATGTCATTGAGATACTTACCTAGAACTAATATAGTATGGTGGCATATGATTGTCTGCTGTAGTGCGATATCGTGCATGCAAACTCACCAGCGGCTTTTTAGGTCTTAGTTCTGCAGAATCATCATCCACTTGAAAGCCCGTCAATAGGTTGAAGAAGTGATGTGGAGATAGTGACCATGTTGCAGAAAACGCGGGCCAGTTCCTCAGTCACGACGCACGGGGGAAGGATGATGTGTGATTGGTCCTTTTCAGTGGAATGATTTCTCCGTATAAACGGCAATCCTCCTTTACAAGCTTCAGACAAGCCGACAAGTGGTCTTGGCTGCAAGAGGCTGGGCTATCACGACCTGTCACACTTGTGCCGAATTTCAGCATGAGACCAACTGGTTGGGGTATTCTGGTTGGCTGGGTGATAGGCACGGAACCTTACAAGGTTGGAACTAATGTGTGATGGGGAAAGTGATAGTGCGTCAGGGTGCATGGCATAGGCGCTTACAGAAGGATTCGCCATTGGCCCCAGGTGGCACTAAGTGGCCCCTTGGCCCGAACTCTGCAACTTCCCCAAGCTATACTTATATAGCCGCCCATCTCCCCCCCAGGAGTTGTTTTCTTTTGCATCCCCGTGTTTGAGATTTTCTATTTTTTTCTGCTTCTATTTTCGTCAAGCGCTTCGTTCTGGCTGGTCCAAACGAACTCTTTATTTTTTTTATTATACATCGTATCTTGGTTGATTCTACGTCCAAAATAATCACTTCTCTCCACCACATTCTCTTTGGGTGTCTTTGTTGATCAAGGTTACCCTCTGCAAAAAGACAAATACGATATATTATCATCTACATATCTTCAACTTCCAAGATCCTTTCTGCCACCATGTATGCTGCTCGTGCCGCCGCCCGACCTAAGTTGGGATTGAACATTTCTGCTGCGCAGACTGCTCCCCGACCGTCATTGTCGCTCAAGTCCCCTGGTCCCATGCCTCGAACTCCTCTCTCGCCAGTGTCTACTGCGAGTCCTACAAGTCAGAGGTTCTCGACCCTCCAGGTGCCGACATATGGCTACACGAACTCATGCTCGTCGAAGAGCATTCTCAAGAAGCAACATTCTTCACACTCAGGAGCTGCCGAGAAACGCATCCAATTCAAGGTTACACCCACAGTATACTGTGTGACACCTATTGAAAATCCAGACGAGTACTATGGCACACATACGAAGATTACCCGAGAGGAACGACGATGGGCTGTCCGCGAGTGATTTCGCCCTTGGGTCTAGAACCCTCTATGGTGATAGTGGCTAAGACATAGCCAGCCCGGCAAGCTCAAGCGCTGGTTAGGAGCCTGTCACTTATCGTTGCTGTCTCTGCAATGACAAGGACCTCTAGTCTCTGCGCATTCGGGTTTGTTATAGCTCAGCACAAGAAACCCCAAGTATATTTGACTGGACCAGATCTGCAAGAATTATAGCTCGACTCTCATTCGTGGCGCAGCAAGACTTCACGCGAGTCGTGCTCTGAGCCAGAAAGATCAGCACGTACTGTCGATCCACAAAATCTTGAGGCTGCTCGGTAGTCTGTCTTGCCAGACAGGTCTTGGGTAGTGCGTTTACTCGGTCAGAAGACAATGTATCATGTATCGATGTTGGGAGAGATTATTTTATGACGTTAATGGGCCTCCGATTGATGACTTTGCAATTTAGCATGGATGTTCTGTTTAACTTTACTCAGTCGTTACTGTGAAATATATGCTTTTTTCCAGACACCTTCATATCCTCACTCATATCGTAGCAGTGTAAATAAACCGAAATATCAAAAAAACTGCTCATAATAATTGTGGTAGTTCTATTGTTGTTAGGGCCAATTTTAAGGGCTTCCTGGTCCGTGCGGTCCCGATCTTTTTCTCTCCGTCGCCGCCATGTCCCCGGTTTGCCAACCTCCCAATGTTCTTTTCAATATCTTCAGTTGCGACTTTGCGCAAGTCAGCAGCAGGTGCATCTCGCAAAATTCTAAGCAACCGACGGGGCTTATTGACCCTGGCAATCGAAACATCATGGTAAGCTTTAACTCGACTCTGACTGTTCCTCCAGCTAATCCGACATCTACGACAGTGACGACACTTCAGTCGCGATTGTTGAGAAAAGGAATGAAAGCTCCGCTGCTAGCAACACCAAAATTCATTTCCTTGAGAATATAACCTGCGATTCACGAGCGCATCGCGGCATCCATCCGATTTTAGCCCTTGAATCCCATCAAGAGAATCTCGCGAGCCTCGTCGACAAAGCCCTCGGGTACCTGCCGGCCTCAACAGATGGAGACAAATCGATAAATTTAGCGAATGGGTCGAATCGCCAGCGACCGGATTTTGTCTCGGCAACTCGAGGACCTGGAATGCGTTCCAATTTGTCTGTCGGGCTCGACACTGGGAAAGCACTCTCGGTTGCTTGGCAAATTCCTTTGGTCGGGGTACATCATATGCAAGCACACTTGTTGACCCCTCGGCTGGTATCATGTTTGGACAAAGGCAATGGCGCAGTGGCCTCAGGGGCCGTGGGGCCCCAATTCCCATTCCTGTCTATTCTTGTCTCGGGCGGCCACTCGATCCTAGTGCATTCCAAGTCTCTAACGGATCACACCATCATGGCTTCCAGTGATGACATTGCGATGGGTGAAGCTCTGGACAAATCGGCCCGCGAGATTCTCCCTGCGTCCCTGCTACAGGGGGCAAAGAATACCATGTACGGCAAAACTTTGGAACAATTTGTCTTCCCCAACGGCCCCTCGGATTTCGCGGATTATCGGCCCCCGATGAACCGGGGGGAGGAGGTGACCAAGCGCAAGAGCTCGTGGGGCTGGAGCGTAACTACGCCATTCGCAAATACCCGGGCTCTGGAACTGAGCTTCTCATCTGTCTCCAGTATGGTAAACAAAATTGTCAAAGATAGGGAAGGTCACTTATCTCAAGATGAGCGTGTCGACCTTGGACGGGAGGCAATGCGTGTCTGTTTCGAACACCTAGCATCTCGAACTATTATTGCGCTGGAAGCTCTTCGGGTGAGAAACCGCGATGAAAATGAGATAAAGACACTCGTTGTGAGTGGTGGCGTTGCGGCAAACAAGTTCCTTATGACCGTTTTGCGCTCGTTCTTAGACGTGCGCGGATTCGAACACATGAAGATTGTTGCACCCCCTCCATATCTGTGTACTGACAATGCTGCCATGATTGGATGGGCAGGCATCGAAATGTTCGAGGCTGGTTGGCGGACCGATCTAAGCTGTCGCGCTCTCCGCAAATGGACTCTAGACCGTCAGGCCGATGATGGTGGAATTTTAGGGCCCGGTGGGTGGATTATGGATGGAACAGCTCTTTGACTGTATATTAGCGATACCCCTCTCCCAAAATTTGTACAATAGTTGTATATAGTATGTAGAAAACCAGAGCTCTACTTATGCTCTTAATACATAAAAGTTCCCAATCCCATTCAATGCTTTTGTGGTATACAGGGCAATGCTTTACACTTGACAGCAGACCTATATGTCAGATAAATCAATGACGCCGATGCAATGTTACAGCACTATAACTGTATCCTTTCAATCCGAGTCCTTCCACGTCCCAGAAACCGCCACAGTAGGGTATCGATGATGCGCCGCTCTAATCCGTGCAAATGAACCAGACCCATAACCGGTGCTCTGTGCAGTACAGACATCAAAAATAGAAGAAAGAAAAATCCAGCCCAACCTTCCTAGATCAGCCTCCGACAGGAGGTCCGCTCTTTTGCAGGGATGCCACTTGTTTTCGTAGTTCGATGAAGAAGTCCTTCCCATTGGCCATCGTGTTCGCTGAAGACGTCAGTATTCATCCTCAAACACTGGATTGTTTCGAAGAAGAAGGCATACATTTAGCACCCCAAGGACCGCCTGATCGTTGGTTATTCGTGTCTTTGCCGGTCGGCTTGTAGAAGATTGGCTTGGTTTCTGCGACGGCATATCCATTAGAACCCGATACATTTGCGATAGTGGGGTATGCACTGTAGGCACTTACCTTCAGGACCTACAATACAAATTGAAAAAAATATTGGTTAGCATTGATGATGTATGAACATGACTTGTCCCTTTCCTACCTCTCTTCAGAACATTTTTGGCCTCGGCAGCATTGAAGCCCCGGACGGAGACATGTAGGTCCTGGACTGGGCCAGAGCCACCCCAGGCATTACTTCCACATTGAGAACCACCTTGGGAGCCACTCTGGGCACCACCTTGTCCACCCGCTCCCCGGTCACGGTTTCCATTGCCAGAGTGGCGTTGCGACGACTGGCGACTAGGACCACGCCATCTAAGATCAAGCAGGGTTAGCGAATCTGACGCGGAAAAAAGCAGAAGGTACGATACCTATTCTCATTTGAGCCACTCATATCTGAAACCCAACGTAGATCGCTCGGAGGTTGGTGTTTTGGTGTTCCAGGAGGAATCTATGCGGGGAAAGCTGTGCACGTCCGGGAGCTGTGGCCAGAGTTCGGATCGACACCTGAGGCCACTAAGACGTCTCCGCCTTGAACCAAGATAACCTTGGAAGAGAGATCACTTCTGCCTTAGCACTCACGGGTTGTTTACCCCGGATTCTTCAATTTTGCGCCCATTTCACCGGCCTATCTCTTTTAATACTTATATCATCTTTCATTACTCAACTGTGACCTGCATCTTGCTCCGCCTTTGAACGCGACCCGACGTGTTGATTGTTAATCACCCCAAACCCAGCGCCGATCAACACACGGGAGCTTGCCCCAGCTTCATGGGAACCATGGCGCCCATGTCCAGACACTCTCTTTCAGGCAGACCGTCACGCTCCACCCCTAAATCATCTATGAAACAGTCGCGTAGAATCATGGAGTCTCCCGAAGAGCCTCCAATGAAGAAGCGCAGGTATGTGCCTGGTGGCCCAGGAGGAGGCGGACGATTCATCGATTTCGACGGCACCGAAGTTGAAGAAATGACTCCCCAAAAGAAGACTAATGGCACACCAAGACGAAACTCCACAAGCGCACGAGGTCGCCCCCCACGCGATACCGACCAACCAATCCATGCCCCTCCACCTCCGCCTCTTGTCCCAACAACGCCGCCGTCTGTGACGCGTCCCCGGCGAGACAAAAGCCAGAATCGCGGTCGCTTTACCTCATCAACAGCCGCCGCGCTTGCCTTACAACAGGGAGATGGATACAAACCACGAGAGGAGAGAGGATGGGAGGAGTTCCATCCCGATTTGGACATTGATGGCAGACTCGCTGTCTTCACAGCCGAAGAAGTGGATACGGTCGACCCTGCTGCCAACCAACTGACTTTGGAGGCGCTGACTGGCATTTCTGGTCTTGATGGTTCAGGATCACCTATGCTTCTTTCACCTGATATCGCATCACCCGTTCCATTCAAGCGTAGGCCTGGTCGCCCGCCACGCCGTCCAGAAGCTATCTTGAATGCTCTTCTCGCACAACAAGGCCCGAAGGTGATCCCACCCCCGGGACCCAATCCCCGGGAAAAATTGACACTGCCTAAGCCGGCGTTCCGACTGCAGGATCCTTTCACCTTTTATGAGAAGAAGGGTGTTGGCCAACAGAATTATGTCGATCGAACCATGGCCAATGTCGGATACCAAGAAAGTGACTTATTCCTGCGCCACGACCGGCGCTTCATTCGCATGACCGAAGGTGCGCAAGAAGACGACATGGACGTCATCCAGCCTGTGGCGTCAGAGGGCGATGTCAACGCAACGAGCGGAAGAGTGGAGTACGATATGGACGAACAAGATGAGAAATGGCTAGATGATCATAACTCCAAGCGTAGAGATGATCAGCTTGAGCCCATAAAGCCTGCCATATTCGAAATCACTATGACCAAGATCGAAAAGGAATGGCATGCGCTTGAAAAGCGGATTCCTAAACCAAACCCCAAACCTCCACAAACTCAGCGCCCCCGCTCTAGCTCTGCTGCTGCAGTAAACGGAGAGACTGCCGGCCCGGGGGAAGAGCAAGATAGCAAATGTGCTATCTGTGATGATGGTGACTGCGAGAACTCCAATGCCATTGTCTTCTGCGATGGTTGCGACTTAGCGGTTCATCAAGAATGCTATGGTGTTCCTTTCATCCCCGAGGGACAGTGGCTTTGTCGCAAGTGCCAATTGCTGGGACGAGGCACCACCAACTGTATTTTCTGCCCCAACACCGAGGGTGCATTCAAACAAACTACTTCTTCTAAATGGGCGCATCTGCTGTGTTCTATATGGATACCCGAGGTTTCAATCGGAAATCCGTCACTCATGGAGCCCGTCACAGATGTTGAAAAGGTGCCACGCAGCCGGTGGAAGTTGATGTGTTACATTTGCAAGCAGAAAATGGGTGCTTCAATTCAATGTAGCAACAAGAATTGTTTCGTTGCATTCCACGTTTCATGTGCACGCCGAGCGCAACTATACCTGAAGATGAAAATTGGCCATGGACTGATGGACTCACATCTCCTGAAGGCCTTTTGCGATAAGCATGTTCCGCCAGACTGGCGATTGGAGCATGGCACTGATGCCGCCACGGCCGATGCGATCGAATACTACCGCAATACCATGCAAGGTAAACGGTGGGGAGACAGCATGGCAGCGGCGCTCTCTATGGGGCCTGCGCTTGCCGAGGATGCAGAAGGAGAAAGGACCCATACCCCCCGAATCACATTGACCGTCGGAGGTAATAAGCGAAAGCGTATCCCAAGAATGATCTGGAAGCTACCTTCCGGGGCTCCAGTCATTCCCCAGGTTGTTCTGAACTCAGTAGTGGCATGCCTCGGGCGGTTTACCGTTCGTGGTCGAAAGCAATATGCAGAAGAGGCATGCAAGTACTGGACACTCAAACGCGAGGCTCGTCGTGGAGCTGCTCTGCTCAAAAGACTCCAGCTTCAACTGGAGACCTTCTCCTCCATGGAGATGACCCGACGAGATTACGTCGCCATGGGTGTCACCGGCCACAAACGGTTGCAGCGTCGCATGGAGTTCGGCGAGCGGCTCTATAGGGACCTTGACCATTTGCGAATGTTATGTGACGAGGTGAAGAAGCGTGAGAGGGAGAAGCTTAAAGATGCCGAAATGCTTCGAAGCATTGTCGACATTGTCTACTTTCCGGTTTTCCCTTTACTGTGGCCAATATTCGAGAAAGCACAAGTGTAAGTTCTGATTATCCTTGGATCATTTTTCACCTATGAACTAACATGAATGCAGGCTCGATGGAAAGGGAGTATTTGCGGCAGGGCTATTATCTATTCGCAAGCGACTCGAAGAGCGTTTCTACCCGTCCGTGGCGTCTTTCTCCGCTGATCTAGCAAGCCTTTTCACCTCGGAGATTGGCGTAGGCCCTGCTGGTGATACTGCAGAACTTCAAGCGCAGATCAGTGGCCGTGCTCCTGAGCTTAGTCTGGAGCAGCGAGAAAAGAGAAAACTGGCCAAGCGGATTATTAAATCCATTCAGCCCCAGCTGGAAGACGCAATTCGCAAAGAGAGCGAATTGAATCGCAAACCTTACGAGAAAGAACTGAAGGAGCTGGATGCAATACTTGACCACAGCGTCATGTCACGCCGAGGAGAGTCCTTGGAGCCCGATGGGGACCATGACGTTGAGATGGATCAGGATGATACTAAGCCTGAGGCCATGGAGGGTGTGGAGGAAACAGTTCCCACTGCCTCTGCTGAGGAAGCTGTGTTTACCAAGGAACCTGAGTCAGAGGATATTGCTGCAGAGCCTGCATCTGTTGAAGAGACTAAATCAAACATCAATATAGCCTATCATCGCCACCCCACCCCGGTTCTGAGCGAGGAAGACCAGCAATTACCTTTGGCTCAGGGTGGCATCCAGTGGTACATGCAGCCTTTTGATCCTATCGGCACCACTGTTCATGAAGAACGGTGGACAGGTCGGGACGTTATGCGGGGGATGAGTGAGGAGCTTAGTGAGTTGGACGAGGACGAACTCAAAGACCTGGTGGACGATGAACTGGACCCGGCTACAAAAGCACCCAATACGCTGGGGAACTCCCAAAATGTCCGTCGTACTCGTCGCTTGCGTGGCTAAGGGAATTATCTTTTATTTTGCTTTGATTGTCTCATGAGCAACGGGCGCAGGCAGGAGTTTTTAGATCCTATTCAAGCAGCCGTAGTTAATCGCTAGGTATGGAAGAGAATTGATTCAATTTGCCTCTACTTCAGATCTATCCTTGAAATTTTGATAAATTAGAAGCCTAATATCCTGTGCGAAGAGAGAACAGTATATTATGCAGCCAATATAGGAGATACATGAGAACAAGTACTAGGCACATGTAGTATGCTTAGTGCCTTGCATGGGTTGCCTAACTATATGTGCTGCCAAATCCAAAACGCAGTAAACTAATGCTCCCCTTTCAAAACCTCTTCCTCTTCTCAACCTCTCTCTCCCATTCCCCAAACCTCTACTTTGAGCTTTCGGGTCCTTTTCGTGGTTCTAGACGCGCAACTTTTGAACTTGCACTCGGGGGTGTTGTTCCCTTCCGGACTCTTAGCGCCCGCTCCTCTTATCAGCTCTGATTTCTCATCTCTTTCCTTCCTTCTTCATCCACGTTCTCTCCCGATCATCATGGCTGACTACGAAAACGACAACGGCCGTTACGCCGGTATGTATCTCGACCTGGTAATTATTGTTCGCCCTTTTAATCGTCCTTTGTACAGATGAGCCCCGGTACGACCGCGACCGCAGTGCTTCGCCTCGCGATGAGCCTCGCTCCGACCGCGACCGCGCCCGTAGCCGTTCCCCCAACGGTCGCTCTGAGGAACGGTATGTTATTCCTTCCCTGTATTTGATGAGATAGACAACAGCTGATAAGCTTGAAGCCCCCTCCCTATTCGCAAGTCTCTGATCCAGGATGAGGTCGAGGAGGAAGGAGCTAGCAACACTGGTTCCAACCTCTTCGTCACTGGTATTCACCCCCGTCTGACCGAGTCGGACATCTCACGTCTCTTTGAGAAGTATGGCGACGTGGAAAATTGCTCCATCATGCTTGATCCCCACACCAAGGAGTCTCGTGGCTTCGGTTTCGTCAACATGACCACCGCTGAGCAAGCTGATGCTGCTAAGGAGGGTCTCCAGGGTGAAGTCATTGAGGGTCGCACTCTCAGCATTGAGAAGGCTCGCCGTGGCCGTCCCCGTACTCCCACCCCTGGCAAGTACTTCGGACCCCCCAAGCGTGGTAAGTCTTAATTCAGATCTCTTCCCTGTTTCTTAAACTCATGCATTCTTTTTTTTTAGATGGTGGTGGCCGTGGTCCTCCCCGCCGTGGCGAGCGCTATGATGACCGCCGTGGTCCTGGTGGTGGCAACTGGCGCCGCCGTGATGATGACTACTACCGTTATGGCCGTTATGACTCTTACAATGACCGCCGTGATTACGGCGGCGGTAGTGGTGGTGGTGGTGGTGGTGGTGGCCGCGACTATGGCCGTGGCGGTGGTGGCGGTGGTGATTATCGTTCCCGCGACTATGGTGACCGTGACTACCGTCGTGGCTCCCGTGACGACTACGGCGGCTACCGTGGTGGTGGTGGTCCTGGTGGTCCTGACCGTTACAATGATCGCTACAGCCGCGATGATCGTCGTGGAGATGACCGCCGTGCCGGTGGTGGTGATGAACCCCGTGGAGGAAGCGGTGCAGGCAGTGGTGCTGCTGCTGGCGGTGGTGGCGGCGCTGGCTACTACGATCGTGATGCCAACCCTCCCAGCTACGAGGCTGCCCCTCCCCGTGAGCCCCGTGATGCCTACGCTGGTGGTGGTCGCTCTTACGAGGGCCGCAGTGCCGGTGGCGAGGAGCGTTACGGTAGCAGGTAATGTATCAGTATCCCTTCAAAAAGCAGGAGATACCGGCTCCTGGTGTCTGTCTCCCTTTCATGGTTGAATGCTCCACTGCCCACTTTTCCTTTGTTCTCCCTTCCCCTTTCCCTTTTCTCCTTTCCCTTTCTCAAATTGTTTTAATGCGGGATTTGACCGACGGGCTACGGGCGTCGTTGTTTTTTTTGTGTTCTGTTTTTTCTTTGCTTTTTCACGTCACGTCTCCAAAAACGATAATCGGAGCGCCATCGGCCTACTGCGACCGACTCGGCAACATTCTCGATTATTCCTATCATCATGTCATCTCTGGATCGCTAGATGATGTGCCTCAAATTTTTATCTTTTCGCGACGCAACTTCGGGAATCTCTAGCGGCAAGGAAGAAAACAATTATCGCTGTAATTCGGTTATCTGGGATCAGCACTCTCGGTCAAAACAATTCGCCTTATGCACACCACTCCAAGTAACGGCCCGGTTGTATTCGACCAATTTTAATTTCGCCTCTTTTTATTTCACCATTCGCATTCGCCACGTCTTCGCGCTTGTAGTATTCGCCAAGATCAAAAGTGCTGCAGGGCGAATTAATCTCGATAATGGAGGAGTTCAGCCTTCAAAAGGTAAGATGTTACCATGGGTCTTACCTGTGGTCCAGATTGAAATACCGTGCATTTGTGCCCTTTGTCTTGACTGGGTTGAATCACCTATGGAGACTCACTGGACTAGTGCAAGCTATCCAGCTCCAGTGTCCTGCTTACTCCCCATTCCTCTCCCTTAGGAACATCGATAACAAGCTAGCGATACGTACCGAATCACCTGTTTCGTCAACTGTCCATCTTACGATCTATCTTGACACTTGAAAGCAAATGCTATCCAATATCCCCCGTCCTTTTAACCACCGAGCTATCTAAATAACATACCGCGTTCTTCACCCTAGATAAATATATATGTGGATGCATGTTTTTTGGTCATTGTGTCTTCATTTCTTGGGTATCACCAAGCTCATCTATAGCTCCACAAAAAGTCATAACGCCTCTTGACCCGAAGCCGTCTTGGGACGGAAGAAAGGACTTTTAAAATATCACTCAAACGTCTGAAGTAGAAGGCATAATCTCAAAGATCCCAGAAACACCTAAAAACGCCGTATAAAAACCAATCATCCCTGAAGCTCTTTCTACTCTTCCTTCTCGACATCGCCTTCCACCTCATTGCTCTTCTGGATCAAGAAATCCCCAAGTACACGCAATGGATTAGCCGGCCTGGAGTAAAATGACATCAGTACATCTCCCCAGATTACAGCAGCCACACCTTCACTCACTGGTCTTTCGCGACAGCTTTCATCCCTTCCAGTAGATATGGTACAATCTTCTCGTTCAAGTATTCTCGAGCTGGGGCCCCTCCAGGTCGGACCTGTGAGGTTGCGGCATTAGAAAGTTCCACCATCGGAGTGTGGGAGCCGTTGGGTTCGCCCATGGTGTTGTGATGGGGTGTGGGTTTTTCTGCTTCGTTGACGGGAGCAGTTGGCTTGAATTGATTCGATATCGCAAGCGAAGGCTGCGCAGGAGGAAAGAATGAGGTCAGGAGAATAATTCTAGGAATAAAGAAGCGGAGTGAAGAATGGGAGGGAAGAAAAACTAGAGGATTGGGTTTGTCTTCGGATGTTGCGCAGAGCGGAGTTGTGGAGCATCTGGAAGCTCCCGCGATGTTGCTGGGGTTGGATCACAAGGTATCGATTTCATGGAAACTTCTCTTACCGGTGCGTCAGACATGATAAAATCGTGTTTATGGAGAATCCAGTGACTCCCCCTTTTTCTCTACTTCCAGTTTCCCCTCTTCATTCACCAATTGAAGTATTTAGTTCGACCTTTACGTGCAAACAGAGCAAACACCTTGATCAGGTTAAAGTGTACACGTGACTTCGTGTCGCTATCGGGTTTTACTTCAACGCGCGCGCGAGTCGATCTACAGACTCGGTCTCGCTGAATTGACCAAGAAAGCCCCATGGCTCTGCTGCAGGATGTCTCTGCTGCACTACTACGAGACACAGCGCTCCACCAAACGCAGGAAAATATCCGACGAGAACGTCGATCTGGACCGCAAGGAGAGCGATAAGCCGCCACGAAGCCCCAGTCCGTCCACTGGGGTGGTGGATACATTTCCAGTTGACGAGGCTGAACACCCGCCTAAAAGTAGTCAAACAGAACTTGAAACCTCATTGCCGGATATAGAGACGGACGAGCAGGCAATTCAAGCATATGAGGCATCACAGGCTGCGGATGACGCGGAGTCAGGCTTGCAAGTGAGATTGCGTGACGGCGTCTGGAAGAAGGGGAAAAGCTCCATCTATGTCGATGCTTTCAACTTGGCATTGGAGACCGTGCTGGATGAAGAACCACATCTCTTTAGTGAAGCCGAGACGGAGGTGTTTACGCAATGGAAGGGCTTGTCCTATGAGTCTCAGTATCTGTACGTCCATAAAACCTTTCCTTGTATCAATTATTCAGAGACGTTAATGGTATTAGATATGTGCGGCTTTTCTTGCGCAAGACTTCCGCATGGCATCGGGTCAATCGACTGGGCTATTATTCCGACATCTCCGACTTGTCTGCAGTAGCCGTTGATCTTCAGTACGATCGAACACTGCCGAAAGTTGAAGATCAAGAGCATAGTGAATTGGACTTTGAAGGCACCTTTCGCTTTGCCGATGGGACATCAGAGATTAAGACTCTGGAAGAGGCATCGTCTCTTTTATTGCTCGATGAACTAAAGGGATTTGCCAAGGAGGCCAAGGTACAGGGCAAGAACAAGAAAGAGCTGCTGGCAGCTCTATGTGAGACCAGTCAAACGCAAACAGGCCTTGGGTTCAAGAACGAGGCAGACAGCACACAATCTGAGAACAGAGAAAGCCATTTTTTAGAGAAGATCTTGGATTACACGGGCGATTGCATCCGGCTCTCTTCTGGACCTCGTGCTTTATTCGAGCGCGTGCATTTGGTCTTTTATAGATCAACCGAGTGGACCGAGAAATCACTGACGACAATCATTCTGGCCAAAATATCGCGGAGAAACTTCCCTGAATACATCGTATGCCGATCAAATTCCATATTCCCATCGAGGGGAGTCCTCATGGAATTTGAAGCTGCTCTGCGGACCCAGTTTGATATTGACAATATCCTGGAATTCAATGGCCCCCCGAGTACAGAGTCATTACAACGCATCATTGATCTCGCTAATAAGTTTCATCCTCGCTGGCAAGAATTAACCAAAGAAGAGCAACAGAAAGAAGATTCCATCTACGACAGCGGCGAGGGCGCTTATCTGCGCCGATTTTCTCCCGCATGGGTCTACACACGGATCATCCACAAAAGCCTGCATCCACTGGGTCGATTCAAGGAACATAAACGTGAGCATGAGGTCCTCACAGAGCTCCTTGACCAGCGTTTATTCCACGCTGCTCGTCGTGGCGCCTGGTACCAACGTAAAGCGCTCCTAGAAGAGCACTATATGTGGGCCTTAACGCCGTCAGAAGACCGAAACGAAGAAAAACAACGCAAGTTCTGGAAACGAATTGCGCTGCGAACGTGTGAGGAAGGCCTGGAAGATCCCCTCTGTCACTTGATATACCATTACGATCTGCAAAAACGTATAACAAAGCTTGAAAGGGCCCTGAAAGTCGTTAAGAGAGAACAACATGATTTCGGCCATGTGATGCTGAGCAAACCGGCTGAACGGACAATCGAGGGAATCCGTATCGAGCGGGATGAACCCGCGAAGAAAGGAAAAGCTACAATATGGATTGACGAGAGGGAAGGCGGGGAGTGTCGAGTGGAAAGCATGTGCTTAAGCTGGTACCGTGATCACGGCTGGAAAGGATATCACTCCGAAGGAGGCATCGTTCGAACTCTGGTAAGTCAATTCAATCTTCCCTAGATGTAAATGGATGTGAGAGTTAACGCAGGTTCACAGTTCGGAATCCTCTTCTACGATATCCTATTTACTTACGTCCCCAACGTCTTCCAAACACCATTCCAAACCTGTCCCCTCGATCTCCATACAGACGTGTTTTACCCATCTCGGGCATCAGAGATCAATCACCGACTAGTCGAGATTACGAATGGCGACGCAGAACGTATCATCCGGGAAACTCATACCCGTGAAGCAGCTACACAACCCTGTGCTATCGGCATTGACTGGTCATTTGAACTAGAGGATCTGCTTGAAATTGGGCGGTGTTTCCGAGGTGAGGCACTGGCTACTATCTGTAAGGTCATGGCACAGGAATACCAACAGCGTGGCGGTGGTATCCCTGATCTCTTTCTTTGGAATCCTGAGACGAAGACTGTCATGTTTGCGGAGGTCAAATCCGAGAATGATCGATTGAGTGATACACAGCGGTTATGGATCCATATTCTTCTGTCTGCCGGGGTCCAGGTTGAGCTGTGCAATGCCGTTGCGAGGGAAGTGAGGATGGAGTAGGTGTTATGTCTGCCCTTTTCAGAAAATGCACATAAGATAGATCGGGATCTTCCCGAAGCATATACTTGATGTCTTTATAAATGTTACACGAGTGGATGAGCTTTGGCTACAGGCTACAACTTGCCTTTGGCAAGAGAAATAAAATCAATAGGCATGAAAGGGGTATAACTCGTAATAGTCTTCTTTTTATCTGGCGTATCTAGCCCATGAAATCAAAATCCTAGGCATAACCCAGCATTATTGCTCCATGACCACGATCCTCCAAAACCACAAACCAACACACCGTTAATACGCTTATGCGACAAGGGTGGAGGCGGTGGCGCTCTCGTAACGCCAGGTGGGGGGCAGGACACCGACGGTCTTGTAGTAACGGGACAGACGGTGGATGCGGGACTCGATCAGAATCAGGCGGAACTTGGAGTCCTTGTCCTTGCGGTTACGCTCAAGGTGCTTGCGGACAGCGACGGCCTAGAGATTACAAAATTTAGATCGATCCGCAATCAAGGACAGGGGGAAGGGTATGGCATACCTTCTTGATCAGGAAGTAAAGGTCCTCGGGGAGTTCGGGGGCGAGGCCTGTATTCCAAAATCTCTCTGTCAGTCATGTTCTTGACCAAGCAGAGGCTTAGCTGCTGGTGCATTTCTGCGACCAGAGTTATAGGAGAATGAATGGATCGTTGCAGGTATGACACTCAAGGCAAAAGAAAGTTTCGGTTCTTTGCTCGAAGACAGTTTCCCATACAATTTCACACGTTCATTTCATCCAATTAAAGGGAAGAGAGGGTTGGCGATGGGAGTCGTACCGCTGGACTTCAAGATACGGAGGATCTTGTTACCTGTTAACGAAAAAAATATTATTAGCGACCGTCCAAATCATCCAGATTTTGGCGCAACTCCATCGAGAAATCCATACCAGTGACAATCTTGACCTGAGCAACACCGTGGCTGTCACGGAGGACAACACCGATCTGCGAAGGGGTGGCACCCTTCTTGGCGAGCTTGCAGATGTGGTCGACAACCTGGTCGGGGGTGGTCTTCAACCAGGCGGGAGCGGTGCGGGAGTAGGGGATGGCGGAGGACGAAATGCCCTTGCCCTTGGAGTGAAGGCGACCCATTGTTGCTGAAGTGTCCGGCGAGGAGAGCTGGTCGGAGGTTGTCGAGGTGGATGAGGAAATCGAAGTTCTTCGAGTGGAGATAATTTAGAAAGGTCGGACGGCGGGTGTGTGTGGATCACGTGGCTCGCTTATTTTGCAGGAATTTTCTCTGGACTTCAGTTCCGCAACTTCTATTTAATGCGGAATGCCCGCCCAGGTACTTCTTCAACTGTTCTGGTTTTATGTTTTCTAGACAGTGAAGACGAGTCTCGCAGAGATTCCCGTTATCGCCAACATCATCACCATTGTCACAAATTCTATGATCGCCTCCGACTTACATCTAACAGGTCAGTTTTGCCTCCCTATTCCTTGTCAACAATCCCCCCTTTTTTTTTATGATGAAAAACACATTTATACTTTTTTTCTGGTACCTCTTATGTCAGAGGCGTGTCTTCGGATGCGTCTCGATGATCTAACTGGACTTCTGATCTCATTCAATACACTATGAAATGTTTTCATACACATGGAGAAGCTTTCTTACTGACTGCTCTCTAGACAACAGGATTCTCTAAAAGCAATACTAGCATAGCAACCAATGGATTTACACTTGAACTTTATTTCATTCCAATTTTATGTCATTCGATGATTCCGTATGAGCGGCTATGGTGTATTCATCAATGCTCTAGTGTACATATTATTTTCAACGTAGTGTCAAACTCATCTATGGGTCTGATCATCTCATTAGCTCAACGTCGAAGTCTCTTGGATGTCCGTCGAGTTTCGCTTGTCTGCGAAGCATGAATAACTCCGTCTGGTGTTGCCTTGCGTTTCTTTACAGTTTTCTTGACAATGGGCTTGCTCTCAAGCTCTTCCAGTTTGACGGTGACGTCCTCATGCTTGGGGGCTGTCAAAGCCATCGATGTCGTGACTTCAGTTTTAATCTCAACCTTTGAATCGTCTTCTTTCACAGCTACTTCTACCTTTGTTGCTGCAAGTCGATCTGCAAAGGACCGCAAATTGGCTGTGAAAAGCACACTTTGCGCCCATCCGGCCTCCTGGCCCCAGAGCTTGCGGAAGTGGTTGGCCACGGAATCATATGTTGCTTTTGTCAGGGACTTATGAGAGCCCTTGCCGAAGCGGTAATCTCGCTGGGCAATTTGCCATACTGTCAATCGAATTAGAGCCATGTACGAGCGCCAGGACTTGTAGCAACTTACCATGAGTATCAACGGGCACAGATTCGCCCCATCCCAAACCCATCAAGCAAACACAGTCTGCCACCTTGGGCCCAACACCTTGAAGTTCCAGTAAGCTCTCATGGGCATCTCGGTATTTTTGGCGACCTTCGGGTCTCATCTCATCACCCGGCTTTGCCTCTACACCGAATGCAGGGGACTCTGGGTTAGAAAGCCCATCCAACCATCCTTTCTCTCGCTCTTGAGACACCATGACAGCGGTCTGGTAAAGATACTTAGCCCGGTATCCAAATCCCAAGGTGCGGAGTTTGCCTTCCACATCCTTGCCAGCTAATGCCTCGGGTGTCGGGAAGTCGTGATAGGCGCGGCCCTCAATTGTAGCAACGAATGGCCCGTAGTGAAGACACAGCTTTTCCACCATCTGAGAGATGCGCGAGATGTTGTTGTTGCTACTGCAAATGAATGAGACCAAGGCCTCCCACGCATCCTGGCGCAGTATCCGAATTCCGGTGAATTGAGGAGCCTTTTTCTTGAAATTAGGGTCATCAGAGGACCATTGCGCATACAGATCACCCAGATTGGATGAAAGGTTAAGGTAATGTTTGATTATGCGAAGGGTGTGGTCGTCTTTCATGTCACTGGATTCTGTGTCTGATTGCGCGCGAAAGGGTAAATCCGATGCAGGTGGGGTTGGGAGAGATGGAGATGATCGAGATTGATAGGTGCGATAGTATAGATAGCTTGAATCTTGTTTCAAAGAGATCAGGCGCCCATAAAGGACGCATCGCCATTCTTCACTTTCGGCAATGTTGTGCCATCTGCATGGGGGTCAGCATTGTGGAAGAAAGTTACCTAATTGGGAGGAACTGACCGAAAAGATTGACCACAACGTAGAGTGGTATTAATACAGAGCTCTGACAAGCTGACCGGCAGCTTGCGCCAATCTGAGAAAGCCATCTTTTAGGAGTTTATTTGCTGCGCTGAAACCTTGACGCGATAGAAAACGATAAGGAAGTGATTCTGCCGCAAATTCCCGCTTACTCCTATTATGGAAAGCGGTGAACACAGTACCGCCCCGTGCAGGAGCTTCCAGTTTTCCCCTTCACTGAAGCCAGCAAGAGCTTCTTCAACTCCTAAGCTCAACATGAACGGCGACACTTATTCTTCCAGGGGTGAGTTTCTTATAATTGGCCATCAGGAATTAGGCTAACAATTGCAGACTCTGGTCGTCCTCGCGACTACTACGTAAGTGCCAACGTTACAAGTGGCTTGAATGCGACTAACCCATTTTAGCGCGACGAGCGACGTGATCGAGACCGAGGAGATCGGGGTGATCGGGCAGAGAGACCTGAGAGAGGAGAGCGACGACGATCGCGATCACCTCACTACGGCCCACGAGGCGCGCGTCGTGAGCCTGAAGCCAACTCGTATTCCTCCAGCCGCGATTACCGTGCCCGTGAGCGCGAAGACCGCTACTCGAGCGGCCGAAGAGACGACCGGGAATGGGATCGTGGAGATCGAGGAGATCGAGGAGACCGGGGAGACCGGGGAGGAGATCGTGGCGATCGCCGCCGTCGACCTGACCGACCCGACTTTGAAGACAGACCTCCGAGACGTGACCTCTTCGAGGAGCGCCCCCGCCGTGGTGGTGCTGGAGGTGGTGACCGGGACCGTGGAGACCGCGGTGGTGATAGAAGAGAGCGCAAGAGATCCGCAACACCCCCCCGGAGGAAGGAGCCTACACCAGACCTGACCGATGTCCCGTCAATCTTGGAACGCAAGCGTCGTCTGACTCAATGGGATATCAAGCCCCCGGGTTATGAGAATGTCACTGCAGAGCAAGCCAAGCTCTCTGGTATGTTCCCTCTACCGGGAGCTCCCAGGCAACAACCAATGGATCCCAGTCGTCTGCAGGCGTTCATGGACCAGCCTGCCGGTGCTACGGAAAATACCGCCCTCAAGCCATCCAACTCCCGCCAATCCAAGCGTCTCTTTGTCTACAACATTCCTCCTGGCACCACTGGGGATGCCATAATTTCGTTCTTCAACCTACAGTTGAATGGCTTGAATGTGGTTCACAGCGTCGATCCTTGTATTTCTGCCCAGGTCTCAGAAGATCAGAAATTCGCTCTCTTGGAATTTAAAAGCCCTGCTGATGCCACTGTTGCTCTGGCATTCGATGGCATCACTATGGCAGAGAGCGGTGATAAGGGGCTGGAGGTCCGGCGCCCCAAGGATTACATTGTGCCCAATGGAAGTGCAGACCAGGAGTACCAGGAAGGCGTTCTTCTCAGCGAGGTACCCGACTCACCGAACAAGATTTGCGTGTCCAACATCCCGTCCTATATTCCCGAAGAGCCTGTCACAATGCTGCTGAAGTCGTTTGGTGAACTGAAGTCATTCATCCTGGTCAAGGATTCTTCCACTGAGGAATCACGGGTGAGTACTTGTTAATGACCTATTCCTACGTTCATTACTAACTCCTTTAGGGTATCGCCTTCTGTGAGTATGCTGATCCCGCCGCGACTCCTATCGCTGTGGAAGGTCTCAACGGTATGGAGCTCGGTGACCGCCATCTTAAGGTCGTCCGCGCTAGTATCGGTACTACCCAGGCAGCTGGTCTGGACATGGGAGTCAATGCGATGTCGATGTTTGCCAAGACTACTTCACAAGATATGGAGACTGGTCGTGTTCTGCAGCTTCTGAACATGGTCACTGTCGATGAACTTCTTGATAATGATGACTATGAGGAGATCTTGGAGGATGTCACTGAGGAGTGTGGAAAGTTCGGAAAGGTCTTGAGCCTGAAGATTCCTCGCCCCAGCGGTGGCAGTCGTAGCTCCTCGGGCGTTGGGAAGATCTTCGTCAAGTTCGACACCGAGCAATCGGCGACCAATGCCTTGAAGGCACTGGCTGGCCGTAAGTTCTCAGACCGAACTGTCGTTGTTTCTTACTTCGGAGAGGAAAATTTCGATGTTGATGCTTGGTGATTTGGGAGCGGGTCATCTTTTCTAGTCTTTTCGTTTCTCTTTGCTTCCTGCGGGAGTCCAAATGTATCATAGCAGGTAGGCAACACAAACAAACCACGTCACGGCTTACTGTTCCGAGGATTTCCAGTTGCCTAGTATTTCGTGTTATGTTCACACCCATGGCCATGTTGACTGTATTCACTGTATTCACGGATGATTGACGCAGATAGGAATGGTTCAATATCGTGAAAGTATATCCTATCAATTGAAATAGTTTGTCATGTCACCCACTCCCACAATTCTTTTTCCTTTTCTCCTATCCTTCCTCTCTTCATTCTCCTTCTCTACGTGACAACCTTTGAAGACCAATTTACTCCACAGCCTGAGGCAGGTCTCAAAAACCCAGCAGCCATACCTGACTTAGGGGGATCAGCACTCTGCTAGGAGCACTGGCAATAACAGTGACGCATTGGATATCACCTGTTTTGTAGGGTCCCTTTCACCTGCTCCTGAAACTCAACAACATTCTGACAGTCCTCATTAAGTCCGAAAGTGACAAGGTCAGCCTCAAGTCTCTCGGGAATCTCCGTGAAACAGTCATTATTCAATTATGAACATCGATCCATTCATATTCATGCACTGAAGTAATGTCATCAAAGGTCTTTTTTACAAAAGTTTATACAAAGAATGCATCCTTTTAACTTTTTTAGAGAGAGTTCAAATCTCTCATCTAGTGTTGAGCAAGAATGCGAGCGGCAGCAGCCTCCGCGATAACCATGATGGTGGCCTGGATGTTACCAGTGGGAAGGTCGGGGTGGATGCTACCATCGACAATGAACTATAAAGACATTCATTAGTCTCAAAATTGTATAGATGCTGTTGAAAGAAAGAAACAACTTACCAGGTTGTCAGTTCCGTACACCTTGGTGTTGATATCCACAACGGAGGTACCGTTCTCACGGCCATCATCGGTACCAAGCTTAGCAGTAGTGGTGTAGTGCATACCGGGGGACAGAGTGGCGATGATAGAAGACACATTGGTGTAGGTCTCCAACTCAAATCCAGAGTTAGGCTCATTGAAATCATCGACGAGCGACTGAATGAAGGAACGAGCAGCTTGGCGGTCACCAGCAGTCTGCAGGTAAGGAGACTGCTCAAAAACAGTCTTCTGGTTCTCGTCAATACCCAGCACACCCGATGAGGTGAGACCGTGAGTCATGTAAGTGGTGACATCGAGAACAGAGTCAGCGTTGGGAGCACAGGATCCCTGGTAGTAGCGAGTAGTGCCGTTGAGCTCGTTGGAAGAGAACCAAGTCAGACGGTGCTTGCCCTGGGTAAGGATACCATCTCCCTTGTCGTAGAGGCTGATATCCTTGGTGTCGCTACCGTTCAGGATACTTTCATAATCGGGAACGCCGAAATCGCCATCAGTCTTGGCCAGGATGGTGAAGATGGGGTGGTCCTTGAGACCAACTCCCACGGGCAGATTGATCCATTCTTCCTGTGGAGGCACGGTGATACCGGCCTTCTTCGCCGTCTCGATCTGCTTCTTGGGACCAATGCCGGAGTTGAAGAGCAGACGGGGAGTACCAAGTGCACCACCAGCAAGAACGACACGGCCGTTGGGGGCAATGTTTACAATCTCAGTCTTGCCAGAAGCAGTCTGCAGCTCAATGCCAGTGACCTGGCTTCCAGAGCGCACAACACGGAGGACCTTGGTGTTCAGGCCCAGGGTGAACTTGTGGCTCTTCTGGGCTAGGGGAAGATAGGTGCGGACGGGACCAGCGCGCATCTGGTCCTTGATGTTCCATGCCGGGTGACTGTAGACCTGGTACTTCTCATTGGGCTGGGTGATCATATTGACCGACTTCCAGCCAAGGTTGCTCAAGAACTTCGAGAGGACATTGTAAAGACCCTGGTCATAGTACTTGTCATCCGCCGAGGGCAAGATGGTACCGGGATTGCGCTTGTACAGCCTGGCCGCAGCATGCTTGAGATCTTTCCACTTCCAGCCTTCGGGCCAATTGTTGTTGTCATCAAAGTCGTGCTCTGGCGGGTGAACGAAAACCATGTAGTTGATAGTCACTCCACCACCAAGCACACAGGCAGCATATCCTACAGTATCAGAGCATAGGTATTCATCCCACGCATCAAGCGAACCAACGTCGGCAGATAGTCCAGGCAAGTCGATTGAGGTCAGGTTCTCGTTCCACGGGAGGGTTTCGTTCGCGCCGGTTGCGACTGTTGGGCCGGTACCTTGTTCAAGGAGGAGCACACTCTTGCCAGCCTCGACAAAGCGCTCGGCAGTAATGATACCAGCGGGACCACCACCGACAACGATGTAGTCATAAGAGCCATTCTTGAAGGTGGTCGCTGAGCTCAGGGTTCCAGCAGCAGCCAGAAGGGCTGCTTGGCAGCCTCGAGAGAATCGCATTGTAAAACAATCAACAGATTGAAGTCGAAATCTGGAATTCCTTTCTACCGGGCGTGGATCCTTTTAAGAATCTAGTTTACATCCAGTGGCCTGTTGACATGGGTTTTAAGGCCGAAAACCGATCTTGGGAGTCTTCCATGGTGCCATTAATCCCGATCGTGTGGCTACCTTCCTGGTCTGGTTTAGAGTTGCTTACAGCAAAATTGAAAATGCTGAGAAAGCGGCTGACACTAGAGTATATGAAATCCTGGTGGATTCTGCAAGCCACTGAGCATAGAAAACTCCCAGGACCCATGCCAGAAGAAGAATAGTGTAAGTCCATCATTATATGTCAGCGCATGTTATCCACTCAAATATCATCAATGGCTCCACTCGGGACGCCAACGGCTTCCCGAGAGGCCGTTCTGTTCGACTTGCTCCGTCGGACCCATGTTTCGGACCGGCCGGTATCCTATGATACGAATGGGTTGAGTGGGGACGTTTCTGAAGAGGCAGGGATCATTGAGACAAAATCTCATTAACTCGACTTGCATTATCTGATTGAGATCACCGTTGTCCGGCTGTTCGTTCACCCGGAATAACTAGGCATTTTTGAGACCGCCATCAATGACCCTTGAAACTACCGAAATAAACATTGCTTCACACCTTATGCGGAACCTCAATTGCATATATTGAGCTTCCGGTCAAAAGCAGGGATGCCCAAGGTAATATTATTGAGAGACCGCGACAGCTGCTCCACCTACACTGGGGCTGATCGTGATCAACACTCGGCTCACACCGGAGATAGTAATGATCATAGAATAGACATGATCTTAGTTGCTTGAATTCCGGTCTTGCTCGGCAGAGACGGTTCGTTCGGCTGTTTTATCTGATCATCAGCCCCGCTCCGTATAGCCTATGAGGTACTCGTTTCGCTGCCAAACAGGTTTTTGGTCGAGTGGTCAGGGGCATTTGGTCATGCTACTACGCATAATTATTTCTTACTAGAGGAAACATGAACAAGATAATGGTCAGGGGCTTTTTTATCAGGGTTGTTGATCCAACCATACCCGAGCACTACTGAAGAAGAAGAGCAAGATAGCTTGATAGGAATTTAGAAGGTAGCCACGGACTATTTTTTAATTCTTCTAGGCCCATATGTCTAACCCGATGAATAGCTTGCTTCTAGGGCTTTAAACACAATATCTCACCTATTTTTGCCTTTCGATGCCCCTCCAGCCAGCTTCTCTAGTAGGGTTGCTATATGTTCTGACGTAGGAATTGAGTAGACACGTGATGTGACCATGTAAGCCTCTTCTCTCTCATCTTCCATTTCTCCAGAAGCAACTGATCCAATTCATTCATCTGGCTGAGATAGCTTCGTGACCAAACTGGCATTCACCATGTCGTCCGCAGCTAGGAATCTCCTCACACAGGGGAGTCACAAATCCGACCGGGACCCCGAACTCTTCACTCTGCAGATTATGATTCTTCGACCTAGCAAATAAACAAAGAATAAGCCAGAAGATTTGGTAGATGATGGTGAGGATCTACTGAGCATTTCAGGACGAGTAAAAAAGGAAACCTGGGAAGTTGCGCTCCCCTCACTGTGTGACGATCCCCAGACTTCAACCCCGCATTTTCTCCGCATGGAAATGCTCGGCGACTCCTCCCTTGATTTTCCACCCGTCAATCTATTCCGACTCTCCATTCACCTACGCTTTTCCATCCGACGCAATATGCGGAGCAAGGCCACTCCTTGGTGAGTACCCACACCGCCAATGCAGTGACAACCACTGATCAAATCACACAGCCAGGAATGCCGATGTAAGTGGCATCAAATAAGCCGAGCAGTGGAAACTAGCTGATTATACATTTCAGCTCGTCATGTGAAGTGTGAGTACATTCAGGATTCTTTAGTTGTCAATCTTGGAAGTACTGATCAATCTAGGCGATGGGCAAAAGCCGAAATGCCATCGGTGCAAGCGCACAGGCTCTTCTTGCCTCTGGCAGGCTATTTCTTCGAGATTTCGTCATGGATCTAGTGCCAGTGCTCAGTATGATTTTGCAGATGACCAACCTTGGTTACCTGCTGGTTACGGTGTGGAGACCCGAGTGCCTGTTGTATTCATTGCCAATCGCAGCTACTAATTCGATAACAGTGGATTATAAGTATATCGATGAGACAGCCGATATAGCTCAGAATTATTATATAGGGTATGACCCTACATCCCCCTCGGCATCGGAGAGACGCCGGAGTGTGTTCTCTGAGGATCGGACTTATGCCGAGTCGTCTACCCTCACCGAAACGGCCAAAGCAGCTCCAAATATATCCAATCCATTAGTGCAGTCACACGGGCCCGATACTAATCTGGGCTACTCACCATGTGCCTTGCAGCTGTCACCAGCAAATCAGTCACTGTCCGCTTCTCCTCACTTTTCACATTGCAGCCATTCCTCTCAAGGGTCGCGTGATTCCGTCAATCCAATTCACGGGGAACTACCCAACCTAGATGAGCATGAGGCCTGCCTTATGCGATATTTCGTTGTTGAGCTAGCGCCTTGGGTACGTACCTGAAGATTCTTGTAATACTCAGCTCATATCTTATAGTTCGATATTTGCGACGGGGAGCGCCATTTTGCTTGCACAGTACCTTTACGAGCTCGAACTTGTCCACCTTTGCTCAATGCCATCTATACTGCTTCGGCCAGACATTTGAGCCGGATCAAAAAACATTGGCGTGGGAATCAGGTATATTATGGAGGCAAGGCCTTACCAAATCTGACGTCGGAGACAGCCATCCATTACCACAACGAGTGCATAGCCCATTTCGTTTCACTTTCAGACCACTCGCGGGAGGCCCAGGATGAAAATCTCCTTGCCGCGGCTGTAATATTACGTTTCTATGAAGAGGTAGATTGTAAGTTAGCTTTACTTTGACAGATTTGCTTGCCGCTAACTCCGATCAAGTTCCTGCTATGGGCCAGGACACTGAAAGTGCACTGCGGGGTATCCAAATCTTTCTAGAAGCTCAGATCATGCCCGCAGTATCTGGATACGGGCTGCGCCATGCAGCTTATTGGATTGCCCTGCGACAAGAAATCACCACCGCATTTAGCAAACAACGAACCTTCCGACTCCCTTTGGGACCCTGTGAGCCATATCGATCCTTTGAGCCCGCCGATGACTACGTCTGGGCGGACAGGCTAGTGATTCACTGTGCCGATGTACTCCAGTATTGTTATGGGTCCGAGGAAGACCTGCCCAGGGACCGACATCAGTCGAGCATGGGAATTCTGCACCAACCAGGAACCGACATGCGCCTCGCACGCTACGAGGAGCTCGTCGCTTTTGAAAATCTCTGGACTGAGCTAGGTCCGCCCAGTTTCAAACCCATCTATTCCCGAGAGCCTGATCGCTCATGCGGTGAGGTCTTCCCCGAGCTGTGGTACCTGAACAACTGCCATGTTGCAGGCCTCCAGTTTCTCGAACTTGCACGGATTTTGCTCACGGTATACAATCCCAAGCTGCCCCGTCTCGGTCCCGGTCAGCGCACAGTAATGCGATCGGTGGATCAACAAGTGCGGTCGATTGTTGTGCGGTTATGTGGGATTGCGCTCTCTAATGAACATAGTCCTCCTGGTCTGGTGACGGCCTCCGCTGCAATTGGAATGTGTGGAGATCGGTTTACCGAGAAATTGGAACAGGAGGCTTTGCTTGGTGTTTTGATTCAGTTGGAGGACAAGCATGCGTATCCCACTTCGAGTGCCCAGGAATCGTTGAAAGTAGCGTGGGGTTGGGAGGGGTACGATGAGGAGTAATGCAGCAATGAACGAAACATGTACAAGTGAAATCCATATCTCGCGATTTAAATGAGGAGAGAATCTCCAAATTGGTCATGTTCAATCATGTATTAGAGATCGGAGAGAAAGCATTCGCCGCAACCTACCATGTTCAGTAATTTCGATGAACTGTATGTACGGAGATCAAAGTGCGGGGAAGTGGAGTCGCCAGGAAAGGCATTCGTCGCCGTCGAACTACTCAATCAAGTAGAATGCAAACAGCACATCAGTCTTCTCCGATGAGGGGCATATGCATAATCTGGAATCTTAGCTATATAAGTCTCGCTCCAATCCATATGGTTTCTGGTCTATACTCTCCAAGCCCTCTATAGAATCAATTCCTTTCACCATGACCGAAAAGCTCCAAGTTGCCGTCGCCGGTATTGGCCGCATGGGTAAGACAATACTTCAATTCCGCCTTGATTGAGCTAATGGATGAAAACTTCTAGGCATGCGCCATGCCCGTCACTTCGCAACACTGACGCCCCGTGCCGAGCTCATCGCCGTCTGCTCGCCCGTGCAAGCCGAGCTAGATGCCGCGAAGAACGAATTCAAGGGTGTGCGCACCTACCTTGACTACGACCAGATGCTGTCTCAGGAAAAGTCTCTCCAGGCCGTTGTCGTTGCTAGTGCGACTACCGTGCACGCTGAGCAGGCAATCAAGGCCATTGAGCGGGGATTACATGTTCTCTGCGAGAAGCCCATTAGTACCAGCCCGGAGATTGTAAGGACAAACCCCAAAGAACACCAATATCTCGAACCACTTTCTAACATTCTATCTTCTTTGGATCTAGTCCCAATCAGTGGTCGACACTTACAAGAGATCCATCCAAAAATTCCCCAACCAAAAAGTCATCTGCGGATTCTCCCGTCGCTTCGACGCCTCCTACCGGGATGCACACCGACGCATGGCATCCGGCGACATCGGGACCCCCTCCGTCTTCCGCTCGCAGACATGCGACAAGCTCGATCCAAGTGGATTCTTCGTGGCCTATGCCGAGTTCTCGGGTGGTATCTTTGTGGACTGCTCGATTCACGATATTGATCTGGCATTGTGGTTCTTCGGCGAGGATACCAAGGTAAAGAGCGTCACTGCTATCGGTATCACAGCCGTGCAGCCCGATCTGCGCAAACATAATGATCGTGATAATGCGTTGGGCATCATTGAATTCTATGTAAGCATCCTTTCTCATACCAGACAGACCAGATGCTCATTGGACACCAGGGCGGCAAAATCGCCCAACTCTACTGCTCTCGTATGATGGCGGCTGGTCAAGAAGACTGCACTGAAGTCTTTGGTACAAACGGCAAGATCGCTGTCAACACGCAGCCCCAGTTGAACCTCGTGAACCTGTATGAGTCGACTGGTATCCGACGCGAGATTCCAGCCGATTATTATGGACGGTTCCGGGAGGCGTTCATCACCGAGGCGAATGAGTTTACGGCTTCTTGTTTGGATAACACTGCCCCGCCGTTGCGGTTGGATTCGGCCGTGAAAGCCGTTACTATTGGGTGTGCCTTGCAGGAGTCATTGATCACCGGGAAGAAGATCGAGTTTTCGGAGAATGGGGCTCGGGCGAAGCTGTAGGTCATTCTTTTGATTTAAATGGTCAACGGCTTGTTTATAGAGTGTCGATTTGTTTTCTTGTTCATGAGTATACTTCTTTTGGCCATAGACTCCCAGGAGATAAATAGAATGAACTATGATACAGCACATGAAACCCAATTCCTGAATTCAATACTGAATACTTTACTAGAAATAACTCTGGTATATTTTAGCGGCCTCGATAATGGATTAGCGCTATAGAATCAGGTTAGTTTGGCGCTGTCTCAGTTCGGCTCCACAGTGCTAAGCCTCACAGCCTTACGAGCACAATCGCCCTCCCCTTCCCACTTCTCTTTTCTTTGGATTTTCTTGTCTGCTGTTTCTTCTTCTCCCAAATCAGAAGTTCACAAAATGCAAACCTCCAATCTCCCGACCGAGAAGGTCGACGCCGAGACCACGCCCAGGTCAATCAAAGACACCGACATCCTCCAACCACTACAGTTCCTTGTCGCCGCCCGTCGCGGCGTCCAAATGGACCCTTCTTTCAGTGCGATCAATATCCCGGAAGACAGATACATAACCTATAACGGTGACTCGGGATTCGAGTCACAAAGTTCCCGGACACCGTTCTGGATCCGATGCGTCATCGCCCTGGGATATATGCATAATGTGTAAAAATTCTCCCACCAAAACAACAATTTCCAGCAAGCATCTAGCTAATGACAAAATATAGTTCCAAGATTGGATTAGTATTTGTGGTATTTGCAGAGGCAATGAATATCTCCCGTGATACAATGCGGGATAGTCCCAAAGAATTAAAGAGAAAGCCACTCCTTCAAGATGTTCTCTGGTCTTCATACTGGACGGTGGGGGCCATTCTGCTCCTCTTTCTTTCGAGGGTATACGCCAAACGACATATGGCGAAGAGGATCCCTCCCCACCTGGATCCATTGTCATATCAGTCCCAGTTCAAAAGTGCTCTGGATGAGCAGGGGTGGCAGTATCGCGAGATTGTTGGCCGCTCACTCAAAGATATGGAGAAGATCTGGTCCAAGGATCGGAGTCAGGTTGAAAGGTTTCGGGTGGAGGGGCTCATGGATCCGCCAAGTGATCGTGCTTATGATGTGGTGGTTATCTTGCGCAAGGAGGGCAAGGTCCAGATGTCGTTTCGGGCGCCAGAAGAGGGTATGCCATTACCTGCTGGTATTGTTTTGACGATTGCTGATAAATAAAGAGTCCGCAAGTTGGAGCAAAAGAATTGTACCTCTGCTGAATGTGGTCGTGAATCTGGCTGTGTTATATTACATTCCCACGTTGTTCCCATTTTTCATCATAGCCCAAAAGCCAATTACGGAAATCCTATGGACCAAAGCTTGAGTTTTGGTTTCTGAGCCGGCAGAAGGGTCAGAGAAGTATAGATTTCAGGACTCGAAGTGGAGTTCATGTCCTCACCCAATCGTCACATCCCGCTCCTGCAAATCCTCACTCCTCGAACTAGACCCAACATAAAATGTATACCTCCCCTTCTCCACAATCCACTCCATATTCAAATAATACCCCATCTCCTCCTGCGGGACTACAAAAGTGACAACTTTCGACCGACCAGCCCCAAGACCAACCTTGGCAAAACGAATCAGCCGTTTAACGGGCAACTCAATCGTCGACAAACTCTGCCTAAAATAAAGCTGCACAACCTCCTGTCCAGCGACGCTCCCCGTATTCGTGACAGTAGCCGAGACTTCAAACGCTGGATCTCCCCCATCCGAGGCCTGCTTCACCTCAACCTCCGAGATGTTGAACGAGGTATAGCTAAGCCCAAATCCAAACGCCATCGGTGGCTCAATCGTAAGGGCAGGAAACTGCCAAGCAGATGACCCATGGATTGGGCTCCCAGAGCTTCCTCCGTGGTTATCGGATGGTAACCAGTTATAGGCGACGGGGAACGCGCCATTCGCCTGCGGGAGACTGATAGGAAGTTTGCCGCTGGGGTTCACCTGCCCGGAGAGAATCTCCACAACCGAGTCAGCGGTATATTCGCCCGCCAAGAACGTGTGGAGGATTGCATTTGCGCGGAGGGTCGAGTTGTTCAGAACGAATGCTTGTCCGCCGCTGAGGACTATGATCGTAGGAACGCCCGTGTCGAGGACGGCATCTATCAGTTCTTGTTGGAGACCTGGGAAGCCTAAGTCGGCATGTGTGAAAAACTCTCCATCTGTACGTTTGTCGTAGAGGGGATCGCTTGCGTAGACTGACAGTGAGCCTACAGATAGGATGGCCAAGTCGGCGGAGTTGGCTGCCGTTACCGCGCTGGCTATGCCGGTGGAATTCGATCGGTCGAGGAAGTCTACGCCTGGTTCGTGTATGACATTTTGGGACCCGAGGGCGTGCTGCAGGCTTTGAAGGAGGGAGTTGCCGTGGGTTTGATCCGCTGTGCTGTGGGGTGCGTAAGAACCTGGATCGATGATCGAGGCATACGGTCCTAGTACTGCGATGGTACGGGATTTGTTTTCTCCCAGGGGGAGAAAACCATCGTTCTGAAGCAGTACGATTGATTCGCGAGAGATATTGCGCGCTGCTTCGAGGTGCGGTGGCGCACGAAGGATCTTGATAGCATTTTCAACTGAGGGCAGAGGCGAATCAAAGAGACCAAGGTTGAATTTGAGCTCGAGAATTTTAAACGTAGCATTCGATACCAGCGCTGTAATCTCAGCGTCGTTGGTTACATTGACCAGCGTTTGTGTGGCAGACTCTTCTCCCGGCGAGAGTTCCATCTGCATGCCTGCCTTGACGGCCAAGATCGCCGCATCTTGAGATGTCTGGGCGATTCTGAATTCCCCTGCCAAATCATTCAGGGCTCCAGCATCAGACATGATAATCCCCTCAAACTTGAGATCGTCTCGAAGAACCCGTTGGAGCATGAACTTGTTCGCAGACATTGGAACCCGATCAAGGCTAGAATAAGAAACCATCAACGAAGCAGGATTCCCCTCGGAGATGATCCTAATAAACGGAGGCAGCATATCGTTGTAGACATGATTGATGCCCCCATACTGATGCGCTGTGTTGATGCCGCCAGCCTCCCAGCCGTAAACAAAATGCTTAATTGTGGCTGCGACCTTCATAAACCCATTCTCGTCTTTCTCTTGGATGGTTTGGACGTATCTCAAGCCGAACTCTCCATTCAAGTACGGATCTTCGCCATATCTAGATGTCGAATCAATACCAGTCTAGGAGGAGGTGAGTGTCGAAGAAACTCACGTTTCACCCACACGGCCATATCGAGGATCCGTCACAACATCCAACTCCGGTGACAAAACCCAGTTGATACCGATTGCCTTGCACTCTTCCCGGATCGAGGCGATAACCTCTCCATAGAGGGGAACATTGAACGACGACGCCATAGACAATGTGCCGGGGAACAAGGTCCCGTTGAACAAGTAGATTCCATTGATGGAGTCCGTTACAAGAACATAAGGAATTCCCAGACCTGACGCCGTCTGGTTCTCTCGAAGCTTGTTCACTAGCTGTAAGGCTGGGAGAGCGGGATTGAACTGATTGCCATATCCTGTTGGCATTAGATTAAGCCTTGAAGGACAGGAGATCAGGCCCAGGTACCTATATTGCCATCTTGTGCTTCGTTGAAGATATCAAATTTTGTCTTGTTGAAAGACATGTTTCCGCCAAGTACCTGGCGGATGCCACCAAGTTGTTTTACCTTTTCGGACCATGACATTCGCGCAAGAAGATCTTCGGCTCGTTGGGTTGAAGTGCAGGAAGGATCCTTGTAAATATCTCCATTGTTTCCACAAATCGTGCTCATGGCATGTTGAGGAAGTACCGTTAATAGAACAGCTGTATAGTCGAGTACCCTCATATTGTATAGAAAGGAAATTACGGAACGGCCCTGAAAGCCACGAGAATTCGACTCGTAGGAGATTGAATTTGTCTTGAAATTGATGCCCAGGCTACAACCTACCAGGACACAATACCTTTATATACGTAAAATAGATTTTACTTTCAATAACTCAAAAACTCGTGGTTCATGACGCGATATGGTGCTATAATGAGGGGGAAGCTTCAACAGCCTATAGTATTAGCGAGAATCCGACTCCCGCCGACTGCCGTCCAAACAGCACGGACGTGGAGAAAAGGACGGGGTAAGCTAAAGCCAAGAAAGCTGGAAAGCGGAGTACATATGTTCTTAGCGGTCATTGGAGTCACTTCCAAGGTTCATCGAGCTCTACCAAAGATATTTGACTAAGGAAATGCCGAAGCGCTGCAATTGACTAACACACGGACAGACGGCCAAAAAAGAACCAAATGCCCAAAAGAAATTAACGAGAAAATGAGCGGGTAATAGGGCACACAGAAAGCGGGCAAGAACAAGAGATGGCGTAGCAAAAAGTACATCACAAGAAGTTAATAAAAAGAAAAGGTCTTAAGCAACCCCCGCGGATCGTATTATTCAAAACCATTCTTTTTGCGATGCGTGGGCCCATCCAGTGGAAGATAAAGTAGAGCAGCGCGTCAAGGAGATCAGAGGGAGTGTGATGTGAGACAATAAGGAAAAAAATATCAGAGAGTGAGAGAGTCGAGGGTGGGATGGGGAATCAGCGGGCGTCAATGGCAGGCGTGAGAGTCTTAGCGAAGGGAGAAACCCTTGCGCTTGCCTCCCTTTTCTTCGATGGGTCGGCCGCTCTCCAGGCGGGATTTCTTTTCGTCTAGCTCCTGGCGCTGCCGGTCGAGCTGGTCCTTCATCTCGCGGTGTCGGGCATAGAGTTCGTCTTCGCTCTGTTTGAGCTTGCTTTCCTTTTCCGATACCTTTTGCTGGAAGACCATCTTCATTTCGGCTTCCATCTTGGATAGCTTCTGCTCGTGCAGGTTGCGCTCCTCCTCCTGCTTGACGGCCGGGTTGACCTCCTTGAACACGCTCGGGTCCTGGGCAACACCCATCTGGGTAAGCTTGTCCGAGCGGTAGTTCTCGTATAGGAAGTTGTTGGTGTGCTCCTTGAGCTCCTCCATGTGGGTGCGGATCAGCATCTGGCGCAGCTTGACAAAGTCACAGTGCTCCTCGTTGTCGACCTCAATGATACCCCAGGGGTAGCTACGGCCACGCACACGACGGCCATCGGCGGCGGTCACCTCTGAGTTGGCACCAACAACGGCGAACGGCACCTTGGACATGATCTCGTTGTTCTCGGCAATGGTCTCCTCGTCATCAAGCTCATAGCGGGGGCCCTCGAAGATCTGGATGGAGTGGTGGGTGATATCGGCCAAGATCTATTCAATTGTTAGAAACGGATTTTCTCAGGGTTGTAAGATGGTCAGACGTACGCGCTCCTTGAACAGGGCAACCTCCTCGTCGGTCAGGGTATCGGCCTTGGCGATGACCGGGATCAGGTTGACCTTGGTATGCAGGCGGCGCATCACCTCAATGTCGAGAGGCTTCAGGGAGTGGCCAGTGGGCTGGATGAAGTAAACGCAGGCGTGGATGCGGTTGTCGACAATGTTGCTGCGGTTGACCTTGTTCTCGGCCTCGAGGTATGTGTCGTAGCGCTGCTCGATGTTCTCGACAATGGGGCGCCACGAGTCGTCGTTGTTGACAAAGTCGCCGAATCCGGGGGTGTCAACCACGGTTAGGCGGAGACGCACGCCGTTCTCCTCGATATCGGCGCTGGTCGACTGGATGGACACGGTCTTGGGAATGATGTCGGCATTGGGGCCGGTGCGCTCCTTAGGGGGTACAGGGAAGTGTTGAACAGGGTGTTGACAAGGGTAGACTTTCCAAGACCGGATTCACCTTTTTGTCGCGTTAGTCATTTTCCTCCGGGCCGGATTGCGTTGGATCTGTTCACATACCGACCACCATAACATTGAAGTTGAAACCCTTGCGAACACTCTTGCGGTGCCACTGGTTGGGCAGGTTGGCGAATCCAACATATCCGGTAAGCTTGCGGCGGACAACGTTCTTCATATCGGTTGCGGCCTGAGCAACGGCCTTCGGGTCACGGGAGCTGACGGTCTGGGCGATACCCTGACCCATGGGGTTGCTGCGCTCGACGAACGGCGACTCCTTGCCGCTGCTGGGCGTGGGGGAGTCGTGGGATGCGATGGGGGAACCATTCGCAGGTGGCGGCGAAGCTAAACATCATCTATCAGTCTTCGATTCGGTGGATTGCATGAGCTCTGTTTAGAGAGCTGGCGCTTTTCCGCCCCGGGGCCGCTTACACATGGCGAACGATTAGACGAGGAAATAGGGAGAAGGCAACACTAAAAGAACCCCTGACGGTAAATTAAATCATCAGCATCTGCATTGATATTCTAGTGGGGTCCATTGAGACTGGGGAAAGATGGGAAAAAATCTCAGGTTGGATCAGAGATGGTTAAGGAGGTCATACCTGGACGAGGAAAAAAAGGGGCGTGTCCTTTTTTTACAGAATGATATCAAAAAAACAGAAAGCGAGTGAAAAGAAGAAAGCTTCGAAGGCTTTGAAGAGAAGGAAAAAGGAAAGGAGTTGTTGGAGAGGAGGGAAGTGCCAGTCTGGGAAAGAAAGGGGGGGGACGTGTCGAGGTGTTCGGGCCAGCTATTCTGGAGTGGGTTTGGATCGACCCGCGCCAAAATATACGTTGGAAAAAAAAAGGAAAAAGAGATGCACCAATTCAAATCTATATATGCACTGCAATATTCCAAGGGAGCAGTTTCGGGGTCCAACTGCATTTGCATGGCTCTTTCACCAACCTCAGTCCTAATTACTATTGCCGCGTTTCTGCAAAAGAATGTCCTGGTCGCTACAGGGAGTATACTGCATGGTCTAGAACAAATCAAGTTAACTGAAGCCCGAACAGGTATGAGCCCGTCAAAATTGAATCCCCAAGCTTTTCTGTCCTTCCCCAACCCTTCTATAGGGCTGTCGTACAGCTATCAATCTCCGGGAACGAGGTTTCTAAGTACGGGAGGTCAATAAATGAATGGATCAGGGGTTAAACGGGGGAAGTTCTCACGTGATACTCCACTCTACACCTGTGGGTCCCCAAGATCAGATGACTGGGATACTACAAACTGGTCCATTGAGATTAAAGTCAAGAATATTCATTTTCATAGAAACGCCATCCTGTATAAAACACAAGTGTAGATGAGGCAAGAGATAAAACATAAAGGGAACTAGCTGTACATTTATTAGCCGGTCTTGGTCTTCTTCTTCGGCCGCGATTCAGCGTCCGATCCAGCTCCTTCATCACCGGAGGCATCGCCCATCTCTTCGTCGCTGTCGCCACTGCTCTCGTGATCCTCATCAAACTCTTCGGCCACGTCAGACTCCGAAGATGCGTTGAAGTCCTCGTCAGGGGAATCCGAATCCTCATCGGCCGAGCCACGATCAGCCCGGGCGCCTTCATCATCGCTGGATTCCATCATCTCATCAGGGTCAAGGGCTGCCTTCAGGAGGCCGGAGGCATCTTCGGTCATCTCATTCTTAATGCGAATACCCTTGGCCTTGAAGAAGTCCTCCAGAGGTTGTTGCTCCTCACTAAAAGACAGCTATATTAGACTTGACACGCAAAAGTAACGGATTGCTGAGTCACTTACCGGTTGATATTGCTGAACTGGTGTTCGCCCAGACCGCCCTTCAGGGTCACGGTGATATCAAAGGTGCGGCTGGCCGAGACCGCACCTCCGACACGCGACATCGTCACTATCGCCACATTCTCCATTTGAATGTAGGTTGCCGGTTTGGGCACAAAGATCAGGCTCTTATCCAGGAAGTACAACAAACCCTCATTGGCCTTGATGGAACACTTAACTCCATGATGGCCGTGGTGGCTGACGAAATCTTTGGACGGCATGATGACCTTCTTGCCCGACAGGCCCCGGAAAATTTTGGTCACCACCTGGTGAATGGGCTCCTCGTACTGTGGTTGCAGCTTATCCTTGTATTGGGTGTTCAGCAGATCCTCGGTCATGTTGAGCTCGAGGCTGATCTCTTCGTCCAGCTTCAATTGCATCACCAGGAAGGGATAGCGGGTCTGACCCTGGCGCAGTGGAGGGTCAAGACCCAGAACAATGAGTGTGTGAGTGTCGTCATTCTTGGGGAGCAAAAAGAACTTTTTGATGGCGGTGTACTGGATTTTGTAATCGTAGGTTTTTCCGCGGAGTCGGAAGGACGATTCGTACATATCAATATCGAAACGACCACTGAGAAAATAGTTAGTAGAGAACTTCTAAAAAAAGGGGACAGAGACCGACCGAGGCGTAAGATGCAGAACATCCAAAAAGGTCGCAAATGTGTCACCAGCCACATCACCGATCTCAGCCTTGTCCATGAGAGTCTCGTAGAAGAGGTTTGCAGCGTTCTGTTCCTCCACTTCTTCCTCATTATCTTCATCGCCCTCAGCATCCTCGGCCTTCTCCTTCTTCGAGACGGTGCCGGGAATGTAGAATCGCATTTCAACCAGCTCGTCTGGACCTGCAGCAGCTTTGCGACCGCGGTTTTTGGTGCTTCCAGCCGGCTGGGCATTGGTACCATTCGTGTCCGTAGCGGAGAGCGCGAACTCCACCGCCACCTCGTTCTTTCCAGCCAGGTTGGTGTTAGAGATTTCGGAGTATGGGACCTCAAAGGCGGGTCGGTTCTGCACGTTGAAGGAAAGCTCGGCCTTGGTGAATTCTGCCTTGCCCCAATTCCATCCTCGCAGGGCGTGTTCGCGGTTCTCAACGTTGATACCGTACCAGATCTTGAAAGCCTTGGACAACCGTTCAAAGTCCTATTGAATCCAATGCGTTAGTAAGGCCATTTCACCACGGCGTCTCTTCCCATACCTCTTGGTCAAAGCCATCCAGCTGGATCACACCGGATGATCGCGACAAGATCCTCAACTCAAACCCTTTCGCTGCGCGACTCCACTGAGCGCCACCAATGTTACTGCTGTCCAGGGTGAAGGTGTCGCCTCCGCCTGCAGGGCGCCATCCCAGACCACTCTCTGCCAGCTTGCACTTGCCAGCATTGTTGGAGAGGTCAAGGTGGATGTTGTCAAAGCTCTCCCTGGAAGATGGTCAGCGCAGGAAGTTCCCGGGGTGCTACAAGGGGGATGTACATGGTGGAGAGGCTCTCGGAGTTGTGGTGTCTGTGTAGCGTTGAAATATGACAACTGGGGTTAATGGGTCGAATGAGAGGCGTGGAGGTTAGGAGGGAGGATGGGTGTGGGGAGAGGAGGTTAGATAGCTCTCAGAATTTCTCGGATTCTCGCGTTGTCGCGCGCCGCAGAAAGGACCACTTCATCCCATTTACGGACTAGTGTTGTTGCCTAAGGTTCATTCGGAACACCAATCATCGGAGGTCCGCAACCAAATACATACCCTCTTTGTTCATATAATCTTGATCGGTTTTCATTCATGAACATACTTGCATCTGAGCAATATCACTCATTTTGATTATATGTAGTATATAGTTGGGAGTTTCTTTGGTCTTTTCAATGGGGCTCGAGTCCATCTCCTGGTGATTGGCCGGGTGCCCAGAAGGATGCAAAATATATAATCACGCCCTATTTCAATACCTGTGGCCGAGAACGTTGAGCTGGGAGCAAAAACCACTAAGGCTCCGAGCTTTACACGAATAAACTTAATGGAGCTTCTTTAGTCTCCAGACTCTAAAGTCAAATCTTCACAGGGGTATATCTCTATTTTCCTGGCAAGAAAGCCATGGAGGCTTTTTCAAGGTACAATAAGCGGTAGACCACTTCGCAAACCACAACCGTACATGAGCGGTCTGGGGATTACAATGCACTATGACTGACTTTCCCTTTAGAAGGGATAGCCCACTAGAGAATGCAAGGGGTATGATCCAGAATCCATACTGCAGACTACATAAAGCATAGAGCACTGGGTTATGAAGATCACGCGTCGCAACGATATCATTGGTTAACTCTATTGTCTGAAACCAATTATCAGTGACATCGGGATATGTTGTAGACAAACAAGCAGACCCACCTTACCAAACAATGCAAACCCACGTTTTTTCAATCGTAATATCCGATGTGCCTCAAAATCAGGAATTGAAAGCAACATAATTATAAATATTAGACTCGCATTCGAAGGCTTCAAGCTCCGAACCTACTACAGCTACGCTGGAAAAAGCCATTTCAGATCCTTGAAAGCAACATGCTTCAATCGCGCCTGCAGGCACTGCCCCGCCGCAATCCCACCACACCAGCTGCCCCGGCACCCGATCTCAAAGACCTAACTACGGAGTCTGAGCTAGAGGAATCCCCAGAGGACATACTCGAGAGCTTTATAGCCCACCTCTTCCCCGATGATGCCCATGCTTGGCACGGTGACCCAGGCCAGCACCTCCTCTACTCCTCCCCGCACTATGGCGACCTAGAGATCGCCGTTCCTTCCTACCCAGAGCAAAGCAACAAACCTTCAGAGAAAGCGACAGAAAAAGAAAAAGAGGAAGATGGTGCTAATGATGTCGATAATAGCCGCAAACTATTTGCGCATTTCGTATGGAACTCTGGTTTAGTGGTCGCCGAGGGTGTGGAGAATGCACATGTCCTTCAGACCGAGGGTACAGCAGTGACAGAGGCCCAAAAAGAGACTATTGATATCTGGAACGTGAAAGGAGAGAGTGTTTTGGAACTCGGCGCCGGTAAGTTGATTGTCTTTATACTCGACGTGAAAAACGGGGAGTCCCTTGGAAAAGCTTCATGAACTGATGGTTCACATCCAGGCGCCGCACTTCCCTCACTAATCTGCGCCCTCGCAAATGCATCCAAGGTTACAGCCACCGACCATCCTTCCTCGCCCGCACTCAAAGGTACAATTGGCTATAACATGGACCATAATTTGAGCAAGCGCACGCCAACTCCATCAGCAGAGGTCTCGATCCATCCACACGAATGGGGTGTGCTGACAGACACCTTCGCCGAACAAAACAAAGGAGGATATAGTCGCATCATCGCCGCAGACTGTTTCTGGATGGTGTCCCAGCACGAAAACATCACCCGCACTATGCAATGGTTTTTGGCGCCCGGGGGTAAAGTATGGATCGTGGCCGGATTCCATACGGGCCGCGCAATTGTAGCGGGGTTCTTTGAGATGGCTCTCAAGCATGGATTTGAGATCGAGAAGATCTTTGAGCGGGATCAGGTTAAATCTGGCGAGCATGGGGAGGAGATTCGGAGGGAGTGGCTGCCTGTGCGGGATGATGAGAGTATTGAGAGTCGGAGGAGGTGGTGCGTGGTTGCGGTTTTGAAGCGGAAGGAGTAGACTTGTATTGCACAGATAGACTAGCACATACGCGATGTCTCACAACGAGAACTATGATTATGATCAAATGCTTGACTGACTGTATATGATTTTGTGTATTTTCATGACTGTTGGAATCCAATTCTCAACGGTCATCTATGGCCTTGCATCTCTCTATGTAAGAATAATAGATCGATGTTGCACAAATGACTAGTCTCGATAGACCACAAACTGTAAGTCGAGTCATCGGCTTCAACAAATCCTCCACGAAGCGCTACACTATACAGACATAATAAACATATACCGTGTAAAATACCGAGGAAGCAAAGCTTGAAAACTCCGGACCCATTGAGTGTCTGAGACGCCACGAAAGCCTGCGTATGCACTGCGTACACTGAATGATCCACTGGTGGGCCTCTGTTTTCTATATTTAAAGAACATTGGCATGTGTTTCGATCTTGTTTTGCGACGGTTTGTTTCGACCCACTTTGTATCGGGGCTAGAGGGCTGTGCCGATGGGATCCGATAATCACAGTGCAATTGGGGTTCGCACTGCTATCTGTTTCATCAAATGAATAAGAAGACTTGTCACTTGCGATTTTTATAGTTTAATAGCCCATGGTAGGGATAACGGGCAGATCCCAGTCTGGGGGCGAACCAGAATGGCAGATTGGATGCAGATCCTCATATCATTCATGAACCAGCCGTCATCCCGACGTAATTGAAATAAAAGCATAGCTGTCTCGCTGATGTCCTCTCATTGCCTACCTACATCATCATGTAGATGCAATCGAGAGGACTGCTGTTCAGATCAGGCAATTGATGTATATTCTTGAATGATTCCTTGGGGCTGTTTTGACTGGCACACCCATGATAACATCACCCACGGGCGGTGACCCGCAGCTTGGGACGGGAGGCTGGGATTCAAGGATTGTGATTGGCCGAGAAGCTAAGATTAGTGCCCCACTCATTACTAGTTTGTTTCCCCCTTGAGTAGCACGCGTATGAAAAGTTTGTATCAGTATTGCTGTAAATCCCCGTATTGCTCTCAAGGCGGTTTCCCCTGCTCGAGTTCTTCCTTCCCCTATCAACCTTCAGTCATTCGTTGAATTCTTTCTTTCTGCAAGAGACTTCGGTCTCAATATGCATTCCACATTCTTTTGCTTCTAAACTGGCCTTTTTTTTCGCCCCTCTCATGCCACATTCCTTTCTTTCATTTTCTACGCGTTGCTCCTGAATTGCTGCCTTAAACCTTTTCGGTCTTCCCACATTCGCTTTTCCCTTACCCCCTCCATTGGAAGACCCAACTCAACGTCCGTCGTCGCACCCTGAACAATGAGATCCTCATTGTTTGGGCCCGCGGCGGCTGGCCTGTCGACCATACTGACACTATTGCCGACCGTAAACGCTTTGTCATTCGACGCTATCTCGCTCCCCGATCTGGACCTGTCTTCTTTAGGCCGGGTCTCCATCACCGGCAATTTCGATGGCGTATCCCTGTACGAATATGAGGGCCAAAACGAGGTCACTCAAACCAACGGCTCCTCATCGATCCTGACGCCCCTTCCAAATGGCATTCTCACGAACCTTTCTACCGCCGACGCCCAGATCCAGGCCATGTGCTCCTTTACGAAGAAAGACGGAACGTTCGCCGGAATCTTTGTCGGTGGAAATTTTACGACGCTAGGTGGTGTGGAATCGCGTGGAGCGGCTTTGTTCAACCCGAACTCCAGTGCCGTTACAGCCTTGCCAGGATTGAATGGTTCGGTGTCAGCTGTGGCGTGCGATGAGAGCACAAATCGCGTCTACGTCGGCGGAACCTTTGACCACAAGAACAGCTCTAACGCGATCGCCTGGAGTCCTGACAATGGCTGGACTGATCTTGACTTTAAAGGCCTCAACGGCCCCGTGAAATCGATCTTGAAGGCGGAAAATGGCCACATCATCTTCGGAGGAACTTTTGATGGGACCGGCAACTCGAGCAACACGTCGTCGACATACAGTCCACAGGTTTTGAATTTGCAGAATGCGACCATCACCTCCGACGCCGAAACTTCTCTCAGTGGCTACATAAGTCCCCGAAACGTTATCTGCTCTACAAGCGGCGAGGCAGCCAAGGGTAAAACTTGGTTGCTTGATGACTACTCCCCTGGGTTCTGGCGCGCTGATCTTGGCTTTGAGGCCAAGCCAACCAAGGTTCGCCTTTACAACACTCATCTGGATGGACGTGGTACCAAGACCTTTCTGTTCCGCGCCTTGCCCGACGATGGGATAATGAATTTGACTTATACGGACACCTCGGGCAACAAGGCTTACTGCGACCAATCGTGTCCACTTTCCAACAGCACCAGTGAAAAATATCGTGACTTCACCCTTGTCAACTCAGTGGGTATGACAGGACTTCAGATTGAAATTAAGGATTGGTATGGCGAAGGTGCTGGATTGAATGGAATCGAAATTTTCCAAGAGAACATCTTCTCCTACGCTATCGACAAGTTTAACGAGCCTACCTGCGCCGATATTGGATACCCCTCCAAGTCAATTGTGACTGGCACTTGGGATATTGATTCTACTTATCTGTCTGCCCAAGTGACCGATGCCAACGATACCGATACATCTGTTGTCTTCCAGCCTGACGTGAAAGAATCAGGAAAATACGAGATTTACCTTTACACCCCCGGATGTTCTGGCAGCGACACCTGCTCTTCTCGTGGTATGGTCAACGTCACGGCCACAGTCGCAAGTGGCACCGACGCCTCTAACCCATCCCCCACCACCATTTACCAGACAAACGAGGACGACAAATATGATGTTTTGTACACAGGGCATGTTGACAAAGCAAGCGATTCCTTCCGCCCCAGCGTTACTCTCCGACCAATCTCTGGCCAAGGAGACATCAATGTTGTAGCATGGCGTACTAAATTCATCCCGCTGTTCAACACGACCAAGACATCAGGATCAAGCTCGGACTCAGACTCGGACTCGGGAGATTTGAATGGACTGTACGATTATGATCCTACTTCGACGACTTCGACTAGTACCGATAAATCCGACATCAACACGGCCGGAACATCGCTCAATAAAGATGCTTCGATCCTGAGCTTGGCCGAGTATGACAGTGTTATTTACGCCGGTGGTAACTTTTCCGACAGCAGCATCAGCTATATTATGTCCATCACTGATGGCAATGCGACTGCAATGCCAGGTGGTGGCCTGAATGCCGGAGTTCAAACTATGGCTATCCTCGACAAGCTTTTGTACGTTGGAGGTAACTTTACAGACACCTCTGACGGTGGCATTGACGGCTTGTACCATATTGCCGCCTACTCCTTCTCCACGAAGAAGTGGTCTGCCCTGGGAGCAGGATTGAATGGCCCCGTTTCGACTATTTATTCCATTGATCTGAATGTGTCGTCTTCAATCAACGAGACAACCATTGCCGTTAGCGGTGATTTCAATGAAATCCGCGCATATAATGGTGACTCTGCAGTCAATGTCCCTGGCTTTGCCATCTGGCTTCCGTCGAACCAGACCTGGCTCCAGAGCCTCAATGTCACCCAGATGGAGTTTGCTGGGCAGCTGTCTGCGGTTGCCTCCGTGAACAAGACATCAATTCTTGCCGGCAGTCTGGCCACTGATGGTTACACTGCCTCTGACGCTGTGTGGCTGCAAAACTCTGACGATCTCAGCCTCCTTCCTTTGACAATGAACATTAATCAAACTGGATCAAGTGTTGGATTGGTGACTGGTGTCTATGATACGTCCAGTCGCAACCAGACCATTTTTGGTGGTCAATTTAATGCCACCGGCACCGACGGCTCCACAATGTCTACCGTTGCCATTGTAAACGGAACCAACAACATCTATGGCTTGCCGCAAGGCTTGGACAGTAACTCGACTGTCCTCTCCATGATCGTGTACAACAACACTCTCTTTGCTGGTGGCAATATCACTGGTACTATCGGTGGTTCGTCTGTTAATGGTTTCTTCACCTATGATTTGACCGGAAATAAGTTCGCATCCCAACCATGGGAACTTCGCGGGTCTAATGTGTCGGTCAACTCTATTGCTGCCCGACCGGACTCATCTGATGTCTACATTGGTGGCAACTTTGATACGGCCGGCTCATTGCCTTGCGAAACTGTCTGTGCTTTGGATTCCTCAATGAACTCCTGGAGCTGGCCTGGCGTGAGTATCGGTGGAACTGCTCTTGCTCTTAGCTGGTCTAGTTCCAACATCCTGTACGCGGCAGGCAACCTGACTGTCTCAGGGAACCAGACCCTCGTCGCCACATTCAATGTGAAGACTGAGGCTTGGACCTCCGTGTCTGGTGCATTGCAGTCCGATATCCCGGGTGTGCTCACTGCATTCGCACCTGCTTCTGAGGACGTTTCGAAGTTCTGGATTGCCGGCACATTGACCAACGGTTCTACCTTTTTCATGAACTACGACGGTTCCAAGTTCCAGTCCCCCGGCAACCTGTTCTCCGAGGGCACTGTCATTCGTGGCATGGAAGTACTTCCCCTCCATGAGAACCACAAATCGGTTTCGCTTCTAAATGACGATCAAACGCTCCTTCTGATGGGCGAGCTCATTATTCCTGACTTTGGCAACGCGTCGGCCGCTCTGTACAACGGAACCACCGTTACCCCGTTCATCCTTTCCTCGAACTATGATGGCCAACCTGGAAGCATGTCACAGCTGTTCTCTGAGAACAAGAACCCCTATGACACCAAATGTGAGTCGCCCCATGTATTCTTTTGACCCGATCTTTGCTGACCTGATCCTAGCGAGCCATCACTCCAATGGTATTGTAGTTCTGGTGGCATTCTGCTGTGCACTGGGCTGCGTTTTCCTTATTGTCGCCGCCGGTGTGATCATGAACAAGATTCAGCGTCGCCGCCAGGGCTATTCTGCCGCTCCGCAATCGTTTGGCACTGATCGGCCAAGCGATATGCAGCGCGTCCCCCCTGAGTACCTCTTCAATTCCATCGGGCAATCGAACCCGACTGCCCCGGCTATCTAATGTCCCCTTCCTCTGCACAAAATCTATTTGCCGTAATGTGTGGGATGAGTGTTGTTTTCTTTTTTTTTATTGCTCACTTCTTCGGAAGCAACGTTGCTATACCCATCCTTCCTTAATGTTTGATTTGCTAGCGCCCCTTTTATTCTCATTCGCGCTGGTTTCTTCCCGCGATTATTTCGTTTGGCTTCTGTGGTTGATTGTGGCCTCATATCTGTCGACTCCCCGATTTCCTTGTGCATATATGTCACACCTGTATGTAACTTAGCGTGTCCGTCTTGGGGGCGTGGATAATACAATGATCTACCTTTGCATGCTCAGCTCCACATTCACACTTTCAACGTCCTTGTAAGCTTCCAGGTCAATCTCAAAACCAACGCTGCTTCAAATTGCGAGTTGAAAATTGAGCTTGCATCGATGGGACTGAATGCAGACACAGTCGCACAGCAATCTGTGTCCCTTGTTGACCCTGTAGGCTGTAAGTTGGGTAACTCCATCTTGCTTTTGCTTGCGCTTGGGACGATCTTGAGTCAGCCCCTGCCCAGGTGACCAATTTCCTTTTTTTATTTTTTTATTTAATTCTTTCTCTTCTTTCTCAACCCTGGACCGCAAGCTGCAATTGATTCATTTCCAGAAGGAACACCCTCGTATAAGTCTCCGACTGGCGGAAAAGGATCTTCCGGATTAGGCCCCCGCCCCACGCCGCTTTAGCACACCCGAAAGCAGAACTGAGCACGCCTGCAAGCAGCCGAGCGCATAACCTGCCCTAATAAGCCTCGTGTTGCATCCCGTAAGCTCATAAAAGAAAGTCAAGCATTTACCATGTGACTGTCCCCGATAGACCTGCTCTTTGCATGCACGCGATTCAATTAATTAAATCCTACCCGCTAGCAGGATCTCTTGTGCATGGGGCTCTTTGTACTTGATGTTTGATTTGCTCGATGCTGACGGGCTTTGTGTACGTGGTTTGCGTCTGGAGGTTTGTTTCCTTTTAAAAGCTATGACCTATATGACATATCGTGTGCATGTGATGAAGGTATACCGGATCTGAGACGCGTGACAGTCCATGAAACCCCTGTGGATATGGACAGTTGATGAAGATCCCTGCGTTTTCTTAGTGTCACGGATGATAGTTCCCTTGCTTTGATAGGCTTCGGAGATATTTGCTTGATGCAATCGAACACTAGATCCTGATAAGTTCCTGGAGTTTTATTTGACTAGGAACGGGAGACTGCATGGTGAACTGTATGGCAGCATAGTAAGCAGCACAAGAGTAAGCCGCATCCATAGTCATAACAAAGACGTAGCAAACACCCTGGAGTCAGGGCCAGACTCAGACTCAAACGGGTACTTCTTACAATGACTGCCGTTCTTGATAATCACTCTTCCATCCAACGTGTCGCCAAGAGTGCAAAGAAATCCCTCTTCGAGTATTCGTGTTGCCAAGAGCTTAAAGACCGGTATTTTCTATTGCGGTCCACATCGCTTGACTCTAGATGGGGCCGTTCATGAACTTCAAAATCTCCATCCCGGTCCCAGCCGAAGTACTGTTGGACAAGGCTATGTTAGATGAATGGATATCATTAATAATGTATTCTGGGGGCCATGGTAGACGCTCAGGTCACACACCTACGTAGTGCCTCGGCCGTACCTATCAAATTTACCGTGGATGATAGCCTGCCACAACCGTAATTCCCATCTCGTGTCAAACTCTACGGACGCCACCCGTTGAAGTGGCGGTTAAGCATTAACCCTGCTTTCCCGATGGATTCGGGATCCTCTTGGCTTGAAGATTTTTTTTCTTGAATCTTATTCAAATTAATTTTAATTTTATTTGATTTTCAAAAAATTTTTAAATTTTTTTCTTAACTTTTTCAACGGAACTGCATAGTATCCACGGCTGACACGTTAATTAAGCGAACGACTAATAAGAAGAGAGCGTCGGGATCAAGGTTCCGCTCCACCGACCAATGACCAGTTAGCATCACGTAACACTACACAAGTGGATTTGATGCGGGATGCGACCCATGTGCATATTAGGGGACGTATATTCCTGCAGGAGGTCGATAAAGGAGGAAAATCTCAGGGGCCAAAGAAAAACCACATTTGTGTCGTGGGGGGGGGGAGGTCGAGATGCGATGAGGTCAAAATCGCCCCCAACGTAATCCCGTGTGCCTACTGGAATCCCCGCGGGGGAAACAACTTGGGGAAAAGGAGGAGTTCGGGACCTATAAGATTGAGCGGAGGACCCGAGTGGACCGTGAGCCTCTCCCCGGCCGTCGGGTTCGGCGGTCTTTCTCGGGGGTAGATTAGGCAACTGAAACGAGTTTCACGAGAGATACAAGAGTTAGTCGGCTGTACACTCCGTACCTGTAGAAAAAGGAAGTTGCGAACAAATAGAAAAACTCAGACCCTGGACCCACCGCTGCATTCATGGTCGGGGCAGCTGCTGTTTCGGGTAATTCTGGGACGATCACCCCAGCCAAATCTGCCGCCCCTCTTACATACACTTTCTCCCCACAAACAAAAAAACATGAGCACTCAGGGTCTGTTCCTGAAAAACTTCTAGAAATTCTTGATGGCAACATGGACATATTTTGCCCCCTGGTGGCGCCTATATGAACCATAGGACATAATGAACTTTCTTCATACAACCATATTCATCTTGCATCTTGGCATCCAAACCCCAGGATAGCGCCACGTTCCTTATCCCACCCCGAATGCGGCACCGCACGTATGTGGCGCCCCCAAACCGAAAACTCAAAGCACTAGCCGCTTGGCCCCTTGGCAAATCGCGAGACTTGCGCATAGGGGAATCCCGCAATCTGAGCCGCTTATGCCTCTGATCCTTCCCAGGCTCGCGCAACTTGCCCCAGAGTCCCCCCCCCCTTCGACGTCACCTTTTCAGACCTTTTGGTCCTTGGCGCTACGGTACCAGCGAAGCCATGTACCAACGGTGGGCCCGGTGGGAATGGGCCCGACCTCCCGATTCAATATCCGGAGTACATAAGGCTCCAAATGCCCATCCCCAGAGTCCGAGCTTTCCCTTTCTGTGTCGTTCTTGTCTCTCTCATCCTCCCTATAGTACACACACTCTAGGTCGAGGCCATTCAATATGTGGACAACAACATCGGGCCTGCGAGGCCGTTACCTCCACTGGGCCATTACTTTTACTTCCGTCGTTGGTTTCTCCCTCTTCGGTTATGATCAGGGTTTGATGTCCGGTATCATCTCCGGTGCCGAATTTGACTCTGAGTTCCCTCCTCTCGCCGGTGACGGGATGCACACCCAGGTCCTCCGTGGTGGTGTGACCTCTTGTTACGAAATTGGTTGTTTCTTCGGTGCCGTCTTCACCCTCATGTACGGTGAGCGCATCGGTCGTACTCCTATCCTGGTTGCCGGTGGTGTTCTCATGATCATCGGTACTGTCATCTCTGTTGCTTCGTTCGGTCCTCAATGGGGTCTCGGCCAGTTCGTCATTGGCCGTGTTATTTCCGGTCTTGGAAACGGTGCGGACACTGCCACTATCCCCGTTTGGCAGTCCGAGTGCTCCCAAGCTCACAACCGTGGTTTCCTCGTCTGCTTCGAGGGTGCCATTATCGCCGTTGGTACTTTCATTGCCTACTGGCTCGACTTCGGCCTCTCCTACGTCGAATCCTCTGTCGCCTGGCGATTCCCCGTTGCCTTCCAGATCCTGTTTGCCATCCTGGTCAGCGTTGGTGCTCTGATGCTTCCCGAGTCCCCTCGTTGGTTCATCATCCAGGGCAAGGAACAGGAGGCCTGCGAGGTTCTGGCCGCTCTCCACGGCAGTACCCCCGACGCAGACGACGTGGTCACCGACATTTCCCTCATGAAGGCCGATCTCTTGGCTATGGAGGGCGCCAAGGCTAACTGGAAGACTCTCTTCACTTTCGGCAAGACCCAGGAATTCCAGCGTATGATGATTGGTTGCTCTGGCCAGTTCTTCCAGCAGTTCACTGGTTGCAACGCTGCTATCTACTACTCCACCCTGCTCTTCCAGAACGACTTGAACATGACTGGCAAGCTTCCCTTGATTCTGGGAGGTGTCTTCGCTACCGTCTACGCCCTGGCCACCATCCCCTCCTTCTTCATGATTGAGCGCGTTGGTCGTCGTAAGCTCTTCTTGATTGGTTTCGCTGGTCAGGGTCTCTCTTTCATCATCACCATGGGTTGTCTGGTTCACCCTACCGAGTCCACCGCAAAGGGCGCCGTCGTGGGTATCTTCCTCTTCATCTGCTTCTTCGCCTTTACTACGCTGCCTCTGCCCTGGATCTACCCTCCCGAGATCAACCCTCTCCGTACCCGTACCATGGCTGCCTCGGCCTCGACCTGCACCAACTGGCTTTGCAACTTTGCCGTCGTCATGTTCACCCCCGTATTTTCGGCCAGCAGTGGTTGGGGTCTCTACCTGTTCTTTGCCTTGGTCAACTTCGTCGCCCTCCCCTTCGCCTACTTCTACTACCCTGAGACCGCCGGTCGTGACCTGGAGGAGATTGATATCATCTTCGCCAAGGCTCACGTCGAGGGCAAATGGGCTTTCCAGGTTGCCAACGAGCTGCCCAAGCTCACTGTGGAGCAGATCGGCCAATACCAGCGCGAACTGGGTCTTGACCTCCCCGGCCACCACGTTGAGCGTGACACCGAGAAGGGTGATACTGGCTTGAGCAGCGAGAGTGAGAAGGAGAAGAACACTCACTCCGAGTAATTTTTCCATGCATAATGGACGGGGGGGGGGGGGGGGCATGTACATTCGGGCCCATTTGCTTCCTGCATTTCTATCCTGGAGACGGAAAGCATGAGGTCACGACCGTTCTGATGATTTATAGAGTGCACTGGTGCTCATTATCTATTTTTTCCTTATTGTCTTCAATGTGTTAGTGGTTAATCGCCACTACTATCGGATGTTTCAATTTATTTCCTTTCTAGATATCATCTCTGTCTTTTGCTAGATAGTCAAATTTTTCACGCCTCTTTTTTAAGAGAATACAAATGGCCCCACAGCCAATTTCACTTAATCTCTCATTCCCACCTCCACATCGGATAGATTCCGTAGTCACCCTTTACCCATTTTACCGAGCATACCCCTGGGGCAACACGGTTCCATGGATCCGTTCAAACGGCAGAACCAGAAATGGCCCCAGGGGCTAAGAGTTGCCCTCCAGCCACTGCCGTCAAGTCGAGAGCTTACTACGAGTGCGAGGCTTAAAATGCCATGTGTTGGGCCCCGTTCGAGATGGATCTTGTCCCACGCGACTTGGGCTGGGCGTACGTATGCCATGCAGCCAGAAAGACCAATTCGTTTATGATCAACCCTGGAAAAACCCCGAGCATCTGCGGAGCTACGGTGGAATCGGCAGCCGTCATTCCAGGAGGGGTATGTGGGTGGATTATCATCGGGATTAATGGAGTGCGGTAGGAGCCCGTCCCTGTACTCCATTTGTATTTCGTCGACCTTATGTTAACTGAGACATTAACTTTGACGAGGTCATGCATCGCTGTTATTATGTTACATGGGAAATAGTCCACGGGTTAAGCCTGGATGTGATCCGTTTGGGAATCAAAGAAAGTCGGTAAAGGTAAAGCTGTGGACGCGGCACCTTCTAAGTCTACTGACGATCCTTTTCTTGGGGCCCAAAACACTATCAACAACCAGGCCGGAACCTTTTTTGCCTAGAAATGAGTAGTAAGACATAAAACAGGTCAGGCATCAACGCTCCAATGATACCCAATCCCCTATCTAATACACCCCCGGCTACACCCGAGCAACTCTCAAGTTCGACAATAGCCTCATGGATTTCTCAACGCCTCCACAAGGAATGACCCTGCATGCTCCTTAGACCTTAGCCACTAGCCACCGCGTCATCCAACCTTCAAACTCGAGCTACGAGTGTGGGGAGGAGGAAAAGAGAAACGGGGAACGGATACGAGTAAGTTGCCAAAACCAACAAAGGACTAAGGCTCTTTGGAGGTTAGCTTGGTTTAGACCCGGACTGAGTTCTACGCCGAGAGCATTGAGTGGTGGGAGTAAAGCGGCGACTGGGCCCCACACATATTGGCAGTGCCAAATGGCTTGTTGGTTTGTTCAAATTTGTTCAATGTGGGAGTGCTCTGAGTAAGCGAAGGAGAAGGCCTATAGAGATGGCAATGGTTTTGTGGTAAAGGGACATAGCATAGTACCTGATAGAATAGACAATTCCTTGTCGAGTGTACTTAAGAGAGAAACAAAGAGGTGAGATTATGAGAAGGAACAGTTATTCCTTAATTACCAGGCTCCTCTTACTCATCGTACAGGAATCTCTGCGGTCTTTAGCTGAACACAATACTCTCGTTGCCAAGAAAGCCATGCCACCAATGCCATGACCCGAACTACATAGCCTACTTTTGATTTGGCTAGATTGACTCCAAAACGAGTTCGACATGCCAACTAACCTAGAAGGCTTGAGGCCAGATACTTCACGGTGGTAGAGCAATTCAGCTACTGCCTATGACCCTGGGGAAGAGGGTGACTGAGCATCCTATACGCTTTGTTGGGGAAGAGCTGTTCGAGGAAAGACAAACGAGCCAGAGGAGCAGTACATAAATCTGTCCAGTGCCACCAGAGATCTAGTTAGAAGCTTAATTCCAACCCCGTTAACTATGCTATGTAGATAGTTACCATGTGCTAAGGTGCTAATATGACGAGATGCTGCCCTAGGTGTATTGAATAGAAGGGTTGAAGTGGCGGTGCGGCAAAGCACTAACTTAACTTATAGATAGTCCATTTGGGCGGAAATGCTTGATTTGACTCCAGGGCTATTTGAGCATGTCGTGCAATGAGTGTATCTTCTCGCTCTCGGCTGGCTGGTGACGCAGCCAAGCCCAACCGGTCGAATGTGGCACGTCGAATTGAAGTCGACAACTACAACAGTGATGAGGATTAGAACAACCGTGACCGGATTTTCAGACATGATCATGTATATCCAAGTAGATCAATAGACTTTATTTGACAATTGTTTGCCCCACTTGAGATCTACCTGAGACCAGATCTAAGTCTATGCAAACATGTACCTATGTGGGTACTAGGGCCATCATACAGGAAGTTAGAAAAAGAAAGGCTGGTGGGTCAGATCGATCTGCCAGATATGCCATTATAGTCAGTCAACAAACCATATATTAAAACAGAGTGTAGTCATGCACATAGAAATGAATATCAACCAAATCTCCCGGTAGCGTGGCTTTGGCCCCGGGGGGCTGTGCCATGTCTGTGCGGTCGCAGAGAACACCGACACCAAAGGACTTGATGATAAAATTCAGCAATATAGGGAGGGATTTGAATAGTATTCGATTCTAATACGAACTATGACGACATGGAAATAAAAAACCTGGGAAAATGGTTAAAACTGGATAAAAAAAAGGTGAAGGTCGAAATCTGTGGGGGCCGTCATCCCCGGTCACCTGGTCTCCCCGCAAGTGAACTCCAGGTTTCGTTTTTCCTCCTCCGGGGTTAAGAAATCATTCTGGTAATGGCCTAATCTCCCCCACACATGCGCCTGCTACGCCCGGCATGCGCTCTAGAACTGGCTGGTCAGTTTCCCCTGCTGCGCTTACTGCATTGTACTAACGCTAAGTAGCTTGACATGCCGAACTCGAAAGCTCAAATGTACCCCCATCCCTTCGCGCCGTCCTGACCTTCCCCGGCTAACTGGCTTGCAGGCGACGAACAAAAGCCCAAATGCTCACAATGTCGTAAGGGCGGTCGAGAATGCCGGCCTAGTGAAGGTATTGTCTTTCGCCATCAGCAGAATGCGTCTATGAACAATGAATCGGCAGCGTCGCCCGAAGGCCGGGGCAATCTTAATGGGTTCTATTCGTACAAAAACACTTTCGACAAGGATAGTGTCTGGTTGGATGTTCCGAAGCACGGTAGGATTGAAATCGTTTCAACCGGTGGAATGTTTTTTGTTGATTCTTTCCAGTCATCTTCGTCGACAACTCCGATCCGTACGCCGATGATCTCGAGACCTCGTTAGCTGAATCCAGTGCTATGGCCCTGGCCCAGTCGCGCAACCAACAATGGGGCAGTGGGTCAAAGGCAAGCGACGCTGAACAACATAGCCTGGAAGCCTTGTCGGCCGTCGCAACTCATGATCGTTTTTCATATTCTCCCTTGGACCATCCCTCCGTTTCCGACAGTGTCTCCTATCCTTCCCCAAGTCTATCACGAGGCAGTGCGATGCCCCCTCCTACATCACCCTCCATGTCCTTGTCGGTCAGCAGTAATAACACCAACATCAACTTCCTCCTCAACCCATCCCATTCCATGTCCCCATCGATCGACTCCACAACCCTTCAGGCAGCCGATCAGAAAAGTGCCTCACTCCCCTCGAGACCGGCTATATCTCGAGCACAAACAGAATTCCGAGTAGAAAGCCACGCCGAAACCGACTTTGAGGTGGCCTTTCTTTTGCGTCATTATTCAGAAGGACCAGGACTGTGGTAAGATGATCTTGGACCTTGGAATAGTTCCCCAATTAACCTCCCTTAGGATGGATATGTTCGACCTGGGGACATACTTTGCATCTCATGTTCCAGTTAGAGCATTATCGAACCCGCTTCTGAAGTATGCCGCCTGTGCATATGCTGCAAAACAACTCGGCCGTGTTAAGGGCGCCAAAGCAAAGATGGGTGGGGTCTGCTCAAGGCAGGCTGCCATGGAGCTATGGCCCGACAAGCACAACGATCTCACCTGGGTAGGCGCCAAATATTATGAAAAGGCCATCCAACTGCTCATGAAAGAGCTCCAACCTGATGCGGAGGGACCGCCGCCATTGAGCACACCTGAAGCTTTTGGACAATGGCAGGCTGCTGAACTGTGCGAAGATACGCAGACTTCTCGCAAACGTCGCAGGCGAATGTCAAATAGTCGGCTGTCACGTGGTGTTCATTCGGATGAGGTATTGGCAGCGACGGCCATCTTGTCGGTCTATGAATTCCTGGATGCGACCGGTCCGGCATGGAATCGCCATTTGAGCGGCGTAAAATCATTGCTCGACGTAGCTGAGGTAGGGATCATGCCTCTGGAGTCACGATCGTCGGATGGAGATAGTCCTTATCACGCAATGAGGAAATCTGGTCTCTCAAAGGCTCGAAAGGCAGCCTTTTGGAACTTTGCGCGACAGGACTACCTAGCTGCATGTGAGTAATTCGTGGTCATTCCTGCTTAAACCTCACTGACAACCGCAGTCATCAATGAAGGCCACACACGGTTGAACACTGAAGACTTGGTGCTTTGGACCGAGGCTGGTTTACGACTCGACCACATGGGATTCGTGCGCCCGAGTAATTCGGGAGTCACAGCATACGCCGATGGAGACGATATCATGAAAGAAGATGTTATCTGCAATGCTCTGGTATGGATTCTGTCAAAGATTGTCAACTTCATTAGTTCCGGGGACAATTTGGGCATCAACGACCACAGCTCTGTCGAGAGTGGGCCCCTTGGGGTTTCCCAGCAGGCATTGCTTGAGCGGTGGTACCGGCTTGAAGCTGAACTGGATGCTTGGTATAGAGGCCTGCCAGAAACTTTTGGAGCGTCTGCGAGAGTCGAACCCTCCCAGCTGCTGCATTGTTACCCACCAGCGGAAGCCAAAGACCTGACCACTCTGCAGGAAGTGTGGCATAGTATTCCCATGTGCGCTTCAAGTATGCAGCATTACCACATGGCCCGTATCCTGCTGTTGATCAATAAGCCACATGAATCCACTAGTCGACGAAGCACGATCACTCTGCGACTCCAGTCCTATCGATCCATCGAAGCGGAAATTGGCTTTCACAGTCGGGAGATTGTCGGAATTGGCCTCAGTCGTCCAGACGGGAGCGTTCGCATAAATTCGCTGCAGCCTCTCTTTGTAAGCGGCCAGTGTCTGACGGACCCGCGCGAACGTCGAGTCAATATTCGGTTGCTGCGAGCCATCGAGGCGGACTTGGGCTGGGCCACCGAGTACCGAGTCCAGCAACTCCTCAAAGAATGGAACTGGAACGAGAGCTCTCTTCAGCCGGCGGGGTCCTGAAAGGCGTGCATTGCATTCACCTAACAAAATCCTCCACCATCATCGCATCCGTGACTCCGGGTGTAGAGCCACTTCAAACCGACACCGGCAACTGTTGAGTCATTGAACGAATGCCAACCGTATAACCCGCTTGAGGTATGGACGGTGATTTCGCCTGAACAGCGACCATCCATCACTTTGGTGCCTCAAAGTGACCAGGCCTAGTTGCAAGGGCTACAGGGATCAAGGCCCACACAGCGATTCTGTGAAGAAAAGCCCACGCAGGGTCGCAGAACTGAACGAACATCATGATAAACATAACCATACCCCCTGGAATCTGATTCGGGACCGTTACCATAATATAATAAGAGAAGTGAGAATGTAAAGTACAGCCTTATGATATTTTTTTTTCCGCCTTGGTTTTTACCCAGATTTGAGTCTGCAGTGCTCGGTCAAGTTTCCTTCTGCACCTAATGTTGCATCATTACCGAATCTACTCGGCAGGTCTGAGCCAGATCCCGAAAATCATACGTCATTATTCACAAGCTTCGAGCTAGCACAATCATTGGTCTACACTTTCCCCTTTCCCCTTTTCTTCGTAACTTAGCTACCGGTAACTCACCCCCATTTTACCAATCCGCGTCCATCTTTGTCACGCCCCCACTGATTGACATTTAACACCCCCACACAGTGGAAGGTTACCCGAACGGCCCTCTCCGCATTTTGCACCGATCGGATCTTATGCCACTCTCGAGTATACACTCAGGAGATCAATACCAGGCAAGCCGAACTATGAAGCCGGCAAGTATCGCGATGAGAACTAGGATGCTCTGCACATCTCATTTACGGGGAAATGTTAGCATAGATAATGAAAAATTGGTACCCGGTCCGGCCGATCTCGCTAATCTAGACTGGACTGGACTCAGTGGCACCTGAACAATCGCAACAGTTGTAGAACAGCCGGCACTATGTCCATTGATTCGGATATCCTGAGTACCGGCGCAGATTCTTCGGGTATTGACTTTGTAGTCCAGTCACAAAACGGTATCCGGAAGCTACGTATGAGATTCTGGAGAGGGCGGAGAGTAGAGGGGACATGGTGAGTGAATACTTACCCAAGATGTGGATACGATGTAAGAATAGCTTAGGAACAAATTACTGAAATGATATGTCGAGCTAGTCTGCTGTTTATGTGGCGTCACCTTATACTCATTGTCTCCTGTGCTGAATCCAGGACGAAGCTGCAGGTTTGCTCTGCAGCGTGGGATTGTATTCATTTAGTGTTGCTTGGAAACACGACATCCTCGACATGTGTGCTTCGGATCCACCGTGCAGAAAGCGGCATTGATGAATATACGGGTACTTCGGTGATGACCGTTGTCGAGACGGGCTCAGTATATCAGAACTGATTGAGAATTCTCATTTCGGCGGTTGGGGCGCTTTCCGTGCAACGAGAGTGTGAGAAATAGGGTGCAGAGCGATAACTATCAGGGGAAATTGCTCCACTCAGCCAAGTGAGATCATTCATTTGACTGGGGAAAGATGTAGTGGTTGTTGGTAAGCCTGTTATCCTTGCAAAGATAAGAGCTGACATTAGGCAAAGGAAACGAATGCAGTGTAACCCAATCCGTACCTGTCATGAGCGAAGGACCTAACAAAGTCAATTATCTCGTTCAATTCAGTCGTCAGTCTCACCGGCTTGAGGAACGACCCGACCCGAGCTATTCCTGTACCTTCCAATGGATGATGCGCTATACCCCTGGCCATACGGTTTCACTTGTATGCCATGACGAAGATGGACTTCTTCTGATTCTAACGGGCAAGCGGAGGCCGTATCTGCGAGACCCTAAAACGCACGCAGATCGAGTATTTGAAGCGGACGGTATCGGGAAGGTATCATGAAGCACTGATCACCGCGCATCGAGATCGAATGTAAACGTCAAGTCCAGAATACGAGGCATTTGGCATTTTCGCACCGGAATAATGTGGAATTAGCTCACTCAGATGGGATTGAAGAGATCACCGAGACGGGGGTGTGCGAACCGAATCTGGACGTGAAGTGCATGCTGATGCCATCATCCTTGCAACGGGTTTCAGACGCAGCAGGTGTCATATCTCATGGAGATTATTGGTGAGAAGGGGTCACTTTGGACGACTATGTATTCTTCAACTCTGCGATGATTCATGCTAAGCTTTCATTATAGTGGCAAAAGTTCTCATCCGGGTTTGCCCTGGCGTACTATGGAACCTGTGTCTCCTAATTTTCCAACTTTTTCATTCTGATTGGTCCCAATACCACCATCTGCCCATTTTTGCGTGATATACTTTACTTAATGTGAGATCAGTTTCTCGATGCGAGTCTTCCGTCCGATCCTACGATCGCTGTATCCAGCCAAGATCTGGTCAGCACTCACCGAGCCCTTCTCGGGGCTCTTCAATCCAGCGCCGAACACAGTTGCAGTTACATCCACCGCGGAACAGGCAGCCAATAACTGGATCCAGATAACTGCGAGCCAACTCGTATGGGCAATCGGATGTAACAGCTGCCATGTCGACGCGCGAACGGGGCGAAACATGATGCTTTATCCATTGGCAGTGTGATTATTGGCTGCGGAGTGTATCTATCCTGTTGCAAGACTTCGTGTTGGGGCGAAGTCTAGTGCAGCTACCCGCCAAGGGAAAAAGAAGCCCGGGATCAGCGTCGGGATCGCCGACTTGTGGGTGCTGGACTGGGGTTGGGGTGGCGATCGTAGTTGGACTGATGGTGCAGGGATCACAGATAGACCTTGACCTGAATGGTGAGCTTGGCAAGGGCTTGAAAGCGGGGTTGGATCAAGTACGCCATGAGTGTCTAGCTAGGCTTTGTGGTCTGCAAGGCATTGGGAAAGGATAGCCATTTGGACGGTGATTCTCTATGTGACCAGTCCCATTGTGAATCTGGTGGATGCTTATTCGTCCGTTGATAAATCAACATGTACTTTGAATGGCATGATGTGATTGTTGGGGGATTCCCTTCTATCGTATCCCACTTTTGATCTGCTTGTCTCAGTAGGCACGGGCCTAGATTCGGGGATTGATAGGGACGAGGGGGGTGTCCAAAGATCGACAAATGTGGAAGACAGGCTGGACTGGTCCAGTGTCATGTGAGAACGGTCAGCCGTCAACTGCCAGAAAAGGCCCGCCTGAGACACTATTGGCCGTATGTACAACGAATGTTGGGGTCAATCACGGTCGCAGGAGAATCATCGACGATGATTGGTCGATTTGGCGCGATGGGTCACCTGGAAGAGGACTAGGGTGGTTGAGGTTGTGTAGAGTGAAAATCGATGTTGCGAATCAGATCGTCAGAACTGGGTTTGTGATGGAAGAGTAGATCCAGAGTATATCCAGAGGGTACACAGCAGATGTAGGACATTCGATTGTCGTACTATTAATATCGGCACAATGGGGGCGTACAATCACCGATTGGAGGTGGACCTGTGTGGGTACAGGACCGATACATACGAGCTAACTGCACTTGGCAGTAAGCAACCCCTGGATCTAGACTTGACGCGACTACGGACTGTGGCTGGGGGCTAAACATTGCCATTATGACGATTGATGGGGAATGGGATCTGAGAGTTGCGCGTTGATGAGATGGATACCGAGTACGAACACGCAGAAAATAAAAATAAATAATAAAAGTCCAGACTCTGAATATCACGCCGCAACCCCTGAAGTTGCCATTTTAACTCAACTGACCCGAACGTGGTCAAAACGTGGTTCCTTCATGATCAACATGAGCTAAACCTATTGAACCCATGGTTATGGAGTTCGCCAAACAGCTCTTCCAGAACTCGGTATTGCGTGGTTCCGTACCATACAATGGCTATTGATCCTCATGCTGATCTTGCACCAAAGGAGTCGTCCCTCAAGGATTCTGTATTTTTGACTCCGTTGTGTGCACGCTACGACCAGGGTTGTCATTGACTTTTTCCAAGGGACCCGTGTGTTCGCCTAGTCCAATTATGGCGCTGCGGCGACCATGACCGCTCGTGTGCTTGGAGAGCCGACCTATCATAGCCCTGTCTCCATTTCAAAATCCCACCCACAGGTACTCGGGACCTTGATCCCCCTCTCGAGGTCCACTTTCAGTCCGGGAGTTTTGGTATGTATACCGGGCTGGTGCCCACTTCGACTTTCTTCAATCGCCTTTCCCCAGATCACACTCTTTCATCTGCGCGAAGCGCGGTCCCTCGTCGCGCTGGCGCGTTGAATTTCTTCTAGGCCCTATGCCGAACTGGGTCTAACGATTTCATTATGGTGGACTTGCACGGGTACTGTCCTAGCATCTTTTTGCAGGAGAGCCTATTTCCTACAACGGGTGGATGTGGGTTAAAAATTTCATTGGAAAATGTGATCATGATCTAACTCTTCGACAGTCATCGCAGGCCGTTATTGCGAACAGGTATCCGCTGGCAACGAGACTATATCATGTTGTTTGCCATGCCCTCTCGCCAATTGGCGATATGCCGATAGTCAGTTATACCCAAGCTTCCAAGTCGGCCAACTTTCTAACGTCACTCAGACATTGCGCAACGAGTCCAAGTGGCTAGTTGGATCAGTGTCGCTATTCTACCCCTCTGTGTTTTTATCCTGATCTCATATGCCGTTCTTTCTCCCAAATGGACCAATCGTCACTACTTGAGTATATGCTTTACTCTGGGCATCTGCTGCATGGAGGCAAGTCTTGATGGCAGGATATAATTGGAAACACACTAACGGGGTGATAGATCGCATTCATTATTCCCCTCGGCTCTAAGCCCAACCAATGCTACAATGATATCACACCTAATGACATGTACTCCGATCTTTCTTGCGCCTTTTCTGGTTCCTTGTTACTCTTTGGGGGCTGGATGGTGGTGATATGGAGTATGCATGCCAAAATATCGACAAATCAGAGCCGCTGCTAACATCTGACAGGTTTCATTCGAACAATTGCGTTTCATGTGCAGGTATGCTGGGAGGTGGTGTTGGGGCCAAAATTCATGTGGGGGGCTTTCCTGTGTGGATTCGGCATCCCTGCTATTGGACTCGCCATTATGCTGAAGCTTACGGGGGTGTCTTACCGGTTCGGCGATATCTGTCACATCAATATCGACAATGGGCTGAAGGATTACTGGATCCCCATCATGTCCTTCGCGGCCGCCTCCTTGGTGCTGCAGGTATCAACTATGGCCTACTGTATGCATATCTACTTGCGCTCGCTATTCGACAATTCCGCATCGACCACCGACAACAGCTCCGGTCTCCCCTCTTACACCTCTAGTATCCGAACTGTCTCTGCCCGCCAGGCCTGGCGTCGCCTCCAACGCGTCTTACAGTTACAATGGCGTGGGGTCGCATTAGTGCTGATCATCCTCGGAAATGTGATTTTCTTCGCAGTGGTCTTCATCAACTTGGACCGAGACGTCGACCCCACTGCAGCCAACATCAAAAAGGCCGCACCTTGGCTTCTCTGCCTAGCGGCCGGGGGTAGCAAAGCGGAATGCAAGGGCCGTGCATCGGGCCTGGGACCCAATGAAGCCACACTACTCGCAATGGTCTACCTACTATCGCTAGTAGGGTTCTGGAACTTTATTCTATTCGCCCGCCCCCTAATGTTTGCCGGTTGGCTCGACCTTTTCAGCCGCGGTTTCGCTAGGCGTCATGAGTTCATTTCCGTGGACGCCAGTGAACGCTACGCCAACAAGGAAGGATTCGAGATGCTGACCACCACCGCCAAGACTCCGGAGCCTTACGCATACAATATGCGATCGCCCAGCCCCGCCCACATGGCCGGTCAGAGTCGGAGCCCGGTGGTGAGTCCCAGCCCAACCTTCGATCGAAACGTCCATTTCGGGCAGGAGGCGCAATATGTGCCTCCGTCTACGAGTTTCTCGGGTCCGCGGGCCCCTGGCTCGTCACACACTAGTCGCGACTGGGATCCATCATCAACATTTGCACGGAGCCGTTAGAACCCAATTCGCGACTAAGGTTTGGGGGTCATTTCTCGGGGGGTTAAGGGCGGGGCGTAAAAGGCCAAGCGAAGGCTGTTACAAATACTCCAAAAAAGGGTGTACATTCTTGCTTCTACTGTTGATGACCAATGGCGTTGATGTGTTTTTTTATTTTTTCTTTTCCCTCCGTGTATCACCATGTACCAGTTTACATATAATAACCAAAAATCACTCACTGAACTCTGTCACTTTGGTATCCCGTCCCGCGTACACGGCATAACGGCATAACGGTCCCACTGTGGGTTCCAGATTCGTCAACTTCACCCAAAATCAAGACGATCTCTAACCTAGACTGACACATTACCGCACACTAACACTTAGCAGAAAGTATGCGGTGGAAAAAGAACCAGAACTAACGTCACAAACCCTTGAAACAAATCTCCCCACCGATCTAGAACATCGGAACCCTCGCAAACCCCACTTAGGTCCCATCCCATGTTTCAAACAGGCTCGAGCCGACCATCCCAAAAAGGTTAAACCGGCCGTTCCTGCATATTCGCGGCCTCGCAGAAAGGACATTACGCATGCGCACTAGTGCAGCCACCGTGTGATAAGCGATGCATGGAATTCTCCTATTGATCGGCGGTTGTCTTCGGTGGGACCTTCGTTGGTACCGTATGCCCTTTTCGCATGGGCGTTGGACCGGCCCGGGGATGTCTACTCTATTGTTGCTGGTTGTAGTTAGTTCGCAAAGGGTCCAGGGCTGGGGGTAAATTAGATTAAGTAGATTTAGATTAAAGACTGGGCCACGCGATGAGGGATGGATTATAGGGCCGAGGGGACATTGGTGTTCAATTGGTGGTAATTGGGCATTTTTTCCGGACACCGATGTACTCTAGGATGCCTGTACTCCGTCGATGGGGAGTGAAAGTACTCCCCGCATCCCATCATGTTTGATGGTCTGGCTCAACCAAACTCTACGAACCGAACAGCCAATGGTTCCAACGGTCCATCTGCCGACCCCGAAAATGAGACATTGAGCGGGGTTGCGATGAACAATCTAAAAGCAATCTATCTCGTCGGCATCTGATTGTCCACATGGAAGGACGATCCTGCGGCAGATGGGGATGGAGAACCCCGCGCGATCGAGGCATTTCTGGGGGAAAGTGATGCTTCAGTAAACTTTCCCCTCCTTTTCGCTCATCCCGTCTACCACGGTAACCGTCGAGCCTCGGTGGGGGCTAGCTCGAATAGGTCTATGGTAGCAATCGCGTTGACTTGCCACTCCGATTTTAAGCTTTGAATACCGGCACGCGCCGAGGTCCTCCATGTGATTCCGTGAAGCGTTTGTGTCCACACTTTGACTTTCGGTTTGACTTTGTTCTAGAAAACGATGCGTATAATTCGACCAACTCTAATGCGCGAAGAACTCGATCCCAAAGCATATCATTGTTCTCAAGTAATGACAGTACGCAAACTAGGCAGTGTCTCCAGTCATCATGCCCTCTAAGGCTTCCCACTCCAAGCCGCAGTCAAAAACGCACTGACAGACGTGAATTCATAATCCGGCAACAGCCGATTCCACGAGTCAGAAACATGGAGCTCATTAGCATTGACAGCCAACAAAATTCCAGCGAGAACAATCCTCCCCATGACCTTGAGATTCTCTCGTGGAATGGCAGGGTGTTCGATGGCCGGCATCCATGGGGTCGTCCATTCCCCACTAGCGAAGTCCTGCGCCTTCACTTTGTCAATTTTAAAAGGCATGCCGCCTAATATGGAAAGTCAGATCATATCCACAGGGTCACGTTGATTAAGATTCAAGACATACCGCGGCATTTCTCTCCAAGAGCGACGATTTCGCCTATTGTGGTGTCATTTCCACTAATACCGCCATCAACGGGCCATTCACCTTCAAAGTCAATAGCTTTGGCTACCACGTTGGCGAGATCTTCCACAGTAGTCAGGGTGATACGTGCATCCTCGCCTCCATCCACTGCAATTACTCGACGGTTTTGGAAGTCCCAGGGGAGGTCAATAAGTTGGAGGTGTTTGGCCGATGGGTAGGGACGGGTCAAGTAGTTGATGAAGTATCCCGGCTGAAACAAGCAGTACTCAAGGACCTTACCACGTCATACTCATTAGCTGCTGTCACTGTTGAAGATCCATCAAACTTTACCTTCTTGTCTTTGTTTATTTCCTTGAGATACTGACGAGTTGTTTCTTTGTATGCATACCAACTCATGTGCGCCATGGTAGCGGAGCACCATTCACTGGGAGCAAAGCGCTTGACGCCAACCTGAATCGCAGCGTCGATGAGATTTTTCTGTATCGGGCTAGTGGGATCTTGCTCGGTCACAAAGGAGAGAACAGTGTGTACTCCATGCAGAATCTGTGCCAGCTGTTGCACATCTGAATAGTCCGTCTGAAACCAGGTGACATTTTGAGTTCCTTCCGCTGGGGCGCCCTTTCTGGATAGCAGCACTATCTCATGTTTTTTCGTAGCAAGGAGGACATCAATGACTTCCTGTCCAACATCTGATACGCATTAGCGCTGGAAGATGGTACACGATCAGTGGTGGTAGACTTACTGCCGGAGCCTCCAGCAACTGCAATTTTGACCATTTTGCCTGGCTTAGTAGAGGTGTAGATATGAGAGAGCTTACAAGGTGATTCGAATTGTTTTCATAAATGTCAAAGAGAAATCATACCAACTGACCCGTGGAGACTTATATATGTTTTAGTCCTGAACCGAACATTCGGTCGAACCGTGAGAAATAATGTATAATGATTGATTATTCAATAAACACTAGATTGTAAATAAATTAGAAAGCAAGAGATTGTGTTATTCGAGTCATGTTGAAAATACAGTATGCGGAGTTGTTCGACCGCCGAGCTCGGTCGGAGCACGTCACTTGTGTACCCCATTTCGACCGAGATACATCCTCACTCCCCAACATCACTGCATCACCAGAATTGAACTTGTCAAGCCGCGCTTGGATACTAAACCTGACTAAGACAATCGCAGCTCAGCTCGGATGAAAAATGTCCGAAGACCTCCGAGATGACTGCCCCGAACTCAAGCGGAGGAAGGTCCGTAAAGGCACCCAAAGTTGTTGGGAGTGCAAGCGAAGGAAAGTCCGATGCATCTTCGCTTCGCATGAAAATGCCAGCTGCAGTAACTGTCGACGACGGGGAACTGCCTGCATCAGTCAAGAGCTTCCAGATACACTGGTGCCCCCCGTTGACAGCCAGGTAGACTCGCGGCTTGGTCGGGTGGAAGAACTTATCGAAATATTAGCTCACAATGCCGGCATAAACAAAGCTCAAGATGGATCAAATGATAAATCTTCGACGCATACGACCTTAACAGCACTAGAAGATGAAGAAAGGTTGCGGCGAAATACAGTACCATCAGCAAAAGTTAATCCAGTACGTTTCTTTTCTCAGCCTCTCGTTGACCAAACACTGATATTCTAAAGAGCCCTCAAAACGAAAGGATATGTAGACAAAAGGAACCCTCTTTGGTTGCTCCTCGTGATAGAGATAGACGACTTGCAGGCAAACATGAAGCAGTGACTCGGGAACTCATCATGGCGTGGCCCAGTCAAGAGGATCTTGAGTTCATATGCACTCTTCCAGGTGGTCCTACGATGCGCCTGACTGGTGGGATACTCACTCAATGTCCCGGAACATTGGGCCGCATATTATCACTTAAAGAGATATTACAACTACCTCCCCCAGGCTCCCATCCGGTTCTAATCGCCCGCAAGCTTCTCATGCTTGGAACATTCCTTTGTGGCGTTCCTCCATCTAAGATACAAGAACTGGGAAGTCTTGGTACTCTCTATACTGATATCATGACTCGAGCAATTGACACGGCTATCAGACTCGTGACTACCAATGACGAGCTTACCTGCTCGGTCGAGGGCATAGAGTGCATCATGATGGAGGCTTTTTACCATAATCATTCCGGGAATCTACATCGATCATGGATGACTGTGCACCGAGCCACTGCAGTTGCACAAATGATGGCGATACATCGCGGTCTCGAGTCACCGTCGCTGAGAATTCTCGAGTCGACCACCAGAGAAACTTTCAACGAAGCTCAAATCTGCTTTCGTTTAGTTCAGATGGATCGGTATCTCTCTCTTATGCTTGGCCTACCACCAACCTCTCTTGAAGCCACTTTTGCTACGCCCAAGGCCTTGGAGGGATGTAATCCCATGGAACGCCTGGAACGCATCCACTGCGTCGTTGCTGAACACATTCTGCGGCGAACTGAGGCCGACCTAATCGACCTCACCAAAACCCACGAGGACGACAAGCTCCTGCAAAAGATTGCTGCGGACATGCCAGCCCAATGGTGGCTAATGCCTAGCTTCATACCTAGCAGTGAAGATCCCGAGCTAATGGGTGATATAATCCGCCTCATGGACCAGTTCGCTCATTACCACCTGCTGATCCGACTGCATCTGCCCTATATGCTCCGCGCCTCACCCAAACACAGATACGACCACAGCAGGATTACAGCTGTCACCGCCAGTCGGGATATTCTATCGCGATACCTAGCGTTTCGCACTTCAAGTCCTGTCTACTTTTATTGCCGCGGCGACGAATGTCTTGCTTTGATTGCCATTGTTGTACTGTGTGCCGCTCACATCAACTCTCGCAAACAGCATCAACAATCTTCCGAAACTGACAACTACGATACTGTATTCAATTTTCTCGCGCACAGTCGCCCCAGTGACCGCGCCATGATGGAACGCGCGTTTGAAGTCATGAAATCCTCCAGTCGTGGCCTCGATAGCATTACCTCTAAGTTTGTCCAGATCATTCACCACCTACTTATCATTGAGACGAGTGCTGCCAGTGGGACCTCATACAGCACAAGCTCCTCTAAGGGCGACAAGGGGGAGCTTGAATTCTTTGGCACATTGGCAGATGATGGGAAGGCCCTACATATCTATATCCCCTACTTTGGTAAAATCAATTTCGAACGCCGTACTATCTCAAAAGACCCCACAACTGCCCTACTTTCCGAGCAGACCGAGCAAGGCTACGCATCACTAGCAGGCTCGGACGGCCTAGCTGCGTGTCAAAATGGGGACCAGCTCGGCATTCCCAACCCAAAAACAGGAACATCGCAATTTGAACAGCTGTCGTCTCCTGAATCAAATCAAACACTCGGAGACCACTGGGACACTCCGCCCGAACTAACACACACCGCGATGGATCCTTGGGTAGATGATTGGGATCTACAGGGTATCGACATAGCTCTTTTTGATAGCCTTTTTCGCGGCACAGATATTTTTAATGTAGATGAATAAGCTTGGGGTAGATATAAGAGTAGAGCTCACTAAAAGAACTCATTGAAGACTACCACAAATACACAGCCGGCAGATATCGTCAACTGGCGGGTCTCGGATCCGACAGATACGAACAATCTCCGAAAGACCAAATGACGAACGATGAAACCGTTTTAATGAACGCAAAGTCCTCAATTCTAACCTGATCTGGTCATCACGAGTATCCGATCGGCGTTCTTACCGAAACAGAGTCACCTTGCCCTTGAAAAGCTGAACCCTTCCCCGTTTCCCCCCAAACATATCGAAACCATCACATCACTTGGGCCTCTGGGTACTTGTTCCATGCTTTCAATGTCCTCATAACCTCCCAAATCCATTCTTGCATCTACCGTGAGTCTCATCGGCTAGAAATTTCCAAAGTCCAAGGATTCACTAACGTCACCTTGGAAATAGTCCATCATGTTGATCACGCGCGGAATCTCACTTGTCAATTTTGCAGTCGCTTCGTCGGCGTTGGCATTCCAGGTTTTCGTCTTATATCCATGGCATAACCAGCTGGATCACGAGTTCAAGTCTTTGAAGAAGGAGCATCTACGGGTACTGCGTCAACTTGATCTGCACATGCCTGTCAAAGCGTAAACGGCGGCCTACTGGAGAGATGGATGGGTATGGTCGATAAAGACAGTTGAGACTGTACGGTAGAAGGGAAACTTCTGGTTGCATTTGGAGTGAAGAGAAGAGCCAATGAAGTGAGGGAAATCTTGCCAGGCGGAGATATATACACGGTAGCCCCATGGAATATAAAGAATGTACATAGTATTAGGTAGATCGGTGAGAGAAGCTAGACCTTTCATTTCCAATGACGTGGCGACTTACAGTCCCTCCCACAATTTGATTCTTGCCATGTCATACTCCTCCGCACCATAATAGTATTCAAGGGCATCTCGTCTCCCAAATCCTCTTCAGGCTGTGTCACTACCAACTGAACCATCGGTTTCCCCACATGCTCGTTTTGAGGCCGGAAAGCCGGCTTGGTGGATTCCGCTCTACCCAAGATCTTCAGATCTGTGGTCTTGGGTTGAGATCCTATGGAAAGTCTGGACAAGATCGTTCCAAAGAATGGATATAAGGTGGGCATGCAGGCCGAGATTATGCCGCTGGAACACTCAATTACACCCCAGGTGCACGCATTACCGAGTGTCCAGGATTTATCTGTGGCTTTGGACGCGAAGAGGGCAGAGAAACGATAAGCACTTGAAAAAATGACACTACAGAATGACCGTTAGTTTCTATCTTCAGATCTTGTGCTGGGAAACTTACAAGCTGCACAGAAGTAAAAGTGCAATAACAGACAAACGGTGGGTGATGGTGGTTTTCATTCTCCACAGCGCTCGCATTGGTAGTAATATAATGGCGATGTCGGTCACAATATTCGGAACAGCATTTGCGATGAATGAGGCGCTGGCGTCAATACATGCTCCAGGTATCGATGTATCCCATGCTCTTTCTATGGGAGCACACTGTATAACACTCATACAGGCAATAACGATGATCCATGCGACAGTGATTATACCCAAGACAATAACGGCAACGCGGAATCCCCGGGTGGGAAAGATGCGAGTATACATGAGTAACACTGAGAGTTTGATCATGCCAATCGTGGTGCAATAGACACAATCATAAGCTATCAACAACTACAAATATGTTAGTAGGATAAGCTACTCAGTTGATCTTCGTGAACCTACCTTGGCAATCATCTCGAGGCTTTTTGTTGACAAAGTGCTGGCGTCTAGTCCCATGCCATACTGAATCACTATTCCCTGTTAGATCTGGGTAATTTATGGGAAGTCGATGATTGTCTTACAGGCCAAGTTCAGACCAGCAACTGCAAAAAGAAGAAACTGCAAACAGTCTGTTAGATAGAATGGCCAGATAGCGGTGACGATACTCACCAGGGATGCCAGCATGGCAAAGTCATCCATCCCAAGCCCCATTCCTTTCTTCGGGGACAAAAATCGCAAAGTAACAAAAACCGCGGCCAGCGCGGTCATGGCAATAGTCACAGCCCGAAACTCCCCCTGTCGACTTTCATGAACATCCGACATGATCCCCAAGTCCGTCCAATGACGTAAGACAACAGAATCAAAACATGCTCAAACGAAAAAAGAGCGTATCAATAAAAGAGAGCGAAGATGAAAACACGAGTCGAAAAAAGCCTGCAAAGAGAAGGATCAAAAGAGCGACAGCTCACCGCATCAGAGCATCGGACCTTTGAACCCATTGGACTCCAGCAGATCCCACTTTAAAATCCAGCATCTGTCAGAAAGGGTGCCATCCCGAGACTAGAAACGAAGAAGAAAAGCAGGTAGCAAATAGGAAATCATGGTCGACCACAAGGCGTTGCCCGGAGTGGATCTGGTGGGTACAAGGGAGCAGCCGTTGGCTACGGATGCATTTCCGCGTGGATACAACCATACCGCTAGATCCTGCTGTCGCCCTGGTGGATGTCTCCAGCACAAATCCCATCCCGTTGCTATCTTCGTGACGAGACTGAATCATGGCCTACTCCACTGGGGTTTTGAGTGGTGTTCATCTTCATTTCTCGGGGAAATACTGTACTAAGAAGTTCGATTGCTTCTTAATCCCAACGAGCCCCAACGGGATAGGGGCATGTGGGGCGAATCGCAGTTTCTTCAACACTTGAGATCTTCTCTGCCCCTTTTAACTTGTGGCATTATGATTCTTATCTGGCTGGACGTAACCCAGTCCTCGTCTCTGCCGCATGGCACAACAACCACTCGGACGAGATCCGACGAAGGTAAAACCATAGGGCTGACGACAAAGCCGTTGAATTGGGGTCTTGTTTCAGATAAAAGGTCAGGATCATGCCCCAGAGGAACCAGTTCGTGATGTTCAAAGCTAATTCCAATCTAGGGAATCGGTTATATTGCCCCTCCACTCTTAATACCCGCAAACTGTTCAAGGCAGCCTCACGTCCATTCTTTCCCACGGCGGACAGTGTTTGTATTCCCACAGCACATGACAGGTATTGAGTCGGATGTGTTGGATTGGTTTGCATGGGATGTTTTGTCAAAGGCACGACATCTTCTAATATGGAAGGCGCGATTGTCGAGTACTACCCCCTCCATGCCCTTTCGAATTCCAAGCCTTCCCTTTCTATTTCTGTTTCCAAGATTCTGACCCTCATTCTCTCATTCTTTCTGCCCAGTCATTGGATTGACATTTGACATTGACCAGATTCGTTCTATACACTACTCTTATAAGTATACGATGTCATCTGACAAATTAAATCTACACTTCCATGGACCTGATACCGACCTTTAGCTGAAAACGTCGCGAATTCGCTTTCTGATACTAAGTTCCTCGGTGTTCAGTCTCCTCCCATGGGAGGGGGCTGGCACCCTGCTGATATTCTAGCCAGGCAACGCATCGTTCAGTGGATTCATTACGTGGCATGCTGGCCACTCTAACAATAGAGGCACTGATGCCTACATGGAAGTAGTGGCACTCCTGCTGTGTTAGCGCAGGGTTACCAGACGTATACCTGCCATCGGATTCCGGCTGATATTGATCTGATGACCTTGTCCAAAGTACACCTCAACCGGCTAAATCACACATCTCTTCTCTTTGGCTCCCAGTTCCGATCCCACACGTTGCTAAGGCCGCTACCCTTGCTCAAGCGGGGAAGGCGACAAATCATTGCCATTTACGTATTCCATGGATGAGGCTGCGAGTCTTCCCGAGGTGGCAACGTTTCAGGACGAAACTCTGCAGGCATCGAGTCTCAAGTGGAAGATGATCCTTATAGGTAATCTTGTTACTATTATTGGAAAACACAAACACGATGTATGGATACGGTGGAGATCTGGATGCGACCTCTTCCGACTGGATTGATATGTGTACTCGATGTACTTTACATCATCACGATAACGTTTACATAATTACCTTTTCTTTGTTTATACTGTAGAAGGTCACTGTAATCAAAAAACCCCTATAGGTCAACAGAATCTATGATTCTATTCCTTAAGGCTATTCAACCCGTTGAGATAATTGATTGCAACCGGAGATTGGATCAGTCAATCATCGTATCTGCGGTCGCCTGAGCTACATCTCACCTCCAGCAATTCCCACTGGTTCGGGGCTAGGCCCCGGACCTGATCTCGAAATGCGCAATACGGCACCCACTCGGGCTAGTCTGCCGCGACATGTGGAGAACAAATAGAGATCGTCATTCTGAAACCCGGAATTGGGGAAGAGGCACAGCTCTCTGCACGCGTGGGAAACCCACGAGCGCGATGAGGTTCGATCGTCGCTTTATTCTTCTATTTCTGAACCGGCTTTCCGAGCCCGCACTGGTCATTTGTCAACGGTGTGTCCATGGAACGAAGTTGGTGACAGGGGGCTCCACAAAGGGGGAAATGGGAAATTTGAAGACACAAAATTTCCACCGAATTCATCGCAGAAATTACAGAAAATTTCATTTTAATCTGTGAATGGCATCTTCTCCGCTTTCTCATTGTCGCGAGTTTTTCATCCAAACAATCCCTCTATATAACCTTTGCCAGATCTCGATTCTTGTTCTTTTTCGAATTGAATCCTTGAAACTTGACACCCGCGGTTCACCCGACCCAGAAGGCTGGTTTGAGTGGCGCACTTCGGTTTCGGATTTGTATGTTCCAACCCGCTTTGTCTTTGATCGTTGCTGATTTGAACCAGGAGCGACCCCGACATTCGATCTTGATTCATACGCCCTTTTCTCCCAGCCTGCACCAGAATGAACACCCCTTGGCTCCGATCACAATTTTAGATCCAACGGTCCTCGATGGATGCTAGCATGCACTTTAATTAGCTGTTGCACTTAAGTGCGGATCCAATTTACCGTCGGTTGTGGTCGAAGTCTGGACTTCTGGCTCTTCTATATGATAAACTTGACGCTGGAGAAAAAGTCGCACCGCATTGTTGATTTTCGCAACATTTCACCATGATGATTCCCAGCTATTTGGGCGTGGACGGGCGCAGTCCTGTTAGCCCTATCACCCCCATATCAGAGGACTCGACAGATGCGGAGGATCTGCTAGAACCGTCTCCAGAGCATCCGATTGCTCAACTACAAGGTCCCTTTGAGGAGTCGATTCGCGAAACAAAGCACCATTCTGCAAGTCAGTGGGTGGTTGATATCGATGCCCAGTCCCGCCGTCGAGACTTACTGGAGAATGATGAATACGAACGGCTTTGTGGTCGCAAATGGCGCCAACGCGCCTCTGAACAGTGAGCAGTCAATTCAAATCGACATGAGTGGGGCTCCAAGGCTGACATGCTCAGGTATCATCCGTTTTGGAAGCTGATCTCCCAAATGGTGTTTGGAGTCCATCTGCTGGCCAGGCGACTTGCCATATCAGAACCTCAGGTTATGAAGATCCTGCAAAGCCATGTCGATGAAATGGATGGCTTTTTGCAAAGAACCACTGAGGATTTTCTAATCATCCACATGGATGTCCGCACGAGGATCCAATATCTAAGTCTTCCCCTGGAGAACTTACATGTCTTCGATCAGATGCTCGAAGATCGCAATTTTCGCCTTTCATTGGTGGCTTACCACGATCAAATTGAGCATGCTGCGAGCCGGTTCACGCTTGCCATCACCGATGCCATCAGGGATTTGCGCAAGGGCAAAGAAGCAATCAGTGTCCTATGGCACTACCTCCTGCAAATGTCGGATGAAGGCTGTTTCGAAACCCACAGCCTCAAGGCATTTTACCAGGCGATGATGGACAACCTAGAAGGTTGGCTCGAAGCCTTCTCCAAACTTCGTCGACGCGGCACATCCCTCCAAAAGGCTCTTGCCCAACTTGCCCTAGCAGTCACAGAGATGCAACGACGAGTGGGCGTAGCAAGCAGGAAAGACGTGCGCTCATTCATTAAGACCCCTAGACCTGCAACTCGCACACGATCAGTCAGACAGAAACTGTTCTCCCCCCTCCCCTCCGAGAAACCCCTTCCCCGCGACCCCCTACTGAAACCAAAGAACTCAACCAAGCCGGGCGAGGAGGGAATAGGTACAGAAAAGGGCAATGTGGGTCGCAGCACTACCAATGCTACTAAGCGGGAAAGTAACATACCCAGGGCCCTAAGCCGCGCAAAATCGTGTAGTGCCCTGGCCATGGACACCAGTTCCACCTCCACTACCCCCCAGCCACCAGTTCCTCGTCCCAGAACAGCAGGCAGACTGAGCAGAAAACTATCAAAGCCCTTCCTTCCGAAAAGATCACTCAGTGATGGCGAAAAGGCTGATACTACACAGAATCGCCCCGTTTCGGCCCCTGCCCGTACCCTCAAGTCGCGCAGCGTCTCCATGGAACAACTAAAAGCATTATGGGCGAATACGGGTCGTCCCCGAACACAGCAGTCCATGGCTAAGCCCCCCATCCCACCCCCACCCCCAATCCCAGAATCTCATCGGGTCTCAAAACAGGATCCCTCTGAAAAGGAAACCTACGAGTCCATGAAAGAACAAGTCTCCCAATTCCTAAAAACGGACCGCGTAGTCGAGGCCTGGGATACCATGACTACTAAGACGGGGACATGCGGTCGAACTCTGACAAAGACCGCCAAGGACTGGCCTTGCAGTATCTTCCGCGCGAAATCGCCGAATGCCTGGCGTGCTCGCTCGAATCGGGCGGATCTGGGTGATGGGCCGGACTTGGAGAGACAGATGTCTTGGGTGCAGGATGCGCCGGAGGTGCTGAATACGTATTCATTTAAACAGCGGCCTGAGACGTCGCCACGGATTCATGTGCTCTCAGTGCAGATGACACTGGACGAGGAGATGAATGACGATGAGCTGGTTGGTGGACATCGGGCGAGTGTGGATGAGAATCCTGATTGTGACTCGGGGTCCATCATCACTGCGCTTCCGGCTCTGCCGCCTCCTACTCTTGCTACTATCCCTTCTGTTGCGCAGGAACATCGACCAAGGACTGTTGAGTGTGCGCGGGGTTGAGATCTGTACGCTCGTGGAAGCCATATATACCTGGCTTTGGCTGTATTGTTCGGACTTGCGAGTTCAAGTCTCTGAGAGGGAGTGACGGCTGGATCCGTCTATGCCTCATACCTATACTATACCATTTCTGCAATTCTTGGTGATTGCCTTTTGTTATTGTTGTTTATACCCACATTGCTTGGCTTGGCACAAGACCTTTTCTTTATCAACCTACAGAAACAAATCAATTCCGGTTTCGAAGGACAATGGCATTAGTCGTATAAAATAGAATCAGAAGAAAGAACCCGGGACTAAAAAAATATCTAGCATTCATTTTTTCAGACCCGAAGGCCGAGCCTAAATCCGCATACTCGAGCCCCGGCAAGCGCCTAAGCAGTAAACGCCCAAAAATGACCAAAACACAGGATGGACACAGTTCATAACGCATGAGTCCATGGAAACGCACAAAGATCAGGAAAGAGGTGAGAGGGTGGATTATTTGCAGCGCTTCTCTACAATGTTGGCTCCGTGCTCCTCGTATTCCTTCTTGGAGATCCACATCTGGTGGAAAGTACCCAGACTGGCCAGGATACTTCCTCCGATCCAGGAGCCGAAGCGGCGCTCAGCAGTGTTACCGGCGGCCGAGATACGAACGCGTGGACCAGGGAACTGGGCCATCAGTTCTTGGCTCAAACGGTCAGTGAAACCGTAAAGCAGACTGGAGGCGCCGGTTACGACGACGTTGGCTAGCAGGTGGGGACGAATATCGACGTCCACACCGCTCAGGGATGCCTTGATCAACTCGGGGAGAGTCTGAGCGGGGGTCGGAGCAGGGAAGGGAGAGTCGGGATCGGGAATAGCAGCCTTAGCATCGAACAAAGACTCCACAACGCGGAAGCGATCGGCGCCGAAGACCTGGTTGTATCCATCCGGAAACTCGAACGGCCGGCCGGGAGATGAGCGCGCGGCGTCTTCGTTAGAAACGCCGTTGGGTCCAGTAGCAGAGAGTTTGTTAGGGCCAGGCCAGACCTGGACGACACACTCCTTGAACTCGGAGAGCGTGCGCTCTTCCAAAAGAGCGCGGTACGACGCATCTGGCGCCTTGTCGGCGGCGAAAGTCTTAAACTTGACCTGGGGTTCTTGGCCAGCCTCGACAGCATTCTTAGAGCTGATCAGGTAGTGCGGCGTGATGGTGATAGGTTGCGGGGAGTTCTTCTTGAACAATGCGCGGATCTGGGATGAAATGTAGTCGCCACCTAGTGGTGAGTGTTGCACACCTCGCTTGAGGATCATGCCGTCGTGAACCGGGGTGATGGAGATATTAGAGGCACCAATGTCCACCACGAGAGCAGAGGCTTTACCGGAAGCAAAACTGTAGCAACAAGAATCAGCAAAGCTACACGCATGTAGAACCCGAGGATCTCAGTCGAAGATACATACGCAGCAAGCACACCACTCCGTGCCAGGTAGAAAGCCGGGGTGCCCCATTTCTCCATGGCAATCTCAATGGTCTTTTCGCGTGCCTTGGCCGGGTTCCATCCGGGCTCGGTCATCAACAATGGGCTGTCTGCCAAAGGCTTCTCTTCCGACTCAACTTCCATCTCTGTTGGGAGCTCTTCACTGGGGATGTCGTTCAATCCATTTTGGAATGGATTGCCTGGTTTCGCGCCCGTGAGTCGTGAAGCGAACGAATATTCCCACACCTTCTCCGCCATGTCCCAATCCTCAACAATGCCATCCCTCCCGATCGGGTTGTGGACAGAAAGACCGGGGCGCGGGGTCACAAAGATGTCATCTCCGTAGATGAACTTCTCCTGGCCATCAGCGTTGTACTTGCCGTAATATGTTGGGATTAGCGACTTGGGGGCATCTTCGCCAGCGAAGCCAGCGCGGACGGTCGAATAGCCTGGGTCGAGGACAATGGCTGAGACTTCATCTAAATGCGACGCATATTAGCATTTGATTGAGAATTTGTCTAGATCTATGTCCATCTGCGTCGGAGCTGGGTCTGTGAGGGACGAGAAGCGGGCGCGCATCGCGCAAGACACGTACCTCCACCATATTCGGCAGTTTGGGGTGGATTGGAAGGGTTCATGGTGATAACGCAGCAAGACAAAGCAGTAGAGGGGAAATTGTTCAGACCGAGGGGTTAAATGGTCTGCGAAACCACGCGCGTAGGAGACAAGGGAAGGTAGGGGGACGAAGCGGTCTTTTCGGTGCGGGAGCAGCTTTGGCGGAGAGAGAACTGATTGGGTCTGCTTGGCACTAAATGACCTCACCTGTCAGCTTTCAATCTTTCTTTTCTTTCACCAGCTCTATTCACCGCTAATAATTACAATGGATACTGAAGCTGACGCCGCGCCTGAGCTACTATTTCGCCCTGCAAAGCGACGCAAATTCATTCCACGCCGCATTAATGACACGAACCCCAGCGCCGCTAGCGAAGCCGCCACTCCCAGCAGAAATGACAACCAAACTCCTGAAGCCCTGTCCACAGGGGACGAAGATCAGACCGCAGAGCCTACAAATGTCGTTCGTTTACGGCGCCCGCAGCAATCTCGAAAAGGAGGCATAGGGTTCTCCACCACTTCGCGATCCAAGGACGGCAATCGACAGACGGCGTTGGCATCTGCAGATGAAATGGAGACGGACAGAATTCAGGCAATGTGTGATCGGTTTACCACATATACTGGGCAGTCAGAGGATGTGGACAAGCACATGTATGAAGCCTTACTTTGCGTGACGCAGCCCGTTCAAATCCAGACTAACAAGATAAGGATGGCCTTTATAGATTCCGAGATGGCTAAGCGATCCCAACGCAGCCCACTACCAGACAATTCCGAAGCCTATCAATCGGCTGATACACAGAATGCTAGCGAACTGTCAATACATGAACAGCAGCGGGCGCCCGCCTCGCTGGGCAAGCTACATGAAATCGACCTTGGCCAGGAGACAACAATGCAGAATATTGCGCGCACCGAAGCTGCCCGGAAACGATTGGCTGGTGACGAAGACTCTTCCAATCCCGGCGAGTCTGAACCCCAGGCCGGCCGTTCTGGCCCTCAAAAACCATGGCGCAACCGCAAGCGACGCACCAGCGCTGACATCGAACGCGACCGCCTTGTGGACGAGGTCATGCGTGAAAGCCGACGTAAGATTCTGGAAACCCCCTCTATTTACCGGACCGACACTAACTTTCGCAGTGGATATCTATGATGAACCGGAGGAAGAAGTGCTACCGGATGATCAAGCGGCGGATGACCGCATTGCCGAAAAGTTCCGTCAAGACTTCATGGATGCCATTCAATCCCGGCGACGGGTTCGGACAACCCGCCCCACAGCTGAGAAGACAGAAGCTCCCAAGGGACCTAAGTTGGGTGGAAGCCGCAGTGCAAGAGCTGCGATGCGAGAGATGCAGAGCAAGACCGGGCAGAAATGATCAGCAATTGGATGTCACGTTCGGCCTACAAAGTTTGAGACATCTCACACAAATAGATGGTCTTCGGATGGATCGCACAAAACAAAGTGTAAAATAATAATACAATTCGGTGATACCCTAGGGATGGCACACGGCTCTGATTTTGGAAACTAATATATTGCCTGATCCACCTCTGCCGTGGTGGGAGAGGACCGAGTATTTTTGGACGATCTGCAGTGATCTCACACGCCACATACCAGTCCCAGCATGGGATACGAGTGATCCAATTTTGATGACCCTGAAGAGTCTCAGAATACATATACGTGTAGAGCTCTTGCTGTTGTAAGATTTCCTATACGTAAGCCAGTCACTCCCGGGCTACCGCAGGTACGGTGCTACTGTATCTCCGGGACAGGGCTGAAGAATCAGGAACCGAAATGCTACAAATTCCATACTATGGCGGTTCTGGAATAGACAAATGGGGGCCTTGCTCTTAGCTCGGGAATAGTGCGACATAAGCGATATTATTCATGAAATTCCCGTTAGTTACTATAATTATGATGATTAGCATCCACAACGTCAGCGCCACCACACCAGTTAAAGAATGAGGCTGGCGCTTGGCCCATGTCTCAGGTTGATAACGCGCGGAGATAGAGCCCGGAACCCGTCATTTCCTTTTTTTTTCTTGTCTTTGTCCTTTGTCAGGTACCGATACAGGTACGAGGCATCTAGACGTTGTGGAACCGTTCTCAGGATTGTCTTGCCAGTATAGGTTCTAGTTCTTCGATTGACCTGGAATCCAGATGCAAGATCCACAGTCTAGAACCGAGTCGATGCAGGGGATCGACACGTATGCGTGGCGAGACCTGTGTTGTTCGATCTTTCCACTACGACAATGTAGGGCACACAAATTGACGTGTAATGCAGAATGTAAACCACGGATGGGACTGTTTCAAAGGGGGAACCACCTTGCGTTTTGTTGTGGCGCCGGGCTGGAGCCCAAGTTAGACTCTTTTAACTCTGTGGTAATTGGGGGTCTAACCATGGTTGGGTGTTCCACTTATCTATTAGCTTTAGCTTCATTGATCGCAGGTCACCACCAGCTAAATATAATTGTTGTAGACGAGCAGGCATGACCAAATGCCAAATTCAAAATCAAGAATCACCATCATGACGAACTGATTCGATCGAGAAGATGGCCTGGCGTCAAAAAACAACGAATCACCAAGGCCGAAAAGGAGCGGAGTCTAGACTCTGAAACGGGCTAGAGCCAATCAAGTAGTCAGGGGGTTACCTCCTGCACCTCTTTTTCTCCTGGAGAACCTCGAGTCCTTTCCCCATTCCAGAGAGGGGTTCTGTTCACTCACTTCCAGATTCTCATTCTTCCGGTAACCACGTCAATCGTTATAATCACTCTCTTCCCTCCCTATCGCGCGTCTTCGTCAGGTTGATCCGACGATATTCGCGCCTAATTGATCGTCACTCTCTAATTATCCACCTGCGATCGCTTCCTTGATGACTTTGTTTTAAACTGATCGTGCGCGATACACTGTCTGGTTCAGGGACCATGAGATCCCTCCTTTGGGCCCTGTTGGGTCTCAGCGTGGTGCCGCACGCGTTCGCTGTCGATACCCTCAGTACCAAGGGCTTTGACCTGTGCATGACCGACTCGAGCATCGATATCACCGATCTGGACATCACCTACACTCGCTCAACGAGAGAACTTATCTTCAACCTGGCTGGTACCAGTGCGAAGGAACAAAAAGTCAAAGCGACATTGACCGTGACGGCCTATGGCAGTCAAATCTACAGCAACTCTTTCGAGCCCTGCGGCGACAAGGTCCACGTGGACGAGCTCTGCCCAGGTGAGTATCGTTGATTTTCCCCAAATAGATGACCGTTGGACAGGAAAGCCTAACATGTTTCCTAGTGCCATCCGGCAGCTTTTCTGCTCAGGGCACCATCACCGTCCCCGAGAGCTACGCGAGCGAAATCCCCTCCATCGCGTTCAATATCCCCGATCTCGACGGCCAGGCCAAACTCGTCTTGGAATCGGTCTCCGGAGGCGACAACCTCGCGTGCGTGGAGTCTGACTTGACAAATGGAAAATCAACAAGCATGAAGGCCGTGTCATGGGCTTCGGCGGGTATTGCAGCGGGCGCGCTTGCTTTCAGTGGTGTTTCTGCGATCAGTGCGGTTGGCGGACACCCAGGTGCCTCGACTTCCAGCCCGGGATTCGGAGACGTGATGGGTTGGTTTCATTGTATGGCCACGAACGGTATGCTGAGTGTCAGCTACCCCGCCGTCTACACGAGCTTCACCAAGAACTTTGCCTGGAGTACTGGCCTTGTCTCGTGGGATGGTCTGCAGAATTCGATCGACAGCTTCCGAAAAGCTACCGGCGGCAACCTTACTGATAACAGCCTGTCGTACCTGGGGAGTATCGATCAGACCTCAAATTCCTCGTCCACGAAGCGCAGCTTAGATATGGTGCGCCGCTCGGTGACACTGGCAGCTCGATCCGACTCCAACAGCACCAGCAGCGACGACATGGACAAGATCAAAGCTCTCGCCGAAGAGCTGATGATTCCTTCCGCTAACATTTTCATGACGGTGCTGTTGATCTTTGCGATTGTGATCGGTGTTGTCATTGTTGGAATTCTGCTCTTCAAGGTCATCCTGGAGCTGTGGGCTCTTTACGGCAATTTCCCCAAGAAACTCACCGACTTCCGAAAGGACTACTGGGGCATCATGGCCCGGACCATCACCAACATGATTCTCATTCTGTACAGTATTTGGGTGATGTATTGTGTCTACCAGCTCAAGAATGGTGACTCATGGGCAGCCAAGTTGCTTGCCGCTGTGACCTTGACTGTTTTCACAGCCGTCTTGGCATTCTTCGCAGTTCGCATTTTCTTGATGGCTCGCAAATACAAAAAGACGGAAGGAGACACTTCGGGTCTCTATGATGACAGGGACACTTGGCGCAAGTACAGTCTCTTCTACGACAATCTCAAGAAAGACTTCTGGTGGCTCTTTGTGCCAGTCATTATCTACGCTTTGGTTAAAGGTTGCATCATTGCCGGTGCGCAGGGCCATGGAATGTTCCAAAGTGCCGGCCAATTGGTTTGTGAGGTTCTGCTGTTGGGTCTTGTGGTATGGAACCGCCCCTACGCCCGGAAATCAACCACGGGAATCAACATCACCATCCAAATCGTGCGTGTCTTATCAGTTGCTTGCGTGTTGGTCTTCGTCGATGAGCTGGGACTCTCTCAGACCACCAAGACTGTGACTGGAATTGTCCTTATCGTTATTCAGTCACTCCTGACTGGCCTCCTCGCCATTCTGATCGTTGTCAATGCGATCATCGCAATGTTCCGTGAAAACATCCATGAGAAGCGGAGGAAGGAAGCTGAGAAGGCCAACCGTGACCTCGATGATCTGACTCCCTTGGATGCCCGCGATTCGCTTCTGATTGATCACCCCCCGCGGAAGGATTACTCCGAGGTGAGCAAGTTTAACTTCAACCGTCCATACGAGACTTACCGGGACTACCCGTCACGGCCCGACTCCGCTGGCAGCAAGGAGCGGTTGGTGTACGCCGATTACGGTGTTGCACACAACCGCAGTTCCAGCCCAGAATCTCGACATGGTCGCCGAAGCCCATCTCTCGAGGGCCGGCATCCGACCACTGCCGGGTATGGCATGGCATTGTAGGCCTGCGCTCTGAAGTCATGATACAGAAGCTTCTCTTTCACTCACTTTTTCTCTCTCTCCTTCGACATTTTATAACGCCTGACGGGTCTTTTTCTTTCCCCCAGACGGTTTTTTTTGATCCTTTTCGCTTAGCGTATTCGAACAGAGGATAATTTTTCATTATTCTCGCCATTGGATGTTTGTGGCGTACTACTTTCCCCTCTATGCATCCACCCCCTTCTCTTGTCCCTTATACTCCACATTGGACCTCGACCTTCATTATATCCAGCATGTCTTTCCTTATATCTCTCGATCTTCTTGTCTTTACTACAGCCTGGTGAAAAATTTGCGTTTATTTCTTGTATATGTTCATAGAAATTTGTTATCAACCCTTTATCAGAAATTCTTCGTTCCTGATTCCAGCCCGTAGCTAATTGATAACTAAAATGTGCCTGTTGTAGCTGTCGGGGTCACACAGAAAGGGTAGCAGACGAGACCAACCCTGGAGTGGACAATACCTTTCTTAGAGTCTTTGTTGATATAATGATCATTGTGGTTCAGCCTATCCCCAAAAAGATGTCTGTGTTTAGAAGCCTAAGCGCCCAGGTGGTTCTTGCATGTAGGAAATCTCGTAGCTCTATTGATCACTTGACCCATTACCTTATTTGATGATACTCCAGACAACCCCGCCCTAGATGCACAGCCATTGTCATCGGCGCTAGTAGGCGGCTTCCAACGTTTAATGCCGATCAAATGTTTTTCAGGATATTCTTCGCCCGTGATATCGGACTGGGCAAGGAACTTGCTTTGAGTTGTCAAGAAATTTCAGCTTAGCAATGGACTCGAGTTCCAATTTCCATCCAAAAACAGACCTTGCAGCATTTGCGGCGACCCAGTTTGATATAATTCTACAATTAAGAAAAGTCTTCGTTCGCAAAGTCCTCATTCCCTGGCCGCCTTTTATTACTACCATGAATACTTATAGAAATTTTTTTGCATTTAAATGCTCGCGAACATGAACAAGATTGAGAACACCACCATGTCCTAATGAAGAAATGATCATTTTGAGGGAAGAACAAACAAGAAAGGAAAAAAGAGAAGAATATCCACAAGCCACAACCCATCAGACTCATCTGTCATACGAGGAACGGGGCAGAGAAGAGCCATCGAGTCCGAACAGGTAGCTGGTAGAAATTCACAAGATGGTAGAGAGGGGGAACAAGCAGAAAGTAGAAAGGACCGGGCATCCACTACCACCATTCAATATTGTATTAACGGGAATAGGGGTGGAATCCGCGATGTCCTTGGCCTCCTCGGCCACCGCCACGGTAGTTTGCACCGGGCTTGCCGGCGTTTCGTGGTCCTGTGGGGGCATTGGCGGGGGCAGCGCTCTGAATCTGAGAACCTGATCCTCCATCTAAAGTCAGTTAGTAAGGAAACGAAGCGGGAAAAAAGGGTCGGCGATGCATACCTTGGGATCCACCAGGGTTGTTGGGCTGGGGGACTTCGTCATACATGCCCTCCCATGAGGTCGGACCACCCTGCTGGTACGGGGAGAAAGCGCGATTCTCCATATGGCGACGGACCTGCTGTTGCTCGTACTTCTGCTGCTCAAAGGCGATCTGCTCCTGGGCGTTGTAGCCCGGTCCACCAGGCTGGCGGTTGTATGCAGCATTGGGGCCAGGGCTAGCGCCTCCGTTACCACTAGCACCAGCGGCAGCGGCAGCTGGTCCTTGGCCCTGATTTTGCATCTGCTGCATCATGGCCGGGTTCATCATGTTGGGCATAGGGGACTGAGAGGATCCAGGGCTCTGAGGGTTGGGGTTGGGACTCATGCTGCCCTGTGGCTGCTGAGGATTGCCACCCATACCCTTCATCTGCTGCATCTGCTGCATCTGTTGGAGCATGGCCGGGTTCATGCCACCCATCATGCCGGCGGCCATTCCCTGGGGCTGGCCCTGGCCTGCCATAGCCATCTGCTGCTGCATCATGGCGAAGTATTGCTGCATGCGTTGCCAGTACTGTGCCATCATCTGCGGGGTCATTCCACCGGCCATGCCTTGCTGACCACCCTGCTGGGGGGCACTTTCACCTCCGTGGTTCATGTCTCGATAACCTCCTCCGTCACGACCACCTCGGCGACCTCCTCGGTCCTCGTCGCGCAGATTACCGCGAGGCTGGGCTTTCTTCACTTCGATGGGCTTGCCCAAGATTTCAAGGGGCCGGGAAAGGGCATTGTCCACGGCAGTCTCGCTGTCGAATGTGACGAAGCCGAAGCCACGAGGGCGGCCAGTATCCTTGTCGATCATCAATGTCGCATCCACGACACGGCCAAATTGCATGAAGAACTGTTTGAAGTCCTGATCAGTTGCCTCTTGACTGACACCACCGACGAAAATCTTGCTTGTCTTTTCTTGCTCATCACGTGGAATGGCGCGCTTGGGGTCGATCTAAAAATTGTTGTAAGCGGCTGGTTCATGTCATTGTTCTTGTCAGGGTATCTTACAATCTTGCCATCCAGATAATGCTCTTTCACCATCACGGTGTTCACGGTCTTAGGGTCACGGAAAGTGAGGAAGCCGAAGCCACGAGAGCGGCCTGTGGCGCTGTCCCGCATTACAGTGCACTCTTGGACCTCTCCAAATTGCGAAAAATAGTCTCGGAGAGATTCTGTGGGAGGTTAGACCGAAATGTCCCATGTATTCTCTGTTCATAAGCAAGATACATACGATCTGTAGTCTCCCAGTTCAAACCGCCAATAAACATTTTCCTAACCAGGTTAAATTAGTATCGACCACGAGAATTTAGTCATGCCAGTGGTATCAAGAGCACATATGAACACATCGCACAAATCAGGGCAAGGGACATTGGATAAGGGCTCTGGCTAAAGAGCTGGTGGCACCTCAGCTGCTATTCACGAATACAGCTAAATGCGGAACTGGCTGGGTCCATAGCGAGTGTTGATATGTTGGTATACGGTGACCGTACAGACACGCATAACCCATGTTTCCACCTGGTTTACACGAGCCTGGATCCGGAGATCGACCGTTTCACAAATTCCCTCCTCTTTCTGTGCTTGGGCTTCACGTTTTGAAGAGCAAGATGGAAGACGCGAAGGGCGAGAAATTCAGGCGAAATAAGTGAATTGTCACTGTCTCTCCTTTCTCCCTGGGAGAAGGTCTGTCTGCCTAACAGTCCCAAGCTAGCTCAGGGTTGATAAACTTCCATCAGACAGCGTTGCTACTTCTTGCTCTGCTCTATCAACGTATATCGACAAGAAGCTATATAGTATCCGCTGTACTATATATGGTCGCTCGCAATAAAGCTTGGTGGTGACCGATTTTTGTCAAATCTTTGCAGATGCACCCAGATTTCCTCAATTCAAGGGATCCCGGATTCGTTTCTCCCTCTTTCTCTGATTATTACTTCTGTCTGATTCCTCGAGGTCACAAGGACGACGCGGAGAGGGTTGTATAGACGAGAGGCAAAGAATGGAGTTCTTCGCAAGATTTTCATGTCATCGCAAGTTGAATATTGGGTTGTCCCTTGCCCCATGATCGTAATCGCACTCTCCACTCTTTTCTTGCAAGGCTTGCATCCAAGCCCAATTAGATCACATCCCAAGTTCCCAGGGCCGCATTTTCGTGAATAGCAACAGGTGCCCTCCAGGCACCTGAAAGGTATAGCCAGATACCCCAAAACCGAGAGATTCATAATGAAATGAGAGCAGGGGTAATATGCACTTACCCATCTTCCTTGATTCCCGTTCCGTGAGACTCATTCTCTGCGGGAGCGGGGGCTGTGGGGGTCGCGTAAGCGCTGTCAGAGCCGTTCTGATGGTAATCGCCGCCATAGCTCTGCTGTGGTTGAGACTGTGTCGCGTATGTGTCTACGGGCGAATGATCATAGCTCTGCGGGGTTGATTCCACGGCAGGTTGTGCAGGGACTGCGGGTGTTGGTTCTGCAGGCTTAGGCGCCTCTACTGCAGAAGTCGTGCGGTTTGTCGATTCATCGGCGTCGTAGCTAAGAAAGGATATGACCGTCAGTTTCATCTCAAGAAACAAGGGCTCGTAGAGCAGACATACAGATCAGCGAAGAGATCATCTTCCAGTCCCTCCGGGTCGGCCATGGCGCAGAGAGTTCAAGGTACCAAATGAACTGGAGATATGGCAATGGGAAAAGCAATGGTGCAAAATCCAATCGCAGGTCTGGGCGAAGAAGAAGCTCCACGTAAAAAGGTTGACGAAGAGGTGGAGAAAAGAGAAATACTGAAGAAAGTTGAACCTTGGGAAGGGAGGAAAGCGGAGGACGTGGCTTACATACGCACGGCCCGTTTGATGAAACTAAACGTCTCACTTAAACCTAAGGCGAAGACCTACACACCTCAGATCTTGGGTTTCTCTCCATTCCTCTATTGGATTCACTGTTTCAGAAACATCCTACCTTACTGGGCCCTTGAATGACCCGCAATGCCTTACTGACTTAGGTACAACGCTGTGGGAGGAGACAACAACACCATCGCTGGGCCGCCCCGCATTCAACTTTCCGCTACAGAGCGCGCGTACTACTCATCACCTCAGTGGAAGCCATGACAAACAAGAAGGGGCAGCAGGTAAGTAACTCAACACTCAAAATCACGCGATTATCCCAATGGGTGAAATACTAATCATCATTCCTGCAGGAAATGGTCCAGGTTGGTGCGTATTTCCCCGCCACAGCTTGCTTCAGGGTCCATAGCTAACATAGCTTCTCCTCTCGTTAACAGACAACTCTGAGTATGGCCAAAACTACCTTCCTTCATTTATTTCCTGTGAATATTTACTGACATTCATTGAAGACGAGCAGATTCTCCTTTCTGGCCTGGCCGGACCGCATCCCTGAATCAGTCGTCCCCGAAGATCTATGGTCAGAACACAGTGGTTGGCGCTTCATACTCCCATGCCAATATTCTACAGTCAGCCTCCCTGTTTTGTTCCGACAAAATCCAAATGGATCGGCATCGGAGTTATGCTGACATATCATGGCCAGAGGCACATCATCCCACCCTCGCCCCAGGACGCCCCCGAAACCCTCCGCCACTAATGCGCCTTCGCATCTGGCTCACCGACCTGGAAACGTCGCCTCTCCCCCCAAGGAACCATATGCCAACATGACTGGTGGAGTAGACGAATGGAGTCGAGATCCAACTGAGGAAGATGACGATGACGATGATGAAATTGTATATGATGACGATGAAGATGAATTTGGGCTTCCCAGTCTTGCGAGCATGAGAAGGAAGAAGACACCATACATGAAATCTAAGAAAAATGATTCCGGGGGAGTTATGGGAGGAAAGCCTGGCTCCCTTGGCTTCGGACTTTCTGCCAACAACCGTCAACGAGCAAACAGCTCAGATATTGCCGAAGAACGCGGCACTCCCATGTATCCAACGGCGCGCAAGGGCGATGGAAAGATTCTTCGCCCGCAGTACAAGGATATACTGCAAGGTTTGAATATTAAAGCCCGATCATGAGCGGACTATACTAACGTGACAGCTAGATCCTGCAAATGCTTTGAATCTGATTAGTCACACTGCACCGCCTACCAATGCGTCCTCCAAAGAGAGAGAGATCCATTCAAGTCGTATCTCTCGAATCAATAAGTTCAAACGAATTCTTCAGGCTAGCACCGTTTCTCTTACTGAACTCAGGGATCTAGCATGGTCTGGAGTGCCCGAAGAGGTTCGACCGATGACGTGGCAACTTGTCCTTGGTTATCTACCCCCAAATAGTGAACGGCGTATTTCCACCCTGGAGAGAAAACGCAAAGAGTATTTGGATGGAGTTCGACAGGCTTTTGAACGGGGCAGTGGTGCCGCTTCCAATCCCCCCGCTTCAAGCACCGGGCGAGGGAGGGGACTTGATGAGGCGGTTTGGCACCAGATCAGTATCGACGTCCCACGTACGAGTCCTCATATACCACTGTATGGGTACGAAGCGACCCAGAGATCCTTGGAGCGTATCCTATATGTGTGGGCGATTCGGCACCCAGCTAGCGGTTATGTACAGGGCATCAACGACTTAGTGACGCCGTTTTTCCAGGTCTTCCTAGGAGTATACATCACGGATCTCAATGTCGAGGAAGGCATGGACCCGGGACAGTTACCCCGAAGTGTGCTGGATGCCGTGGAGGCCGATACGTTCTGGTGTCTGACAAAGCTCCTGGACGGGATTCAAGACAACTATATCTATGCTCAGCCGGGTATCCACAGACAGGTTCGGGCGCTGCGGGACCTGACAAAGCGGATTGATTCTGCCCTCGCCAAACACCTTGAACAAGAGGGTGTGGAATTTATGCAGTTCAGTTTCCGATGGATGAACTGCTTGCTCATGCGGGAAATGAGCATCAAGAACACGATTCGCATGTGGGATACGTATATGGTACGTCGCTTGGGGTTGCATTATCTCTACATGATTCTGACGAATATTCCAGGCCGAGGAGCAGGGCTTCTCACGATTTCATCTCTATGTCTGTGCCGCATTTTTAGTGAAATGGTCAGAGCAATTGGTGAAGATGGACTTTCAGGTATGTGTTCTTCTGTAGTTTGACAATTGATGGTGATTGAGAAGATTCTAACCATCTGATAGGAGGTTATGATGTTCCTTCAAGCATTGCCCACCAAGGGTTGGACTGAGAAAGACATCGAGCTTTTATTGAGCGAGGCATTCATCTGGCAGAGCCTTTTCCAGGATTCTGCCGCTCATCTTCGGCCTTCTGGCGATGCGCCTCCTGAAAATGGTATCTTTTATTGATAGTAATCATAATTCATCATTCTATTCGGGACTGCCCCAAGGGAAACTTAGTCCTGATCAGTTGAAGTGGATTCCCTTCTGGTTGAAGGCCCACAGCATTTTCAAAAATTCGTTCTCATCACACATTCTTGCGCGCTTATCAGCCAGGCCAGTGTCGTCCTCCAGCACCTGGCGCACCTTTTCGCGCACCAACTCCGAAACCTTTCCTCGCTTCTTCCGTGAGGTCTTGTTCTTGAGTGCTTGTTGGAGACGAGCGTTAGTCTCCTCTTTGAAGAAATCCGGCACGTCATCGTCATCATCCATTTCCATGACCTCCTCCGCTTCCTCCACGTCAGCCTCATCTTCATCGCCCATATCCATCGTATCGCCGTCGGCATCCTCAGCGGGGCCATCCTCTACAGGGATATCGTTCTGAGCACACCAGGTCCGATAGTTCGCTTCCAGCATGTTGACGATGCTAGTAGTTCCCAAGAAACTGGCGCGCAATGTCTTGTTCTTTCGAACAAATGCAATGCGCAACATTCCATCCCACTCCTCATAGTTAACCTGCGGCCGCGGAACCTTGGGGACCATGCGAATGACACTGGACTCGACCAGGGGCGGAGGTTTGAAGTTGTTCTTGCCAACCTTCATAATGTGATCGATCTTGGCCCACATTTGTGCGTTCACGGAAAGTCGACTGTAGAGCTTGTCACCAGGTTTGGCGAACAGACGCAGAGCGAATTCACGCTGGAACCTAAACTCAGAAAATGCATATTAGTATATAGTAATAAAAGGCTAGCCTGTTTGGCAAAGGAATGATTGCCACGGTAATAAAACGTACATGAGAATGCAAACACGAGGAGCTGGCAATGTAGCCAAAAGCTTGAATGTAAGAGGGGAGGAAATCTACAAGAGTCAGCCATATCCAATATAGGTCAGGGTATGCGGGAGCATGTATACCTGGTAGGGTGTGTTGCTAATGCAGACATCAAAGTAAGGGAGCTCGGTCTTCATCACGTCTCCAAGAATCACGTCCAGACGCTTCTGCGCTGGAGTACCCTGGAAACGCTTGGTAACTTCGGCCGCCATGCGAGGATCCAATTCCACTGCAATAACCTTCTTGGCGTGGTCTAGGATTTTGGTGGTCAAGTTTCCAGTACCAGGACCGATTTCAAGAACAACATCGCTCTGCTTGAGCTCGGCTTTAAGGACGATCCTAGAAAATGAAGCTTTTAGTTGATGCACATATAACAAATTACTTTGGACTTCACTTACTGCTCTGCAATACCCGGATTTTTCAAAACGTGCTGACCGATATCTGTGTTCATCTTGAAGATACTGTGGGCCGCCGAGGTCTTTGCAGCTGCGTCGCTTTGCGCATTGTTGCGCTTCTTTGGTTTGATAGCCTTCGGCATTTTGCGACAATGGCAGGTCTATGCTGCCTGTGAATTTTTTGGTTTGTAATAAAATCCAATCTCCCAGAGACTTGGTGTTTTTGGGGACCAAGACGATGTGGGCAACTTTTTCTTTTGCGATAAGATTGTCGGGATCGGATCTACTTTTCTACGAAACCCGCTCTACTACTCTTTAGTCTCAAACACACCTCGAGCTCGTTGTGTCCATCATGGCGTCCGGACGCAAGGATTTTCTTAGCCAGCAGGCACCGGAGAACTATGTCGCCGGTCTGGGTCGTGGTGCGACCGGTTTCACCACGCGCTCTGACTTGGGACCTGCGCGCGAAGGCCCGACACCCGAACAGATCCAGGCCGCTCTGACGAAACGAGCTCAGCTTTTAGGAGCTGCTGCACCGACTGCCTATGGCACTCAGTCACGCGAAAAGGGAGGCAAAGAAGAAAAGGAAGAGGAGGAAGATGAACGTTTTCAGGATCCCGAAAACGATACCGGTCTATTTGCCTACGGACAGTTTGACCAGGAAGACGATGAGGCAGATCGCATCTATCAAGAGGTAGATGAGAAGATGGACAGACGTCGGAGAATTCGAAGGTTAGTTGCACTCCCCATACCCTTTCTACAAGAAACATCTTGTTCATCGGGCCAAGCCCCGGTTGTTTGGATAGAATACCGACTTGAATCGTTCGCCACCTACAGGGAAGCTCGAGAGCAACAAGAACGCGATGACTACGAACGAAAAAACCCCAAAATTCAGCAACAATTTGCCGACCTGAAGCGATCGCTTGCTGCGGTTTCCGAAGAGGACTGGTCTAACTTGCCTGAGGTTGGTGATCTAACGGGCAAGAACCGACGAGCCAAGCAAAATCTACGACAGCGATTTTACGCCGTTCCTGATAGTGTCATCGCAGGCGCTCGGGACTCAGCGCAATTTGATACGACCATTGCCGAAGATGGCGCCGAACCCAGCAGCGAGCAAGGTGGGGACGGGACTATGACCAATTTCGCAGACATCGGTGCCGCGCGTGACAAGGTTTTGAAAGTGAGACTGGACCAGGCTGCACTTGGATCTACTGCCGAAAGCTCTAGCTCTGGAAGTGCGACTAGTATCGACCCCAAGGGCTACCTTACCAGCCTGACTCAGTCAGAAATGAAATCTGGGGAGCTCGAGGTTGGCGATATCAAACGAGTTCGTGTACTACTGGAATCTGTCACCAAAACCAACCCTAAACATGCCCCTGGATGGATTGCGCTCGCGCGTCTCGAGGAGCTTGCAGGCCGAATTGTTGCGGCTAGGAATATCATCGCTAAGGGTTGTGAGCTTTGTCCTAAGAGTGAAGACGCTTGGCTGGAAAACATCCGAATCAATGAAGGACACAACGCCAAGATCATTGCAGCAAACGCCATCAAGAATAACGACCACTCTACTAAGTTGTGGACCGAGGCCATGAAACTTGAAACAGATACCAGGGCTAAGAAGAATGTCCTGAGACAAGCTATTCTTCACATTCCTCAATCAGTTCAGATCTGGAAAGAGGCTGTTAACCTGGAAGAAGATCCTGCGGATGCACGTCTTCTCTTAGCCAAGGCCGTCGAAATGATTCCTCTGTCAGTGGAGTTATGGTTGGCTCTTGCTCGACTCGAGACGCCAGAAAACGCGCAGAAGGTTTTGAATGCGGCTCGTAAGGCTGTTCCCACGAGCCACGAGATTTGGATTGCGGCAGCTCGTCTTCAAGAGCAAATGGGCACTTTCGAGAAGGTCAATGTTATGAAGCGTGCTATCCAATCTCTTGCTCGTGAGAACGCAATGTTGAAGCGAGAGGAATGGATTGCAGAGGCCGAGCGTTGCGAAGAAGAAGGTGCCATCCTTACCTGTGGCGCCATTATCCAGGAGACTCTTGGATGGGGACTGGACGAAGATGATGACCGAAAGGACATCTGGATGGACGATGCTAAATCCAGCATTGCACGCGGGAAGTATGAAACAGCGCGGGCTATTTACGCGTATGCACTGCGAGTGTTCATCAACCGCCGATCGATTTGGATCGCAGCGGCTGATCTGGAGCGCAACCATGGTGATAAGGAGGCACTTTGGCAGGTTCTCGAGAAAGCTGTCGAGGCATGCCCCCAGAGTGAAGAGCTCTGGTTACAGCTTGCCAAAGAGAAGTGGCAGTCTGGAGAAATCGACGACGCGCGCCGCGTGCTCGGCCGTGCTTTCAACCAGAATCCCAACAATGAAGACATTTGGCTAGCAGCCGTCAAGCTCGAAGCAGATGCCAAGCAAACTGACCAAGCAAGAGAACTGTTGGCCACTGCTCGCCGTGAGGCCGGTACGGATCGTGTGTGGATCAAGAGTGTTGCTTTCGAGCGGCAATTAGGCAATGTCGACGATGCCCTGGATCTCGTCAACCAAGGATTGCAGCTATACCCCAAGGCTGACAAGCTCTGGATGATGAAAGGCCAGATTTACGAGGCTCAAAACAAGTTCCCACAAGCCCGAGAGGCATACGGTACAGGTACCCGTGCTTGCTCCAAATCTGTGGCGCTGTGGCTTCTGGCCTCGCGACTGGAAGAAAAGGCCGGCGCCGTTGTCCGTGCCCGATCTGTTCTGGACCGCGCTCGCTTAGCTGTACCCAAGAGCGCCGAATTATGGACAGAAAGTGTTCGTGTGGAACGACGTGCAAACAATCTTGCTCAGGCCAAGGTTCTCATGGCGAAGGCGTTGCAAGAGGTCCCCGCTTCTGGTCTGCTCTGGAGCGAGAGTATCTGGCATCTCGAGCCCCGTGCTCAACGCAAGGCCCGCAGTTTGGAGGCCATTAAGAAGGTGGATAATGACCCAATTCTGTTTATCACCGTGGCACGCATTTTCTGGGGTGAGCGCCGACTGGAGAAGGCGATGACCTGGTTCGAAAAAGCCATTGTCTCCGATAGTGACTATGGTGATGGGTGGGCTTGGTACTACAAGTTCTTGATGCAGCACGGTACAGAGGTTAGTTCGAAACTGTGTTTATCTTATTTGCGAGATAACATTAGCTTACTTATCATTTTACAGGAAAAACGAGCCGACGTCGTGTCCAAGTGTGTCTCGACCGAACCCAAGCACGGCGAGGTGTGGCAGTCGATTTCCAAGGACCCAGTTAATGCGCACAAGCCAACGGATGAGTTATTGAAAATCGTTGCTAATACGATCAATTGAGCCTTGCTTTTATGATGTACCAACATGCGGCGTTTCTGGGACACTACTATAAAGGAGAAATGCATATTTTCAATCGTGAATCAAATTCATATATGGGTATAGAACAAGCTTGGCTTCCCCACAATCAGTAAAGGCCATCGCCATCGTGTCTGCTTTTTATACTTTAGATAATGAAATAATCCCCTCCCGATTGCGTCCACCTTACCCGTAGAAAAGGCTACTGTACATCGCAAACAAGTTCGACACCGCGCACGGTGAAGAACGAAAAGGAAGAATAACAATAAAAACAAAAACGAAAAAGAGCACAAGAGCAAAATAGTCGAGGCTGGCGTCACGACGTATTTTCAAATAACTCCGGAACCATATGCAAGTAAAAAGGGGAGCCACACGGTGGCTCGCTGTAATTCCCAGACGCCATGATCCTCCCACCGTCCTAGACCGAGAATCGACAAGAAAAGAAAGCATAATGTGGCAGCGTGGTATCAAACCAGGAAGGATAACTAGAAGTAACGTAGGCGGGTCGGGGGTATCATCTTCATGCAGCCATAGACAAGCACTCATCGAGCAAAGAGCCTAGCTGGCCTCTATCCGCGGCAGTGCCTCCTTCCCAGTCCGATAGCGCATCGTCATCATCAATGTCCATTTCATCCTCATCGGCGGTCTTTACCTCAGCGACCTGACCCACATCATTCTCCAGTCGATCTTGTTTCTCGGTCTCAAGCTCATCTTCAAAGTACCCACCCTTGATCTGGTCAATGATTAGCGGCATATGACCAAGAACCCCACTGCTGAGCTCAAGTGTAAGTCGCAAATCCCTAACTCCGAGGGGTCTGCGAATGGCAGCTTCTCGAGCTTCAACGGGAAGCAGTCCGGTGGCAGTATCCTTTGCGATTTCGCCGCGCGTGAAAGCCAGTTCTTCCCGTTCCAGTTGCTGTCGGTACTTGCGCATCATCATGCCGTTACTTGTACCAGACGGACCGTTCGATCGGGTACGCGCGAAGACGGAAGAAAGGACTTCTTTCACAAATGTTTCTGTTGCAATCGCCATGAACTCGGCACATGGGAGGCCGGCCCCGCTGGGAAGGGACTCTTCATAACACATGGGGACCATGCGGGCATAGATAGACTCCGCGTCGGGGAACTCGCCAGTCTCGGCGGCGAGTGGTTGTGCATATCGTTTTCGGATTTCTAATTCCCAGTCTGCAAAAAATTGGACGTATTGGTTAGATCATCCTGATTATAGTGGGATAGTGCGCAATGCGACAACGCAAATAATATTTCAGCCGTAAGGGGAATGGTTCCTTACTGGTCTTGTTTAATCCACCAGCGCTTGCTGGGACCTGACTTGGAAGCTTAATTTGTTTCGCAAGGTGGTATTCCTCTAGTTCACTAGGTTTCACTTCGTTGGGGTCGCGCTAGAAAATGGCACATTAGCATCATCCTCGGCAGGGAAGTATTACCCTCAACCATCATTTTTTGTAACATACCTCTGGAATTGCCTTGATACGTCGTCGATCCCTTGGTGGCAGCTGCATCACCTCAGTCTTTAGTCTCTGCTCTGCAGCATCGCCCGAGATCGGCTTCGACACCATCGAAGGCTTATCATTGGCCGAAACCCAGTTCGCGACGCCATGATCGGGGAGGTCTCGCGTGAGATTTCCGAGAATCGCGCAGACAAAATTATTATGTAGATGTTCAGTTTTCGGATCGGCGCATAGGATATAATCGACTCGCGACGCGTATTCATTTTGGTTGTAGTGACCTAGAAGGGAGGAGGCCAGGAGGTCAGCACAAGTAGCTCAATTCAGGGCCAAGGAGCTTTATATAGGAAAACATATGTGCACAAAAGCTAGAGAAACGTATGCGCAGGGATTGTCATACCAAGTAAGAATAGGGCGGTCGATTCCTTGTACTCAGCCCACTGGTCCCCGATCGCGGCCTTTAGATCCGTGTAGGCATGCTCCAGGTCAAGGCGCGGAACGGAGTTCAGGGCCCTGGAGGATTTCACTGTTGCTGCAGCGTTTGGTGTCGCACTCTTTGCCGGATTTGACGCCGAGTCAGACCGACTCAGAGCGGCCGGGTCGATCTGCATGGCTGGAAGACTCGCAGGAGTGCGACGAGGCGAGGCCGAAGGGCGGCAAGTAGGGAGAGGGGCTACGCATTCATCAGACTCGGGCTGAGAATGAGAAGAGAAGGAAGTTGATGATGAGTTGGGATGGAGATGATGGATGATGAGGATGGAAGGGTTGAAGGTGTAGGTTTCCGCCTTGTCTCTCTCCCCGCCAGAACCGGATACCACCTTCGACCCCGAAACCAGCAATGATTTTATACTTGGTACAAGAACCGTCATTTGCCTGATAATGCCTCCATTCAGTGATATTTTATTGGGATTTTTACACGAGTTGTACTACGTCTTCACTCAAAACTCCGAATAGCTGCCCGATATCCGCGATGATCTCCGTGATCTCTTTCGACAACTGGCCAGTCACCAAGACTTGAGGATATAGTCAGTGATGGAACTCATGCCACAAATAAGATAGGGATCAAATACTTACTGTAGGCATATAGCAGAGCACAATCTTCATCTGTGGTCAGTTTAGAAGCTTCATGATCTTGACGGTAGCGATAGATACGAGCCAGCAGCCGGTCGCGTGCATGGTCGATACTAGGTAGGACATCGCTCAACGGGTATTCGAGCTTCATGGAAGATGCCATCACTAGGATTAACTCGAATGTCAGCTCCAAGACACAAGGCACGGTTTTTGAAGACAGATATTGCTAAAACAAGCCTTACCCGTTAGGAGGTGACTGATGCGAGCAGAGAGCTGCTGCCGTTCGACCGCTGTATACTGAAGTAGACAGATCTCGCCCGCCGTGGCAGTGTCACTTTTCATCAATTCCAGGTTCATGGCATGGAATGCGTTCGCCATGTTTCGGGTGCGCCGAATTATACTGGCATATGGGACATCATCAAATGCACACCGCAGCTCATACTCGGACCGTGCGGCAGCCAGAAGGGATTCAAGACGAGTGAGATATCGTTCAAGCTCAAGTCTCTCCCGGGCAGTCATGTATACAATGGATCGACCATTTCTGGCCATGGCCGATAGCGGGTCACGCTTCCAGACAAGACCCAGCCTCAACCAGAGAATACTAAGGCCATCCTTCAATCGGCTTCTGGCACTGATGGGCCAAATGAAGCGGGTGATGATGATACCCCAAATGCAACCAGACAACACTGCAACGACTCGGTGAAGGGCAATTTCAGTAATGATTGGGGTTTGGCCTCCTTCGTCGTTACGGCCATCCGCATCTTTCTGTGAGAGTGAGTACGCGTAAAGTACAGATAGGTTGTAGGTAAGCATGATAAACCGTCCCATGGGCCCATTACCACGAACAATGGTGATCCAGGCTGTCCAGGTGGCCATACACCATCCGACAAATGCAAGCCCAAAGACATTGCCACCGGTGGAATACCAGGCAAGAATGGCACATCCGGCCCCAAGACAAGTACCTAAAAAACGAGCGTAACCTGTCGTGTTGGAAGCACCGATTGTCATGGAACAAACCAGCATATAAGATAGCAAACCCCATTCCCCTCTCCAGTGCTGATAGAATGGCCGAGCAGAAGGAAGAAAAGCAGGCAAGGCGTAAAGGGCCGCACCGGCACCAACCTTGATCGCATATTTGGTGTCATCCCTTCGGAAGAATTCGAGCGATTTCCAAAGCCGATAGCCCACTCTCTCCTTGACAGTGCTCTCCCTATTTGGCCGTAAACGAGACCTCAATGCGGCCGTTAACCTGTCCTCTGAATCCATATTGCGTGAAAGCTGCATGTGTCGATAACTCTCTGCACCGCTAGATAGTTCTGGAAAGATGCATTAGGATGCTGGGTTATGGTTATAAAGGCAGCAAATGAAGACATCAATACACACCTGCATCAGCGCTTTTGTTTCCAACACGCCAGAACTTCATCCAAGACCAAGATCTACCATTCGGTCTTTCTTCGGTTTCTAGCTGCAGCTCGTCCAAGATGGCTAGGAGCTCATGGAGCTGCTCTCCAAATTCCAGAAGTGAGAAACTAAAATGACCGCAGCTAGCTGATACTTCTTCCAAGTCCGCTTCGGCTTCAGGGCTTCGCAACTTCATCTCTTCTGTTTGTTCGTAAAGCGACTTGAGGGTCTTTTGTCGTGACTCTCGGTAAAGTTCAAGAGCACGATCCAGACTGGTATGGAGTCGATTGTTCACCGAGACCTTGTAGTTTGGAGCTGGACCGAATGGGATTTCGTTGAAGATTTCCTTCATGGTAAACGTCAATGACCGCTGTGTCAAATGATTAGTCACAATAAGCTTGTTCTTTACAAGTTGTAGAGGCTTACCATGGAAGGACCAAGGTGGGAGATAAAAATGGTGAACACGTCAGCAGGAAGAAGAGATGCATCCTTTCCTTGCTGTGGTGCAGCATTATAGCTTCCACCTGGCGATAATTCCTCCTCGGGGCGTTCATCTATCGGTTCCAGGAAGGACCCATCTGGAAAAGACCATGAGCGCTCAAGAGATGCAACATAGTCGGCATATGGAGTAGGAAGTCCGCTTGAGCCAGATTCCCGAGAAATGGTCTCCCGAATCAGACTGAATTGAAGCTCTGCGGCACTGCGCAATCCTCCCATGTTATGAGTGATGTCCTGCACCCAGCGGACAAGCTTCTTCTCGAGCCGGTATTCCTTTTCGGTACCTCCCACGAAATGCTCTAATTTGGCCTCTCGAATCAATTTATCCAGTTGGGAGTAGGCCTTGCGATGCATTGTTTCCGCATTAATGAATTCCGCCACTGTCAACTCTTCTTCGGATCCGCTTAAGAAAGCATCTGTCATGATAGCTAGCATGGTCGCTAATGTATCCGTGGCTATGACCAGATTGGAACGAAGCTTTTTCCGTGCTGAGATGGGAACTATCAGAAACGATACCGCCATAGCCAGGACGACACCCATGATGACCATCTTCAAAACCTGAGAGATCTTCTCCAGGGAGAGATCGCCACTCTGGACGGCGCCTTCTTTTGTCAGAACAGTGATGGTTGACAGCGCCGTAAGCGAGCAGGCGACGTTTACCAAGGGATCACCGAGCCGTTGTTTAGTCCACCCGACAAATCCGAGTCCTCCACCAACGAAAATAATCAAGACCAAAGCATGGCCAAGCACCGGCAGATTCAGTGTGTCCTGGAAGAGGTTTTCAAGCAGCATACTCGTGATTGAAAGAAAGGCAGAATAACAAAACGCAAGCAGGGCGCAAACTAATGCGCGGTACATGCTTCCTATGGTTCTCGCTGGGTGGAAGTATACTGTCACGGTAGCCACCATATGCTTTCCATCCTGATGGCCGAGGTAGGTAGAAATGATCGGAATAAATGTCGCCATCGAGCCGAGTAAATATGCCAGACTGCACTTCAAAATTCCAATGCCTTGTTCGGAGATAATGAACTCATAAAATCCCGCCCACAGCTCTCGTGCCCGCGCGGAGATTTGTGTAGCGAATCCATCACGATGAGTCTCAATTTCGCCGGAGAGTAAGCCGCGCAATTCCTCATGATTATTTTCGTCGGGTACTGTTGGTCTCTCGGTGGGATTGCGCAGATTCACGAGGCCTTTGAGGCGCTGACCGGTTTTTGGGAGGACAAAGGTTGCCTGGCGCAGCTACACAAGCTGTTAGCTTTCTGGGGTTCGGGTTCGAGTTGTGGGAGCTCAGGCTGTGGACAAGGTACCTTGGGCCGCAAGAAGCGGCGGGAGCTACTGGAAGCTCCAGATGGTGACATATTAAGCTTCGCCTTGCGCTCGGACTCGGCGCGACTTACTTCGCGGTAAGGATCCCCATGGAATCGGTAAACACCGCAGTCGCTTCTTTGAATCGACGAAGTTGTACGGTTTTTGCTTGTGGGGGAAAAGCTGAGTTGGCAGACGCACGGTTTTGTTTGGTTGATCAATGCGGGTTACGGCCACGTCCCTTTTTGTTGGACCAACGCACCTCTATCAACATCCACAAGGAAGAAAAGTGGATATTCGCTAATAGAGTAAGCTAGCTACCCAGTATAAGTTGCAATCCATGCGGCTCAATGGTTTATCACCCAGAGATTCTTGACCAAGTCCGCCGGGGACTTCAATGCCGTCTAGAGTGGTTCCAGCTTTAGAACGCCGTAAAGATAATATCACCTTGCATCTCCGTTACACCGCACTTTTTCATGTATAAAAATGTCGCCTCTCAATAGCGTCAGCCCCTTGCACCTCCGTTCGAAAACCGGAGTTCACCTAGTACCTACAGTTAACCAACATGACGTAAGAGGCCATTTGATGCTTGAAACCCCTCTTCAACTTGAGAACCTATAAGCACACTTTCTGTCTCCAGGTCCTGGAGCTCGTTCATTTGTACTTCAATGCCCCCGACAGCCGAAAAATCATAGCCATCTCAATATTTGGTGATTCAGACCGTACTGCGTTCATCAGATATGTATGAGGATTCGTCGAAAGTCATGAGTGATATCGATTCCATGGACAGGAAGAAGTAACCCGACAATTGATAACATATAATGGATGGCAGCCATAACTAATTCTGTGGGAAGAGCGATTAAGCCATGCTTGGGTGAGATGCTTCCTGGAATATTAAAAGCCTATAGTTCGTGAGAAGCATACCTTTGAAAGTGGTTTAGCAACCAAGCAGACCGAGAGAACAGGTGGAGATGACAACACAAGAGATCGGTCAAGATTTCGCTAGTAGGGTCATCAAGGTTCTACCTCCATCTTTGGTGCAACAACGGCTACCGGCCCAGCTACCACAGTCGTCTGTAGAGACTACACAGACCTCCAGTCAATCGAGATTGATACGGCGGGCTAGGGCAAGAATTGTAAATCTAGACATGATGTAGCCTGTCTTCTTAGGCATTGAAATTAAGCTTCACACTTAGACAATGTTACCGTAATAAGCACCTGAGTAAGGGAATCGGATTTAGCACGCCGTGTCGTTCTTGACTACAGAATCCATCGGTAGTCGTGATGCACCGTAAATGCCTGCACGCTCATATAGACAGCTAAATACTGGACAATACACAAACTTCATTCAATTCATCTATAGCAAACCCTCAACACCCTCTTATTCATTGAAGTCCCTCAACCTTCCACACTTTCACTGCGGCATCAGCACCGGCCGAGGCGATCTTCGAGCTTCCCTCGACCCAAGTAACGCCATTCACACCCTCCTTGTGAGCGTTCTTCAGCTCAATCCAGTCACCCTGGTTGGCTAAGCTCCACACAAAGATATTAGTATCCAACGAGCCACTGACCAGATGCGATCCAGCCTGGTTCCAGGAAAGCGATGTGATCCGAGCAGTGTGTGCGGTCCACCGGTCAGTGACAAGGCTGCCATCTGCAACCTTGTAAACCAGAACGCGACCTCGCAAGTCTCCCACTGCGAGAAGGGAGGCATCGGGAGAGAACGCAAGGGTGGAGATCTGGTTGCGGGAGGCCTTGATATCAGTCTGGCCTGCAAGGCTGGAACTCGAGACCTTGCAGATCTCAACAGATCCATCTTCACCTCCAACGGCAGCAACAGCTCCATGGGCGGCCACGGTAGTGACAGAAAACTTAGGCTTGTATTCGCCGGTCTTCTTGCCATCTTGGAAAATCTCCACAGCCTCTGCGGTGCCAACCAATACAGTGGAATCGCCAGCGGCGACACCCTTCGGCTGCCCAGTCAGCTTGGAGGCGCTACCAGTGTATGTCATCGCAGCAACGTCAATGGAGCGAATGGTGTCGTCCCAGCCAACACTGTAAATTCGCCCAGAACCCTCTGGTGTGGGAGTGAGACCAGCAACGTAGCCGGGATGGCTTTCACCCTCGATCTCTGCCGCTGTGCCTGAAGAAACGTCCCAGCTGCAGACCCGTCCATCAAAGCTACCGGTGTACAAAGTCTCCTTGTTGTCCAAGGTGGTCTGGTTCAGGGAGGTGATACTCTTCTGGTGGCCTGAGACCACCTGGCGGAGCTCAGGAGTTCCCTCCACCAGGTAGTTCAGATCTCCACTGAGAGACAAACTGATAAGCAGGTTGTCGCTTCGTCCAGGGGGCCAGACAACGCCAACTTGCTGGTCGCGAACAGCCATTGCGCCCTCCTCTCCCAGAGTCCAGCTCTGGGTAGATTTGCCCGCTTCCACATCCCAGATCTTAACTGTCCGATCAGCACTGGCAGTGACGAACTTCCGAGAATCCTTGCTCCAAGAGAGGCCGAAGATACTACCCTTGTGCTCTCCCTCGCCAATCTGACCCTTGGTCTCACCAGTTTTGCCATCGTACAGCCAGATCTTACGGTCTCCGCCAACAGTGGCCAAATTCGAACCATCAGGACTGAAGCCAACACCATAGATATAGTTAGAGTGCTTGTCCCCAACTCCCATATTAAACTTAAAGGGCGCGCCGTGATAGAAGACCAGCTTTTTGTCATCACCTGCAGCTGCTGCACGCAGAGGCCTCTGCTGCCTGATCGAAACGGAGTTGATCTGTTGAGTGTGACCATAGATTTCTCCGACGGTGTTTCCACTATCCCAGGTAATGAAGTGGCCGTATCGCTGCTTCCCGTCACCTACCGCTGCGATTCGCTGCGAATCACCATCCCAGGCAAGATCGTTGATGCGGCCACTGACGATGTTGTACTCGCCCTTGGTAATACCGTCTCCAACGCAATCCCACACTCTCACTGTACCGGATGCATCACCACTTGCAACATAGAATCCAGAGGGGGAAAACCGAGCGACGGTCGTCTGAGCCTTGTGTTCTGTGTATTGGCGGGCGACTGCGGGGTCATCGATCGAGCGCAAAAAGATGGATTTATTGGACTGCAATCGTATCGGTCAGGGGCTATACAAGGAAGAGATTCATATGTAGGATCGTACAGCGTAGGCTAGTCGCTCGCCCTTGGGGTCTGAGGAGAGCTGGGTAGGTTGGCCACGAGTGGTGGAGGGGCTAGGAGCCCAGATGGACTCTTGAAGGGTGTCAGTTGCAAACATGTAGCAATTTCAAACCAAAGAATCCTACCATTTATGATTGACATTGAAGCGTACACCGGAATGTATCGGGGAAGGGGAGTTGTTTCAGGAAAGTTGAAGGGGAGATTGTTTATGGACTGACGTACTCGGCTCAGCTTTGGCGGGGACTTAACTCTATCTAGTAACATCCACCTTGCCGCATTGCAGGCAACTAACGCTAATCCCGCAGTGTCAATTCGCCTGCCAAGCTTGAAAGTTATGGATTCTTATAGCCAAGAAATCAATTTCAATTGCGCTAGAACTAATAATACATGTGAATGTGCCCCCGTTGATCTGTACAGTGCCATAATGCCATAACTAGCTTTAACTAGCCTCAGACATGAATCTCCCCCAAAATGAACATATTCTAGTAAAAGGAACTCATCTTTGACCTAGCCTCTGATGCCAGGATTTCAGGGTGTCGGTGGACAGAGGGCAAGAGACCAAGTCCCATGGCCCTTCGAATGGCCTTTGCAATCTTCCGCTGGTTGACAGGGCGCAAACCAGTCTGGTTGCGGTGCTTGATACGTCCCAGAGGGGACACATATTCGGACATGATAGCGAAGTTCTATAAAAGTAAAGAATGTCAGTGACCAAGGAAACAGGCGAAGGCAAGAAGTGCTGGATTTTGAGATCAAGTATCCGTACCTTGTGCAGGTCCAATGGGTTCAGGTTCAAGGCGTCAAAAGCATCAAATGAAGGAGCCTTGCGCTTGGACCATTTCTTCATCTCTGCCGGGCTAAGATCATGAGGAGCATAAATATCACCGGCCTTCCATTCGCGAGACTGGAATTTCTCCATAGCTTTGCTCTCGCCCTGGGACTTTTGATCTTCGAGGAAACGCTTGCGGTAGTTTGGGTGCATGCGTTGGTTGGAGGATGATTCTAGCGCCGATTGGTTAGTAAAAGAATTGAAACAGTTGCAAGCCTCAGAAACCGGAGGGGCCGGGGCATACTGAATGTTGACGGGGATCGCTGGGAAGTGAAGGCGCTCATGGCAGCGGTCGAACTCCAGCGGCATGCTGAGGGCACAGCATTTGTGGCGCTACGAAGCGATGAAAACAGATTCAACGACATAACGAGAAAATCTCAATAAAGTTGGAACTGGGATCGTGAGGTCAGGTCGGGAAAAGAATGAGATCAACGCGGAGCGTTTTTTCGCAAGTAGCGCCAAGACCGCCTTCCCGCCTGAGACCAGCTTTCTCCGCGTGTCGCGAACTTTTTGATCCGAGTTCACCCCCGACCAAACTTACCAACCTTTCCCGTCTTCTTAATTGGGAGAGTCCAATTGGTGCTGGAGGGCTTGTCCATATCAATCATGCAGTCTCATCTTTCGAAACGGGTCTTTCGGGCCATCATCAACAACGAGCCTCTACATTTTTCTCGATGTCGCCGAAACCAACTGCTGCATACCATTTCCCCCGCGCGAGTACGGCCTTGTCTGTCTAGTCTTGCTCATGTTCCACGGCGAACCCTTTTTGCATTCAGCGTGAACCCGGCGAATACCGGTGAGGGTCAACCCGAGACGTTGCCTACGGAAAAGGGTCTGAAGCCCATGACCGATTTGAAGCGGTCATTAGGGGATAAGAGCAGAGCACCTCCGAATCATACGCTGGTGAAAGCTTTCCAGTTGTTTTTCACGTCACGCGTTGAAACCCCAGGTGCCATCAACCTATTTCAGGCTCGCTTGCTGTCCATGACATGGAAACACCTGAAAGCTCAACAAAGCGAGCTCGAGGAGAACGAATGGCAGGATGTTTTCTCAGTGGAGAGCCTGGAAAGGATGCTGTTTGTGCTCTCTGAGGCACAGTGTCTTCCCGAGGCACGCGACACCATCCTTAAAATTGCACGCTTTGCCTATCTCGAGCTCTGTGCTGACCATGGTTTTGGTCCGAACTCCATAAGTCGGCCCGCACTGTTGATCTACATCAACTTGATGGCCTCAAATGGGAATCCCGAAGAAGCCCGCCATGTCATCATGAAGTTTGGAGGTCAATTTCGCGGGGCAAAACCATCGCCCTGGCTCAGTGTGATGAAGGGCTTCGCCTTGAAGGATGATCAACGCCAACTGCGAAAGGTCAGCCAAGAATTGGAGAAATTTGGTGTCAAATTTGATCAAGCCTCACACGAAGAGCTTACCTTGCTTTTGATCGAACAAGACCTTCCTACGGCAGTTCAAACAGTATATGAGTGTCCGATCTCTGGGAATTTGGAACCCTCTGTTGCTGCGAAGAGTGCTGCCATTCAGTATGCGATCCTCAACTCTGAGATCTCGTGGGCTAGGCCCATTTACGAGTCTCTTCCTCGAGATCCCAGCCCGGAGACCGTTGGCATCACTCTTCTTTGGGACGCAGCCCAGGGCAGTAGTGTGTCGTCACTCATGGAGAAGGTCAAGTCCTGGACCGGGACAAACTCACTCAAGGAAACCCTCACTATCGCCCATGTGAACAGTCTTATCCAATATGCAAACTCAATTTCAAACCCCCAGCTGGCTGCCGATTATGCTCAATTGGCTGAGCACTGGGGTCTCGTCCCAGATGAAAAGACACATCTGCTGCAGTTGGAGTCGTTCATCCAGGCCGGCAATGTGGAACAGGCACTTGCAATTCTTGAGGACCAGATTGATCCCAGTGTCCTAGCCAGTGATCACCTACCCCTAGCTAACAAGCTCATCACAATGCTTTGCTTGTCGGAGCAGAAAGACGAATTATTTCAACAAATCTCGTCTCTCCTCGACCCGCTTTTCCAGGAGAATGTGACGCTAAGTGCAGAGACCATTGCTGCATTGACGCGCATGTTGCTTTATCGTCACGACTGGGATGCTGTGTCAGAACTTCTTCGCCCCCGGCTAGGAAGCCTGGATGGTGAAGGCAAAGGCATGATTCGCACCGCCCTGACAGATTATATTATGGACAAGGGTCAGACAGACGCGAATGTGTGGGAGGTTTATCAGCTTCTCAAACTTGCGTTCTCCGAGACGGGTGTCAGCGTGCGCACCGAGCTTATGTGCTCTTTCTTCGAACGAAACCGTAGTGATTTGGCTTTCTTGGTCTTTGGACACATGCGCCAGGCCGAGGATTTGAGTCGCCGACCCAAGCCAGACACCTATGCTCGTTGCTTCCAGGGGTTGGCCCGCACCGCCGATGCGTCCAACCTGGAGCTTGTCCATAACATGCTCAAGCTTGATCTGGAAGTGGAGCTCAATACGCGAATCTTCAACGGGTTGATGCTCGCCTACGCGGCATGTGATATGCCCGATAAGAGTATGGCGATTTTCCGGCAGATCTTGCAATCGGACGAAGGACCCTCGCAGAAGACCATTGCGATCTTCTTCAAGGTATGCGAGAAGCACCACAACGGCGTGCAGGAGGCGATCAAAATGATGGCGAAGGTGAAGAAGCTGGAGATTACGATCGACCGCCGACTCTACACCGCATACATGGAAGCAGTCGCTTCCCAATGTGAGTTTGATATGGCGACTGAGGCCATCAACAATATGCAAGCGGAGATTGGAGTGGCCCCTACAAGTACTACGTGAGTATTTCGATCTTAAGAATTGAGATGCATGTGCTGACTTTCGTAGTATTGGATTGTTCTACAATGCAATTCCGTATCAGTACTGGAAGGATGAGGTCGAGAAATGGGCACTCGAGAAATACCCAGAACAGTGGATGCACTTGGCTCAAACCCCTCGAAGCGAGCATGAGGAAGGACTGAAGTTTGATGGCATCACGAATGAAGTGTGGGTTTAAATAACAAGGATGACAGTGTATACTATGCCACCCAAGTGTCGTGGTCAAAACTTACATGTAGTATAGATAAGGAATATCGAGTACTGTGCAGTCTATTTCAAAAATCTTCAGCGTATGTCCACGTGTGCAGTAAACCACCTTCCCAGGCGAGGTAAGTCATATTTGACCACCTGAGCAGGGCTTACAATTGTTTCAAGACGTTTCGAAGCTCAAACATTGAGTGTCAAATTGCTCGGTTGTACTAGACTGGTATATATGCACATAAGGATAACCACTATTATCCCTACTAGACTATATCTTAACCTAGGACTCTAGGACCTCACAACACACTTAGCGGGCACGGTTATCTCTTAGGCGTCTCTAGCCAGCACGAGTCGGGCCCCTATAGTAAGGCAAGATAAGCTAAACGACCAGAGATTAGGCCCCGGGCCGGGCTAACCATCTACGCACCCCCTATTTACTCTTATTCCCCCCTCTTATCCCCCCCTCGTATCCACTAGGCGCCGTAGAAGATACCCCTAGGGCGTTGTTCTACCTAGCTACTAGCTTAGGGTCCTAGATCGTCTCGGGTAGGGTCAACGGACGTGCTATAAAGGATACGACTCCAAGTTAGCGTGCGCTACTAGTAAGGGAAGGTTATGGTTTAAAAAGGCATATCGAGTAGAGCACGACGAATAACCGAGGGTAATAGAAGGCATGGACAAGGAAGATACCGGCTAGTAATGAGAGGTAATAAGGGGCATCGACGGCATGAGATCATACCCGAGCACTACAATGAATACATTAGCAACGTTTAAAAATTCGAAGACTTTGCTCCTCACTTTGGTCTTCTTTTGTCTGCAGCTTATGCAGGCAATAGAGACGTTGCGCCTCTTTTTTGATGACAGGTCATGGACGTGAAGTTGCGTGTTGGTCTGCTCTTTTGCAGGGAGCAGCCTGCGGGGAGCTCTTTTCGACATCCTGATGGTAAGATACAAGTAGGGGCCTTTGAAGAATTTGCCAGGGGAAAAGTTCAAGTAGAAGAGTAGAAGAGGAATGATCGATATATCCAGGGGTAAAACCAAGACTTGATTGTCGGCGGTCTACGTTAAGCGCAACTTTGTTTGCTTGACAAAGAACGAGTCGTGATTTGGATATTCCTTGCCAATGTTCATAGAGGTGCGCTGTGATATGGCTTTCAAGGGAATGTTGGCTGTTTTGAATAGCTTTGGGAGTCGATGACCTCTATCTTTATACTACATAGCACTAGTATTTAGAGACATGTTATAGAATCAGGTTTTTGATTGATTATTTGCTTACTTCATACGCTAACTGTTCTTTCTTTTCTCGGATCTGGCTAGTGGATCTCTTCGGGTTGTATTAGCAGAAGCCTAAAGAGAACCTTGAACCTGAGGCACCTCTAAGTGCAGACATCTCTGCCTCCCTCGATTCCTTTTTCCTCTCTTTCCCGAGATATTCAACGACAACATCTCCATGCTCCACTTCTCTGTCCCATCAAGTCTTCACCTGAGGGCAACCTTTGTAGCATAAGTGCAAAGTTCAGACTTGAAACTTCAATGGGCGGACATCCCACCTAGGCTTTGAATAAAGAGAATGAGTGAACGCCTTGAAAGAGAGCTATACGCCACGTTGAAGATGGAAAGGATAAAGCAAAAAGAAAGCGGCTATATCACTCCATCAAGACTGACTAATTCTCCTTTGAGTTGTTCAGTAGTTGACAAACCTTGCGACGCTCAATAATTGTTTCCGAAGATTTTAAACTTTGTAACTAGATAAACTATAGAACAGAAATGGTCATTCAAGTATAGGGTCCAATGGCTATCAAGGTATCACTAGTTATTGCTGCTACAGCATGAGAGTTACGTGAGGCGCAGATTTTGTCTGGAAACTCAGTCCGACATGACACATGTGCACTATGTATCTAGTCAAATGAGGCTCTTCTAGAAGCTCTGTGCGCAACACCGTATGGCTTGGCGCTTTCATTAGCGTCTAAAAGGCTTAGTGCACAGTTGACGGAAGACTATCAGCTGAGTGACATGTGCAATGGATTCTACGGTGTGGTGCCTCCTTTTGCTGGGTAGTATGACAAGATTTTATTTCAAGCAGCAGTTTGGGGGGAATTCTTACTCAAGGAAATACATAGCGAATTATGCTGCTGTTTTTTCAAGTAGCCTTGTTAGAACGCCAAGAACCTTGGAAGTGCTACATCTATATAGTTTCAAGCAGAGCGGGACTATACAATTGAATATCGCGCTAAGGAGCAGGTGAAAATAAGTGCATCATTGGCTCCCACTATATCTCGCCAATATATACACAAATTGAGTGTCTCTGCGCTTACATCAGACAGCATTTGAATGTTGTTCTGGTTGTTGCCTAAACAGGCTACCGTGACCAGAACAACAACGTTCTCATGATATCCATAGATTGTGCATAAATCCGAGATGCGTTTCACAATTCACATGAGAGTGGGTCTGCGAGTATCCCTGATGATCCGATTTACTCCTATTTGACTCTGCCTCAGTAGCGAAGATTGGGATGACTAGAAGCATGTAATTCACCATCTAGGCTCTAGTGCTCTGTAGTACAGGTGACACCCGGGTAATCCGCGGAGCAATGAAATGCATCCTTCATTCCCGCCCCCAAGACCACGTTCAGAGAACAGGCTTTCAACAACGAATCAGACCTCATCAGTCTTATACCCGAAGAGGGAACAATGCCGTTCATCCTTCTACCGCCCTTGTCATACACCTATCTGAATTACTGATCTATGTCAATTTCCATGCTTTTCACAGCAATTCAATGCTGAAAAGCAGTCTTTTTGTATATGATCATAACACTCAAACTTGTTCAACCACAAATCAAATTCCGAATACGCTTCCGAACCTCAATGGCAGTGAACAGTTCTGGCAGAATACTAATCCACGCCTGCCGAGGTCTTACCCATACAACGGTCCGATCGACAAGCTTCGGTGTTGTGATTGGCAGACACGGAACATGTTCAATCCTCCGGCGGTGTTTCCGCCAAAGTTGCATCATAAATCCTATAGTGCTAACAGAAGAGACCGAGAAGTTCGGAGTCGGCGTTTTAGACTATTTGACACAGGTGGATCAGCCCCTTACTACCTTAGTACTAGTAAATAGATAAATGTAAAAAATCCACTGTTCATGCATTTCTCCTTCCTCATCATTCCTTTCTACTGTACTCGGTAGAAAACTTCACAATGGCGGATTCAAAGCAGAAACTCCGAGTGGTCATTGTGGGTGGATCAATTGCTGGTCTCACATTGGCACACTGCCTAATTAAACACGGAATTGATTTCGTCGTGCTAGAGGCGCGCGATGAGATTGCGCCTTATGAGGGTGCTTCGATTAGTGTCATGGCACTTGCTGGGTTGGCACTTGATCAACTAGGTATCATGGATGATATTCTTGAGGAAAGTGATCCAGTGCAGGATTTATACAATTATGATGCAGATGGAAAACTGATCTGTTATTTGGATATCCCAAAGCGGTTCACGGAATGGTAAGTCGGAAATCTTGGGCCATATGTCAGGCCTTGCATTGAGCACGGGTTTTACTAATATCCGCTAAATTAGGTTTGCGTACGGTTCAGTTTTCTTACCGCGTCAAACACTACTTCGGATCTTATACAAACACCTACGAGAACAACAGAGCTCTGTCTTTACAGGCAAAAAGGCCACCGACGTCGATCATCATGATGGCGGTGTCATGGTCCGCTGCGCCGATGGGTCGTCGTTTCAGGGTGATATCGTTGTCGGCGCTGACGGAGTGAGGAGTCAAGTCAGACAGCAAATGTGGTCGCATATGGATACAATTGGAATGGGAAAGGAAGCCCAGGCAGATCGTGATCGTACGTGAAATCTCTACCCGATGAACCTGACGAACAATCTCCTGCATTCGGACTTTGATTTCATCTTTTGTCCATAACTACGAAACTAACAGCTCTCTAGTAATGACGTGTCAATGGAGCTGTGTATTCGGAATCGCTTCACCTGTGCCCGGAACGAAATCACCCGGGTATTACCGCACATACGGTGAAGGTTGGCATATTCTCGTGGTTGTTGGAAAGTATGATAAGGTTTACTGGTTCTTTTTCAGAAACCTGGATCGCCTATACGAAGCCCATGAGATTCCACGATTCAAGAACGAGGACATTGAGGCACATATCACACCTTATCTTGGTGCGACGGTTCACGGATCTGTTAAATTGGGGGACATATGGAAGCGAGTAGAAGCTACAGCTTGGGTTCCAATAGAGGAGGCTCTCCACGAGCATTGGTCTGTAGACCGATTTGCATGCATCGGAGATGCAGCACACAAGGTATGTTGGATGGTGTAGATGATAATCACGCCAAGAACAGAGGGTTAATAAGACTAATTGTCGGTCAGATGACACCGAATGGGGGGCTCGGTGGTAACACAGCCATTGAAAGCGCAGTCTCCATCTCCAACTCCATTGCTGCTATTCAAAGATCCGGAAAGAAACAAACCAAGGAGATCGGTCAAGCTTTAAAGGAGTGGGAAAAGCATCGCAAGGACCGGCTTGTAGCTCACTACAAAGCTGCAGCTGACAATGTCCGATTGGACACGTTAGCAGAGCCCAAACACAAGGTCCTCTTGAAGTATATGGGAATCTTTGGGCCAATAGCCGCAATTAGTCGATCGGTTCTTACAGCTGGTGCAGAGAGAGTTGACTGTCTACCTCCACCAGCAAAATCCTACCAAGGAACCATGCCCTACAAGTGTCACGATGATTTGACACGAGTCGTCAAAGAGAAAAAATCCAAGAGAGCACTCTGGAGTCTCCCACTTCTAGGCTTTACAGCAGTCGGTGTCTCAACAATGGGCGTAATCATGCCTAAAGTACTTCCAGATTTAATTAGCTTGATGAAGCAAGGAATCTGGGTTCTGAACACAGACAGCATAGTCAGCCTGAGTGCCCCCATACTCGGCTACAAATCGTTAGACGACTTCCTGAGAATCTTCACGACATTCTTCCTACCGAGCCTCACAGGCGCAGACCCCGTATCGCAATCGCAAGCATTTACCTTCCTTATGGATGCCACTGGTATCTTCGGTATCTGGCTCTTAGAAAGCTACCGAAAAGCACACACCAAAACAGCACCACTACTGTATGTATACCCTAAATATCAAACAAACACAAATCTAATCGAAAGATACAGTCCAATTTTAATGGCTAGTCTAGCCCAATTGAGAGGAATGGGAATAATCGGTCCAATATACTCCGCTCTCCAATATCTATCCATCTCCATCGAAGACATGGCCGGAAATCACAAGCGTGAAATAGAGCCAACAACAACATACACTCTTCTCGCCTCTTCGCTAATCGCTCAAGGTGTACCATGTCAAGCATCTTTCCTGGCGCCCTCTCTCAGCGATAGAAGATGGTGGAACGCCATCTGGCAACTCTTCCCAGTACTAGTCCCGCTCGTTCAAATCCCCCTAAAGATGGTCTTAAGCAACCAGAACACCGAGTCCGCATCGCTGGAGATCCGGAAAGAAAACCGCCAAAGAAGTATCAAAACGATCAGGGTAGCGTACCGTTCTTTCGCTGCGGTTTCCGCGTTAGGGTTCTTGTATGCCCGTAATATCGCGCCGGGTGGATCTTCGGCCATGAGCCTTTTCTGGCCTGGTTGGATCAAACCTGAAGGTCTTTCGCTAATGGATGGACTTCGGAAGTTCCTGCAATGGGATCAGATATTGACTATGGGATCTGGATTCGTGTGGTTGGCATTACGCTTTAGGGAGTTGAAGAAATCAGGCGTACAGTTTTCTGCTTGGAAGGGTGCTTTGGGGTTGATTGGAACTACATGTGCCTTTGGACCGGGGACTGCATTTGCGCTTGGATGGGGATGGAAGGAGGAATTACTTCACAAGTTAGATGTCAGTCTGAGGCTGTGAAGGTGAGAGGCTTGACCTCCTCCATCAAACGCATTGAGCTGTGAGGAGGAATGTGTTGCTGGTTGAGCCTTATCTCTCGTCTCAGTCTTGCAAGAGGCAACATTACCTTCAACATTCCCCTCCCTACGATCCTCAGGAAATCTAAATTAACCAGATCTGTTGGCTTCAATGATCCTGTTTCCCGGAAGCCTAATCTACTCCCGACACTCCAATCTGGGGTTGACTTTTTACTGTGGGCCGCTCATCATCCACCAGGCACGATTGTTGCGACAACCTTGGAAGGCAGCTCCAAATGTTAGTTCGGCGCCCATGGCGAATTTTAAATCCTACTACATGGAGTTGTAATGTTCTTAAATACCTTATTGTATTAAATTAAAGTTTTTAAATTGAGCTTATTATCTTTGAACGCCCACCCGAGGTATTTAAACAGGCGATTCATGCGGTTTCTGACTGGCGTTCTTTTTCAGTATATGTGCGATATTCGTTATCCCGCAATATATATTTCAACTCTCTGTAGATCACTGGCAAACACATATTCCAAAAGTTTTCACTACAGGCTCCGGGCCTGAAATTGACCCAAATTAAATAATTTCTAAATGGTTTATCTCTATAAAAAAAAACTATCAAGACACATATAGGTAGCCAGAAGACCAAACGCAGAAGCAGCTTTTAGAAACCAGTGTTTATTCTTGGGTATTCTGGGTTGAACCTTCATAGGTACACCCTCAGGTTCTTCTTCCAAGGTTGTGATCAACCTGAACCTCCGCAGGTGTCAACTTGAATATTATCGACTGGGAACAAAGAGCATACAGCATTGCAGCCACGTTGTAGCAGCCAAGGAGTGGAAAGCGATACATATGAGATCAGCGAGGTTGAAGCGCTGCTTGCCAAGTCGACAGTACTTAATGTTGTTTGGTGCCTCGTGAAGTGGGCAGGCTTTGATGATGATGAAAATACATGGCAGGAACAGGATGACATCAGCTTAGACCACGATATCAATTTTGGGGCGAGCTATCAAGAGGACTTCGGTGTAGAATTACTCAAGAAGCGAGAAGGGAGAGGGAAGATTGAATATTTGGACAAATGGAAGGGTCCTTCGACGGGTAAGAATTCCTGGGAGAAGGAACTTCAAGGAAGATACAATACACTCTGAACGAATTAAAGAGTTTGAGACAAGGCAATGGAGGAACAAGTTTGAAATCATTGCATTGTATCTTAAGACTAGCAACCTTGCAAGTATTTGCATAAGATGGTTATGAGTTCCCCTTGGCAATAGATACTAGTTTCAGTTATGAGGTATGATATATTGCACCTTTTGGACATAATTTTGGACCGCACGTGTAGTGGGCTGATAAACAAATTGGCGGCGGATTGTGACAATGATAGGAATGACAACAATACACACTAATACTCAAATACTGGAGTGGATCAGATGTAACTTGTAAATCTCGTGATTTGTAGGATCGTAAGTTTCTAGCGGGTGGGAACTCCAATAAGTGGGGTTGGCCCAATCTGGTGGGAAAATTAATCACCCAGCCATGCCCGTAATATTGTGACTAATTAACTACGAAAGGTAGGGATCATGCCAGACCCGCGACAGGATTGGAGGCGGACTGGATCGACGGCAGGTCTTAGCCTCGATTATTACCGCTTGCCGTTGGGCATCGCACATCGCACATTTTGGCGCATGATACAAACTAGGCTAGGGGTGAGCTAACGCCAAAAGGGTTACCGCGTGCGGCCCGCCTCAGACATATATGCACCTTCCTTGACCTCCGGCCAACGCAACTCCACCCTGGGCTCTTGGGCAGCCCTGGAGAGGATCATAAGCGGAGTAGCGTCGCAGTGGCCCCGGGGCCGGCCCGCCTCACAAGGCCAGGCTGTTGAAGCGGGAAGACTACGCGGTATCACCATACTAAGGTTAGAGGCTCTCTGTGACCAATGAGCATCTATTGCAACATACATGGGTTTTATTTGGATAATATGACCCTTTTTCTGTGGGATGAGCTTGGCAAGCCCATAATGATCTCCAGTATTAGGAGGGCGCTGATCTCTAAATAAAAGTCTACATATATGTAAGAAGACGGCTTGATAGAGAGTGAAGGCAAGGAATGCTGGTCTATAAGACTGTCGAGTACATGATCTTTCCGAGTTCCGAGTCCGCTCGTACTATCTAGAGTATATCGACGAATCTGGTTGTGATAAACAGATCGACTTTGGGGAACTGGCTGATCATTGCTTGGTACCATATCTACATACTATTCAGTTCTCTCAGTTTCATTGTAATTGACGGTGCTAAATCCTTCTAGTAGATTCTTAGGGTGGGATTTATTTATCATAGGTATTTTGGGGCTCGGCTGGTGGGACCATTTTTGAGGACTTGGTTGAGGTGTTTCTAAGGTAATATTGTGGGAAATGGCTGGAGCCTGGATCTCAGACTGTTTTGGCGATAGAGAATGCCTTTTTCCACTACTTTGATTGTATTGAAAAAAGTATGTTTAGATGCGGGAGTGAAATTCCTTCATTTACCTTCGTGTTTGCTAGATTTGAATTCTATCGAAGAGTTTTTCTGAGCTGAAAGCATTCAAATATTATTTAAAAAACATTGGTATTATACGAAGGTAGCCCTGAATAGGGATTTAGTTATTTCCTAGAGTGGTGTGTGGATTGTGTACGTGTAACTTGTAAGGGAGAAAAGTGCGAAAGATCACTTCCGATATACAGACGTGACTCGTTACAGTAGCAACTACAAGTGTTGGTCTTGTCATTACATTTCCATTCTGGCCCCCACGGGGTGATCTACCCATTAGCTGAATTGAACCTTGTGGGTTTCACCATACCCTTGGCGGTAGGGTTTGGGATAGTTTTCTCTGAATAAAACATGGAAGCAAATTTGGAATTCTTCAGTACCTGATTTATTTTGGATACCAGAAAAAGTCAGTTACCTTTAAAAGCAGGTACCTGGAATGGTATGTGTCGTGAGCCCCAAGGCCCTTTAGATCTATGAGAGCTGCCAAGGTTTTATTGGTCATTACGAAACTCTGAATCTAGCCAAACCTCTCTGCGTGTAAGGAATCGGGGGCCTTACCCCACCTCAAATGTTAATAGATTAAATGTTTAATACAAAAATAAAGAAATAACAAATTTTCCTTTTCTATTAAGACGCAATGGCCAAACTACATCACTATTCCTCGCTGTTCTCTCATCTCTTCACTCTCTAACATCCCCCGGCACTTCTGCCACAGCTCGCCCTGCATCCTCTCAACCTCCACGATCACCCAGTGCGGTATAACAACCGGCCACTGGCGCTTCATAGCGAACAAACAACATCTGAACACAATGAGCCACAACTGTGGTGTCAATCACGTCAATGTGCAACCACCCTCCGAGCCGGCCTTGTCATTTCGCCATCATCATTCTGCCGACACTGGCAATGTCACTCTTCGGCACGCTGACACTCGGTCTCTACGAAAGACTTGCGATCGATGCTATCAGCAAAAGCTACGCTGTTCTGGAAATAAACAGCCCCTAAGTCAATGCTCCCGATGTCGCAAAGCGGGTTTGAACTGCGTATACAGTGCCCGAGCAAGTAGAAAGATACCTGTCGACAGTATTCACAGTCAGGTTGACTGGCAGTCAATCGCGGACTCGATGGCATTCCCGCCAGACGATCTGGCCCAAATTGATGGCGGCTTATCGGGATCTACTCCAACATGGTCTCCAGACGAATTCGTGGATTTTGGTTCAGACCTGGCCGATAACTTTATACCAAGCCCTGACCCCGGGCTTGCTGGCCTCCAGCCTTCGGGCGGAGACTCGAGCTCAGGTACCTACGACTTCTTACCAGATTTTGCCTCTGCTGAAGATAGTGAAAGGGTGTCATGCCTCACCTCAGGATATGACACCGAGCTGGTCAAAATCTGCCAGTTGCTGGAAGACACATTGGCTGGTATTGTTCAAAACAGTTACACTGATAAGGGTATCAACGGCTGTAAGTATCAGTGTGGAATACGTGGCGTATCGGCTCTAGCCATTATTACTTTCAATTAGGCTGATCATCGACGCTTAGGTCCAATTGGGAAGGTGTTTGGCGTCTTCGACGCCGCCTTGAAGGTGCTGTCCACGGACTCAGACGCCACTATATGCGGTAGAAGGGAGGGCCAAGAGCCTATAAAACGGTGCATACAAGCGAAGCACGCTTTATTAGCTGCCCAATGCTATGTCACTAGCGTGAGGCTTATGTCTTATCTTGCAGAGCATCTACTTCGCAACCTTCGTGACTTGGCAGACTCTCCAGCGCAAGGTCCAGCCGGTATTGCAACAACAGCAACATTAGGCGCATGCCCCTCTGCCCCTACCAAGCACACTTCCTCAAATTTAACGCTGGGCGATCTTTACTCCCGACTAGATCCACTTGGCTACGCCCTCAACTCAGCCGTTACTATGTTACGGATTGGTAGCAAGTATCTTAGCGGTATGGAAAAAGCGCTTGCGCTACCTGTACATCTCATTGCTACCGCTGAGCCATTATCCACCAGACCGTTGCGGCGTAGGTCAGATGAACTGGGCGTACTTACTAGAAAACAACCAAAGTTGCCCCTTACAGCCCGCTTTGTCGCTGTAATGTGGGACGATGAGACGGCAGTAACAGACGCAAATCCCGTCGCTAGCTTCCGGCGTTGCTACGCCGAGATACTGAATCTTACACCTCGTGCCGGTCACTGAGGTACAGGAAAAGCAACACCCCTAGGCTAGAAGCCTCCAACTCTATAATTGCTGTGTTCAACGGCGCTGGAGTTAAGCCAGGATTCGTTTCGCTAGAACGAAAATGCCTCTTAAGATTGACCGGCCCCTTACGATGGTTGAACGGTAGTGTCTTTTCCAGGGTTTCGATCTCCACTCCTTCAAGTTGGAAGCGGCGCAAATATAAGGGAACGGAATAGATATATTTAGAGTTGGGACTATTGGATGGCGTTATGGGGATGAAATTATGAGCTCTGAAATGCCTCGGCTTGGAGACTTTTGCGTTATACATAAATGATCGTAGAACGATAATGAAAAGTTGAGTCCCTATTTGCAAACAATTCACTTGTACCTTGTACCTGCCGTGATCGACGCGTATCCAAGGATGACCGCCGTTACCTGACTAGTAGCTTTTCGGCCACAGGTTTTCCAAGAATAGTGTCAACGACCTCCATGTCTTTCGGGGCGAAGTCTTCCACGCCATATGCAACCTCTGCGGTCTCAAAAGTCTGTAGAAAAGCCACGACTGCCATACGCATCTCCATTCTCGCCAAGAATCGCCCCATGCAAATCCGGCTACCTCCTCCAAACGGCCACATAGCCTCCTTCATCTCCTTAGTAGCGGACTCCCAGCGATCAGGGTTCCATGTTTCAGGGTCTGGGAAAATGTCTGGGTTGCGCTGCAAGAGGTAGGTGAAAGGATTTGCGGTTATGCCCTGAGGAACGAAACAGTTCCCCAGCATACGACCACCCTCCGGCTACATTAAAGTTAGCAAGAAGATCCACTAAATACTATGTTCAGCGCTTGACTTACGACGACGCGTGGCAGTGGACCCACGATAGGTGGATATAATCGAAGACTCTCATCTATCACACAGTCTAGATATGTTACAGCACGGAGCTGATCATTAGTTGGCTGCTGGGGCAGTTCAGCTAGCTTGATGTCTTGCAGCAGTCGCGCGCGGACTCGCGGACTTTCGAGAAGAGCATAGAAAAGGTACGTTAGCGGGAGCGCTAACGTGTCAGTTCCGGCAACCAAGTACAACTTTGCGTTGGAGACAAGCTCGTCCTCGGTGATCGCTGCCTCATGTCCTTTTTCACCCATAATCTTATCGAAAAAGTTGGGCCTCGGGTTATCTGATTGGGCTAGATGGTGTCTGTATCGATTCAAAGCATTTTGGGCGTGATCTAGCAAGCGAACATTGATCTTCTCCATTGCGGTGAAGGGCCAAATTGGCCAATCCTTTGTCTCTTTATGCGGCCTACCAGTGACGGTGACACGAAGAATATTGTAAGGTACCAAAGCCTGTATATCTTTGACATATTGGTGATCCTGTTCCGGTTAGTACGCGGTTTCTCATCGGTAGACTTGGCTTGTACTTACCTTACCATCCTCGAGAGTCTTAAAAGACTGTCCAAACGCCAGTTCTGCGATGACATCGGTCGCGTAGAAATGGTTCCACTTGTAGAGATCCATATAACCCTTTGTGTCTCTCTCTTTTTTCAGTCCAGACATCAAGAGATTCACCTTCGACTGAACGACTGGCTGAAGACTCTTCAGCGAGGACTCGGACATACCGCCGGCCAGCAGCTTCCGTAGTTTCGCATGGTACACCGGGTCCGTAGTGGTGAAAACGCTCGGCGTTGGCTCCGCAGTGAGATTCTCATAGAAAACAGGCTTGAGAAAGGTCTTGAATACTTGTTTCACTGACCCGGAGTCTACAACCGAGACCTCCCGTGGATTAATGCGCACAGTTGGACCTGGGAAACTTCAGGTCAGTGCTCAAGGTTCCACGGGGATGAATTCAGGCCGCGAACCATATTTAGCGTGAAGAGACGTGAGATAAACGTGTCTCTTGCCGCGGAAAATGTTAATAAAATGGACTACGCCTGTGAACTTGGTGTAGAAAGGGCCAGGAAGATGTGCTAGTGGTCCTGTCAAGGACGAATATATGAAAAACTGGTATAACCTCAATTAGCGCCGAAAAGATGGCTATTGCTGTGTAATGTAGAGACTCACTGCGGCACCGCTCAAAGCCAGTATAAGGAATATGAGGGGAAGTGATAACAGATCATTGACTGGCTGCATGGTCAGTCTGGAAGTCAATCAAAGGACTCTAAGCGTGAACAGATTGAGAGAAGACCGGGTGAAATCCACCTTAATTTACACACCCACATTGTGGCGGCCGGTGGAAACCACCTTCTACTAACTTACTTTTGCAATAAAGCTTTCAAGTCATCGGCAACATTCCAGTATGCTGGTCGAGATCATCAGAGCTCCCAAGATATTGAGGAAAATTGTATGCCGGTGAAATTCGGTGATTCTATTTACCAGAACCAAGGTATTCGGCACTAACTTAAGTTAGCTGCAATTGCAGTCAGCAGCGTAACAGACGGCAGCCGAACACCCCTAAAACACAATCTCCGATAACTTAGATCGGCGAAACTTAGCTTAACCTACCATGCATATCTTGAAAGATCACCGATATTTGTTCGTAACTTGCCCATAACATTGTATTATGCCGCAGGCCCGTCAACTCTGCGCTAGTTAGTGCTATCTGCCCCCCGAAGCACATTCGCCCGTGTATGTACAAGTATACCGTATACCGATCATCCCTGCCGGATAGCGCTAGCTAATGAATTGACACCTGAATCAGTCTGAATTGGTTTGGATTAGCTTTATTTTATAACGCAGAAAACAAACATATATGAAATAGAATAATCAAACAATGTACGGTCTGAAATTCAGGCCAATCCAGGCGAATTTAGGCATCAATGTTAATACTAGCGGCGTCCGACAGGGGTGGCCGGTATACCCATATACCCCCTGGTACCCGTGCCCAATCCAATGCAATGGACATGTGGCAACCAATAATTATCTCAATTTGATCTCAAACATTTCTTGATTTATGCAAACGGCCCACGGATATGTCTTTTCGCGTAAACTACGCGCGAAGACGCTTGTTGACTCAAAACTATGGCGGTCTGCAGCGTCCGTCGGCTCAACGGCGTCGCTATTTTGCGACCGTGCCGCAAAAGGAGAAACACGTTGCGATTCTCGGCGGTGGTATAACTGGGCTTTCAGCAGCAACAGATATACTGTCCAAAGGGGAACCTTGCCGCATTACCATTCTAGAGAGTCAAGCTAGACTCGGAGGTTGGATTACCTCCGAGTTTGTCGATGTTCCTGGTGGCAAAGTGCTTTTCGAAAAAGGCTGCCGCACACTCAGGCCCGCAGGGGCAAGTGGACTCACTACTCTTTCCATGATCCATCACCTTGGCTTGGAAGAAGAGTTGTTGACTTGCAGTACGGATTCAGCAGCGGCCAGGAATCGATATGTCTATTACCCCGACCGTTTGATCCGGGTACCGAGTTCACTTGCAGAACTTCCCAAATTCTTGCTCTTTGAGCCTTTGGCCAAAGGCATCATTCCCGGAATTCTGAACGACTTCCTCAAACCCTATAAATCGGTTGTTAACGGAAACGATGCTTCAGTGGCAGATGTTATCTCTGATCGGTTGCACCCGGATCTCGTCAATTTGGTTTCGGCGGTTCTTCATGGCATCTACGCAGGCAATGTTCAGACGCTAGGTTTCAATGCAATTTTTCCTCAGCTTGACTATTACATGAAACAGCACGGTGGTATAGTACGAGGAATGTTGTACAACATGAGAAGAGCTTGGTATGATGAGGTCGTGCTACCGTTGCATGACGTTTTGACGATGCAGCAAATAATGCGCGACTGGGAGGCTCGGCGAGATAAGAGAATTGAAGGGCATCGCATGGAGGAGAAAACAACAGCTTTACAGGGAGCGAAGCGCTCTAGCATTTACAGCTTCAAGAAAGGTATTCAGCAATTACCAGACAAGATGGAGGAAGTGCTACGGAGAGACCCGCGGGTCAGCATCGAAACAGGTTGTTCGGTATCTTCGATACACATGGATGAAACCCAAGCCTGTGGTGGTCTCTTAGTGAAAACTGGTGCGAACGGAGAGACAGAGCGCCATTTTACTCATGTGATTTCAACAATTCCAAGCACAAATTTAGGAGAACTACTGTGCTCCGACCACATCGACATCGACATGGACGAGGCAAGTCGCGAAATCAAGAGGATATTGCAGCTTAATAGAACTGTTAATGTTATGGTGGTCAACTTATGGTTCGCCGAATTAGACCTGCTACCAGTCAAAGGATTTGGGTACCTTATTCCCAAAGAAACACCGGCCGGTCAAAATCCAGAATGCGGCCTGGGCGTTATCTTTGACTCTGACGCTTTGCAGGGTCAAGATACAGTGCAGGGCACCAAGCTTACTGTCATGCTTGGGGGACATTACTGGGACAAGTGGCCTGAAAAGGATCTACCATTAGCGTTGGATGGCATTTCGAAAGCTAGAAGTCTGCTGTCCCGCCACCTGGGAATCACTGCAGAGCCCATGGCGACATGCGCAACAATGCGCAGAAATTGCATACCGCAATATGGGACGCATCATCTTAGCCATATGCGGAACCTCCGCCAGGCTTCGCAGGACAAGTATAAGGGCAGGCTTGTACTTGCAGGAAGTAGCTACGATGGCGTGGGCGTTAGCGATTGCATCCGCAGCGGAGTCTACGCTTCGCATAGCTTGCACTCAGTATCTAAAGCTAGTGGAGGGTTAAGAGGGGGGCTCTTCAAGTCACACACAGATACAGACGATCCTGGGACATTTGTCTCCGTGTCGCAGAAGCATCTTCGGTGGAACTTCCCTTGAACCTGAGACTGAGCTAAAAACTTCACTCGGCTTTCATAATTGGACTACATGTAATTTAACTTATCTTCTTGCTACTCTGGCTTGCTGTGGAATCAGTGATCAATAGGAATAGGAATGGCCCGTGGACATCAGACCAGAACCACAAACCGAAAATTGAGGTGACTGCAACCTGGCCTTTCTTCAAGTTGTTATTGGTTTGTTGCATATAGGCACGGCTTCCTCTAACTACTCTGTATGTATTATATACTCCGTACTGCGTAGCATGCATTACATAGGCTGGCCATTAATTGCCCGACTTCCCCATCATTGTGGCAAGAGTCTCAGAGGCCTCTCGCGCATACTCGCACTTTGCTCGAATCCCCGCACCATACCTATAGAACAACAGCGGCAGAGGCATGCAAGCCAGCGCCAAAAATGCTGGCACCGATGACGCCCAATGAATGCCCAGATTCTGGTACATATACGGCGTAAATAGAGGAAAGGCCGCGCCGAATAGACTGCGGACAATGCTATTGGCAGCCATGACGCTCGCGGCGTATATAACATAAGAGTCGATCAGATAATTAGCCACCGCTAGGAAAACCAGCGTCATTCCGAATCCGAAGGGGGCAGTGGCGAGAATACTGACGACCCAGTGAATATTGGCGCCGTTTGTCCATGCAAACCAGAAGAGACCTACTGAGAGACAAATGCTCCCAATAATAGCTGGTGGTAGGCGATCCTCGGGAGCCGCACCAATCTCCCCACGCTCGACAGCGGCGCGGCTGAGCTTGATATATCGATAGCCGTTGTCCCATACAGTATACATGACGGCTACTACCATACCAATGGCTACACCAAGGAACGAGAGACTACCAATACCGATACTCCAACCACGATTGATCGAGTACACGATTGGCATAGCCCCGAAGAGGAGGTAAAGCGTGCCATAGACGATAGCAACGTAAATGGAGAGGAGAGTGACGATCGGCTCTCGGAAAAGCATAACCCAGGGACGGGAAAGCGCGATACCGAACGCCTGCGTGGGACTCGGCCGCTGGCCTCCTATCTGCAAACGTGTGCGGAAGACCTTGCCCGTCTTCTTCTCGAGGGCCTTGGCTCGTCGTTCCAGAAGGACCGGGGAATATGTTTCCGGAATAGCGACAATACTCCATATCCAGACGACGCCAGAGGCAATCGTCATCATGCCCATTACCCAGCGCCATCCGACACTTTCACCAACGAAGCTCCCAACGACGGGCCCCAGAGTAGGTCCGACAAAGACTGCGCCAGAAAAAACAGCCAAAGCGAGGCCACGCTGCTCGGCAGAAAACATATCGGCTAGGATGCCACTAGCGTTGGTCATAGGCCCTGAGCCTGCAATTCCGCCTAGAGCACGGCAGACGAGAAGGGAGGTGATGCTGTTCGCACCAGCTGTCCCAGCATTAAAAGCCGCCAAAGCCGCGAATAAGATAATGTTTAACAACCTTCGGCCGTACAATTCTGACAAGGGAGCAAAAAGGACTGGACCCACTGCGTATCCCAGAACAAACAGGGAGAGGCCCAGAGTAACGACTATCGTGCTTTGATCGAAGTCTCCCATGATTTCCTCCGTTACACTTGAATATGCTGATGAGCAGAAAGTGACGACGAAAGTCGCAATCGAGGCACCGATAGCCACCACCCATTTTCGAAAGGTCGACCATTCCAAGGGATTCCGCGGATCGTTAGGTATAAACTCGCAGATGTATGGATGGTCCTCGGTCCCACTTCCCAAATAGCTGTGTCGTAATACTGCTGGCGTCAATAGAATATCGTCGAACGCAACTCGAAGCAATGAAGCCGCTTGTGGTGTCGTGTGAATAGCTTCCATTTCCGACTCTTGCTCGCCGTACTTCTCAGGCACATTGAGCGCAAATGGGACCTCTTTATCATTTGTCTTTTGATTTGCGAGCACTGTTTTCGGCGGCGCCTGTGCAACAGACTCAATGTGGCTACTCTCTGTACTGGCTCGTGGCGGGATCGTTTTGCTGGATGTTTGTGGTGTGGGCTGCATGTATTCGGTGTCGAATCCAGGTTCGTCATCTGCTTTGATAGAGTCAAGTGTGAGAGGATTACGTGCCGCGTCGGTCCTGCGGGGGACGACACTGTGGTCACCCATCGAAGGTCTTCGGCTCGAGGATATGGTCCTTTCCTGTGAAGACTGGGAGACCTCGTGCGTAGGTGTTGGTGGCATGGCACGGAGCAACGAACGTAATTTAACTGTGTACAGCACTTGATTGACAAATGGAGTTGCCGTCCCGAGGTGCTTGGACGATGATTTGAATTGTGTGAGATCCGCCCGTGACTTAAGGCTCAACTCAGCACTAGTTAATAGCGAGTTCTAGGGAAGTATGTGAGATGTCAGTCGGTGCCGCTCAGAAGTCAACGAAGAGCAGACGAAGATTAGACAAAGACCAGAGGAAAACGTCGCCAGTACAGAATAGAGCAAGTCAATTAGAAGCGCGTTATTAAGGAGCTTGCAGTAAGTTAGGCGTTCAAACGGAGTTCGAATTCGAACAAATTCGAACTCCGTCCCCAAGGGCTTATTATCGGAGATGCACTAGTGTTGCGCATCACGGCTCGGTCCTTCCTGCAAATCCAGCCGCGCTAACTAGTTAAGTCTGCATAAACGCCGAACGCCCCTGACGCATTGAAACGTGGGTATCCTCATGATCCTTGATCGAAAAATACATAAGAGGTATTGACGCGAAAAACAAAAAGGTTGATTGTAGCCGTGTCAACGAATAGAAGGCTAATACAAGATTCATAGTTCTCTGTTTGAAAGTTTTTTATGACGCGTCTAAACAACCAAGTTGACTCGAAAGAGAGGCTGTGATTGCGAAGTGTAGCGCATTATACAGCAACGTTGAATACATATCCCTTTTGTTTGTTTTCTCTATTTTTGATAAGTTTGTAGCTCTCAATATTAAAAATTGATTTTCTTGTTTTCACTCTGTTTTCTATTTTGCTATAACTTCTGTAGTGAGAACAATATCAGCATTTTGACATTTCTGAGATATGCCTGACAATCGTCTCCACTTCGTCCTTCCTTTTTGGAAGATGGTGACCGGCCTCGCATTCGAAAATCACAGAAGCTCCTGCTTGATAATGGTTCTTTACTAACCTCCGCGCCCGAGCCAACGAGAAATCTTTGTTGCCATGGATATGAAGCGTGGGTACTTGTATCTCTGCCTTGTTCAATCCATACGTCCGAGCATTGTTGTTCAACCACAAAGAGGCCTCATTGGGGAAAAAGCAGCAGGACATAACAGCAAAGCGCAATTCAGGTAGCCAGGGCAACACGCCTTGCTGTTGCTGCCAGAGCAGAAAAGCGACGGCAAGTGCACCCTCAGAGAATCCGATTGCCCCGATTATTTCCGCGTCCACATTGCTCTTCTCCGCTTCCCATTGTGTGACCGCCTCGCGGACAGACTGATTGATCCTCTGGAGGCTGTCGTCAATGGATTTGCTTTCACGCCCGAACCAGGAATAGTAGGGCTCATTTCCACTGAACATTGGCAGAACGCCTGGTCCAGCAGTAGAACACTCGTAAGGGCCGTCGACGAAGATGAACTGGAACTCATTCTTCAAAAGGAAACAAATCCTTGCCATCTGTACATTGAAAATATGGGCCTTCGAGCCTGTGCCATGGAAACAGAGAAGGGCCTTCGAAGGCGCGATTGCGTTGGACATGCTGGGGCGACTTCGTTAAGTTAGCACGCGTCACAAGGTCCTTTTTAGGGGAGCACCGACGTTGATTGTCTTGTTGCTCTATGTCCAATCTCTTTTTTATGATCGCCTCCAGCGGTTTCTAGTGTATCACCTTTTTTTAAACGCGATGATCTTCATGCAGGACCAAGAACCAGTTTGTGAAAAAGCTCAGTTACACATATCTTTATCAGCTGAAATGCTGCAAGCTTTGCTCTGAATTGGCCACATGGCGTAAGAGACATACAGTCAGCCGCAAGACTTCTTGGCTTCAAGATCAGTTACCGTGAGATGCCATATCAGGCTTGACTTGTACTAAGCTGAGCAGGCGTCGTTCAGAAACGCCGGCAAATACCGAAAACACCGAAAATCCCGGGTCAGCCAAAAGTCGGCGTTTGCTACTCCGGTGCATGATAATGCGAGCAGCATATGTTGATGCACGGATAAAACCGCACAAAAAGGAGTAGTAAGAAGTCGGCGTTTACTCCTCCGGTTCATGACAGCCTTGGAAAGATAGCAGCATCTATTGATGTATTGATGAAAGTGCACAAAAAGGGGTAGTAAGTTCAAATGCTTGTATAACACGGGTAACTTCGGTGGAAAGGCTGTTTAGTCTAAGTAAACGAAGGCATAAATCGCGTCAAAAGCTGGCTTTCTGTAACCTTGGAAAGTTAAGGTTACAGCATAGTAGTAGTAACTTCGAAATAAGTTACTGAAAGATGATGAATCTGGCTCGACTTATACTAAGCTGGGCAGGCGTCATACTGAAACACGGGTAGATACTGAAACCCCCAGGACGGCGGCCAAAAGTCGGGGTTTGCTACCTCGGTCTACAACAACTTGAACACTACTATCATCATGTATTGGCCTATCGATACAACCGCACGAAGAAGAACACCAAGGATTTGTACAATGTAGATAACGTCGGTGGCAAGGCTGTTTACTGTAAGTAATTTAAGCCGTGAAACGCCCCAAAAACCGGCTCTCTGTAAAGTTAACGTTAAAATGTACTGGATCAAGCGGGTATGAAACGCAACAATAGACGGATAGATAACGTACATTTTTAAATACTATTACAAGAGCAGATTTAGGGTCTCAATCGTTTTAAAGGTACTTGTTTTTGTCTCTAGGAAAGAACCATTATACGGCACATCACCTCCCCTTTTCTGTAATACTTACGAGAACGAACATGGATTCTATCAAATATCCGCCGTCTCAGCGTGCGGTAATAATAGGCACTGGCGAGAAAGTGCAAATTCAGGATAACATCGAGATCCCTCAGCTGCAAACCGGAGAATTCCTCATTCGTACCGATGCAGTGGCAGTGAACCCCAGCGACACGAAGATGCGTGGCGACTTCGTGACGGTTGGGGGCATTCTTGGAACCGATTACGCTGGTACTGTTGTTGCTCTTGGGCCCCAGGTCGAGTCCGTCAAAATTGGCGACAGAATCTGCGGAGCCCAGAATGCCATGAACGCAAAAACGCCTCTTCGAGGCTCATTTGGGGAATACAACATCTCCGCGGGTAAGGTCTGGTTGAAGTTACCTGCATCGTTGAGCACTGAGGGCGGTGCAACGCTGGGCGCAGGAATCAGCACCGCTGGTCTCGGTATCAAGCTTCTACAACTTCCTCTGCCAGATGCCCCGGTGGACAAGTCAGCCTATGTGTTGGTCTATGGCGGTAGCACAGCAACTGCAACCATTGCTATTCAGCTTCTCCGATTGTGAGCCCAAGCGCCGCCCGAATTTACCACGCAAATGTTACCATAATGCTAACAACAACTACGATAACTATAGAGCCAATCTAACTCCAGTTGTTACATGCTCTCCAAAAAACGCCGCACGAGTGAAGGAATTAGGTGCTGAGGAATCTTTCGACTACCATGACCCAGATTGCGCAAGCAAGATCGTGAGTTACGCCGCATCTGAAAAAAGAGATGAGAGGCACGAGCAACATAGTCTCTAGCCACTTCTCAATTACCGTCGTCATTGATGCTGATCTGATTGTGATTTCAGAGATCTTATACCAAGAACAATCTTCGCTACGCTCTGGACTGCATTACGACGGTTGAGTCAACGAAGTTCTGTTTTGCCGCCATCGGCCGTGCCGGCGGTCGATATGTATCCCTCAACCCATTCGCAGAGCATGCTGCCACCCGGGCGACGGTCAAGACAGATTGGGTGCTTGGTCCTTCGATTTTTGGCGACGGTTCAACGTGGCCCGCTCCTTATGGACGACCTCCCAGCGAGGAGATCCGGGCTTACGGCGAAAGACTATGGAATATCGCACAGAAATTGGTCGATGAAGGAAAATTGCAGCACCATCCCGTACGTGTTTTAGAAGGCGGGCTAGATGGAATCCACGCTGGTTTGGACCTCGTCCGATCGGGCAAGCTTTCGGGCGAGAAATGCGTGGTTCGATTCGGGAAGTATGGGTCTTGAATGCTCCTGGAACGCAATCTGAATGCCCCGTAGTGCAGCACTTACAAGTCCTTGCTCAAGTGTCTTCTGAGATTAGTTTTCCTTCGAATCTTTACAATAGCTCCGAGGTGGTGATCCGGATCCCAGCGCTCGCACAACCTAAGTTCGATTTATGACAACGGGATTCATGCTCCTACCTACATAATCTTTTATAAATGTCTTGACTCGAACATTTGCTACTCCTCAGCCACCATTATGTATTCATATACAAGATGTATGAGTGTTACCACCTGGGCATGCGCTGAAGCAATGTTGCATAACTTAAAGCGGTCGTTGATGCCGACTATAGCGAATTGATCGCTTCTGCCGAGGGAATCGCGACGTATTAGCTAATAACTTATCTATTTGACTACATAGTACTTAGCATCGTTTATTTTTCAAATAAATGAATTGTAAATTCCATAAATGCATACACGTGGGCCACGCGCCACCTCGCACGGCTTATACCCCCACAGGGGGGTGACAAGGTTCAAACTTATACCTCGATTCACAACTTATCTGGCTAGAGAGACAAGGAGCACACATGCGATCGCAATCTGCAATTAATGCTCATAGGATAATTGACTACTCATTTTATAGGCAGCAAGTTCAGGGCGCAAGGTCAGCCAAGCTCCTCCCTGGCCTGAACGACAATTTTGCGTCAACGCCAACTTGTTTTCGTAGGATTGTTTCACGCACTTCCCACTCTTTTGCCGAATCAGCAAGCTCAATCTTCGCAATGTTAGCAAATTGATAGTACGAAATCGGGGCTTGGGGATCAAACTTGCCTCGAAAATTGAATAGAGCGTGGCGACAGCTTTGTGTATCTCGCATTTGGCAATATTATTACCAATACATACCCATTCGCCGTGGCCAAACGTCAAGTCTGCCTTATGCATTTTTTGCAGACGATAGTTGTAAGCAGCTTCGCTTTCATTATCGTCCCTTAGCCAGCGCTCTGGTCTAAAGGAGTGAACATCATCTCCATAGGTTTCCTTGTGGAAATGAGTGACACATCCATTGACAGCGACTGTCGTGCCAGGAGGTATAACACGCCCATCAGGAAGTGTCAGACCAGGGCCTGGAGGTACAATTCGCCGAGATAGCAATGCAGTGGCCGGGTGATACCTAAAACATTCCCGGATGACCGCCTCGAGATATGTGAGCTTAGAAATCTGAGACCACGGAGGCGGCATCGGAAGTCCTGACTCGACAAGTGACTTGTGCAGCTTCTCCTGTACCCTAGGATGTTTGCCAAGCAAGTAGAGAATAGATGTCAGACCGACGGCCACCGAGTTGGATCCGGCGTAGATGGGTAAGGTCACGTAGCCGTTGAGGACGAGATCCGATACCACATCTGGGTGTTTTTTCTGTGCCTCAACAAAAGCAGACATCAGATCTGCAGTCTCCTCCGTAGTATAGCCGCCATTTTCGGTACGCGTCTGAATTGTTTCCCGTGCAACACGCGCGAACGAGCCCTGGCGAGCGAGGAATATCTTGAACAGTGGCGTATTTCGTAAGATTGTACGAAGCTGGGGCATGACGAGAGCCTGTAGCCGTTAGATATGGCAACATTCACGAGTCAAAAGAATACCTCACCATAGCGAGGAATGTCTGAGCAGTATCAACGCCTTTGAACATGGCTGCATGGTCGGCATCTCCACTCATCAAACCAAGATCGGAGGACAATGTAAGCTTCATGACACAGTCATATGCGACTTGACGGCATGTTAGTTCACGAAGCTTACGCGGGCTGGAAGAAACCTACACGAGTGCATCCAACCCGATATCGAGAAAGATTTTCCACAATTTTCGCCGTTGAACTGTTGATTGAATTGCCTGACAAGATCCTTAATTGATGAATTGATGAAGACCTCTGACTTTGTTACATTCGACATGGAGAAAATTCCTGCAATTGGACGTTTGATAGCAGTATGAGTTTTCGCATCCAGAGAGTTGATGATGCTGGGAATGGTCTTTCCGTCCAATTCGTGGTTCATCGCGGCCCAATCCTTTCCCTAAAAGACGAACATGATCAGCAGACATTTATCTAGGGCGGCGCTCGGGAATTGCAAGCGTAACCTACCTTTGGAAGTGGATTTCGGTAGCTATATACGACATCAATCATGGCGGGGTCGGAGAAGCTGACAGTCCGATGCCCTATTTGCACAACCGGACCATATTTTCTGTGTAGGCTTTGAGTAGCCTGACCAGTTCGTCCCCTGTAGGCATCGTAGACCTGGAAAAGCTCTGGGTCGCATTAGAGAGTTGACCACGGATATGAGTATGTATGAGGTACTAACCTGTATATTGGCGGAACCACGGACCAGGAATGGATCGCAAACCTGTCCTGAAAGGAGTTAGAAGCCACCAAATCAAGGCCGCAAGGGCGGCTGAGAAGATTGCCGTAGCCACTGGCAGCATGTTGGGATAAGGCTGCAATGTGGAAAACGTGGGTTTAGAAGGCCTGTAACTTATAGCAAGCGCGGAGGGTTGTAAATATAAGTTCAATCAATGCTCTTCGACTTGGTAAGCCTGCTTCTCCAATGGGGACTCCGAGAAATGTAATATTAATTGGTAAGGACTTGAAAGGATGCGGCTGCAACGCGATATGAAGAATTGGTGACATGATCCATGGGAATGGTTGTTTACGCCTTGAGCTAGATTTGTGAAAATCTGTGATTTACACTTCGGTGATCAACAACGCAGCTCCGAATTACCACCGATACGTGGACAATACACTAACTTATCATGCAGGTAGCTGGGGCTGAACTAAACTGAGTTGCGAAATGAAACAATAAGTTAAATCTGCGAAAGGATGGCTAACGTCACATTACCGTCTGAACGACACCTCGTGGCGAGACTCTAACTTTACATCGAGGCCTCAATGGCGTTCTCATGGTCCCGCAAATGTTGCTACTTCGAGTTTACATTAGTGTCAGGGGGCCGAGTGCGAATAGATAAACCCGAAGTGTCGGTCGTTTCGGTGAATGCAGGCCTAGTTTTGCCACGCTAGCATAGTTATGGTATCCAATTCTCCGAATTGCCGTTTCGCCGGGAACCAACACAATCAGCCTCAACCAACCTTAGCATCGGCGCCACACATTACATTCCAATCACCGACTACCATTCTGCCGGTACTAGCTACAGGGGTATGACACATGTGCAGTTTTTTCTCGTACCCACGTATACTCACGCACCCCACACTGTAATTCTGCCGGTTCTATCGCCAATATCCCGCCAAATATCAAAACACGAAGCTATCGTTTCGTAGGCGGTATGCAGGATCCAGACTCACTGCCTGCCGAACTCGGTCTTTACCAAGGGATTGTCATTGGCCATGCACTCAACTCGGCCCGTTACCATTTAGCATGATGAACCCGATATACTTGCGAATCCCCGAAGTCGCGTGGAGATGCTAAATCTTACGAATTTTGCCGGTCAATCCGGTACGATAACGTTACAGCAAAGGCAACAGCCTTCAGTTGGGAGCCTCAGATTCTTTCGTTGCCAAGATCAACGGCGCTGGGAGTCGGGACTTCAACCACGTTTTCCCGCATCAGATCGACCTGTCGAGCATATCCTGGTCTCAGAAGCTAGTGATTTGTTCTTCACGAAAAATATTGCCTTATAATACGCTCAGTTCCTTACTCAGTCCGTTACTGTTGCAACCTGCCTATCTCTTTCGAGCACAATAACCACGTGCAGTCTTTCGAGTCAGTCTATCCCAATAATCTAACCCAGGACTGGGTCTCTAATCAAGTTGGAGTAGCATCAGTTTCTATATGAGTACCCCCTAGCTATTGCAACGCTATGGTCCCCGTCAACGCACAAGCGAATGAACCCATTGCAGTTATCGGGAGTGGCTGTCGATTTCCCGGATCTGCCTCCACTCCTTCGAAGCTATGGGAGCTGTTGAAACAACCAAGGGATTTGCTTAGCAAAATACCAAAAGAGAGATTCGATGTCGATACATTTTATCACCCCGACGGCACCCACCATGGCCGCACAAATGCGAGATACGCGTACCTTTTGGACCAGGACCCCTATGAATTTGATGCATCTTTTTTCAACTTGCCCGCCAATGAAGTCAGCACAATCGATCCTCAACACCGCCTGATGCTCGAAACTGTTTACGATGGTATTACCACGGCCGGCCTCAAGATGGAAGACCTCCGTGGCTCATTGACTGCTGTTTACGTGGGTATGATGCATCGCGACTTCCTCGACAATCAAAACTACGATCTTGATGCAATGAATATGTACGCTGCTACCGGAACAGCGGCATCTATCCTGTCAAACAGGGTGTCATATTTCTTTGATTGGCATGGGCCAAGTATGACAATCGACACGGCTTGCAGCTCATCGTTAGTTGCCGTGCACCACGCAATCCAGCAACTTCGAACCGGCTCAAGTAAGGTCGCAATTGCAGCAGGAGCAAACTTGGTACTGGGCCCGTTTTCTCTCATTGTTACAAGTAAACTCAATATGCTCTCGCCAACAGGCCGGTGTCGGATGTGGGACGCAGGCGCTGACGGGTATGTAAAAGGCGAAGGCGTCGCTGCTGTTGTTCTGAAAACACTCAGTCAAGCACTCGAAGACGGTGACAGCATCGAGTGTATCATCCGAGAGAGTGGTATCAACCAAGATGGCAGGACTCCCGGTATTACCATGCCCAGTCATACGGCACAAGAAGCTCTTATTCGCGACGTCTACTCGCGTGCGGGACTTGACTTAACCAAACCCGAGGACCGACCACAGTACTTCGAAGCTCACGGTACAGGGACTGCAGCTGGAGATCCACAGGAAGCTCATGCAATATCCTCAGCTTTCTTTGGCGAAAGAGAACGCGGCACCGACGAGGAGCCTTTGTATGTTGGTAGTATCAAGACAATCATCGGCCACACTGAAGGCACCGCTGGTATAGCCGGCTTGATGAAAGCTTCGTTGGCGATTCAGCATGGCGTCATACCGCCCAATATGCTTTTCGAAAAGCTCAGCGACGGAGTCGCCCCATTTTATGGAGATCTTCAAGTTGTGACAGAGAACCAGTCGTGGCCAAAATTGCAGTACGACCAGCCACGACGTGTCAGCGTCAATTCGTTCGGATTCGGCGGCACAAATGCCCACATTATCGTTGAATCTTCGCCAATATTACGAGATGCTACCATCACTGGGCCCACGCCATGCCTGGCCCCGATCGCGCTATCTGCGAATTCAGAGTCCTCTCTCAAAGCCGCCGTCGAAGACTTAGCTGATTACCTCAAAACACAACCGGATACACCGATGCACGATCTAGTCTGGACATTGTTGAGAAACAGGTCCGATCATTCAGTTCGCTATACTACTCCAAGTGGCTCTGTCGCAGCTGTGCGCGAGGCCCTTATCCATGACGCAGCGTTGATTCAAGGGAAGGAGAGCATTGCAATCAAGTCAGAAGCCCGGACCATGCCAAAAGTACTGGGCATATTTACTGGGCAGGGTGCGCAATGGCCGGCTATGGGCAAGGTCCTCTTATCAACCTTTGCGAAAGCCCGCGAGATCGTCTTAGAGCTCGATCATTCCCTCCAGACTTTGCCACCAGCTTTCAGGCCAACATGGAAACTCATTGATCAGCTACAATTGGAAGGCGATGACTCTATGGTGCATGATGCGACATTCTCGCAACCTATGTGTTGTGCAATCCAGATTCTGCTCACGAAGCTTCTCTTCGCTGCGGGTATCAAGTTCAATGTTGTGGTTGGGCACAGTTCAGGTGAAATAGCTTGTGCATACGCAGCAGGATTTATCTCATCGTGTCAAGCGGTCCGAATTGCTTACCTTCGTGGCCTTACTTCACAGCTCGCGGAATCCCCAACCGGTGTGGAGGGTGCAATGATGGCAGCTGGAACCACATTTGATGACGCGCAGGAGCTATGTGCTCTTGAGATCTTTGAGGGAAGGCTCAAGGTGGCTGCCAGTAACAGCCCGGACAGCGTCACATTATCAGGCGATAAAGATGCGATTCTCGAGGCTCAAGAGATCCTTAACGACGAATCGCGGTTTAATCGTCTCCTCAAGGTCGACAAAGCTTACCATTCACATCATATGGCTCCATGTGCCGAGCCCTATATTGCAGCATTGAAGGCCTGTGATTGTGATGCATCGGAATTGGACATAGAACCATCTGTCACCTGGATTTCCTCTGTGTTCGAAGGACGAGTCATGAAACCAGACGACCTACGGGCTGAATACTGGAAGGATAATCTCCTCTCATCCGTACTGTTTCAGGACGCCGTCGAGGAAGCAATCATCCACAATCCAATAGACGTCTGTCTAGAGGTTGGTGCCCATCCAGCTCTCAAAGATCCCACACTTAAGACGATTGAAAATTGCAGTGGGTTTAGCTTGCCATACACAGGATTCATGCAACGTAAAAAGAATGACCTCGAGGCCTTTTCAGCGGGGCTTGGATATCTCTGGACTCGTTTTGGCACGCCTGTTCTTGATCTAGACCGTCTGTACAACGAGCTATCGATCGACAAAGGAACCAAGAGTCTATCCAAAGACCTCCCATGCTACCCTTGGGATCACTCTCGAAGACACAAGAAGGAGTCCCGCAACCTAAAAGCATTCCTTCGGGCACAGAAACCCCATCTCCTACTTGGAAAGGTACTGGCTCATAGTACTCCTTCAATGATTCTGTGGCAGAATCACATACGCCAGCGCGATATTGAATGGTTAGATGGCCATTCCCTGCAGGGTCAGACCGTGTTTCCAGGCGCCGGTTACGTTGTTATGGCTATGGAAGCCGCTCTTCATGAAGCGGGTGACCGCGAGGTTCAGCTACTTGAGGTACTTGACCTGGTTATCGACAAGGCAGTCACGTTCGAAGACGAGAGCAGTTTGATTGAGCTCAATTTGAGTTTGATGGTTAATACTAGTGAAGCCACCGATACGTCTATTTCTTACACGTTCGTCATCAATTCTTGTCTCGCCAAAGAAACCGGCCTATCAAGCTCAGCTACAGGTACAATCATCGTTGTTTTCGGCCAAGGAAGCTTGGAAACATTACCAGTAGCTCAAGCCGAGCCGCCTCACATGAACAAGGTCAGCGTCGATCGGTTTTACAACATGTTGCATGAGATTGGTTACGGCTACACCAAACAATTCCGGGGTGTCAGTAGCCTCAGACGTGGTGACAGCAAAGCTTGGTTAGTTTGTCTTGACATGATAGTTACGTTTAAGTCCGATGCTAATGCTTTTCAGCGGCACAATCGACTTCCACCGCCTCGAGGATAATCATCGACAGCTAGTGATGCATCCGGCTAGTCTGGATGTTGCTTTTCAGACGTTCATTGGTGCTTATACTTCCCCTGGCGATAAACGTCTGCGCAACCTCCTCGTTCCCACCGGCATCGACAGAATTGTACTCAACCCCTGGGCCACTGACCAAATCCATTCCTTGAGTAGAGATGTGAGCTTCGTCTCTACTAGTACTACGGGAGCTGGTAACGGTGTTGCCGGCGATATCGAAGTGTTTGATCCTGCTACTCGAGCAACTATACTTCAGATCGAAGGGCTTAGTTTCAAGCCGTTCTCGCCACCATCTGCAGCTGATGACCACCAAATGTTCGCAAAATGGACCTGGAGCCAATTAAGCCCCGACGCCGTCCTAGATGATAGTAGATACCACGCAAGCGAGAAAGATAAAGCCGCTACTGAAATGATCGAGCGCATCACTTACTGGTACATCAAGCTGTTCCTTAATAGCTTGACCACGGAAGATCGCGAGAGAGCAGCTTTTCACCAGACAAAGCAAATCCAGTGGTGCGAATATATCATGGCCGAGACAAAATCTGGGCACAACATCTGGTACGACATCGCATGGGAGGCAGACACTCCTGAGGATATCGAGAGAATTATTCGAGATTGGTTCTACCATCCTTTCATCCGACTTATTCAAAGAGTCGGCGAGAACATGATCGATGTGATTCGAGACAACAGGAACCCCTTCGACCTTATGGACCATGATGGTCTATTGACTGAGTTCTACGGGAGCACCATTAGCTATGGCCACTCCTATCATTACTTTCAGAAGCTTTGCGCACAAATCAACCATCGCTACCAGAATATGGATGTGCTCGAAATTGGTGCTGGAACCGGAGGAGCTTCAAGACATTTCCTAAACTCTGAGCAAGTCTCTTTCAATAACTATACATTCACGGATATCTCGAACGCATTCTTCGAGCAAGCGGCCAAAGAATTTGCGGAACATGCGGACAGAATGGAGTTCCGTCCACTTGATATTCGACGCGATCCTGTTGAACAAGAATTCAAACCCAACTCTTACGACTTGATCATCGCCTCCAATGTACTCCATGCTACACCCAAGCTTGAGAAGACGCTAGCGAATGTCAGAAAGCTACTCAAACCAGGTGGTCAACTTGTTATCATCGAGGTGACGCATCGCGAACATGCTCGTATTGGATTCATTTTCGGCCTGTTCACGGATTGGTGGGCGGGCCATGATGAGGGTCGTGTTTATGAGCCTTTTGTAACCTACGAAAAATGGGATGAGCTGCTTAAGCGAACCGGATTCTCTGGGATAGATAGCCGCACACTTGATCCTGACAGCACGATATTCCCGAACGGGGTTTTCAGTTCTCGTGCTGTCAATGATCTCATAAAGAGCCTGGACTCGCCGTTGACTGTTCCAATCAAGGAGAGCTATCCCCCACTGGTGGTTATCGGAGGAGCGTCCTCTGGGACGGCCCTATTGCTGGAAAAGTTGAGATCTACCGTACCTCACCGAAGTTTGCTGACAGTCAATCGCATCCGAGATGTCATCGACGCTGGCATTGAGCCGAAATCAACCTTTATCGTTCTCTCCGAGCTTGATGAAGAGACCTTCACAGGGCTTGACAATGACCAATTTGAGTCCCTCCAGGCCATCTTTGACCGCGCAAGTCACGTTCTATGGGTGACAGAAAGCGCGTGGGTCAACCACCCACAACAAGGAATGACTATAGGTCTGCTCCGCACTTTACGTTTGGAGTATCTCAATGTTCAATTGCAGGTCTTGGATGTCGACTATGCCGAGAGCCTTACATCTGAAGTCTTAATCGAGACCGTCCAGCGCCTTGAGGACGGCTCGAATTGGCAAGAGAATGGAATTCTTTGGACCCAAGAACCAGAACTCTACCTTCACAAAGACCAGCTGGTTGTTGCGCGACTCAAGCCTGACGTGGACAGAAATAATCGGCTTAACTCCAACCGCCGACCTGTCACAGCTAGCTTTGACCCCTACCAGGACGAGTTGGCTCTAGTCAATGAAGGAGGTGTCGACTTCTTCAGATGCCTTGAGGAGCGTCATGTTCCTGATAGTATTTCGGACTATACCGTCAGAGTTCAAGTGACGCACTCGCTTGTAAAGGCCGTGCGGGTAGGCAAGCTCGGCATTTTCAATCTGATCCAAGGCTATATTACAGCGTCAGGCGAAGCCGTTGTTACCCTGAGCGAAAGCCAGGCCTCATTCATTGATGCCTCCAACGATCACCTCATTCGCCTAGAAAGTCAGCAGGCCGATGCTACGTGTGTTCTGCCAGCTTTATTGGCGGATCTTGTGGCTCAGACTCTGCTTGCTGATGCAGCTCCTGGGACGACCGTTCTCGTCTTTGACCCCCCGAATTATTTCATCGACTCTCTTGTCCGTCAAGGTGTTGCCGCCAAGGTACAAGTTGTGATTGCGAGTGTCAACCCCCCGGTCGATGGACATAACACCCAATGGATTCAACTACATCCGCGAGAGACGCAACGTCAGCTACTGAAAAAGATTCCCGCCAATGTCGCCGTGTTCTATAATCTAGCCACCACAGAACATATTAGGGAACTAGGCCGACGCCTATCTGCCAATCTTCCTTCGAGCTGTCATGTCGCCTTTTTGGCTAGTCTAATCCATGACTCTGGAGCGCCAGTTTCAGAAAGTTGCAGCCGCGATGCATTAGCCGCGCTCCAAGCCGCTGTAAAAAGGCTGGGTGAGGTGCAGTTAGAAGACACGAAGTCTACTCTCACCCCTAGCCAGCTACTCTCGGTGGAAGGCGCTTACAGGTTTGATTCAATCATCCAGTGGCAAGCGGAGCCGAAAATCACAGCCCGAGTCCGCTCTATTGAGACTGGTCGTCTCTTTGTTGACGACAAGACTTACCTTCTCGTTGGTCTATCGGGTGATCTTGGTCGATCCATCGCTCGATTCATGATTGAGGGGGGCGCACGCCATATTGTGCTTTCAAGTCGGTCGCCTAAGATTGACCCACAATGGATTGAAGACATGGCTGCAGCAGGGGGTAGTATCATGGTTCTGCCTATGTAAGCATACTCTAGACCCGCTATCGGATCGCCGCTAACTTTTGGTATAGGGATGTTTCAAATGAGGGTTCAGTTGATAATGGCCTGGCCACGATTCGTGCATCCATGCCACCGATCGCCGGCGTGGCATTTGGTCCTCTCGTTCTTCAGGATGTTATGTTCAATAACATGGATCTCTCACTTATGGAGATGGTTTTGGCGCCCAAGGTCACTGGTGCTCGCCTGCTCAATGAACGGCTCTCCGACCCTTCAAGTCCTCTCGACTTCTTCGTCATGTTCTCTTCCTTCGTCATGGTCTCTGGAAATCCTGGACAGGCTGCTTACAGCGCTGCCAATGCTTTCACACATGCGCTTGCTCAGCAGCGAAGATCTCGGGGTATGGCCGGGTCCACCATCGACATCGGCGCAGTTTATGGTGTCGGTTTCATCGCTCGGGCTGGTCGTGAAGAGGAGTATGATGTTGTCAGGTTTATGTTCGACGAAGTCAACGAATGGGAGCTTCATGCCCTTTTCGCCGAAGCTGTTGTTGCCGGTCGGGCTCCCGGCACCGACCAGGTAGAGCTAGTCACAGGCATGCCCTACATCGACCCAGCGGACCGCGACCAGATACCATACTTTGACGATCCTCGATTAGCATATTACAAGCTTGCTGATGGCCGCAATAAAGGCCACGAGCTTGCCAGTGATAAGGGATCCATACAAGAGCGCTTCCTCAAAGCGGAGACCATGGACGAGGTTCGCGCCATCATTCTAGAGGGCGTATCTGCCAAGATTCGTGGGGCGCTACAGGTCGCGGCTTCAGATGATCTCAACTTGAATTCTCCCTTGGTGGACCAAGGCGTCGATTCACTCAGTGCTGTCACCATCGGTACTTGGTTCTCGAAAAATCTAAGTGTCGATGTACCCCTTCTTAAGATTCTAGGTGGCGCCTCGGTCTCAGATCTCGTGGAGGAGTCCATCTCCCGTATACTTCCTGCAGTAATTCCGTTGGCCTATGACGGATCTGCAAATGAGATTCTAAAAGACGAGACGCCAGTCGCAGTCGACGTGGAGGCAATGGGGCTAGCATCAAACTCTGGCAGCGACGACTTGAGTCTTCCAAGCGACTATATGAGCGCCCCGACGCCCATATCGCTCTTTTCATCAACATCCGATCAAAAGTTCGAGGGCGTGGAGCGCATTGTTCCGCTTTCCATAGCCCAAGAGTACTGTTGGAAACAACAACAACTTGGCCTAGACCCCTCGACCTTCAACTCCACGATCGCTATGTTCATGCAGGGCACACTCGACCTCAATCGCTTGGGTTGGGCGTTTAATCAAGCACTACAGCGCCATGACGCCTTTCGAACATGTTTCATCACAGATCCGGCCGACGAGTCTCGGTTGCTACAAAGTGTGATGAAGTCACCGGCAGTGGGTTTTGAGATAATCAAGGTGGCGGACAGAGCAGCGGCCGAAAGATGCTGCAAAGACCTTGAAAGCTACGAATACAACGTGTTCGAAGGAACGACTCTGAAACTGGTCAATTACTCTTGGTCATCTACCGATCACCTCCTTGTATTTGCCTACCATCGTCTTGTTGGCGATGGCTGGACTACAGAGCATCTCTTTGTGGAAGCCGGGCAGCTGTACAATGGTGTGCAGTTAGATCCACCGCCGAGCTATGCTGACTTCGCAGTTCGCCAGCGAAATGATCTTGTGTCCGGGGCAGCAGAGAATGACTTATCGTACTGGTCGACGCTTTTCGAGACTCTTCCAGTCAGGCTCCCTATACTTGATGTTCCGGGTAAACGAATCTCGGCCTCACCAACTTGGTCGGAGCATGAGACCTCCGCGCGTGTCAATCCGATGATCGCAGTTCGTATCAAGGACCGGAGTCGCAAGCACAAGACCACACCCATGCATTTCTATCTTGCTGCTTTCCATGTGTTGTTGGCTCGTTTGACAACATGTACGGATGTTGCAATTGGTGTTGCCGACACTAATCGTTCGACTCTCACAGACCAAGCCACAATGGGCTTTTTCGCCAGTCTTCTCCCTGTGCGTTTGAGGTACTCTCCAGACGACATATTTGCCGAAACATTGATTGCCGTCAAGGACGAAATGCGGGGGGCTCTCTTGCACAGCGCTGTACCGTACGGCGCGATTCTCGAACATTTAGGCCTGTCAAACCCTTCATCCACTGATCCAGACTCTCAATCACCGCTATTCCAAGCCGTCTTCGATTATAAGCAGGGTCAAGCGGAAACTGGAAGCATCGGTCGAGCGAATATCGTTGAGTCTCACCTTTCACGGGCTGGATCTCCATATGATATTACCCTGGAAATGAGCGACGATCCTAACAAGGATCCCTTGATCATTCTCAAGCTGCAAAGCGAGCGATATGCCCCCAGTGATGCTGAAGTTGTCATGGATGCGTATCTTGCTATCTTGAGCATTTTTTCCAGAAACCCCGCACTCAGGGTCGAGGACGGCCGTCTGGACCAAGGAACCAAGGTGAAAGCCTGAGCAACGGATAGCTAAACAGCATTCAATATCACATCAAGGAATATCTCTTTTTCTGATAGCATAAGTTTTCCTTTGCATACGCGCTGAACACATATTCATTTTCTGCCTGCCGACTTTTCTTGCTATAGTTTCCAACGTAGTCTTTTCCGACAGTGAAAGTTTTCTCGCCCATCATCGACTCCGTAGCTTAATTGTGTTCAAATGTTCCGGTATGTTTATACTCAGGCCTTCGGTGACGGTCTACGTAGAAAGGTGGTAGAGAGTGGAAAACGGAGTGTTTCGGTATAGAAGATAGGAAATTTACGGGAGATCACCCATTTCCAATGTTATTTATATCTTGGACTTCAAATGTTGGATCCGGATCTCTGAGAATTTCGCTCGTGTAGAGGAAGATCCGAGTCCGAAAGCCTCTGTGCGCCATGCGTCAAATTCCAGACAGAGCCGACACTACCAAAGATGGTTGATTCTCGCAACCGACGAATGGTGTAGGGAAAGTACAGCACACGAGATTGTAATTCCGACATTCATCTCGACAATTCTGCCAGCGAGATGTGAGTAAATTTCTGTTCCAAATATTAGCATTGGTGGTGTGGGGATAAATACGAGTAGATTGCAAGTGTGGCCGAATCCCACATCGAATCATCAGAATCCCCGGTGCTGACGATATAAATTGGTCGAGCAATACTGGCAGCACAGGTACTGGAAAGTAAACACATAGTAAGACGGCATACCCTGATAAGAACATAATTGTTGTGAAGAAACTGACCCTATTCCACTCGAGAACGTCAGGAAAAGCCCGATTTCACGTCCCCGGGAAATGTGTAGTGCAAGCAGCCGGGGGATGGGCAGAATCAAGATGTAAAAGTCCATGATTATATTCACTACGGACACAAGGATGGGATCAATCTGATGATAAAACACGCAGAACTTGCTTTTTTGAGTTTCCTTGTTGATGCACGCGGGGATATTTATGATGTTGAATATTATGAATACCGAGTAGAAGATGGAAGTCACAACGACGCCAAATTATATAAGGATCTGCCCTATAGGAAAGGTCAAAAGACGTTTGTATAGCAGTAGAATCGACAGCTTGGTAAAACACAATGCCCAGGGATACGAAATCCCTGCCCCTAAAAGCTAATGGACGCTCGTCAGGATTGCACTGAAACTAGGTAGCTGGATTTAGTAGTGCCCAGGTAGCTTGCCCTATTATTGTGCACGCTTTTTGAAAACACTATTTGGGATATCCCACATATCACCGAGCTGTTACTCCGAGGATGGAGTAGAGGATCAGTCCCAACACGACCCGGAAAGTCCTAGGCTGCTCCAATTACCTGAATGACATATGGGAATGTCAACTGACGAGATTCCGGCAAGCTGCATCCAGTATACCATAGAGTGGAAGGTCATGGTGAATAAGAAAGTGATCTCGCGAGATATGGAAAAAGATGTAGCCCTGACACCGTGTGCTTACTGGTCCATAGTCCTGCAGGATAAGTTGGAGAAATGGTTAGAAAGCAAATCTCCAGTAAAGGAAGAGTAAAATCGGATGACACCTTAATCATTGTGTCGGTGAACGATCGCTCCTAACGCGACCTAATGAAGCGATTTGATTATCTTGAAATTGACTGTAGAAACACAGCTGCTTAGGTGGGGTTAGACCTGTGCATTTAGGACCGGGACCCATGGGACCCTATGGGAATCCCATGATGGGATTTGGGATTCCCACTTACGTAAGTCCCATAGGATCTTGGCAGTTGGGACTTGGACAGGCACCTAGTCCCATGGGATGCCCATGAGATTCGGTCTTCGCTACATTAGGTAGTATTAGTCAGAATTCTTCTTAGTTCAAAAGTCATTAAAGATCAAGTAGCTTCTAGTATATTAAAAATTAATAAGCTCTAGAGAAAAGGTAAAGAATTTGTAAGTTTACTAAATATTTTTACCTTTAGGACTTAAAAAGACCTTTAATCTTAATTTTAGGCTAAGTTTTAATAGGCCTAATTATAATAGGCTAGATAGAATAGTATAAAGGAATATTTCTAGATAGTAGATTTGAAAGGAAAAATACGAAAAGACTAAACGGCAAAGAATACCTTCATAATCAAGATTCAATTATCCATTTCCTTTTCCAGAATTATGTAGAGTTAGGATTTACTTGGGATCCCATGGGGTCCTATGGGAAATCCCATGGGATGCCCATCTAGCTTAATCAGTCCCATGGGATCTTGGCAGTTGGGATTTGGATAGGCACCTAGTCCCATGGGTCCCGGTTTGCACAGGTCTTGGTGGGGTACGCTCTTTTATCGAGGCAAGAAACTAAGGTTAAGTATAGACCTAGACAAAACCCGCGGGAGCTACCAAATTCTAGTCCTATGCCCATGGGACCTTAGTTATACGGGCCGGGAGTATATAGACAGGATAATGTCTGCCGGGTGGGGCTTTCCTAGGCTGCCGCCGCTTTTATGAGGGCGCTCAGGCTCAGGCTCACTGAGTAAACGTGAGTACGGGTCAGACTTGGGAGATGCATGGGCCTACGCCTGATGTGGAGGGGGTTCCTTGGCTACCCTCAACCAATTTTGAACGGTCAAGTGCGTTGGACATTTGATGACGATTCCACCATTTTCCTTAGTTTTATGGCGGCCAGCGAAACTGTGACCAAACTTGACGGTTGAAACGGAGTGCAAGAATATTAGGACATTTGTTTAACTGTACTGCTAATTCTTGCTTCCGACAGAGGGAGCGCCTACATAGCCATCACGCCATTACTTGAGTTGCATTAGGTTAATAAAGTATTGATTGATTGATTGATTGATTTATTAGCCCGACTCACTGCTGACACATCACCCCGCCCACCAGCATCTCCTAAGCCCGAGGCAAAAAGCAAGGAACCCTTCCTCGGACCAACGCAAGGGCGAACTTGCGGCAAAGTTGATTTCTAATTGACCCGTGTCCAGCGGACCCTACAGCATGCTGAGATCATGGAGTAATTCCCCGAAACCCACCAATGCACCGACCAGAGGGAACAGCGAGCGAGTCGCATGCAGCCAGGACCATCTCACCACGAGCTCCCGCACCGCATTCAAGTCTGCGGGTGGCTCAGATGCCGATACAGATGCCGCTTCCAACTGAAACAGGGTGTTGTTGGTCGGCGTCATAATGAGCCAGGTAAAGGGCACCATGGCTATTGTAGCCACGCCCGCTGCCGCGCATGTACGCCAACCCTTGCCGCGCACGGCGCGTTTGTTTAAGCCAATGTATGCGTAGAGACCACAGGTGGCGATACAAAGCGCCGGAAGGATAATATGGCCGTAGTGATAGGTCCGGGCCCATTGACGAACGAGATGGCCCGAATCGGTGTTGGTGTCAAGGAAAACGGGGACTGAGATTGCTGAGAGACATAGCATAGCGCCTGCATTGAGATAAACGTGTTAATTATGGGCCTCTGGGTTGAGATACGACTACTTACCTGATAGAGCGGAACCGCTCATTACAGCAACAGCCTCCATCCCAATCCTAGTCGGCTCGCGCGGCGGCATGATCTGTCTAATGGATCAAAAGAGAGAGCAATGCGACTTGATGCGGCTCTATGATATCGAACAGGGAACTATGCCTTTGACCCCATGAGTTATAGCTTTCTGATTTCCATTGTTTTCGGCCTAATACTGGGACAATTGCCTTGTCTCGGGAGAAATCAGAGACCCCGAGCCTCACGCCGTAGCCGTCCTTTTCTCTAAGTCTTTCCATAATCCCCTATCATTTTGTGTCTTCGTGCGACACGATCGGGAGTGGAGGAGCTAATCAGTCAATCATTACCTTGCGCCGTTCACCATGACATTCATCGAACCTGAGGTTCCCGAGCCTTCTGGCTCAACGAAGGGCAAGTATCTCTGTCTTACCATCTGCGGTTACCGCAAGCCTGGCATGAGCGAGAAAGATTACCGCAATCATATGGTCAATATCTCAGCACCAATTACCAAGGGCCTCATGGTCAAATACGGTGTAAAGAGATGGACCCAAGTTAGCGACACTCTCTGCCACCTCCTCCTCATCAACTAACGTTATATTTAGATTCACAACCAAGTTTCTACTCGTGCCTTGATGTCTCATCTATTCGACAGCCAGATGGCCAACGTCGCAGATTTTGACTGCTTCAGCCAGGTAGTGTTCAGGGACATTGAGGACTACAAACGTATGAAACAGGACCCTTGGTATAAGGAGCATCTCATTGGCGATCACGAGAAGTTTGCAGATACCAAGAGAAGCATGTAAGTATCTGCTCATTTGACCCCGAAAAAAAGAGATGGAATATTCATTTTGATTGAACGTAGGATGACCATAGGATGGATCGAGGAGTTTGTGAGGGACGGAGAGGTTGTCGACGGTTTCAAGGACTGCTAGCTCCTGTTGCTCGGGTGTTTCATATGCGGGCATGTAGATATACAAGAGAAAAACCTCTGTCCATGATAAAAACCCTACTGGGGTCTCGTAACATGCAAACATGATACTTCTCGCGTGATGTTGCCATGCAGGCATGCAGGGTACGCAGTCTAACTATAGGCTTCATACTTTATAGTCAGACCCACAGTAAGTCCATTAGGTGAACGGAGCTGGTTAGTGATGACAAGTCTCCCAAGACCATCCCTCATCGTCTCTATTATTCTTAAAAGCTCTGTCATTTCCATTTCACCTTCATTAGCCAGCTGTAGCATACTAAGGTCTCGTGCACGCAATACAGCCTCGAAGGTAGGGTCAGAGAGACTACCTGGCTTGGGAAGCAGATTTGCCGTCAGTATAAGTAGAATAGCACCACAGGCAGGAAGTATGCCTAGGTAATCTTTCAGCTCAGCCTTGACCGTATCCATTCCCTCTACTCCGGTTGGGGAGCTCATGGAGATTACAGGCAAGTGAAGAATGTAAACAGCTGCGTCTATCACAGGTTGAGGCATGCCCGCAGAACGGTATGTTACAGTGATGTGACTGGTAGCAGAGCTGGGTCTAGAGCTGGACTCGGGTTCCAGTTGTGTTGTAAAGTCTCGGGCAAGCTCATTGATCATCTCCCTCGGCTGTGCAGAGTATGGAGAGTATTGACTCAACGTGGACGACCTCGTGTGGTCGATCTGCACAATCAGATGGAGAGCAGGGAACTGCTTTGCGAGATGCCGTGCCATTGAAGTGGACTGCGCACCAACCTGTCGCCAAAAGGTTAGGGTAATTAATCAACATCTGCGGGTTTGCCGGCCAGATTCGGCCCTGCTCTTACCTCTACTATGAAAGCGTTACCGAGGCTAGGCCATTTGAGTTGCGAGAGCGTATCCACAATCTCCTTTTCTTGATGCAACCCCACTGCGTGGAGGTAGGCTGGCCATTTCCGGCCCAGCCTAGGCTGCTCCTGAATGGCTACACCAATCGGCTGCAGGGTGCTTAGCGCCAGGTCATGTGTTGTCTCTCTCGGATGCCATGGGCCATCAAAGCGCTGTGTTGCCGTAGACATATGCAATGCCGCCGGCGCTGCTAAGTCGGCCATGAAGACTGCGGCATCGAGCAATGACTGATTGGTGACGAATTGTGCCGAGAGAGGAGTATGAGATACATAGTTTGGCAGGGGCTCTTGAAGGAATCCAGATGTACACATGAGGCGAATGACTCGGTGCAGTTGGATTTGTGGAACCCCTGCCAAATCAGCAAGATCTTGCATGGACATGCCGCCGTCGGCTGGGATGCACGCCAAAATTTGGTATTCCGCAAGCCACTTAAGACAAGCCAGCACCTCAACCTAGAGTGACCAAGACATATCTGTCGTCAGAGGAGGTGAGACTGAAAGGATAGAGGAGGGATGCACACCTGGCGAGCAAGATCCTGAATTAACTCCACTGGCCCACCGAGCAGTGCTTTTATCTTGACCATGCTAGCATGTATGACAGTCTTAGCTTTGTTGAGCTCCTTGTTTGCCTCAGAATTGGCCCGAAGCTGGTCAGAAGATTTCATATCCCGCTGATACTTGATATAGCTCTTAATCGCAGCGCCAAGTTGGTCACTTTGGGCCTGGAGCTTCGTCAATTCGTCCATTGCGACGCTAGGGATTGGAGCACCGGGTGTCAAGCATTTACGCTTCATCGACTTTGTTAAGAATGATCTCGAGAGCTAGGGCGCATTTATCGCGTTTATTTGCATATCACCCGTGGCATGGTATCTAGGCGTACAAGCAGGCAGAGAAACCAATGTATAGGCTGATGCTACCTGGCAAGATGAGTCAAGTACAAAAAGACGAGATATAATCCCTGTATGTCGCGATTGTCACCCATCTGGCATCCCCCGCAACCTCGGCGCAAAGCTGAGCACATAGGACGGACTTGGGGCGCAAGGCTGAGCACATAGGACGGACTCCGGATGCAGCCTCGGGAAATTGTCCCATCCTACTATCTCCAAGGGAAGTGATAGGCCTCGCTAAAAACCGCCCATGCAGGTCAGCACCCGTGCGGGTCAGGAGTGGAATGGGTGGGTGGGTCAGGCTGCGATCCGCAGGAAGACACCTTTTTCCGAATACAGTAACACTATGTACTAGTTAACTTACACTAACTTAGTTAACAAGGATGACATAATACGCTATTGCCTATTTAGGTTTACACTCCATATCTTCCTCGAATATAGTCTAAAAGTCGATCAAAATATACAATATTATAATTGCTAACATTATTCATTAGGTACTTCATTGTACAGAGCTTGAGTGGTGGTGTTTAGGTGGTGGTGCTTGGGTGGCTGACCTGACGCACTTTGGCAGGGGGGATTGTAGAGTATTCAGGCATTCTGATTGGTTGATAGAGCTGACCAAGCGGATGACTTAACTAGCAAAAATGGGAGTGTACAAAGGTGAGTGTTCTATAAGTGAGAGTTTTGTATGGGGGACGCCTTAAAAGTGGGTCCATCCAAGCGGATGGTGTACTATAACCGGGAGTGTTCTATGACCCGCCGTACCATAAGCGGGAATTGAGTGTATATCGGATCAAGTCGATATATATGATTAACGGGTCGATATGTGATCAACAAGACCGGGTTAAATCAATTATAAAGTGATAATTAATTCAACAGACTTAAAAACCAGTGATTAAACAGAATAAGTCAGCAGAATTTTGCATCTAACTTAGAAGTGGTCATTTTTTTTATGTAAATGAGGGCGGAGGGCGGGAGATACCGGCCCTCGAAATGTTTTTTGACGAGGTCTACATTTCAAAAGGAAAGGAGAGAATCTGTCTACTAAGAAACTTGTCGTGGAAATGTGGAGAGGTTTATTACAGTGACATGGGATTGGTCCATATCCAACCTATATTCATTCCGTGTTTGTATGTAATACGCGGGTAACACCTCGACATCGATATTGCCATTCATGGGATAGCTCAACTGCCCCGTTTCCCATTACTACCGGAATCATCAGATGAAAGATTGATTGGAAAAAGGAAAACAACTCAAAACGGGCTGGCTGGTCCAATCGCGTACGTCAGACTGTCCCGAGGGCAAACCACTTTTTCACTCCCGCCCGAATCTCAAACGCGACAGCGCCATCCTCAGCCAGTTTCCGTAGGACCTCATCAATGAATGGTTCCAGCGCCAATTCCCTGACCTCTGCCCCCACCCCATCCCCATACATGGTGGTCACAAGCTGTTTGACCGTCACACTGCCGTTGCCTCGGTCTTGCCGGAGTCTCTCTTCATGCTTGGCCTGAACCAATGATTTTAAGACATGTCGTTCGCGCTGCAGCTTTTGAGCCAACTCGCCCTTGATTTTATGCCGCAAGTTGGTAATGACAATTCCATGAGCAGGATAGCCTTTGACACAGTTCTGGGACTGCATATTGTAGAGAGTGTCCATCCAAGTTTTGAGATGCTCCACGGCTGATGTACCATGTCCAAGTATATTATCTCCTGTAAACATAGCCTGTTCTTCCTCGAGAATGAAGCACATATGGTCGCTGGAGTGGCCTGGAGTGTGCAGTGCACGCACGGTGGCGCCTTCAACCACAAAGAGCTGGCCGTTCACAATCCGCTGTTGTGTTTTGCTCGGCGTGTGCTTGTAGATCGCTGAAGCAAGATGTGGATACATGCGAATCAAATCAGGGACACCACCTGTGTGGTCTCCATGCCAGTGAGTGAGAAGCACATGGGAGAGTGAAATTTCGTGGCGAGCGAGAGTGTCATGAATAAGATCTGCCCAATCTGGAATGCCTTGGCCTGTATCAATCAAAAGGCGTTCTGAGCCCGTTCCGACAATGAATGTGTTTGTCCCCTGCAGAGTGAACTTCATGATTGGTAGATGCGTTAGTTTATGGACTAAGTAAAGAGGGGTTGAGACATGCCTTGCCGGGGTTCTGGCCGAGGACACGAAGTACTCGAGGGCTAATCTGCTCGACATCAGGCAATATTGGTAGGGTTTTCTGCTGGCTTTCCAAGTATTCTTCAAAGGCACATATGTTCAGAGCCTTGTTGATTTGGCGGTAGCCTCCCTCACCTGGCGCCATTATAGAAGTTCTTCCAAAGGTCGAATGTTAATGCTAATTACCTTGCGTCCTGAGACAGGAGAATCATGCGAGGCTACGTATTATGGGACCATATAGCCGGAGAGCCTTGGAACATAATACATATGAACCTAACGAAATGAGGACCTCGCTTCGGATGATCTCAATGTCGCGATTTCCGGCATCGGACAAAACTTATCTTTATGAAATACACCGCGCAATATGCCCCGTCTCTTTGACAGGGGCTAGGGTGGGTCGCAATTGTGATGGACCAGTAGTAGATGTGTCGGATGGAGCTAGAGACAGGATAAAGAGTCTGGGCTTATCCAGCCCGATTGCTAGAGAGTTACACTTTCCCGTCCATCCCTTAACAATATCCAACAAAATGGTCTCTCTCCAAACAGTGCAGCATGCCAATGTAGGCATTGGGAGCCTTCCCGCCAGCATAGTCGCAGTCTTTATGGGAGCTACCTCCGGCATCGGACAAAGCGCACTTCAACATTTCGCTCAGCATGCCTCTTCTCCACGAATCTACTCCGTCGCTCGCGCATCCGCGGTTGCTTCGCACGAGATCTTCCTGTCCTCGCTACGCCAGTCCAACCCGACAGGCACGTACAGCCTTATCGAGGCTGATGTCTCCATTATCTCCGAGGTTGACAGGATCGTTGCCGGAATAAAGGAAAATGAGACCAAGGTTGACATTCTTTTCATGTCGGCTGGTTTCATGGCATTTGAGGGCCGCAAGGACACATCCGAAGGCCTTGATCCGTCCATGACGACGCGATATTACTCACGTATTCGCCTTGTGCAGGAGCTGCTTCCCCTGCTCAACAAAGCGCCGAGTCCGCGAGTCGTCTCGGTGCTGGCTGGCGGGCTGGAGGGACCCCTCAACGAAAATGACTTGGATCTGCGCGATCCAAAAAACTGGTCCTTCTGGAATTCGTCAGTCCACTCAGGCACCATGGGCACGCTCGCTCTGGAAATATTTGCGCAGGCGAACCCACACCTGAGCATTGTGCACTGGTTCCCGGGGACCGTCGCAACACCGGGTCTAGCGCGGGCTAACAAGTTTGGCATGTCGCCCCCGAATCCGACGAGTGCGGATGAGGCTGGTCAGCGCGCGCTCTTCTTAGCTACTAACGACCGGTATTCCGTCCATGGAGGCCTCGTGCCCATGCCAATAGGGCTCTCCGTGTCGAAGAGGTCGGGCGGAGGCATCTTCCTAGTTGATCCGGAAGGCGAGAGCGCTGATAATGAGCATCTGCTGTCCGGGCTGAGGAAACGGGGTATGGACCAAACTGTATGGCGCTTTACGGAAACGGTCTTTGCGACTTTGACTGCTCAAGGTGGTTATTCCAAGGATGAGCTGTGAAGAGCATAGTCAATAGCCCTATGTAATGTTTCTAGCGTTCTGTTTATCTACGCACTAAGCAGGGCTGTGCTTGAAGCTTCATTTAGAAGGCTTAATCTAAGAATCACACTTGAGAATGGCATCATGGCTGCGTGTTTCCTTTCTTTTTCTGTCGCACAGCTATATTCAATACATCTATAATATAACTGAGTCGGTAATTGGATATCTCCTTACGCGAATATCTAACGCCTCTAAAGTTTATGCCTATTGGTTACATAAAGCCCGGCTATATTAATAATTAACCCGACACTAGTAATAGTATATCTGAGCCACTTCCCAATCTATATTACTTCCAGATTGCCCCACTTTCTGCTATAGGCGGTTCAATTATCCAAGCCAATAATGTCTCTCCCACAAACCTACAAACGGGCAGTTTTCAAAGAGCTGGGTCATCCATTGACAGTGGAGGATGCCCCGCTCAAGCTACCTGGGACCAACGAACTGCTGATTAAGGTGGAAGCTTGTGGGGTGTGCTACTCGGACATGTACTCTCAATACAATGGCATCGGCGGCGGCTTTCCCATTGTACCAGGTCATGAGATTATTGGCAAGGTCAGTGCGGTTGGCAATCACGTTAGCAATTGGAGTGTTGGGGATCGTGTTGGAGCGGGTTGGCACGGTGGTCATGACGGGACTTGCAAGGCTTGCAAGAAAGGCTGGTTCCAGATGTGCGACAATAATGTGGTCAATGGGGCGACAAAGGAAGGCGGATGTAAGTGGCAGCAACTTCCGTTCCTTTTTCCCTTTTTATCGTTCTAATGATTTCTGTTGTAGACGCCGAGTACTGTATTATTCGCGCCGAATCAGCTGTCCGGATTCCGGCCAACGTCGATGCGGCGACATATGCCCCCCTTCTCTGTGCTGGACTGACAGTCTTCAACTCCATCCGCCACATGAACATCAAGGCTGGCGAAACAGTCGCCATTCAGGGCTTAGGAGGCCTCGGTCATTTAGCCATTCAGTATGCGAAACACATGAAATACCGTGTCATCGCCATATCACGCGGTAACCACAAGGAGGGGGCGGCGCGTGAGCTTGGAGTGGATGAATTTATTGACTCTAGTAGAGGCGACGCTGGCGAGCAGCTCGCGGCACTTGGTGGTGCTGCCCTAGCTATTACCACTGCCTCCACTGAAGAAACTATCACTCCCTTGCTGAAAGGCCTGGGGATTCTGGGAAAACTACTTGTGCTCAGCTTTCCCAACAGAATTACCTTGAATCCCACAGATTTGCTCAAGTATGGCCTCTCAGTGCATTTCTGGCCCAGTGGCCATCATATTGATGCTGAGGAGGCTATTCAATTCGCCGAGAACAATAAGATCAAGAGTGTCATCGAGAAGTTCCCTCTTTCTCAGGCGCAGCAAGCATTTGGTAGGTTTCAGGTTCATAGGGGGGCTTTTTCTCTCCCATCAATTCTTGACCTGCTAATAGTGTCCTTTTTCTAGATTCTATGCTTGGTGGAAAAGTTCGCTTTCGGGCTGTCATCACCATGGACTAAGTTTGCCCTGCAAACCTGTGCAGCTACTCGTTGGGTGACAAAAAAGCAAGTGGCATTGAGAGAGTACCGAGCGATAGGTGGGCAACGTAGAATAGTCGATATACTGTTACTTCTCTTGTAGATTTTTCGTGTTATAATTGAAAGACAGTTTTGTCATTGTTTGACGTATAAATCACAAACAACTAGCATTACTTTGAATCCGGCACCTTCTTCCATGCAAGGTCGAATCCAGAGCCCCAGACCCACTTATCACTATTATCATGGCCGTCCTTGGTAGTATCGTAGCCCATCTGGGCAATTCGAAGCCACAAGTCGCCCCTGATGGGGAAAGAAGCGGCGCCGTTCCCCTGCTCAAAGGGCCTCGAGACTGTCTCCCCGTTCTTCAGCGCTCGCACAAGCTTGGCGATATGTCCGTCATCGTGGACCTCATTGACAGCCTTGTATAGTGCTCGCCAGTCCATACCCTTGCTTGCCGTAGGTTCGTAGTCGGAGATGTCCTTCAGGCGCAATTCCGCTGCTCCGTTTGCCGCGTACCACGCCAGGTCCAGCCTCGCCTTCCACTCCACCAATCGGACTCTGTCCTGAAGCTTGATCCACGACTGCTTGGTCAAGACGCTGAGGAAGATGGAGCATGTAACGTTGTGCATGATGAAAAAGTCAATCTTGGGCACTTTTCCAGGGCTTTGCGCCGCACCGGCGCTGTACGCCGCGCAGTTGATCATCTCCGCCGTGCCGCGCTCCAATTCCTCGGGCCGGATCTGCAACTGGGCAGAGATGCTCACTATCTCGTCCATGGCGCGAGCCAGTGGACCATCACGGAGGCGGAAGGGCCCGTCTTGCATGCGTCCCGCGGTCCGGGTCTTCTCGTTACGGCGGACCTCCTCATACAACTCGACAAGTGGCCGGGCTGGCACCGCACCGGACTGGGCCAGCTGTTCGCTGCGGTGGAAGAAGACATCGATATTACCCGGGTCGTGTGAGGCGGCATGTGCGAGGCCCTCGGCAATGATGCTGGGCTGTTCAAACTCGATGCCAAAACCCAGGTGGATGATGGGATGCAGGAGACCTTCGTACAACTGAGAAAACATGGCCTCTGCAAGCGGCGTCCGGCTGAAGCAGTATTCTTGCAAGACGGCCTGCCAGCCCTTCTCATCGATTTCTTTTTCGAAAAAGTGCAGAAAATTAGTATACTGATCTAGATTCAGCATTCGGGCTCGGAATCTCTCCGGATCACTGAGCTCCTCGACTACCTGTAGGTCCAGGACAGGCAGGGGGCGCTGATATCCATAGCCGTCGTCGTATGCCCGCTTCAGCTCCTTGGGACCGCCACCCATGGCTAAGACGCTCAATACTGAGTGGGCGATATGGTTATGGCCGCCGACATCCCGAAAGTACATGTGGTAGTTATCATGGTTCTTTTGCAGCAGCTCATTTGCCGTGTCGATAGTACCGGCAGGACTGGGGTCGATGCGAGCAAACCCCATGTGCTGTGATGATAATTTCACCTGCGACGTTTTTAAGACTGTCATTTTCGATGCTTGTGAGCAAATAAGAGGCCACTTGGCACGAAACAGAGGGTTGATGAGCACCCACTTGTGTTTTGCGAAAAAGTGGACATATAAGCGAATATTCCTCGGTAGGCCCCTCGGGGTCGTAAGTCGTCTCTTGTTTCGTCTATCGGACAATTGGCGGCCGGCACATATGGCGGCGCATATAAGAGAAGCGCCCCGATTCGAAAGCAACTGGGGCTCGGGACTTCGGGACTGTATGACAGGAGACTTGCCAGGGCTCCACCAGGGCAAGCCAGCCCTAGCACTTACCCGTGGCATGTAAACCCCGAGAAAGCTACGGGTAAATCCAAATGAGAGATGCGCTCGAGTTGAAACATGCAAGGAGGGGGGTAAACATTCATTGCTCTTGGGAGCTCAGTAGGGATGCATGTCTACGTGACATGCATATTTTAATGTAATTCCCGACCGAGCGAGACACCTCTACAGAATGCAGTTTGTTACAATCTGATATAATCATGCAGTTTTGACTAGTTATTCAAGGGAACTTAGGGCTAGATAATCGTTTTCTGACTATGTTAGTGATGCTACACTATTTTTTGTGCCAGGAAAGCACAGCATACTATACATAAAGAGACAATATCTTCTCGCCGTTCCTATATGGACACCCGAAAGATCGCATTATGGTGTTAAGTGTTTTCTAATGCTAAGTAATTACGCCTTATTTTGAATCACATTTCTCCTCGTTATTGACATGTTGAGACTCGAAAATCGGATTCAGTATGGTGTTTGAGGGTGGCCAGGGAGTTTGTTAAGTTAGTTATGCAGGGCCAATTAGTAATTACACTTATTGCTTAGGTTTGCTATTCTGGGAGATCAGGTCACCCATGAGTTCGATGGCTGGGTTCTTTATTGAAAATGATGTCGGTGAAGTGATGACCATACAGAGCGTCTCGATCAAAGCACAATAACCCGTGTCTACCCCGAGACCGAGGGGAGTAAAACATGAAAAATGAGAAAGAGAAAGGGGGAAAAAAAAATTCAGTCTGGCATAACGCTCCTCCAAAAGGGGGACTAGGAGTCTAATCATTCATTCTAATTCTGTCGAAGTCTTTTGATGATATCCGCAGCCAAGGAACTGAGGCTGTTCCGCATGTCGCTCTCCATCTGAGCCAACGTATTCGAAGAAAATGGGGTGGATTGCGGTTTGTCATTTTCATTTGCTACCTGGAGACCCCAGATTGTGTGCTCCATGCCTCGAGCATCGCCTTCCTTACTTCCTCTTAGTTTTGGCGACAGCAGGTTCACTAACGTTTGCACCCGGTGCAGTTCACTAAGGACGAGCCGGGCGGGGGCGTGGCCACTCGCGATATCGTCGCGGGGCATGGTGTATGTGTGGCTCAGTGCCCTCATGTGGTCCTTGCTACTTGAGATAATGCTGTTTGTCGACCTCTGCCCCGTGTCATTCTCCACGCTGCCTACCCTTGAGCCGAATACCTGGGCCCGTGCCGTAGAAGCGTAGCGCTCCAAGATCTTGAGCACGATCATGGAGACGATTACAAGCCGGAAGGAATCCTCTGTGCACAAGGAGCATGAGAGCAGGCTGTTTACTGTCTCAATGTGTTGCTTATTCTCTATCAATACAGCCTGCGCAGCGCCCATAGCGGTCCTGCCTGACGAGAGCGCCGGACCCGCGGCGGACATCGAGGAGGTGGGGGAAGACGGAGTCGACGACAGAGTCTTTAACAGATCGAGGGACTGGGTCACACAGCCACAAGATATGTCGGTGGTTAGCGTGCGCATCATCGTCATATTAGGACCTGTAGTGGCCAGCAACGTGGGAACGCTTGCCTCGGACGACACTGCGAACGATGCACCCAGATGATCATTCGATTCTAACGCGCCCAGGCCAAAATTGATGGTCTCCGGGATGAGAAGTGATCCGATATCATTCGAACTACGGGAGACCCCGTCGCCGTCGATGGAGGGATGTTCAAAGTAATCCGTCATGTTGAACTCTATGTCGTTGGGGTCGGGGTCAAAATCAGAAAGCGAATAAAACATATTCGTGTCCGCCAGCACGGACGAGAAGTCTGATGAATATTTGCCCAAATCATTATCGGCCGTCAGCGCAGCTTCTATCGTCAAGCTCTGAGGTGTATCGAAGAAGCCGGTGATCGCAGGTAAATTGGTGGGAGGGGCTGCGCCGTTTGCCGCGTATCCATGCTGGGGAGAAAGTCCCGCGACCTCGATTTTGTCACCAGTCAGGGAGAGGGCGCTGTGAGGGTCCTTGTCTGGAATGGACTTTGGATTCGACGGGGAAGATGAGGAGGATGAGGAGGAGGTGGAAGATTTGCTGCTGGTATCATTGCTGCTGGTACTATTGCTGCTGCTGTCGGTGCTGGTACAACTAGCCTGGTGGCCTGAGCCGTCCTCGCGTCGACGTCCCGGGCGCCTTGCAAAAAAGTACTGGCACTCGATGCCCCGAGCTTCGCACTTGGAGCACGAGGGCTTTTCTTTCGGACATTTGATCTTGGAGGCAGCACAGGACTGGCAGCTGTCTCGCAGTTTGGTGCAGCCCTGGGCGCTGCGACGGACGGTGGGTGGCGTGTGGGCGGGCACCGCTCTGCGGTCCCGCTCAGGCACACTGGCGTCCACGGTGGACATTGTTGTTGTATTTGGGCTGATCGTGCTTCGTGGCAGATTTGGCCTCAGGAGCATCTAAAAGGAATGTGCCAGTGGTGGTGGTGATGAGATCCCACGAGGAAGCCAAGGACTACGGTACGCTAGGGTCGGGGGGCCATTCCTGCCATTCCTGTTGACGTTCGTGGATTGGTGGATATGCAATTCACTCGTGTACTAATGACTCGATCTCGGACTTTAATGGCTACTACAACATCTTTCTTATCCGGGCTTTATTGACGGGATTGGCCGAAGGTGAGAGGGACGACAATGTCCAATGTAACACCTTCCTTCCTCACCACAGTACACTTTTCAGGATCGAGGGCGCTGCAGATATTTCTCGGCGCTCTGCTGGGCACAAGTGACCACTGGGACCTTGATCGTCTGCAGCAATCGCAATTGGGTCCAACAGCTTCTGGACATCGAAGGGCCGTCCAGCTTTTTGCGGCTCACATCATCCCGTCTATCGGCTGCACGAGACCAGATGACAGCTCTTCACTGCCTACTTGGAGCGTACCCCGAATCAGGAAAGATTCAGTCGCCTCCCGTCCTGCAGTTCGTGACTGAGTACTCACGTCTGATTACGCGGCTCCCTTAATTAAAAGACATAAGTACTAGCCAGTGCCTGTATTTGGCAGTTCTTCCCCTAATTTATTCCCTCCAAAAACCGACTAGACATGCTGGTCCCTCTCTCGAGATCAAGGTGTTTCGAAGCATATATTTTCATTCCATATACAGCGTAGCCTCGGGCTGCCGGGTGTGGGTTGCTAGTTCGCCAGTTCGCTAGGTCGCCGGGTGGGCGTGTTTCAAAGCCTTGTCCGTGTTGTTTTCGTTTGAAGCACGTCAGTCCAGGCGGTGGATTTTGTCATTTAGGGGGCCAATTTCCATTCTCCGCAGGCAGTCACAAAGGATTCACCTGGCGCGTGTCTTGCATCTCTAGTGCTGACGGTGCCCTCGACGCCGCTTGGGCCACGGGTCATCACTTTGCTTGACTTAAAGCTCGGTCGGACCCTCTCTCAGGATGCTAATTACTAATTGCCCCGGGGCCCCACAAAGAACAGGTCCACTAAACGTTTAAGCTCGGGGCGGTTTGTCAGCAACATCCTGAGATCGCTAGCCAACCATTAGACTGGATTTGCTCGTGCTGATTTGTCATGGCTCTTAAGTGGCACCGGTCAGTGGGCCCTGGGAACAGATCGCCCAATGAGCGAGCTCGATCTGACTAAATAGCCCGGAGCAGCTGAGGGTATAAACAAAAATTGGTTACCAGCGTACCAGCATCAATGACCTTGAATCCTGTCCAGCAAGTCCAGCGAGTTCATCATTTCAGCTCCCTCCCAGCAGTCAGCCCAACCCACGGGAAACAACAAAAGATACAAGAATTCGAGAACACGCTTCCAACATGACGACCAAAGGAGAGAGCGAGACAATGGACGGCGGCTATTCCACACCAGATATGACTGTTCAGGAGAAGCAGGATGGGAGTGATGCCGCCCCCGAGCCCGTATATGCCGAAGGCTTTCGACTAGCCGCCGTGATGGGCACGATCTTTCTCTCCACCCTGCTGGCGGCGTTGGATATTGTGAGTACCGATTGAACCCTCCCCCTCCCCTCCCCTCCCCGGTGCTGGGCCCATGCCAAAAAAAAAAAAAAAAAATGGTAGAATAACCGGATGGGGTGCTCGCTCGACTATAGGGTATCGTTGCCACCGCAATCCCGGGCATCACGGACGACTTCCACCGCCTGGACGACGTCGGTTGGTATGGAGGCGCGTGTTTCCTCCTCGTCGGCAGCTCCTCGCCGATGTGGGGAAAGCTCTACAAATATTTTTCAGCCCAGCTCGTATATCTCACCTCGGTGGTCATCTTCCTTGTGGGTAGCATCCTGGCTGCAGCCGCGCCAAACAGCCCGGCCTTGATCGTCGGTCGAGCGCTGCAGGGCTGGGGATGCTCTGGCACGCTGGGCGGCTCCGTGCTGATGATCAGCTACGTCGCAGAGCCTAAGAAGCGGCCCATGTTGATCGGATTGTGGATGTCCGTCTTTATGTTCTCCACCATCATCGGGCCACTCATTGGAGGGGCATTCACCAGCGAGGTCACCTGGCGATGGTGCTTTTGGATCAACCTCCCTGTTGGCGGTCCCATCCTCGCGCTGGTCGTACTCTTCTTCAAGGTGCCAAAGCACATCAAGCCTGTCCCCGCAACCTGGTTTGAAATCCTGCGCCAGCTCGATCTCCCAGGCTTTGGCTTGCTCCTCTGCTCGCTCATTTGCTTCATGTTGGCCCTGCAATGGGGTGGCCAGGGCAAGCCGTGGAGTGACGGCTCTGTCATCGCCACATTGACCTTGTGGGTTGCCTTGACTATTGCCTTTTTCCTGGTCGAGTGGATCCAGGGCGAGTACGCCATGGTGCCGCTGGCCCTGCTGAAGCCGCGTCTAGTGTGGACCAATGCCATGTATGGCTGGATGTGAGTAAAAAAGATCTCCACACAGCAAATCCGCGGTCGATTTGCGGAGCTAACCTCATGATTTTGTCCAGTGCCAATCTCGCCAACTTCCAGGTGCTTTTCTACCTACCCATCTATTTTCAGTCCATCCACGGCCAGTCGGCCATTGCGAGTGGCGTCAACAGTCTTCCCTTCATGGCTTTCTTCGCCGCAGGGTCCATGCTCAGTGGTTTCCTCATTGGGAAGACACGACTTCTCCAACCGTATGAACTCATCAGCGGACTACTCGCCACCGTGGGCGCTGCCCTGCTTTATACTCTCGACACCGACTCTTCAAAGGCCCGTTATATCGGCCCTCAGGTCATTTTCGGCATCGGTATTGGCCTTGGAAACCAGGTCCCAATGACTGCGCTGCAAAGCTTTTCCAAACCTGAACATATCGCGCCGACCACTGGCGTTATGCTGAGTGAGTTCCCCAGCGTCCTCTTTTCTTCGATAAACATGAAGTGCAAGTTACTGACGCTGTGAACCAGTGTGCAACTCCATTAGTGGTGCCTACTTTGTCACTGCAGCACAGTCCATCTTCGCCAACTACATGCTCAAGGAACTTGCCAGCAATGCCCCCAACATTGATCCCGCTCAGGTCTTAGGTACTGGTGCATCTGAGATTTCCCATGTCTTCCATGGCGCTGAGCTGGCTGCTATAACCAAGGCTTACATGGCGGGTATTAAGGATGTCTTTGCTTTCTCCCTTGCCGGCGCGGCATTAACTGTTGTTCTGTCGCTTCTGATTCCCTTCAAGAAGCTTCCTGATCCCGCTGCGGCTCCGGCGAAGACTGAGCAGGTAGATGAGAAGAATGATGCCACTGACTTTCCCGCTGCCTAGAAAGGGAGATTACATCAGCCGAGCTGAAAAAATGCAATTAGAGGAGGTGATACTAAATTGGAGATTGATCTGGGGGGATATTCAGAGGCAATTATTATCATTTTTTGTTATTGCGTTGTAAGACGGTTTTGCCATTACTCAGATAGGTTATAGAAGAATAATACAATCCTAGTTATAGCCCGTGCTTTGTCATACACAGTCAGAATTCTTCGTGAAGTGCTGTACCAACCCATCTCCAATAGCGTTTCGTGCGTGCATCTCATACAGCGCTTACTACAAACCAATACTTGTTCAATTCTCAGCCTACAAACTCAGAGCATGGCCTTTGGGAGGAACGAACAAGCCGTTTAGAGAAGATCAGCAATGCTCACCTAAGTAGGGATATCTTCTAAGATGGGATCAGTCATTCTTATTATCCAACAAACTCGTAATGCATAACTCGGGGCAATCAACCAGACGATGACAAAACAAGCCGACCCGCGCGGAATTAACAGACTTCCGAAGGCCGAGCATGTTTTGCGCTAGAAATAGAACTTTTTAGTTGTATATATGGCCTGAGACGGGACATCCCCGGCGTTGTTCGTAACTTCAACCCACCACTGTTATATTGCATTACGATGCCTCCAATTTCTGGTCAGTCACTCCTCGTTATTGGCGGCTCGTCTGGCATAGGTGCTGCTGTCGCCAGGCTAGCTGCTGAGCAAGGCGCCCGGGTGTCCATTGCGTCGTCCAACCCTACCCGGGTGGCCAACGCCGTCGCGAAAATACAATCACAGGCGTCAATCCCCGACACGCACATCCGGGGATACACCATTGACCTCTCCCTGCCCGACATCGAGCAACGCCTCGAGGGGCTCCTCGCCCAGATCACGGCCGACTTCCGGCTCGACCACATTATTGTCACGGCAGGTCGAGCTGCAATGCTGCCTATTACAAAGGCAGACCGGGAGTATATGCTCGGCCAAGCCCAGCTGACCATTGTCGTCCCTACCTTGCTCGCCAAACTCGCCCCACGTTTTCTCAAGCCGAGTTACACCTCGAGCCTCGTTTTCTGCGGTGGCAGGCTCGGTGAGAAGCCCATCAAGGGATGGCCGGCCGCTGCTGCGTACGCAGCCGGGCTGGACGGGTTGACTCGCGCTCTGGCGCTAGATCTCGCTCCTCTCCGGGTAAACGTCGTGCACCCTGGTGCGACGGAGACAGAAATCTGGGGGCCTACACCGGAGGAGCGGAGGGGGTGAAGGAGTTCCTTGCTTCGACGGCCTTGCTGGGCAAGGTCGGCGCACCAGAGGAGGTGGCTGAGGCGTTTGTCTATTTGCTCAAGGATTCGAATATTACGGGCACCAGCCTGCATTCAAGCGGAGGGGTGCTGATTCAGTGACTTCAGTGCAGGCTGAGGGGAAGAGCAGGGTCTGGGAGGCTAGCCTGAGGGTTATGATCTACGGACTGGTCCTTAGCCGGTTAAGATGAAAGATAACATAACATAGTAGGTAGTGAATTGATTGTGTTGAGAGACTCCACATATGACCATATAAACTGAAAATGTCGCTCATGAGGCATTTTTGGCCAAACAGTTTCATCAGCTTGGTTATTATCTGGTTTTTCCCAAATTGGTAATAACATATAGGTCTCATTTTATGTCTTTCTTCACGATGCTATTTAGTGACATCATGCATACAATAGTAACCATAAAATCAGAAATCAGCTCTAACTAACTTAGTGCTAGACAGCAAGAATCTGCTAGGTTAGCTTACATCTTGCATCTAGCAGGATTGTGTCAAGTAAGAACATTCTCCTGCCCGAAAGATGATCTGCACATGGCCATTTCGGGAGATTTTCATGATTTCCAGCGATCTATGGTGCAGGCAACTAGGTATATCCGACCAGGGCTTGATTTATCAGCTCGTGATTTGTCAATAGCCCGAGGCAACCTTATTGGTCAATGGCGACACTTGATCCAGACTGAGGTACACGTAGATCTAGCCTCAGTATTGACAACCAGAGGCCAGTTCATAGATAGAAAATACTCCCGCTTCAGGCCGCCGTCCTGATCCTGAATTACTCACTCTCTGCGTTGAGAAACTATCCCGAATTCGCATCTTACATTTTTTTTACCATCATCCGTAATGGGTCCCGTTCCATTCTACGATATCAGCATCGGCAGCTATACCAAAGCTCTCCGAGTTCTTATTCGCATTCTCAAGGTGGCCTCGAAGCACCCAGATGTGGCCACCTTTTTGGATTCCCGGCTTGCACCCGATATGTACCCACTACTACTTCAGGTCCGAATCGCTACCAGGCATCCTGTTCGTCTGGCAGAGGCCTTGACTGGAAAGCAGCTGGTCCCGTGGAGCGAGACTGGGACCAACTGGGGCCAGCTGGAGAAGTCCTGGCCAGAATTGATTGCGCGTGTGGAAAAGACACTGGAGATCCTGGCGCAAGTTGGACCCGAAGAGGCTGAGATCATGGCCGGCGACACCAAGCTACCCATGCAGATTGGCCCCGAGGAAAACGGTGCTGACGCGTTTCTCCAAATGCCCGCTGCTGAGTTCACAATGGCGACTGGCATGCCTGAAACCCTCTTTCATGTCTACATCACTTACGCGATTCTCCGGTCCAAGGGGGTCAATCTTGGCAAAAAGGACATTCTGATACCATTCCTGCCCGATCATGTCTTGAGTGAACTTCCAGAAACGCAGGCAATTTGAGTGGAGGGAGGGGAGTAAGGGCTTGGGGGCAGCCCTAACCGTCGGATGGACTGCTCTAATATAGATTCCCCCCTTCAAATAGGCTGTCATTGGACTGGGCTGACTTGGAGGATCGGTATAATGTAGCCGCCGGCATTGCTTTTCACTAGTCAAGGCCATAGAACTGGAGAAATAGTAATGAATGCTTGTTCTCATTATTTGCTTTACTTTTTGCGTTCTTCATCAATGCTGATATACTAGCGCATGAAGTGCTACATCCGGTTCAAGATCAGGGCATCACCTATTGGCCCGAGGGAGGACGACGCTTAAATCTTTCCGAGAGGCATAATCAAGTAATCAACGTGGCATGATGAAGCGCAGATAATAGACAGCAATGCAGCGATCCCCCGCTCCCTATTGGTCTCGGGCGATTCCTCCCAACCATTTTCTCAGAGTGATTACCAATACCGACGTTCATGCACGGTCTTTTCGGTAGATACTGGTTTATCTTCCGTGCGAATAACGGACTTCGGTGGTCATTGTCACCCCAAATAGCCTCGTAGACTCTGACAATAAAGTCGCCGTGTATGCATCTGTTGGGTATGCATATATTGACATATTGGACCGCTTGAACAGCCTTTTGATTTGTTGCATCTCACACAGCAGACCTTCATGAACAGTCTGCCCATCTTGTGAAGAAATTATCATGGCTTTAGGCGCGCCCCTTATCTTATCTCTTGCCGTTGTTGGCTGCTTGTCCATTTACAAGGCAGTGCTATGGTTGCTGTCAACCCGACGGCCACCAAACTATCCCCCCGGTCCTAGGACGCTTTTTGGCTTGGGGAATATTCACCAGATTCCACTGTCGTTGCCCTTCTTGAAATATGACAGCTGGGCAAAGGAGTACGGCCCCATTGTCGGGCTGAAACTCGGGCCTGAGAACATGATCATGCTGAATGACGCCTCCCTCATCTACGAACATATCATCAAGCGTGGCCAGCACTTTTCTGAGCGGCCCCCGCGGTATATCGCCCAAGAGCACATCCTGCCAGACGCGCGGAACACGTATAGTCTTTTCATGCGCAATGATTACAGCCGACGGCTGCGTACCATCACCAAACAGTTCCTCGTCGGCGCGGGACTGTTTAAGCTGGCCCCCATGCAGAAAGCTGCGGGGACGCGTCTCATCTATAACCTTTTCCAGTCCAGTGATGACTGGATGGAACATATTATGCAATGGTAAGAAGCATAATTTGAAATCTCCCATCCATCTCCAATCCGTTAAGTACTAACATAATTTCTGAAGGGGTGTATCGACGCCGGTTGCTATGCTGAGCGGAGCCCCGGTTGAAGACTTGGGTGAGAACTGGATACACGATTACCATTACTCGCAGGGCCTGATGGAGGAGCTCGTCGATCCTGCTAGTGCCCCTCCGGTCGACATCTTCCCTATACTCCGCTGGGTGCCGTCTTTCTTCGCCGAGTGGAAGCGCAAGGCGCCGCTGACACGCAAAGCTCTGCTCCATGCCTATGGAGTCATGATGAAACAGGCTAAACAGCCTCGTCATGGCAGATTCCAATCACTCATCCCCAAACTCCTCGAACAGTCCGTCGATCCATCCACTGCGCCCGACGGCCGCTTCACAGAACAAGAGATTAAGTTGATGATGGGTGGAATGCTGTATGTCAAATTTTTAAATTTTTTTTCTGTTCTTTATTCTTTTTTTGGACAGAGCCCCAGTGCTGAACAAGGATACAGAGACGCGGCCGTGGACTCTTCTGTAGTCACCTTTCAAATTATCCTTCTCGCACTGGCCGCCCACCCAAAGGCCCAGCGCCAGGCCCAAGCGGAGATCGACACCGTCTTCAAGAGCGGCACGGCTCTACCCGACACTATCGACTTGGACGAACTGCCGTATCTCAACGCCTGTGTGACTGAAGCTCTGCGGTGGCGCCCAGTGTCTCCTCTTGGCCTGCCACGAAAGGTCACAGACGATGAGATCGTCCTGGGATACCGCATCCCTAAGGGCTCGACCGTCGTCCTCAACCAGTGGTCCATCCAGCAGGATCCGGAGTTCTACGAAGACCCGGATCGCTACATTCCAGAGCGGTTCATTCAGGACCAATTTGGCGCTAGAAAGGGGATTTCACAGCTAGGACGGAAAACGCTGTACACTTTTGGCGCCGGACGCAGGGAGTGCCCTGGAAAGGACTTTTTCTTCCAAAACATGAGACTGGCATTTGTGCAGATCCTGTGGGCATTTGATATCGTCCCGACTGAGCCGTTGCATGTTGACATTCACAATGGGTTCACATCTTCTGTGGTGCTGAGGCCGAAGCCGTTCAAGGTTAAATTTGTCCCGCGGCGAGCGAATTTGGATGATATCCTGCTTGAAGAGAAGCGAAAGGCTGACCTTGAGTTCAAGGATATTCTTACCTAGGGATCGATCGAGGTGCTGTGGTGGTATCATCCTTCAGTGGTCGAATGACGGGTACTGAAAAACTTCTTCCAAGTCAAGTTTCTTGTTTACATTCTGAAGTAGTTGAAAACCCAACTAAATTTGAGAGCAAATATATGAGTTTTTTTCAAATAGTTTAAAACCTAGATTGATTGAGCCCTGCCATCTATACGTGGAAAGAGGATCTTAAGTACTGGGAGCCCGTGGGTGCGCTTGTGTCAAAATCCTGCAGTCTTTGCTTAATAGAATCAAGCTAGACCATAACTAATGGTCAGCAAAAATCTTCTCAAGATCATGCTCATCCCATCGAATCTCCGGCTTGAGCCCTGCAAACTTCCAGTTGCCATCCACCTTCCGGAACTGTGTCGTCGCCGCGCCATGGGCATGACCCTTGTAGAGCACCTCAGTCAACGAATCGTCGCTGTACTTTTGGTGGGCAACGCGCATTTGGTGATAACCCGTCACTTTGTCCCCGCTGGTCTGCACCCACTTTGAGGCTCCAATGAAGTGCTGCGTCTTGATGCGTGCGTTGCCGAGGAATTTTGGGCTTGACGCCAGCGCTACAAAGTCGTCGGCGGGCATTGATTCCCATTCCTGCCCCATGACGGAGCGGTAGTCAATCTACATTATTAGATTAGGGGGTCCATTGTCAAAGACATTTGGGAAACTGCGTACATGGAGTGTTGGGGCGATGCACTTGGCGAGACGAGTCCAGTCCTTGTGGTCATAGCTTTCGGCCCATTCGAAAAGTGCGAATTGACAACCCGCGACGTCTAAGGTATTGCCTCAGTTAGGAATGTGTCATGAGCCAGCAGGACAATCCATACCTTCATAGGTGGGCGTTTTGTAGTTGACTATAGCCATGATGCTGTGTCAGAGTATTGATTTTTTGATTCTGGGGTGATTTGACAATGCAGGTGCATCCGGTGTATGGGATTCCTGCTTAAAGTGTTTTTCAGTTTCTTCCTGGTCTCAACTCTGCGGAGGAGTAATCCTCCTGACCCACTAATTAACAAATACTCCGGCGTCGCGATCTCCCATCCAATGCCCCGAGGTCGACATCCCGAGACAAGGTTGCTGTGTCGGGCGTCGGACATGCTGGACTCCGCGATTCCGCGATGCTTACTTTTGGTAGGTTTTAAGAGGCAAAATGCCGTTGGTTGCTTCTTGATCTCTGCAAAGAGACTCTCTTCACCGTCAGATCCTGTCTTTTGGCTTTGTTACCTTCCCATTTACCCACGTCAATATGTCAACTCCCTACATTCCCGGCCGTCTTGACGGTAAAGTGGCCCTCGTCACTGGATCTGGTCGTGGAATTGGAGCTGCAATTGCCCTCCATCTGGGTCGCCTCGGCGCCAAAGTCGTCGTCAACTATGCCAACTCGGCCGAACACGCCGAAAAGGTCGTTACCGATATCAAGAGCTTTAACTCAGATGCTGTCGCCTTCAAGGCCGACGTGCGGGATGTGTCTCAGACGGCCAAGCTTTTTGACCAAGCGATTGCGCACTTTGGCCGTCTTGACATCGCTGTCAGCAACTCGGGCGTTGTCAGTTTCGGACACCTGAAGGACGTGACAGAGGGGGAATTCGATCGTGTCTTCAGCCTCAACACGCGCGGGCAGTTCTTCGTTGCGCGCGAGGCGTATCGCGTGCTTGAGGAAGGTGGGCGCATTATTCTCACCTCCTCCAACACGTCCAAGGATTTCAGCGTCCCCGAGCACTCACTTTACTCGGGCTCCAAGGGCGCCATCGACTCTTTTGTGCGCATCCTCTCCAAGGACTGTGGTGACAAGAAGATCACTGTCAACGGTGTTGCGCCAGGGGGTACCGTGACGGACATGTTCCACGCCGTCTCGCACCACTACATCCCCGGCGGAGAGAAGTTCACGGCCGAGGAGCGTCAGCAGTTGGCTGCCCACGCCTCCCCGTTGCACCGGAATGGCTTCCCCGAGGATATTGCCCGTGTAGTTGGATTCCTGGTCAGCGAAGAAGGAGAGTGGGTAAATGGCAAGGTCATCACCCTGGATGGTGGTGCGGCTTGAAAGGGATTGTTGGACGATATATATGTACTTCGCAATTATCAGTTCCCATTTCAATGTCTAGAAGCAGATGGAATATACTTCGCAATAGATCTTATTTGCACATTATCCTCGTTGTAAAATCACCCACGTGTGTTTCTACGGGGGTTTTTGATTCCGCGCAACTTCCGCTAGTTGATATGGGATTGGAGGTGGGCATGGAAAATACATATGTCAAAATGGTATATATTGATACCTTCCTACTACTAACTAGAATATATCAACCCGGACCTGTGTTCAAAGGGAGATACGGGTGTAGGAATGGGAAGAAGTGCCGTAGCAGACCCATGAAGATGCACATCGGAGTGCCTGACGGGAATTTAGCCTTTCCATTCACATTCACTACGCTCACATCCCTCATTTCATAACTGCCAGTTTCATCATCTGCTGCTTCAATCATTGCAGCGGCAAGATCTAGGTACGACAGGGGGCTGTCCTCGTCAGTGAGGCTCAGCGCATGGCCTCGCTGGATGTCGACTGACAGAGCGCCTGGCTTGATGAAGATCGTCGTCAGCCAGTCCTCCTGGGAGCGAAGAAGCTTCTCGGTTTCGATCAAGTCATTGTAGACATGCGATGCCGAGCGGAGCAGGATCGTTCGGAGCAAGGATGGGACGTGACGAGAGAAGTGGTCATCGATGGTAGCCGACGACAGGAGGATCAATTTGGGCAGTTGTGGACTGTCTTTTCCCTCGCTTTCCCCCAAGCTCTGCTTGAGATTCTGGAGTGATGCAACGACGGCTGTAGCTGTGTCTTGCGCGACGCGACAGCCAGGGATGTTATCGTTTGTCGAAACAACCAGAAACACAGCCTGGCAGTCGCGCAAGCATGAGGTCAGGAGCTCGACATCATCGATGCTTCCTGTAAAGATCTTGACACGTCCTCCTGGTTTGACGTCAGGCAGAAGCCGAAGAAGCTTGGATTGGTCGCGGCAGTATGCGTGGATGTTAACACCTTGCTTGTGGAGGAGGTTCTGGATGAGTGCCCTGCCGCAATTTCCGGTCGAACCCAGGACGGCGTACGTCTTGAAAGCCATACTGTGCTCTCGTTACTGCTCACATAGAATTTGGTAATAGTATTGCCAATATATGCTTGTCTCAGTCTTAAAGAAGGCAGCTGACCTCGGCGTGTCGGCGTATAGGGATAAGTACTAGTTTCAATGCTACTCTCCGTGCCCCGCCTAGCATTCATTTATCCCATGAAACATTTCGGGGTGTCGGGCAATTTTGCACCAATTCTTGATCGGCATTGCAATTCTTGATTGGCATTGAGCTTAGTATTGAACTTGAACTGAGAGTACTATCTATTGAGAAACTTGTAATGCCAACTGTTCACTGCTACTGGAGTACCCCCTGGTCTACCAGATACTTTTGGAATTTAGGAAAGAAGTGTTGGTAGAATCCAGAGTCCACCATTTCTTCCAATTGCTTCACCTTCAAGCCATCCTTGGTCAGGGACAGGAAAATGGCATACTCGTTCGTCCATTTTTCCCCGGGGATAGGCGTGTCTGCGGATGAGGTCGCATAGACTGCAGCTGTGGCATTCGCCGTGTCGTGGACGATATGTTTGATATCCAACTGGCTCCATGGATTAGTTTCGTGTTGATATGAATTTTATTAAAGCAATGTGCAGCCTACCTTCCAGTTGGTGAGGTTATTCACAAGCTTGGGGTAGAAGAACTCGGCGTGGCCTCGGGTCCGGCGTGGCTGCTGCAGCGACAGAGGGAGAAGCTGCTGCTCAAAGTCGTCAGACCAGAGGTTTATAGTATCTTGAGCGTTTCCATTTTCCCATGCGGCCAAAAATCTGTCAATGGTCTCTCTCTGGATATGGACGGGAGCAGACATGGTGATGTTGTTGGTAGATGGTGAGTAGTGTCGTGTCAAGCGAGATGGAATGCGTCGAGAGGACGCCGGGCACCTTTCGGGACATATATATATATTTATATATCTACATAATATCTGGCTATACATACACTTCGGGCCATTAATCCGGACAGTCACAGTGTCGGAGAAATGGATGTCCGTCCTAGTACTAACGCGCCGTCGATTTGCTACGCTCTGGCCACAAATGGGTACTCTTGGTATAGACACATAACGCAGTTGCTTGTAACCAGTAGAAACAACGTATTATCAATGCTTATTTCTTTGTTGCTAGGATTATGGAGACAGGGAAATATCCTTCGACAGGTCTCCCGTCAGCAAGTAACTCGTCCAACTCCTTGTAAAAGTCTGTGAAAACATCGGGAAACTGCGATATGAAAGGAAACGACCCAAAGTGCTCCTTGACACCTGCCAGGTCGGTTTGGAATATCCATCCATCCATTTTTTCATTTTTCCTGGTGTCTCCCACGGCGTAGTCGGGTTCATTGTTTCGGTGTGCGAGTTCTGGGGGCAACATGCCTTGGATGCCACCATGTTCCATGTTCACATATAGCCGTATTCGGTCCACGAAGATGTCTTCATCAAGAGGGGCAACGTTGTACGTGTCTTCAGTCCGCGCCATTACCTTGATGATCTGGTCCGGATCATCAGACCCTTTGAGAAGCTCCCTGCCGCCTTGGTGGCTGACTCGTTCCCACAAATTCTGTATTTTTGGGTCCCGAAAGCGTGCAGGACCAAAAATTGATGCCACAAAAGTGCCACCCGGGCGCAGCTGACGTGCAATTTTTGCCATGGCGTCGTACTGAGGGTCTGCGAAATGCATCACGTTTGCTGCAAACACCATGTCCACGCTGCTGGCCGCAATGTCCTCGACTTCGTCCAGCGCGGCTGTCCGGAAACTGAACCCTTCCTGGTCCTTGAGACGTTCACTGGCGAGGCGAATGTTCTCAGCCACAATGTCCGACACTATGACATTGGCGAAGCGAGAGTGTAGTCGCTGGGCGTAGAGCCCGTTGCCGGCGCCTACATCGTGAACGGTGCCGAAATTGCCGCCTTTGCTCTGGTGGTAGCCGAATATGCAGTCCCAGAAGGCCTTTGGGACCTGTGGACGCCCCCGAGAATAGTTGTCCCAAAATTCATCGTCTTGAGCAAAGATCTTGCCGGGGGTATCCATGGCAGGTGGTGGTGGGTGTGCCAAAGAAGCCATCGCATTCGAGATGTTAGATAACAAGGGAAAGCTATCTGGTGAGCCTTAAGGGGCCATAAAGCTGTAGCGTTCAATAATAATGACCAAATCACCATCAGCCTCATCTTTTGAGGGGAAATGCCTAGTTGCATTACCAATCTACCCCGAAGTAGACACCAGTCGGGACAATTAATGCGGTCCGGAATAATACGGGGGAAAGCTGCATCGGCATAATCAAAATCCATGTCCAAAGCAAAGAAAGATTGACCAAAATCTAATTCTATCGTAATAGGATCTTTCAGTCTATTGAATCGCCATTTCGCACCGCAAAAAGAAGAGCATGGAGCGCGTCCATATTGTGAACGAATTTTATGCTTCTTAATCCACAAAGCTCAACTACTTCATTAAATACAACAGTTAACTAGAATCACAAAATATGTCACTATTTAGTCAGAAGTATTTCCCCAAATCAGTTTTCCGGCCTACCTCATCAATTAAACATATTCTCTAAACAGTTCACCACACCACCATTTTCTTACTGGAATTATATACAATTACTTCTAGTAATCAATATCCATCTGGCGCACAGAACTGTTTCTTAGTATTTTGAAGACCTACCCTAAGATTTTTAATCACAAGTAATTGTCTCGTCGCCCTTTATACTAACACCTTGATTTTTACGTAAAGTATTACTCACCATAATTCTGGTACATACCCCTAAAGGTACTATTAAATATTATTATATCTTCCTCTTTAAATAGGCTTTAGATATACATTAAAAAGTCGTTGTTTTAATAACGTGTAAATGATGTTGAAGGGGGTGAAAAGCTCAGTGAATGCTTCGGCGGGTCCTCCATATTTATATATAAACTTTCAAACCGCTCTGTTGTCACTAAAAAGCTATATAAATCTTTACATTATTTTCTCAAAATACTTCTCTAGAATCACGGACCAAAGTACAATCTTTTGAAGCGAGCCCGCTCAATACTGAGTGGTACATACCTTCCCAAAAGTTGGTTGTTGGGTTGACCCTACTGGACCCGCATTTGGGGAATTACTCACGGTCCCCATTGTAAATCAGATAACAGAAAAATTCAGACTCAATTTGACTCATCTAACTGTAATACTCGTCAAGCCACTCGCGCAAATCTCCAATAGTCTCATAGTCCAAGAACAGGCTCCCACTGACTTTAACGTCCAATTCCGTCCTGAAATTTTCCGAAATTACCAACGACATGAGACTGTCAATGCCCAAGTCGGAAAATCGAGCTCCATCCTCCATATCAGAGGCTTCTAGACCGGCCTCCCTCGCAATGAGCAGGATGGCTCTGGCAGAGATGCTGCCAGATGCAGCCGTAGCAGCAGCATTGTTGGACTGTCCAGCGGCAGCGGTGGCTACAGGTACAACGCCCTTTGACGGAGCTGGCGTAGCGGGCATAGCGCTGGCTGGCTTACTAGAAGGAGATTTGCTCTCCTCATCATTGCGTTCTGGGCCAGAAGCATGTCCATGGACAGTCGTCTTTGGCGCTGGTGGTGGCGCTGCTGACAATGAAACAGGAGCTGGAGAAACAGTGGGATATGGCTTGCCTTCAATCGCAGCCATCTTGTCCGGTGGTGAGAAGAAGCGTTGAAGCAGAATGCGAGGATAACGGCGGAACTGGATGCCATTAACCACACCAACGATGATGTCGTCGTGCATGACATACACGTCTCCGAAATAAACCGTTGGATCCTCAGCTGTTGGAATCATCTTGACATAGGACCGATACTTGGCTCCCGGGGTAAGCGGTTTTGCAAATCGCATTGCGTTCCAACCAGGAGTCACGCAGTAGTAGTTTTCTGCGTCCATGCTATCAGAGCAGTTCATGATGAACCCAGCTAAGTGTGCCACACTGTCAATAAAGTATGGCGGAACAGTCCAGACGCCGCTTTCCTTTGTGGTAAGCTGGATATCTGCAAATCCTTCAAGTTCATGCATTACTACCGATTGCATGCCGCGATACTTGTCAGCGTAGTTCACCAAGTTGCTGGCGAAGAGGGTGTAGGCCATATTACGGGAAAGGCGGTTAGCTTTTCCTTGTGCTGCCAGGTCCTCAAGCACAATGATCCGGCTATGGATGAGGTGCGCAATAGGAGCCCAAGACAAGAGCCACTGGGACGAATCTTCATAATAAATATTGGCTGTGGCAAATGGCTCGTCGGCGTTGCCATCGTTGTCCACGTTTTGCCATGTCAAATCGACCACACCTGAGTGAATATCGGCAGTGGTGGCAGTCACACGGAACAGCTGAGGGATTTTCGTGTTTGTCTGAGCAACTAAGCCCTTGGTGACGACAAGATTAGCAATGTTGATGTTGATATTCTTGGCTCGTGGATTCAGCTTGCGGTGCAGATAGCTGCCAAGGGTGTATGCAATATCGGCATGGATGGACTAAATGAATCAGAATTAGCAAACTGTCTGGCCAAATTTCGACTGCCAACAACCAAATTAGAGACCCCTAAGCTTAGCTGTGATGCATGGGTCCAATGCCATTACCGCCGAGTCTTTCTTGTGTTGAAAGTAGGGGGGATATTTTTGTAGATCGGGAATCAACTTACCGATGTGACCACACCACATTTATTCATGCTGTGCCCATGAGCTGCCGCCAGGAGATCAGCCTGCATAAGGTCTGACTGCATGACTACTGTACCAGTAGATTCATTGAAAGTCTCCTCTATGATCTGCTGCACCGTCGTGGTCTGAATCTCGCTGGCCGGCAGCACATTTGGTGCAGCCTTAGCACTGGCAGCTTCCTTATCGGTGTTATAGAATGTATTCCCCTTGGTTAGGCACCAGTCACCTTTATACTGGAGCCAGTAGTTCTTTTCGTTCCACGCATATGTTGGCAGGTCGATGAGGCGGAGCCTACGCTCGAACGGGCGATGGAACTCGCTCCAGCTAACTTCAATACCAGCAAGGTGTAAAGCAGCCATACTCTCAGCCATGGTTTTCCAGTTGTTCTCGCCGCGGCGGAAAGATGGGATGGCCAGCTCAGCGGATGGTATGGTATTTTTGACGAAGTTAGTGCAAACAGGATGCGGCCCGATTTCAACCCAGATAGTCTCATTGCTTATGCTAGAAATTCTCTGTGCGTTCTCCAGAGCAGTCAGAAAGTCAACAGTCTGCCTGGTAGCCTGGCGAACGTAGTTTGCATTCAGGGTCTTGCCATCAAAAATAACTTTGCCGAGCAGGGGAGAGATGACTGGCACCTTGGGATCCTGGAAGATGACACCGGTCGTGACAACGGCCTCAAAGTCGTCCAAAATAGGGTCCATTTGGTCTGAGTGGAAAGCAAAAGCAACGTCTAACTTGATACAGTGGTAACCGGCCTTCTGAAGTGGGACTGCAACGTCATCCATCTGGTCTTTAGTACCGCTGAGCACTGTATCTGAAGGGCCATTAACACAAGCAACTGTGTATGGCTTGCCCTCTGAGCACGTCTCTATCTGGGCAACAGCAGCGCGAACGGCCATCATGGTATGGCTGCCAATCTTGCACTTCTCTTCCAGCATCTTAGCTCTGCGTCCCACCATGAATATGGTATCACTGGCCGTGACAACTCCAGCAATGTGCATCGCAGCGTACTCGCCCAGGCTATGGCCTATGACCACGTCTGGCTTGACTCCGAGAGAAATCCAGTATTTGGCCAGAGCAATTTCAGAACACACCAGCGCAAGTTGGGTAATGGTTGCAGAGTGAGCATGGTCTTTTGCGTGTGACCCATCAAGAGCTGGAATGAAAGACGGGAAGCCCTGGCCCTGAGCGATTGAGTCAAGGTGCTGAATATGCTCTCGGAAGATAGGGACATCGTGGTATAACTCTAAATTCATTGACTTGTGTGACGCGCCTTGGCCAGTGAAGCTGAATGCAACCGGCGGAGGGCCAGATTTTCCAACAGGTCTGATTAAATCAATCTTCGCCAAGGAGGAGCTCAGGTGCTTTTTCAAATTCTCCGTGGTAGAGGTAGCAATTGCTACGCGATGAGTGTGATGGTAGCGACGAGCAGTTGTAGTATACGACAGGTCAGCCAGATTGATATCTGGATTTGCATCAAGATGGGCAATCAGGCGCTCAATATTTCCAGCCAGAGATGCTTTAACCTTGGCCGAGACAGCGACGATGTACGTCTTGCGCGGATCCGTTTCTGTGATTTCTCGAGCCGGCGCCTCTTCCAGGACCATCATTGTGTTTCCACCAGCAGCGCCAAAGTTGTTGATCACAGCCAGGCGCTTCTTTCCAGGGATTTGCGGCCAAGGCGTCATTTCCATTGGGATATGAAGATTGCGTTTATCAAAGTCTTGGGGGAACTTGGGATTTATCTCTGTCTTGATTCCAATATGTGGCGGGATGGCGTTCTTCTGGAACATCAAAAGTACCTTGAGTAACGCAGTCGTCCCTGCAACAGACTCCCCATGGCCGACATTTGCCTTGACGGCGCCAATATGGAGCGGCTGGTCCTTACCACGACGCCGGGTGAGCGGGGCATACACCTCCATAATACCCTTCATCTCCTCATGATCCCCCGCTTGAGTACCAGTGCCATGGAGCTCAACGTAGGACACGTCCAAGGGATCCACACCAGCCTTTCGAAGTACCTGCCGAGATAAGTAGGCTTGGTGGCCAGCATGGGGGTGGGTAATGGAGACTGCTTCTGCTGAATGGTTTGTACCAGCACCAAGAATAACACCCAGGATGTTATCATTATCAGCTTCCGCGTCGTCGAGTCTCTTTATTACCACAGAGCCAATACCATCTGCACGACAGTATCCGTCAGCGGTGCTATCCCATGTCTTACAAGCGTTATGTCCTTTGGTGAGGAAGTGGCCGTTGCAAAGTCCTGTGAAGCCATCAGGATTTGTCAAGACGTTGACACCTCCTGCAACAGCGGTATCCACAGCGCCATTCCAAAGCGCCTGACAGGCGACCTAAGACTCATTGTCAGTATTTTGGAATCCAAGATCATGAAGATCAATATGAACGATATGTACCTCAATCGCCGCAAGTCCGGAGGAGCAAGCTGTATCGATGCTGTAACTGGGTCCAGCAAACTTAAAGAAGTAATTGATACGGCCCGGACCAAAAGCGCGGCAACCACCTGGAATATAGTAGGTGCCAACTTCCTGACCTTGATTCACTTCACGGTAGTCGTCCGCAGCTTGGCCATAGAATGTACCAATCCGCTGTAACTGCGTGGCGGCAGTGCGGTTACCAACATAGCCTGCACGTTCCAGCGCCTCATAGGCCGTGACAAGAGCAAGACGCATTTGTGGATCAACAGCCTGGGATTCACGGGGGGACATATTGAAGAAAGGCGCATCGAATAAACCAGGCTCATCAATAAAGCAGCCATACTGGGTCATAGTTTTGTTGAGCTGCTTGCCGGTTGGATCGTAGTGCGTGTCAATGTCAAACCGATCAGCCGGGATTCGACGGGAAACGTCCAACCCTTTCTCTAGTATCTCCCAGAACTTCTCAGTGTTTGTCGCGCCTCCAGGCAGCCTGCAAGACATGCCGACGATGGCGAGCTTAGCCTGTGCCGGGCTGCGTGGGGCAGCATCTCCGGGTGTGACTTGCGTGAGCCAGGTCATCAGATTGTTGATTGTGACTTGAGGGCGTGTAATGCTACTCTTGATGGCAGTCGTCAAGTCGTTGAGAGGAATAGAGTTACCAAAGCTGTACATAACCAATTCCGAGGCAAGAGTGGTCTCGAGTCTCTCGACCACGCTATATATGACATGGTCCCAAAAGATTGCTTTAGTAAGGAGTTCTGAAATCACAGCTTCAAATAACTCTGTGGCATTCTTGGCTCGGTAGTATTGACCAGTGCTGGTGGAGTAGATTGGTATCCCCGGCCACGACTTTGTCAGAACTGTGTTCAATGAGCTGCCATTGACGATACACTGCGTATCCTGCAGGCTGTAGATATGGGGCGCATGGCAGAGGCCGCCGTAAACTGGAATGGGAATGTACTTTGACTCGCGGAAGAACTCGGACGTGACGAATAGCGCCTTTAACCGCGCTGGTGGTCCGCTCACTGTAACAGACGTCCGGCTGACAGCGCTCACAAAGATCTTCCCGGTGGCAGGAATCTCGTTACGAGCATATATCGTATCGAGCTCTTTTTGAAGGACCGCAGGTTCGACATTATGAACGACATATGCCCAGGTATCTGGACTCTCTGACAGCTCACGGGCCTCCAAGTTTGCAGAGACACCCTGGACATGAATGCCAAGGCGGAAAGCCAGCCGCACCGCATCTGCGCCCGCCTGTGGCAAGTCTGCCAATGTCGAAGACAATGAAATAGCAGTCGATGCTAGTATGCCAAGGCCAAGGCCAGCAAGGCTCGTGTTTGCCAAGTCACTTAGATCTTCAGGACGGCTCTCTGCATATCTGATAGTTAAGGGAAGTTAGTCACCACCATGTCAAGCTGCAAGCTAATCGGACATCAACTCACCCAATGTAAGTTGCCAGTTGAACTGCAATAAGCAACACTCCGTCTACGGCGCCACAGATCAAACCTTCACGAAGTTCTGTGTTCTCAACCCAGCTGAAGATGGTCTCGAACGGTGAGATTAGATCTTTAAGCTCCGTCGGTAGCTGCCGAACTTCATCCTTGATAGCCCAAGTGGCCTTTGATATGAAATCGGCCAATATCGGGTAACAACTCTCCTTACTGTGGTTGTGCAGGCGACGAAACACGCCTTGTAAGTCATCTTTGGAGAACTCGTTGCTGAAGTATACAAGCTTCAGCTTCTGGGTGTCCCGGTCGGGCTCTGAGCTTGGTGTGCTAGTATATTCGGGCGTCATAGCTGATGACCAATGCCGGAGACAAGACGATAACTGGTCCTGACGGGAAGGTTTTTGTGGATAAGTCAATCTCTGGTCCTGGTGAATATAATGAGAGCCCTAGACCTTGAGAGACTGGGGGAAGGGCTGGGTTAGGAGAACGCATAATAAACTGGCTGCTCCAGGGTGTTGAGCGCGGCCTATAGGGCATATCAGCGAGCTGTCGATGGCTTCGGGGGGTGCAACAACCACCGATCTCACTCAGCCCCCAAATCATTATCGCTCCGCGATTCACCCGGCCCCGAAATGCCCGTCCTTCTTCCCGACTGATACGATCCGAGGGTAGTTTTTGGATTGATCAAAGCGAGGTTGATCTCTTACGATCCGCCTAATTCCATGCTGATCTGAGAGTAGCAACGCTTCGCTCAAGTAGACCCTCGGTATATTGTCAATTATTGTCCAACTACAGTCAACTCCCACTTATGGTACGGCGGGTTATAGAACACTCCCGGTTATAGTACACCATCCGCTTGGATGAACCCACTTTTCCGGGTGTTCCCATACAAAACGCTATATAATGAAGTACCTAATTGATAATTCTCGTAATGATAATATGGTATAATTTGATCAATTTTTAGACTATATTCGAGGAGGATATTATATCCAAAGATGAATCCTATGGGTATTATGTCATCCTCTCACTTATTGTACCTCTCACTCATTGTACACAATTTTCTTTGGATGGTGGGGTGTACTATAAGTAGGAGTTCACTGTATCAGCATCGCTGCTCTTGCTTTACGCTGGCTGGTTGGCTGGCTGGTATTGTCTAATTACCGCTGTCTCTCTCTCGGTCTAAGCATAGCTGAACCGACTGCTGTGTCGGCTCCAGGGGGTTTTATGGATTTCAGTAGGATCCTACAGTATTATTATGTATTCCGTTCCAGTCTCCGTGGCCCTTTTGCACCAGCTGTACCTTGCTTTCCTCTGAGACGAAAATTCGCTCCCCATCTGACAAGTAGATCTGACGGCATGCATTAGTGTAATACTGTTTGTTCTGAATACCAAGAGTTATGATTCTTTGTTCATTCAGCAGAAGTAATTAGGGAGCTATAGTTCATAAATATTGAAGCCCGGACAGCCAACTTGGGGACTTTTTGTCCGAGACTTGCAGTTGTTTCTATTTTTTGGCCTATCTCATCTATGCACCCAATCATTCCCCCTGTACATCCTCATTCCACTCCAACGGCCGATTGGCTAATTATACTCGGCACTTCTCATTACTAAGATGTGCGGGAGCGGAGTCTGTGTGGCTTCTGGCGAGGGCTTCAGAAAGATGAGGAAGGGCTTGAGGCCTTGGTGGTTCCAACCCCTGGATCAGTTGCAAACATCCGATTTATGGTGCTGCTGATTGGATCAACAGAGGACCCAGCACTAGCAATATAAAAATGTTCCGGATGTGCATTCCCTGGCTTTGTCCGTGTGGGTGCTCGTAAAGAATCTTGGTATCCGCGATGCCTGCCCATGTCCAGCATAGGAGGAATATGCCCAACGCCTTTCGCTCCCCTAACAACGTCAAGATCCAGACAAAGATTCCAGCACCAAGGTTACGACCTGTCGCAGAAGGAAACAGAACAACATTCTCCGAGGTTGCAGTCGGAAGGCCAAAGAATTTTGCCACTAGGTCAGGCCAGTTAATGGTGATATTGGGGGTTGGGGACGAAAGAAGCTAGTTGTTGCGCACTTACAGCGAAGAGGATCGATAAAGGTTCCTAATACACCAGAGTAAATAAGGAGTGAGCCGATGATGGCCGTGGCGGCATCAAGGAAGTATGAGTAGAGCAAAGCTGGGCTTATTGCTGACATGTTCGATCTTTGAGAAAATATTTGCTCTGTGCAGAAATATCAATTTGGGAGCAGACGCGTACTATTCGTTTCGGCTGGTTAAAGTATAACGCAAAAGGGGGTGGGGAAATCAAAGCCGTACCAGATATATCATTTCGTGAATGCTCCGATATCACCGAATCCTCGGGGGTGCAAGGCTTTCTACATCGTGTCAGCCGGGGTAATTGAAGGACCCTACTTAGAATTTCTTCTTTACGCTGCGCCACGACACGTTCCCCCCAAAATCTCTCGGTCCTCTCCGATGCCGGAATTCTGGAACAACCCGGTTGCTAGATTGCGTCAGGTTTCTAACCAAATTCAGCCATTATCCATGGGATGGGTTTTTGAAGCCTGAGAAAATGGTATTTTACCCACGAAGGGGATATTATGTCATACTTCGACATGTTAAAATTAACCAGCGGAAAGGATCTATCTAGGCTAGGGAGGTTAAGAGCCCTCGGTCACTTTAAAAAGCGATGAAGGTTTTGGACTTCAAATCGTGCCTTATCTACGAATTTGTCGTGAAGTATGGCTTGTCGCATATCAAGGTGCTCAAGCAAGCAATCATCGCCTAGTATAACCGGATATCTAGAGTCAAACGATAAAACTAGGACCGGCTTTGACAACTGGCTGCGCGACTATGAAGTGAGTAGATTTCATTTTTGTTCTCTGACAGACGTAGAAGAGGATAAGTTCTATCTAACTTGAATTGGCCTCATCGCCCTCCCCAGCTACATTGGGACGAACCTGCTCGAGGCCGCCGGAGATGGGCGAAGTCCGTTGACGGCACGGCAGGCGGTGTGGCAGGCCTGGCGTACCAGTTCCCATTTTCTATCCTCAAGGACTATTAGCAGTATCGAGGGTTGACGATTGGTCCAGTCCCAGCGCGTTCTTATATCCAGCTAGTGCTCGCATATACATCTCCTCCGCCTTATCCAGGTTGCCTTGATCATGGTAAAGAATCCCCAGATGGTAAATAGTGTCAAGGGTGGACATATGGTCCGGTCCTAGCACTTTCTCGCTCTCACCCAGCGCCCGCTTATACATCTCTTCCGCCTGATCCAGCTTGCGTTGGTCACGATATATGTTTCCCAGATTGTGGGCAGTGTCAAGGGTTAGCGGGTGATCCGGTCCTAATGCTTTCTCTCTCCCAGCTAGGAGCTGTAAAGACATTTGCTCCGCTGAAGCAAGCTGACTTTGCTCTCGAAGTAGTATTGAGACACGCGACACCTTATCGAATCGATCAGACCTAGAATTGGAAATTATATCCTCTTTGAGGACAAAATGTGCCACTAGCCGTGTTGCATGACCAGTGTAGCGAGAGAAAGCGACGTAACCAAGCAAATCCTCGTCAACCCCCTCAGTACACGAACTAACGCAGTCAAAGGCAAACCAGTAATTCTGTATATCGATATTCTTGTTGAGCGCTGCTAACGCCCAGCTGTGGATACAATTGTCCATGCTCCATGGCCCTGACGGCTCATCAACTCCCAAAAAGGAGTACTGGGTCAGGATTTCCATTGTTCGGCGGAAAGTCAGCTCGCTTGCCAGCACTATACGAAGCCAAGTAGGAGAATCATCTGAGAGTCCGGCGTGGAAAAGCCCATACCAAAGTCTTTGGTTATCGAAGTATGCTAACAATCTCAGTAGCTTCGCCGCATCAGGGTGTTCCGTTTTCAGATGAGTATATGACAAGTTCAAGGTCGTGTAGAGCCTGCGCCCATAATCTTCAAGTTGGATGGGACGGCCGGCGTCAGTATTCCAGTGCTTCTCATATTCTTGCAGATAGCGCTCAAAGGTAAACCCGGTTCGCTTTAAATAAGTACCAGCAGTGACCAAAACGAGGGGCAGGCCATCAAGTCGCTCGGCGAGACGCAATGCAGAAGGATCTAGCAGCAATATTAGTTTATCTTTCGTTCTAGACATAGTTAGTGACAGACCAGATTGAACAATTTCTCTCTTTGATCGAGTTTGCAATACGGCGAGGCCATCTGCGATGTTCAAAGGCTTGACATTCAGGGTACTCCCAGAAACCAGATTCAGCCGTCGGGTGGTAACCAATACAGCCCCCTGAGGAGCAGGTGGGAAATAGTCACTTATCGCAAATTGGCTAAAGCCATTGTAGTTGTCATAAATCAAGAGCCATCTGGCATTTCTTAAATCAGAGAGCCACAGATGTAGACGTTCCACAATTTCTTCATCATCCAAGATCGCAGAATCTTGTACAGAGAAGACGAAGGAGGCAACCGTTCGAAAACTGTCTTTCAGCGCAGCCTCAGATGCTGCATTCAGCCAAAATACCGAGGTATAAGATTCGCGATAGGAGTCTGCGTAAGCAATAGCAAGTTGGGTCTTGCCGACGCCTCCCATTCCACCGAGAAATAGGCGCTGTTGCTTTCTATGGGCGTAAAGTGGCTGTAGAACTTGTGCGATTTCACTAAGCTCAGAGCAACGACCGACGAAGAGTTCCGGAGCAATATAAGGCGCCTGACCGAGGCAGACGCCAACGCCGCGAAAACTAAAATTTTCCTTTTGCCTCATGGTGACTAGAGAGGACTATCAGCTGACAGACATCACTGGCATTGAATACACAACAAAAGGTACTGGAAGAGAGACTGAGGGGGTTTGATCGGCATGGGTGGTGTGTGTATAGGAGGTAAAACATAGTCATAAGGGAAGATGTCTTGAGTTACAACCCGTGTACAGCCTTAACGCTCCGTCTTGCCCCCATCTGTGGACTGGACGAGCTAATGCTAGTCTGTAATAAAGGAATATGTTCAATTATGTCGGGTCCTTACCGAAATTTAAGTTCAGGTTTCTGACAGACGCGTTGTTGTTGATGTGCTGGTCATTGCCGCTGTTCACATTGTTTATCTGCGTTGCTCCTCCGCCGCTTTTGAGAGCCATTGGGGAGCTTCCTCTGTCAGACACTGAATAGATTGATTTCATCTCTTTGATAATATTATCAAGGTCCAAGTTTTGTCGCGCATTCGCAGATTGGACCGCATGGTGGTTAACAATAACTTGGACGGTTTCGGTAATGGATCCCAAGAGCTCTTCGACCTTATTTCCTTTGCCGAGTCTCCGGAGGATTTGTAAATATCGCTTTTCCCATATATCGCTTTCACCTGGTATGGTTTTCTCAAAGATCCCTCTCAAATTCGATGCCTTTGCACCACAAGCGTCAATTTCCATCTCTAAGGCTAGACAGACATCGCCATGTAATGAGTCCTTCCTCAATTTTAGATGACTTTTGCATGTTTCAAGGATATAGAGAAGGATTGGGAGCCGGCGGCGGATAACTTCGAAGGTTGTAGATAAGTGAATGACATTGTGAGCACTATCGTAGATCTTGATCGAGGCGTCGAGAAGGGAGATGACCGCAGAGATGCCACCGATCACTTTTAAGCCCGACATTCCGGGAGGACTATAGTATGCGCTAGGGGAGCAAAGAGACCTCCTCGAGCATCAATATGTAAATCAGGCGGTGGTACTGGCCCGTATATTTGTAGTTAAATCCGGATCTCGGAATCCGAAGCGCGAGATACGCCGGCTTAAGTAATGAGGGAGAATAGGGTGTCCCCCATATGTCTCGGTCACCTTTTTGCCATTCGCCTACAACCAGCTATCTCAACCACCCGACATGACTAAATTTTCCAGGTTTGACAAAAGAAAGGGAGCGTGCGTGTCCAAGGTGTAATCTGTTTCGAATTTTGCTGTTTCCTCAATATGTTACAGAAATGTGCAACTGCCGATATTATACCATTCGGCCTTTTTACCTCATTCAACCCATCTTTGCCAACCTCCCGACAGCAAGCCTTTTTTAAGCTATAAATAGCACTTCCGGGGTTTTATAACGATTTATTGTTTCGGGCGAATGAACCTGTGGGGAACCCTGAATTCCTCCGTATTATCAGGCCTATAAGAGTGTACAAAGATATAGGCTAGCGTCATCGGTATGTGTGTGCTCAGAGATCGAAGTTGTCTCTAATGGACACCCCAAGGCGCATCAAATATGAACAAGAGAAAAACATTTAACCAAGTTAGTGCAGTCATGGGATATCGTTAGCTCTATTTAACCCTTTAGATTTTGGAACAATCAGGATCCGAGAATGAAGAGAAAGAGGATAATGAAGACATAAACCACCTTTCCAAAGAAATATACAATGTCGATTGTTGGAGGATCGCAGGGAATCAGAACAGAACCAACGTAACAGAGACTAACTGTATGGAATATACTGGATAGCCAACTCAATGTAATTTTCTTTCGGATCAGAATAGGTATTTACATATTAGAAAAATGAGAAAATGAAAAAAAGAACAAAAGGAAGAAATTATTCCTCGCATGTTGTAGACTTAGAAAAGGCTACGGGGGAAAAGCTCACACTAATTTGGCCCCCAAATCACCCAGAACATCATGGACTCCTATTGGTCCGTTCGCAAAATAGATTACAAGGACTGAATGTATAGAGCATGAACTTCATTTAGTAAATCGAGACATCCGGCTATCCGAGTCTGACCATCCTCGGAAGAACAAATATAAAATGCTCAATCCCAGCACTCACATTTCTCGATAAACCAAACTCATTCAACACGTCAAACCCTACCTATACACAACCTGTCAATACCAGACCTTGAAAGGCCAACCTTGAAGGCAACATGACCACCAATCTAAATACAACCCTTCTACTTCAAATCCTCCCTTTAGCAACCAGTACCGCAACTCTAGCCCACGCCCTTCTAGAGCTCCATACCACCAGCGCATTCCTGATCCCCAACATTCGCACGGCATCTAACACCATCCTTCCAACATGGTTTAGACGCGTCTTCAACCGTGCGGTCATTACAGTCGTGGGATTGAATATGACCACTATCGTTACTGCTGCGACGACCTTATATCTTGATTCCTCGAGGAACGAATTACGGACCACTCGGTTCTATTGGATGGGAATTTTGGGTGCGATTGGACATTTGGCCTTTGTACCTCTTGTTGCCGGGCCTGTGAAGCAGGTTGTTGATAATCAGAATAGACGGGAAAAAGGGAAGGAAGGTGATTCGGCGAGTGCGTGGATGGCGAAGTGGGTTGGTGTGCATCGGGTGAGGATGTTAGTAGCGGATTTGCCTGCTTGGATTTCATTTCTTGGGGCCGTGTTGACGCTGTGACCTACTACAACCAGACTGAGGGGACCTTATATTTGCAGAGATAAGATAAAAGAATGTATGCAGTATGATAGATGCTGACAAAATTATGAATGCTCGCTATAAAGTCAAACAGGGCAAAAATGCGAGGGTAGTGATATTATATACAGATATGTAAAAGATCGGACTTTCAGAGATTCATGCAAGGATTGTCATAGATAGCAGCCGTTACAGACTGAAAATAGCACTTCGCTTCTTTCCTTGAGGATACACAATCAGTGCAGCGACGAACAGACCCACGGAAATACCAATGGCCGTTTGGATCATTCCATAGCCCAAGGAAGTCAGCGAGCTTTCATTAGTGGCACTGCTTGCGGTGGAGGCGGTCCCATTAGCGACCTCTTCGGCATATTGCAAGCCGGAAATAATCGACCCGGAAGATGCCAGACCAGATGGCACCAGAGTGAAGATACCCGGGATGATAGCAGCGGCGGCATGACCATGCCATATACGGCTGTACAAATTAGCCAGTAGGCCAATAGTGAAGGCACCGACTGTATTGGCGACTTGGTTGGAGCCGAGCTTTTTAGTACTGAAGTAATTGGTTACGTAGCCGCAGACTCCCAAAAAGACCGTCACAGGCAGCTGTTTAGCCTTGGACTGGTTGAGGAGGGCGGCGAAGAGACAGAAGAGTGCGACGAAGGGGAAGTGCTGGATATACTCGTTGCCCCAGTCTTCGCTCGCGCCAGAACAGGTCTGCTGATCTGTAGCATTGTGATCCATCAATCCGTAGATCGTGGTGCCGACTGTGACACCATATCCAAGGAAGAGGGAGTAGATGATTGTATAGACCAAGCGGATTGAACCGGCGTTCATCTGATGCGATTGAAGTTCCAGACTACTACTCAGCACAGCAAAACCAGGAAGAAGCATGGCGATGGAGGATTCTGCCATGGCAGGGAAACAGAAGACTCGTTCACCGTTGTGTTGGATACTTCCAAACGCACGCGAGAGGAACGAGGTCAAGATGGCTGCGGACACCTCAAGCACATTGGAATAGGTAGCCGACGATGGAGCCAGGATATGCTGCATAATTCCGACAAGACAGCCTAAGAAGAAGATAATGGGAAGGTCAATGGGGCGGGCGCCGAATGAGTAAGGACCAACAGCAACACTAGCTAGACCGGTCAGGAGAACTCGCATCCAGCGTCCATATCGTGGCTTGCGCTGCATGATCTCGTCAAGATCCTGTGTGGCTTGCTCCACGCTGACAATATCATGCACCACATTCTTGTACACATTGTGTGTTTCAGCCAGACGAGAGAGATCCAATCCCTGAATAACGCGAATAATCTTCACCTCAGCAGTGCGTGTGAGTGGGTCATCAAAGGACATGAACATACAACCCGGAATGTACATGAACTGAGCATTCACTTCTAGTACGTTGGAAGTCATCATCATATACTCCTCCAATCGATGCGTCGGCGCACCGTATTTCATCAATGCGCGGCACAGTTGCATGATATACTGTTGCCGCGCCAAGATAGCAGCAATATGCACCGTCAGCTTAACATTCTTCTGGCTCTTCCGCTTCTGCTTCTTTCTCTCCTTCGGATTCATAGGTGCAGGCCCTTCAGCTGCGGGCACTCCAACCCGACCCATGCCCATCGAGGCCGAGATCAGCGAGGAGGTATAAGCGTGATTCGATTCCCTCTTCTTCTTAGCTGGAGTCTTCAACGGCAGATTGAACTTGCTGCCATTTTTGCTACCTGCTTCATTCGGCTCTCCGTTGTTATACCACTTGACTTTTTCTTTCTTTCCCGGTGGCGGTGTTCCACCGGGTGTGCCACCGGGTGTACCACTGGGTGTTGCCGTACCAGGGGTTTTAGACGGGATAGTCTCCGTATCAGGATCCGTCTCGAAAGAAGTTGTTGCAACACTCATCCTGCTTGCACTTTCTAGATTATTGGCATAGACACGTAGCAACTGCGAGAGCACGCTCCCGTTCAATGGAGTTGATTCACTCATATCCCCGGGTGTTGTCGTACCCGAGGGGAGTTCCGATGATGCATTTCGTCGATGATGATGATGAGTCCCCGGTAACCCAAGATGCCGGACTAAAAGTTGAGCCTGGGCGTCGTGGTCATTGGCGTTCAACCTTTCCTCCTCGTCGTGGGCTTGGCGCGCTGCAAAACTTCGGATGTCGTCTGTTGCTCCTAAGTACTCCGTGGAGAAGCCTGCACCTTCCAATCCATCTTCGTCTCTTTCATGGGGGCGGCCCAGCCGCTCGGCTATTGTATAGCTTCGGTCTCGGATGCGTTGGCTAGCGGATCTCCACCGTTGGCTGAAACTCGACGTGCTTGGTTGTTCACTGACTTCATCGCGAATGGCTATTTGTGGGATGTCGGCGTGGTTATGAGTACTTTCTTCGTCGCCTTGTGTGGAGTCTAACGAGGGTTGATGAGGAGATGAAGGAGCTTTCTCCTGGGGATCGGATAGTTCAGGCATGTTGAATTAATTTTCACTAGGCCCGCGGATATACACGGAAAAGGCGTCTTGGGTTACCGCGGACTTCAATGAATATTCTCAGGCACCACGAAGAGTATGTACGTTATCAAATAACAAAGGCGAGCTGATGAAGGATAGAAATGCAGCCGCGAGGACCAAAATCCCACAAACGAGCCAACTTCATATCCTGGGGAGGGAAAAAGAAAAAGAAACAAACTTCATAAAAGGGGGTCAAGTGGGGAAGGCTGTATTTAATTGAAGCCGGGCCAGGACCAGACTGTCTGAAGTCCCAGACCCACGTCGCTAACGCAAGTTGAAGTCATCGGGGAACGCGTCAGTCAAAACCCCGTGGCGCTTCTTTCCACTGGAGGCGTTTTGTGGTTCTTTTTTCTTTCTTTTCGGGGTTTCTAGTTTCTTCTCTTGTTCCTGGTTTGGATCCATGGTTATACTTGGCATAATATTAGGGAGGGGGAGATTATATAACCACAAAGGAACCTGGACACGTAAGTCTTCAGGAACCTCGGGTTATGCAGTCTTATGTTCATAAAAGAGAAACAAGCTTCAACTGCCACTAGCAATCTGGCCAATACTGTCCAGTCCTCATGTGAGTGTTTTCGGTGGCCAATTTCTGTGTTTCATTCTGTGCGGTGGGACCAACGTCGCCCCACCCAGTCCATGGGCCCAGAACCAGTTATGCAAATATTGAATGTATAGCCTAAATTAGGAAGAATTAATGGTCAATCTTTCACGTCATGTATTGAGCTCAAATGGAAAACCGGGTAGTTCCCGTGTCGATCAGGAGATAGTTAACCGGATTTTATACTTTATTGGAGTTCATGATGAACTGCAGTAAACTTCAGCCACCATGCCACAAATCTCTTGGACATAAGATGGCTTTTCTGCGGCTCTGGAGCCGGAAGAGCTTTCCGATAAGAGGCTTCTAGAACCGATAAGTATATAATTAGATCCCTAGCGTCGTGGCGCCCATGAGGCCCGGATGTACGGCATTACCCAGCCGTTACAATTCCGACTACCTAGAGTGGGACTCAAAGTATTGATACGATCTGGCCATCGATATAGAAAACCCCTAACCCGTGACAGTCATTCTATTTGTACGGACTTGCCAAGATCTAGTAGCTCAAGAGACCCTCAGTGTAGCACCGCCTCAAATGGTGGCTGCCTGTTCACGCGCCATTAAATATCCTCCACTCATATCCTTGATTGCAAGCTCTTGGCAGGTTACCAGCCCCTCTCCCACCCCGCGCGCACCTAGGCCAATGCTCGAACCTCTTGCCGATATCACACCACGCCATAGCTAGCATAGTGATTTCGGGAGGTCAAAAAAACGATCACATAATACTACATTCTTCCCCCCTCCCCAGCCCACTTCATAATCTCACCCCCTAAACTTGAACATAACAATCCCAACTATGCTATCATGCCAAACCCACCACTCCAAGCCCCAGACCACCCCATCGCGCTCCGCCGCTCGCACCTCCTTGCCCCCGCTCCAGACAGATTAACCAACACCCCCACAACTCTCCGCATAACCCGCGAGAACACGGTCTCTGGTCGCGACTTCAGCGTCCACCAACTACGCACCCATGAAGAACTCTCCAGCCCAAGGCGCCACGCCCTCCTCTTTACCGTCTCCGGTCGCTTCTGGAGTAACTCCCAGCTACGCGAGATCCGCGATGCAAGCGGGCGTCCCTTGCTTGAACTGCGCCGCCTCTGGTGGAAAGGCCAGTGGTCCGTCCGTCGGGCAGGCGGGTCAGGAGAGGACTTACTCCTCGCAGAAATGCGATGGGGAATAGGAATGAAGATGGGGATACGATTTGACAATGCGCTGCTGCGCGGCGCATGGGATCGAGAAGAGATTGCGGAGATGAATATGACACTGAATCGCAATCGTAGCCACAATCGCAGTCTCAGCCTTGGTAGTCCTTACAGTCGACGTGGTGAACTGCGCCAGTTAAGCGCCAGCCGTGCTCGTCGGCAACCGCAGCCGGATCCTGTATCGGGTGATAGCTCTAATCTGCCGAGTTATGAGCATGCGGATCACGGATCGCCGCCGCCGTATAGTATTGTTATGGCTGAGGACCACGCGCAACAGAGTAGCAGTGGAAGTGGTGGGGGCGGAGGTAGCGGTGGGAGTGGGACTGAGAGTGACGATTCCATGTCAGATGAGGATGAGAAGGCGGGTATGCACGATTGCCCGCTTCCTTCGTATGACTCTGTGCGACGCATGCGCCGGTTCTCGAGTCATTCGTTGCGGGATCTGCTTGATGCCATTGAGCCACCTGGAGAGCCGGCCCCCGCGTCCTCGTCTTCCTTGTCATCGCCCAGACCGCGCTCGGAAGGTGCCATCGATACCAAGGTAGAGCTCAAGCTCGTTCAGCAGAGTAGTACCTTTGCGGCGGTGATGATGGGGGAGAAGAGGATCATCCATGTTCGTCGGGAGAAGGTTATGGATTATAACATGTCAGGGCCGGTCCCGAAATGGGAGGTGGAGGTTGCCGAGGGGGTGGATCTGTTGCTGGTGAGTTCTGGTCCGGACAAGTTTCTTCATTGTTATGATATTAATTCATATCTGTGCAGGCGACAAGCATTGTCCTCATTTTGGCAGAGTCTGTGAAGCATGAGTATCGAATGAGGACGAACTAGTATAGCATCATATACAGGGACGATGGTTTTCCTTGATGATTTTGACGACTACAAGACGATGCATTTACATTACGAGAGTTATAGCGAATTTCAAATGCAGCTGCCCCCTTCCATTGGGGGACATCATGCCAATGCTCAATTGGAGTATTCAATAAACTTTTTCAAACCATACATTCGTCATAGAGATACAGTCTATTCGACTGCCCCGTGTATTAAGTATATTTCTTTTTTTGCATCAAGTTCCACCAATAATAGCGGGCATAGGAAGTTCAGCTGAATAAGAGAACCAAAGGAAATGAGAATCAGAACAACACATGATCGTAGATATCCTATGACTGGATCTTTTGCAAGCGCTTGGTCATGCTGTGGCGGTCCATTAGCATACGTTAAGAAAGAAGGAAAGGGATGAACATACAAATCAAAGAAGGAGAACTGGCTGGGGTGGTTGCCATATTCGTACACAAAACGGCTAGCCAGGTAGCTACCGAAGATAGCACGAAGGTAGTTTTCGGGAACCTGGAAGGGAACTGGTTAGTATCTATGGTTGTGAACTGAAATTGGGAATGGGGGAAACATACCCGTTCCAAAATGGTCTCGAGGCCAATCTTGTTCAGCAGCAGGTTAGGCAAGGCATCGCTCAGAACAGATTGGCGGAGGGCAACGTTGTCCCACAGCTCGGTCTGCTGGAGCTCCTCGTCAAGCTTGGTGATGGCCAAGCTGAGACGGTCACTTAAGACACTGCGCAGCACACCAGTCTGCTCGTGCTCGCGCCAGATGGCCTCAAACTCAAGGGTGGCGTTATCCTTAATGATCTCCTGTACCTGCTTGACGTAGGCCTGGTAGAATTCGGGGACAGTACCGTCCTCGCCGACACACATGTTGGCGACGAACTCGCTGTCATCGAATGACAAAGAGGCAAGTACCTCCAGGGAAGAGGAAGTCACACCACCCTTGTTGGCAGAAGCATCCTTGAATAGAATGCAGTTGGCCTTCTCCAGACGCAGCTTGCTGTCCTGGGTGATGAAAAGGTTGGCACCCTCAACGATGTAAGGAAGAATGCACTTGTTGCCCTGGATAAGCTTGCCGACAGTGGACAGGTCGATTGACTCGGGTCGGCCTCCGCAAGGTACGAAAACATCGAATTTCTCCTCCGAACGCAGGTGGAAGGTGTTGCGGAAGATCATACCGTTGTGCACAATTTCGCCACTAGGCAGCTTAACGTTCTTCTCGTCAACCAGAACTCGGTAACCCACGGGGGAAAGCTTTGATACGTCAAACTCGGAGATCATCGCACGCTTCTTGGCGAGACGGATCAGCTCCTGGTGGTCAAGACCCTGCATATCGACAATGACACCAGATCCATCAACAATCGCACCATACTTCTCGTTGGAGAGCAAGATCTCGTTGGATCCAAGATCGCCATCGGGGCCACCGGTCTGCAGCTTGAGCATGGTGGAGGGATCGATGTTGAGCTTGCGGTAGATTCCAAGAACGTACTGGCGCACAGAGAGAGTTGTCATGCCGTAGGCGTCGTGGGGAATACCACCCAGCTTGGGGCTCTTGCCGGTGAAGAAAGACTTCCACCAGGGGGCACCTCGGGCACGGGCGTGCTCAGTAGCCCAGTCGACCAACTCGGCGGTATTCTCGTCAGGACCCATGAAGAGGATCTCGTCTTTGCCGTGTAAATCCACAATCGGGTCCTTGATACCGGGGCTAACGGGTGGCAACAACAGATCCAAAACACTGTCAATGTACTTCTCGAAGGCGACCCGCGCCTTGTCTTGGTGAGCCACATCCAAGAGAATGACACCCTTGGCACCTCCTTCGGGAATATCCTTGTTCTTGCGCTGCTGTGTGTTGGCCAGATTGTAGTTCTCGTCGAAGAGCGAGCGAGCATTGATGCTATACGCTTCCTTATTCCGACTCTTCACGATTCGGATACCACCACGGGCGATGTCTCGGAATCGCAAGTGGAAACCACGGAACTCAGAGCTAATGACCAAGAACATGCCGTAGAGGGGCTGGGGGTATTCGTGCTCCGGCAAGAAGTCCGGCTTCAGGCGGAAACTCAAGGCCACCTTGGTGGGGGTGAAGAAGTTGGTCTTAAGGATGGATGAGTTGAAGACACGGAAAGAGGTCATAACCATCTCGTCGTGCTCGTTCATGGTAGTGCTGCGGATCAGCTGCTTCAGCTTGGCTCCATCCAACACCTCGTCAACCTGAAGACGCAGGTAACTGAGGGTGGGCAGAAAGTCATCGCCAGTGGGGCCCTGGGTTTGTACATAGTGGGTGTTGGCGAAGTCCAAGTAGAGCTTGTGGATCAACTCAGGGTAGTTGTTGATGATCTCGAAGATGTAGTCCGCAGTAAATGTCTCCGTACGCAGACGCTTCTTGATCTTCGAGAGCAATTCTGCGTGAACACTGTTGTTGGTGTCTAGGAGAGCGGATAGAGAAGTATATTCCGAGCCGAGACGATTCAAGAACTGCTGCACAAACACCCATGCGCAGTGGGCATAGATGGTCTCCTGCAAGCTGAGACGGCCAGTGGCAAAGTGTGCTTGGAATCGGTTTTGGGGAATACAGTACAGAAGTGAGACCTCCTTCATGATTTGGTGGATTGCAGCCTCAATTGGAGGGTACTTGGCCGAGATCTCGCTCTCCGAGGGGCGCAGGTAGAGGGAGATGATAGTGATGCCGTTGGAGAAGTGCTCGAGGTACTTGCGCGAGCTGGTCAGGCGGTAGTAGTGGTACAGATCCGACAGAGCGCTGAACAGTCCCATAGCGGAGCCCTGACGGTAAGCAATGACCAGGCGCTTCTCTCGGCTGCCCTCGATCTCGAACATCTCAATCACAGGGCCAGTGCGGCTGACAGCGGTGGAGATGATTTCTTGGTAGATCGCCTTGGTGTTGGGAGTGGCCTTCTGCAAGAAGCGCTTTTCACCAATGATGTCAATGTCGGTCTCATTCGGTGAGGGGTTGGGATTGGCGAATTGACACTTGTACACGAAGTAGCAACGGAGCTGCTGTCCGTTGTTGCCGGGGAGGGCAGTGGGCGAGCGGAAAGTCTCGACACGGTAGCTGTTCGCACCCCTGGAGGTGTTGATGTACTTCTCATCGATGCGTTGCTCGTAGCGGGGACCGTCCACTGAGGAGACACCGGGCCTGCTGGTATCAATGTAGACAGCGTGGTCCTCTGCCTCCTTGTCCAGACGGATCTCGAGCTGCTTATCATCACGAGCATAGGCGGCAACCTTGGCAGCATAGAGGGAGAGGATCTGGGTGACGATAGCATCGACGGTCTCGGTCTGGAAGTAGGTATCATCGATACCCAGCATGTTGTAGAACCAGGTAGTTTCGGAGATGACGAAATCACTGGGGAAGAAACCCTTCTCCTCCAATTGATCCATCACTGTAGCACGGTTAGTGTTTGTGTTTGAGATGGGGGGTAAACTCTATATGGGTTGCGCTTACCTTGCTCCATCTGCTTCTGTTTGCCCTCGAAAGTAGCCGCGATGTATCCCGGATCTTCCTCCGACAGTACACGGTGAGGGGTACCCGGGACACCCAAGTGAGTGGGCTGCGGCGACGGTTGCCGCAAAGCAGCACCTACGGCATGATCAAGGTGCTTGTTGTGGGGGTATCGCTGGAAACCGATGGGAGTGCCAGTGCCGGAGCTCCCGTCCTGGCTTGCGAAGAGCTTGGGCAATGGGTGGGAAGGCAGGGAGGCGCCATTGGAAGTCTCCGACAGCGGGGTGGAGGGGGCAGGGGAAGACATGGTCTCAAGACTCTAGATTGAAGAAGAAAGAACAGAACGCTGCGAAGAAAAGAGTCAGAGCTAGGCACGTGGGGGAGCAGATAACGATTCTTTTTAAGAATGCGCGCTTATCGGATTGCAGCTGCAGCTTGGTTGAGACAGGAATTCCCATTCCAAGTGGAACCGGGAGGGAAACTGTGGATTGTAACCGGACCGGTGTAGGGGGAAGAGATAACAGCCAAAGATAACAGGCAAGGGGTTTGAACTCACTGTCGCCATGCACTGAGGGTGTATAGATCGAAGATGATGGAGGCGTACGTGATGGAAGCTCAGAAATCCGGGGAATCGTGACTTCTTTAAATACCTCCGAAATCCTTGGAACGCAAATGGATTCAATGTCATCAAATCCAAATCAGAAAAATCTAAAACCTGAATTCCCGATGCTAGGCGACTTGTTCCAACGACGCCTGAACGGTCTCGAAGCCCTTGATCCGCGGTGACTCCACCGGTCAATGCCCCTCATGACTAAGATCCGGCGATAGGCGCGCTGCTGATTGGCAGCGAACGCCCCTCCATCCGAGGGTAAAGCCGACTGGAAAAATCCCGCTGCGTCATGCGGGCCGAAAATAGAGAAAAAAATTGCCTCACATGGCCTGGAGCAGTTCAGTGAGATATTAGATGAAACTAGCCTCACTAGTACCGTCCTACAAGACAAAGACATCCTAAAAAAAGTAACCGATAGGAATGTGGCGGAGAGAAATCGACAAGATCCAAAGAGGAAGTCAATTACGAACTACTGAATCGAATCGATCACCTGAGATGATCACATTGCACCTGGGCCGCGCTTAGTACCTGGCACGTTGTGTAGATGGTGGTTTCTATGCATAATGAGGTGATTTACGTCGAACATCGTGGAATGCGATGTGTCATGGAAAAGACGGAAATCCTTTTTAAATGCCTCAATCCGTAATTCGTCCACGATCTCCCCAGCCTTACCAGGTTTAGCGGTGGGTGATCGAGCATTGAAAAGTCCGGGGGATTTTCGCTAGCAGCGAAAACTCTGGACGATTTAGTCAGTGATTCCTGGCCCTTCCCAATTCAGCGTTAGTTGTGACCCGGCCCGGCGACACATTCTTGCTCCAACCGGTACCTGGATCGTCCTATGCGGGGTAAAGCCCACTTTCGATCCAAGGACGTTCGCACGTTTCTTCCCCAGAGCGAATCATTGAAGTGGCTGATGACGGAT